CTATGGCTATTTGGTAGACTAACTCACACTGTGCACTCAAAATATAGTACCGACTCTGGTACTGTGGTACTGTCAGCTCGACGAGACGCGCAAAACTATCGCATTTCAAAGGTTTCAAAGAATTACATTGACGCAACGGATTCGCAATTAAAGAGAGGTCCCAGCTTATGTAGTAGAGATTTTAGCCTAATTAGGTGATGGCGATGACTTTGGAAAACGCGAAACTGTGATTATACGACATAGGCATATGCGTGGCCATTCTTCTAGACGACGACAACTACGAGCAAATGTCAACACAGTTCCTCGGGAAAAATCGAGTAGTCTGCATACTCAACTCCGGGATCAATCAGGGCTTGAATAGAGGTCTGGAATGATATACAAGCTATTGCTGTTTACGCCAACGGTTTCTCGATACCTAGGCTGTGCAGAGCGTCGAAGGGTCGTCCTTGAAATCTACAGTTCATTGTCCTCCGTCTTATGGCTGACCCAGTTCCGCCCTTCGGGCGCCCTCCGCCTATCGAACCCCCAAATTCCAACCAAGACACTCATCTAGAGACACTCATGTTTGACTTAACTACCCCCTGTTTCTCATGAAACTCCATGTTAGCTTATGGAATCAACGCGTCGGGCTGCATAGCTTCTAGCATGTGCTTCACTGAAAAGTGAAACTCGGTAGGTCATGTGAGAACTCTCCGCTCATACCTTCACGCGTCCTTGTGTTTTCCAGGCGATCTGAGCCATACGAATGTCGCAGTCGCGGCTGCATTAGCTAGATCATAGCCCCTTCAAAGTATATAATAAGCTCTTCGTACAGTGCAAGGTTTGATCGAAAAGCTCAACACAACTATCGAGATCTGCAACTCCACTGTCACACATTCTACACAGTAAATTCGCGATAGGAGGGAACCTTCTAGACTGCCACATATTCTGACTACCACCCATTCTCTGTGGATAACGACATCCATTCTATCCACTGGTTCCTGAAGAGTACCTATAAGATGCAATTCGCAATAGAATTGTATGATCCTCTAATGTACTCTCATGACCAAGAAACATTAGAACGCATCATCAGAGAAATCCGGACGTCAGATAAGATACCTGAAACCACCGCGCGGGTGGTTTTAATGAATGGTCCGCATACCAGCTCGAGCGATGAAAATTTCCACAGCACCATCGACTGCTACGATGAAGATGGAGAGAAGCTTTGTCGGGAGCACATCGAGACTTTCTACACTCCCAGAAAATCACGGAGACCTAAGAAAAATTGTGGACGAGGTATTGATAGTAATGGGATTTGATATACTACACCTGACGTCTTCGGTTCTACGGATTTGTAACTGCAATACCCGGCACTCTGTTTTGTTAGTGTAAGGTGCGTCCTTAAGTGGGGAGACACACTATGTCGCGAGACGGGTTGGCGGTTCGGAGCTTCGGCGCATCCCAATTGCAGGTCTATAAAGCTACTATTAATCCACCATGATTGTATGGCTATTGCTTCTTAAGCGCATTAGCGTCCGACATGAATCGCTGCTATGTTAGCTGTGATATCGAGCGTTTCGTTACCGTCGTTAATCAACTCGTTAGCAATACCCCCCTGTCTATTGGCGACTTTAAGAACTACTTAAGCGCTCGGAAGGTTGTGCCGAGAGCGTGACAAAGCAAGATCGATTCCCTAGGCTTATAAGATAATTCTGACGTAGGAGCGAGAATGCCGGGAGCCCCGTTGTGCGAAGCAGGAGATTTCTTTATATAAGCCCGAGCTGGCGGAATACGCTAATTTAGCTTAGTATGCATTAGCTAGTATTAGCGCATATATCGTCTGCTGTATTCTATCATAAAAACTACGGCGCTACGCCAGTCCCGTGTGCCTCTTAAATAGGCGTGGCGCATGCTGATGGCTTTCTAGAAGCGTCTACGACCGCGCAGTTGTGCACGAGGGTGCTTTATTCCTGCTTGAGTTTTAGGTCGCCATTAGGTAGACGAAGGCTGCGTGAACATGGCTTTTATAATGCGCATCGATAGCATTTTGTCGTCAGCGTTAAAGCCGTTGCTTGTGTTGAATAAATGCATCGCTTGAGATGTTCCTGATTGTTCTTGACGCTATCGTCACTGCGTTGCGTTCCGAGCCCACGATAGCGGCACAGATTTCCTGTGGCTAGTGTGTTCTTGCACGAACCAGCACGCGCTGCACAGACACCATGATGTGCTCTTACAGTAAACGACGACCTGTACAACGCGCTCTCTGCAGCATTACACCGCATACTTAAGCAATTCTTGCTTTTAGGTTTCTAGCATGGTGGCTGTCGCGCGATTACACGTTGTCAGCCTTGCCCGGCCAGCCGCACGTCACGGCGCAGGCGGGCTGCGTCTCCTACTCTGGGTGTAGGAGATGCAGCCTGCCCCAATAACGAGGACGGTATTCCTCACCTCTAACTTAACAAACCGTCCCTTAGCACCCGAAACAATCCTAACGGCTACGATCCTCACGCCCTACGCGAGCGAGCCGCCGTGCGCTATCGATTTCCTCAGCCTGCCTCGAGGCCCTGAGGCCCCCTTCTACCGCTCGCGCAGACAAACACATACCACCCGATGCGACTATTATATACCGCAAGCGACGGGAAGCTTAGATGGACGAATGACATCATTCGCAGCGAGGAGATTCCTCCCTATGCGATCCTCTCGCACACCTGGGGGGAGCAGGAGGTTGTCTTTGATGATCTGAAGAGCCTTGCTAGTGTAAAGGACATTGATGCAAAGAGAGGAGCTGGTTGGAACAAGATCCGCTTCTGCGCACAACAGGCAGAGCGTGACGGTCTAAAACACTTCTGGGTAGACACCTGCTGCATCGACAAGGCAAATAACACAGAACTGTCAAAAGCGATTAACTCTATGTTTCGCTGGTACCAGAACGCTAAAAAATGTTATGTCTTCCTCTCAGATGTCGCGAGCGATACTCTAGAAGTTGATGGCGAGTCAGCGTTTAGGCAGAGCAGGTGGTTCAACCGTGGCTGGACGCTCTAGGAACTTCTTGCTCCTTACTCTGTTGAGTTCTTCTCTAAAGACAGAGTGTGGTTGGGGGACAAGGAGTCGCTTAAGCACACTATACACGAGGTTACAGGTATACCTATCAAAGCTCTGTCAGGGAGCGACTTGTCCGAGTTTGACGTTGCCGAGCGTTATTCTTGGGCATCGAATCGGCAGACGACGGAGGAAGAAGATGGAGCGTATTGTCTGTTCGGCATATTCGGCGTCCACCTACCGCTGATCTATGGCGAAGGCAGAGAGAGAGCGTTGAAGCGATTGAAGAAGGAGATAGAGACTTTCGAGGATGCCTCCGTGAACGACACCATGAATCGCAGCCGAAGCCAAGAAGAGAAGCTTGGCAAGATCTGCAGCTGGCTTTCGGCGCCTGACCCGTCCACAAACTACTACAAAGCGCACAAACAGCGCCAGGTTGAGACTGGGCTCTGGCTGCTAGAAAGTGCCAAGTTCGCAGAATGGAAGGAGAGAGCAGCATCGCGACTGTGGCTGTACGGGATCCCAGGATGTGGAAAGACTATCCTAAGCTCTACCATCATCGAGCATCTGCTGCAGCACTACCATGATGACACTAGCATAGTGACGGCGTACTTCTACTTCGATTTTAACGATACACAGAAACAGGATCCAGAGCTTATGCTGCGCTCGCTGCTATGCCAGTTCCTCCAGCGTTTGGTAGTGGTACCTAATGGCGTTTACGCGTTGTTCTCATCTTGCGAAAACGGAAAACGACAGCCTTCACTGCATGCGCTTTTAGAAGTAACAAGGGAAGCCGCGCAAGAGTTCGCGCACGTCTACGTCGTTCTTGATGCTCTTGATGAGTGTACGCAGCGCTCGGAGCTAATGGACATGCTCAACACGGTGGCTAGGTGGCAGCTTAACAAGCTACATCTGCTTATAACCAGCCGAAAAGAGCGGGATATTGAGACATCCTTAGAGAGTTACATTAGGGAAGAGGACGCTGTCTGTCTTCAGAGGGACGTAGTGGATCAGGATATACAACGATACGTCCAACAAAGGCTGCGTGACAAGAAGAGCTTAGCAAAATGGACCAAGGACGCTGCGATTAGTCAAGAGATCGAGGATGCACTAATGCGCGGGGCTCGCGGGATGTACGTGTTCAACCAGTTCTTTACAGAGCTAAAGCTAACAATAGTGCAGGTTCCGATGGGCTGTATGCCAGCTAGACACGTTAGCAAAGTGTCGCAACCTAGTAATGCTGCGCAATTCGCTCGCCACTTTGCCGCAAACGCTAGACCAGACATACGACCGCATCCTTACCGCTATAAGCAGAGAGGACTGCGTGTACGCGATGCGCATCCTACAGTGGCTAACGTTCTCTGCCCGGCCGCTTTATGTTAGAGAAGTTGCTGAAGTCGTTGCTATCGATGTTGCGCGCGAATCAGCGTTTGACCGGAATGAAGTGCTAATAGACCCGCTAGAAGCGCTGGACATCTGCTCTAGTCTAGTCACTATTACGAAGAACGAAGCGGATAGAAGATCAGGGCCTGCCCAACAGATCATCGCTCTAGCACACTACTCAGTGCAGGAGTACCTTGTTTCGGACAGAATCAGGCATGGGTCAGCAAAGCAGTACAGCATGCAAGAGGTTGAATGTCACAATGCGATAGCAAGAGGATCTCTGAAGTACCTAATCCAGTTCCAGCAACCATTATCAAAAGAAACTTTTAAGGCGTCCACACTTGCAAGGTACACAGCAAAGTTCTGGAGCAGCCATCTTCAAAAGACAGGAGATAAGATAGAACAAGCTAGTCAGCTAATAATGAGTTTAATAGCCATCGAAAAGCCTGCATATCTCAACTGGATCCGGTTGCATGATCCAGACCGTACTTGGGAAGGGCCGAATTTAGAGAAAAGTCTCGATAGCGTGCCTATGCCGCTTTACTACGCAGCAATGTTAGGGTTTAGTACAATTACAAGACTGCTGCTCGACAAGGGCGCCGACGTCAACGCGCAGGGTGGAGGGTACGGCAACGCACTGCAGGCAGCTTCAGATGGAGGCCACGAGCAGGTAGTCAAAACGCTGCTCGACGCGGGCGCCGACGTTAACGTTAACGCGCAGGGTGGATACTTCGGCAACGCACTGCAGGCAGCTTCATTTAGAGGCCACAAGCAGGTAGTCAAGACGCTGCTCGATGCGGGCGCCGACGTCAACGCGCAGGGTGGATACTTCGGCAACGCACTGCAGGCAGCTTCATACGAGCAGGTAGTCAAGATGCTGCTCGACGCGGGCGCCGACGTCAACGCGCAGGGTGGACACTACGGCAACGCACTGCAGGCAGCTTCAACTGAAGGCCACGAGCAGGTAGTCAAGATGCTGCTCGATGCGGGCGCCGAGGTCAACGCGCAGGGTGGAGAGTACGGCAACGCACTACAGGCAGCTTCAGCTCAAGGCCATGAGCAGGTAGTCAAGGCGCTGCTCGACGCAGGCGCTGAGGTCAACGCCCAGTGTGGATACTACGGCAACGCACTACACGCAGCTGCATATTTCGGAGAGAGTGCAGTGCTTAAGCTTTTAGTCCTGAAACATGACTTCACACAGCTCCAAGATCCGTATGACCGGACTCTCCTCTGGTGGGCTGCGGCCGGTGGCCACAGTAAAACTGTTCAAGTCCTTGTGAACCAGCATAACTACGACCCTCAAATTCCTGACAAATTTGGGCGAACGCCATGCGAGATTGCTACAAGAAAAGGGCATAGTGCGGTATCAAAACTTTTCTCCAAAGAAGGGGGGTTGACTAGTCCTGTAGAAGCAGCGTTGCCGGATTCTAGCAAAAGCTTAGGGTCGGCTGAATGCGACGTCTGCACCTCAGTCATAAGTTCAACTGACGTTTACTACTATTGCCGACATTGCTCTCAAGGAGATTGGTATGTTTGCGAAGACTGTAGAACAAGAGGTGCCATTTGTGCGGATAAGGCGCACATTTTAGTAAAGGGTACGGAAAAAGACTAAAAGTAGGTTGATAGAACCAACTAAATACACTAAGACTTGAGTCGCTCTTTAGATTTGCTATTAAGCAAACTCTAACTAGGAACACAGCCTGTACACACGGCAGCTCTGCATACGCGCGGTCGTAGATGCTTCTAGAAGGTTGTTAGCATGCGCCACACCTATTTCAAGAGGTATGAGAGACTGGCATAGCGCCGTATTTATTACGATACGCTACAGCTAGTGATAAAGACGCTAATGCAGCTAGTGCGTGCCAAGCCACACTAGCGTACCCCGTCGGTCGTTTTCTGTCTAGAAAAATCTCCTACTCACTACCACGGAGTCCCCGGTATACACGCAGCCCCGTCGAAAAGCTTCTAAATTCACAAGATACTAACTAATTCTATTATACTTGCTCCCCGACCCTCCGAATGCTTGAGGAGGAGTTAGCGCTACGAACGAACATAGGGTAGTCGCTGGAGAGTCGATTAACGACATTAACGAGATAGCTAGTAGCCCAACCAACACCATAGCGATCCGTACTGGAGGTAAGGTGACTCGAGGAACAGTAGGTAGAGAACCATCGTGTGTTAGCTATATTTCGACAAGTCTGAGATGAAGCATGTCCGGATGTCCAAACCGTGAACCTGTCTCGCGACATAGTGTGTCTCTCTACCTAGGGACGCACCTTACGTTTATTAGAGAACACCATCTAAGAAATTCAAGAATCGTAACTACTAGAAGTGACTAGGTAAGGCCTTGGTATTGTTTACGACCAGACAAAGTATATTTAGTTGAATGCAGGATGATATCCCTAATACCAGATATCATGTATCGTGTGCAATAGGTTCTATAGGGTCGACAGGGAAGGAGCCGTGGTCATGGTCATGCTCTTGGCGTAGAAAGTAGAAGTGTTGAAGAGCTGAGCAGGGTCAAATGTATGCCGGTGGCGTTTTGGAAAAGATCTCTGGAAGAAGCTGGAGGTTGAAGGTAAGTGTCACGAGAGGCAACGAGCAGTAATCTCAGAACTTATGAAGAAGTTTGATTTGTGTGCTACGTACAGTACTCAAGTGTAAATACAAGACGTTGCGTAAAGAAAAGAAGTGGAGAGTTCCACCCAAGAAAGATACATAGCGGAAGAAAGCTCGTGTGATCAGACTTGCTATCAGTCAGGTAACTCAGTTCGAACTGACTGAACTGACTGCCAAGACTCAGTTCAGTCAGTCAGTTCTTGAGGCAGCTGGACGTCAGTCCAGTCAGTTCAGAAGCCTCCAGACTGACTGAACTGACTGACGTTAGACTGACGTTAGCTGTTTTTAAAGCAGTATTTTAGAGTTGTGAAAGCCACATTTAGTGCGGCTTCGAAGCCGCGCTAGTCCTAGATATAAAGACACTAATCCTATATAAGTTAAAGCATCTAGCTTTAAGCTAATTAGAGTTTGCGGAAATGCGCTACCCGGTGCGCACCTAGTAAGCCTTTCGCGTCGCGTCGCGTCGCGTCTGCTATACACACGACGCTAGACTACTGTTGCCATAATACTTCTTGGTGTACTTCATGTCTACTCCCTCTAATTCAGGCCTTCGCCGCCTTGTAGAATGCGACAAGCGCAATTCTCCTCTACCATCGCTATCAAACGCGCCTACTGTTGGCGATACTGCGAGCGAGGCCCAGGCTGATGAGCCCTTGGCAGTACAGGCGGACTTCCCCAACGACGGCGACGACGACGACGACGACGACAATTACGACGGGCTTGATTTTAAGCGTGTGCCGTATCTTGAGCGGCGCCAGGTTGAGCGTAATAGTCGCGGTGGGCCAAAAAGCTGGATCTACCGCCACGGCTGGGCCGTCTGGCACCGCGAGTACAAGAAAAACTACTGGCTTTGCCGGTACTGCCATCAACGACGGAAGCAGGAGGCTTGCTACGAGGCTGACAGCACTACAAACGCCGGCCGACACCTCTCAAGCAACAAGCCTGGACACTCACACGGACCTAACGGACCTGTACCAATTGCTAGCCGGGAGGGCAATATTATGGGCGCGCTCGCAAAGTCCCAAGTATATATTATGAGGTCTAAAGGGATAGAAGTATCGCAAGAGGTAGCAAACGAGATAGCAGCAAGCTTTTCAACCTCTCGATTTCAGGACGCGCTGAAGGACTGGGTAGTCGCGGACAACCAGAGCCTTCGCGTAATAGAAACGCCGCAGTTTCGAGCCATGATTGCGGCCGTGAGCCCGCTAGCCGAAGCTCTCCTTTGGCGTAGCCACTAAACGCTCCACGATCATATTATTACTGAGTACAATACATACATACTAGCTGTTGCCAACTACCTTCGCGAAGCCCGGTCGCTTATACACGTGTCATTCGACAACTGGACTTCAACTGGTGGGCAGTATGCTTTTACTGGCCTCTGCGTACATTACCTTAACAGCGAGGGCAAGCTAGTTGACCACCTGCTTGGGTTGCCTGAGCTACACGGGGCGCACACTGGCAATAATATTGCCGCTGCAGCAACAACAATATTTCGGCTATTTGGCGTTGACAACGCGAGGGTTGGGTACTTTGTGCTTGACAACGCAAGTAACAATGATACTGCAGTTGAGTCCTTAGCAGAGGAGTTTGGCTTTATCGCAAGCGAGCGGCGGCTGCGGTGCTGCTGCCATATACTCAACCTAAGCGCACAATTAGTAATTTGGGGCAAAGACCGTAGCGCGTACGAGAATGAAGCCGCACACCTTGAGGAAGAGGAGAAGTACATGGATGAGTGGCGCAAATACGGTCCTGTTGGCGTCCTCTTTGACGTGATTGCGTCTATCTGTACGCCTCAAACTCGACAACTACTAGAGCGCCTACAGTGCGAGGAGGCAGAGTCTCTAGGTGTTACACCCCACATCCGGCAGCTTGTGAAGCCTGTTAAGACACGCTGGAATAGCTATTTCAACACGTTTGTCCGTGCAGCTGAGCTACACGGCCCTATCGATGGCTATATTGAGTGTAAACTTGAGGAGCATAGTGCTGCAACAGCAACCTCACGACGCCGGAAGAATCGTGAGCAGCTCCCTGCTGCCCAGCCACGGTTATATATACGCGAAGGGGGTCTAAGCGGCAAGGACTGGGCGACAATAACAGAATACATTCGACTCCTTGAGCCATTTGCCGAAGCTACACGGCTACTTGAAGGTCGCGGCCGACACGGCCGACACGGCGCTATATGGGAAGTTCTAGTAACGTTTGAGTGGCTTCTTGACCAGCTTGAGGCTCTCAAAGACCGCCTTAAGCACAGTTGTCAACAAGCAAGTCAAGTCTCAATCAAGTCTCTATCGATAAGGGATCAGACCATCCTATGGGACGTGTCCTCGTGCACGGTTATCCCTATGGTCTGTTTGCCACTATCGATAACAATCAAGTCGGCTTGACTTGCTTGTTGACAACTGTGGCCTTAAGGATGTAAATTACGAAGATCTAGATGCGCCTGAAGATCATCTTATTACAAACGTTAACCTTGCGCATTGTAAGCTTGCTGAGTACTACGCAAAATTCGATAACGCGCCTGTCTACTACACTGCTACAATACTACACCCGCACTACAAACACCACCTCTCAGCGCTCTGGAAGGTGCCTGACACCCATGTCACTGCCCGTGACGGTGTCCACTATCGCGACGGCTGGCTTGACAATAACCACCGGGCATTCCTGCGTATGTGGCAGGGGCGGAAGGACTCTGCAGCCACTTCAGCTCACACTGTAACGCCGCCGCGTAAGAAGCCCCGGCTAGGGATTTCAACGTCGCGATCAGCTTTTCTACAGTCGTCAATTGAGCAAAGCACACGGCAGTTAGAGGCAAGCCTTGCTGAGGATGAGTATGAGATTATGGAAGCGGCAACCAGCGTTAGCTGAGGAGGATTGGCTGTCTCTTAATCCGCTTCTATACTGGGAGTCAGTTGCTGGGCAGTTCCCTATACTCTCAAAGTTCGCTATTGACGTCCTAACAATACCAGCAGCAGCGGCAGACTGTGAGCGGACTTTCAGCGAGCTTGGCGACATGTTAGGCACCCGGAGACTCCATATGAAGCCAGAGCTTATTTCAGCTTTGCAGAGCTTGAAGAGCTGGAAGAGGCTTGGTATACAGCCAACAACTACCTCAGCTTCTGGGCTAGCGCGCACACTATCAGAGGAAGAAATCTCAAAAGTACAGGAGCATTTATCTCAGTTCGACGTCAGGTAACTCAGTTCAGTCAGTCCAGTCAGTCCGCAGGCCGCGGCGACGTCAGTTCAGTCAGTCAGTTTTAGTTTAATTGAAAAGTCTTGGCAGTCAGTCCAGTCCAGTTCAGTGACCTCAGGACGTCAGTTCAGTCAGTCCAGAGAGCTCCGGACTGACTGAACTGACTGATAGCAACTCTGCGTGTGATGTCATACGGTTGTCGAGGCAGTGGCATACTGTCGAGGATAGTACATTGCACTGTTGCGATAGGAGCGTGCGGATTAGAGACAGGAGCGTACGGGTTAAGAGCAGGAGCGCATGGGTCAGAGGCAGGAGTGTCAAGGGGACCACGGTGGTTACCGTGACAGTAAGCGACAGAGAGTTTTTGCGCAGTTGCGAACACTCCATATTTTCTGCATCTCCACCACAGTCAAGGCAGCTTCTTCGTAGGTCTGTCTCTTATAATATCCTGATCTGATGGTACTTCTCAGAAGTCGAAAGAAAAAGATAACTAGAATAAGTGAGTACATGGGGTGTCTTATAGTTATCTATATGCCGTATAGGAATACCTTGTTTCTCAACAAGTATAGTATCACTACGTCACGAACGGTAATGGATGAGTCCCAAACTGAAAGACCATCGATTACATAGTATTGACGAGAGCTCTACCTGTTACGGATCCACGCCATGTGCCCCGTAACTTATCGACACTAACGTCATTGGCGCCCCGGCCACACCATTATGTTTGGGCCCTAATACGTAGATAGCTCGATATCCTGTATTCTACCAAATCCATTTCTCATCAATCCCTCACACTACCAAGCTTTTACCCAATTGTCTGCGAGGGGTACGAAAGATTTGACCTAATGAAATACAAGCTTTCTGAACGCGACAAATGACCAAACATTACCATCTGCACCAATAATCTTTGTCCAACTCAGACCCAGGGTTTCAGGGGCAGCCTGTAGACTCCCATCCTTGAGATTACCACATCAGTATTTTCTATCGCAATACTACCCCTTATATCCCAGCCCTTTGCGCCCTTGGTCCCATAAACTCAACCAAATACTATATCTTGCGGGGCAAACGCAGGTTTAATTCAACTCCTGCAACTTTGGAAGCAAAATTCATTGCCTGGAAACAATAAATATACTCAACCCCCCCGCCTTCCTACAAACCACACACTCCCACTTCCCAACCCCAACACCTACTTCAATATCCTCCACACTCCACTATAGCCCACATCTCAAACATACAATATAATCCCACCCCTTGAATCCTATGAATCCCATGAGTCTCGTGATCCCCACTCACCACATCTCACCCGCGTGTGGCGCAAAATCTAGACTCAGTCGCGGTCGCCCTTCACGAACCAGTGGGGCCCACCCAACTCGACTCAGCCTTTACAACGCCACTGATCTGAGAGCGTTAAGGCCAGCACAAAGCAGTGTAGTGCAGTATCCACAGTAGCCGTTGGAACGGTGACGATGGAGTGCGGGAGACGGTTTCTCGGTTCCCCATCCCGTTGTGTCGTGCCGTGTCATGTGCGTGGTCCAATCGTCCACGGCTCTGTCAGGTAGAGGCGAAATGTGCATCACCACCTCTTCATTCTAGTGTATGTGATGTGAACTACGACTCAAAGCTCTACATTGGGTATCACAGGAAAAAAACTCTCTTATAAATTCAAGGCCGGTGCATCACTCCCCTGCCCCGTTTACCCCCTCCGCGTTTGCGGCGTCCACGCCGTTTTGTCCGGAACCAGCAGGACTCTGCTTCGCCAACGCCTCAATCATCTCTGCGACCGCGACCGCCTTCTTGCGATTTGCTTCTTCGTCTGCGGGGTCGGACAGAGTATCTAGGCCGCCGAAGAGCCAGAGCTCTTGTAGGTCGCGGACGAGGGTGGATATATCTTGTGCGGTTTTGATCTACATATCGTTAGCCAACCGGTCAACCAGACTTGTAACAAACAGCAGCCAACGTGGCTAACATACCAGTGCAGCACTCTGTTCCCGGATCAACAGCTCACGCTGCGCAGACGTCGCATAATCCAATGCAGGCGGAAACTCAGTCGTCTCGTCGGCAGAGTAATCGGTGGCATCCTGCAACTTGACGGCGCGGAGGATAGTAGACAGGTAACCGTTACCGCCCCAGGGATCATTCTTCCGGTTATCGACGATCGAGGTACATAGCGTTTCTGTTTTAGCTGGGGCGAATCCGTCAGTCAGGTGGGCTTAGGATCACGAACAGTAAATGCGAGTGCGAGCGCAAATCGAGCACCAGTGTCATGATGCTACTTTGTTGTTGTTCCACGCTTGTGCGCAAACGATGTTGTGTGTCCGTAGATGGTTCACAAAACTCACCTAAAAGCGCCTCTTTCGTCCGCTCCGAGGGATTCATGACAGATGGTCTCAGTGGGGATTGTGGTAAGGGTGAATTGCGTCAGGGAGGATGGAAGGGTAGCTCCGCTCCGGCATGTCCGCCCAGTTCAGTAGCTCCAGGCGGCTTATCGATAGCCGAACACATGGTCCGTGCGAAGATGCTACCCTGCCCTGATCACCCGGTATAGGAGATCTGCACATTTGCATCTTGTCCCGGGCTCGGGCTTGGAGAAAAGTCAATAAAACCCCTCCATCTTTTGCATTCGCGTATGCACGTGCACAGGGCATCAATCATCAAAAGAAACATTGTTTGCAAATGGGACGCCACGTCTAACCACCCTATAACCCCAATCCCAACCCCCCGTCCCCAATAAATGTCGCTCTCGCTTTGGGCTCCATGGCAATGGCGCTAACTACTGCCCATGGCGAGCGACAGGCACGTCATCACTTTACCACTATCCCATACCGGTTACCCATGGGCCCTCTACTAGTGCACCATCCAATCTTGTCCTGCCAGCCACCGCGGGCACGGTTTTTAATAAGAAGGCAAGTGCCCCTCCTATAGTCCTGGAAACCCGGTTGCTGGTATATTGTATACCGGTAGCCAACAGATATAAAGTTTGTGTGCCGGCCGCCCGTTGTTTCGAGAGTCAGGAGATGACAGGGCACTTGGGCTCGCGTCGCGTCGTGTCGTTGTCGTGTTGGCGGCATGGCAGATTTGCCAATGAATCGAATTGGGCGATGTTTTTGGCAAGTTTGAACGTTGGCGGTCGGTCGGCTTTCTCGTGTAAGTAAGAGGTAAGCTAGGGGGCTTTTACGCCTGCCGTGGTGCCGCTCGGCCAAGCCGCCAGTTTTTGGTAGTCTGATCGTCAGGAACGACCCGTGGGGGTTTTCTTGTTCCACACATTTTGACGGCCGTTGGAGGTGTAGCGTACATGTGGTGTTCACTTCATACCGTTGGTTTGCCACACACCTCGTTGATGGTTTCATGCTTTTTGCCATTTTGTCTTGAATGTCACCGGGGTCAGGCTATCGCGACCTAGACCGTCGTCCTCGTATTGGGCACAGATACGCAATCCTGGTTAGCCATGCTGAAGCCACGTTCGTGGTTCAGTGGCTGGCTGATGGACTTGAGTGGATCCGCCCGGGAACGCCGCACCTTATCGTGGCAGCCTAACCTTGCTCTGCTAAGCCGGTTTGATTTTGTCGATTTTCCTGTTGCAGGGCTCGGAGCTCCGACTAACTTGAACCGCATCTTTCACACCATTGCTTGCTGACTTACCTCGGAGACTGTCCCGCTCCGTGGCTTGGTGGCTTGCATACGTCGAACAGAATCTTTGCTTCCAGAATTGTGGATCTGCCGTAGTTGTGCAAGCCTTATCCAGGGATATGTACGAGGCTGTGTGCTGAGATGCACCGGTCAAAGCAAGATAAGGCAAAGTGTACAGTAATCAATGTCGTGATAAGTTCATTGTGGAAGGTTGGAAACTATCTGCCTAGATCTAAGATAAACTGTGCTCAGCGCTCGTATGCTGAAACATTTGGGTGCCTAAAACTCCTGCGCCATTGATGCCCCTGTAGACGCTCAAATCCTGACGAGTCGTGATGCGATAAGGAACTTTCTTGAAAATAAACCGTAAACGCCAAGCTAAATGGAAGACCTACGCTGACACACAAGAGAGATTCCGATGGCTCTGGACCAGTATGTATTTAACAGATGAAAAATGAAATAATGTTGTTAAACTGAGCAGAGTATGCTTCGTCGTGATAGATTGTGCCATGAGCTGCGGTTCTTGGCGGGTGGAGACTTGAGTTGCGCTACTTCGGGCGAATTTCCAGGTGGAGCCCGGGATTCAAGTTCGTGTTTTCTTTTGCTGAGTCGGCTCTTGGATGCTTCCAGGGTAACCACTCTTATCATGTCATCTTTGTCGTCGTCCTTGCATGAGTCGGATTTGGACTCTGTTCTGGAGGTTCCTACTGGATGTAAGCATTTGTACATGGAAAAAGCAACAAGCAACGTACGAGAGGAGGCTGAAGTGCGCCTTGACGTGTGAGAGCATGCATCAGTAGAGTCATCGGGAGATGAGACATATGATAGCGGGCTTGGGCGTTTCGTCATAGAAGACCTCCTGCTCCGGGTTGGATAGGACCGTGGACGATAGTTCGCAGGAGGTAGATGCGCAGGTAATGCAGACACTGGGGGTGGACCATCGAGTTCACCTGGCGTCGTCGGACGACTGCGACTCAATCCGGCTTTACCATCGGATTCTGCTGAAAAGCGTCGCATGACTGCCTCTATAGAGAGCTCCTCGCGGGGTTTGCACTGGTGGCTGGCGCTTCGGTGAATGTTCTTCGGTACTCCGCTCCTGGCACGCAGTGCTGGGTGTATGAGGTCTGGGTTGTTGGCCGCCTGGTCCAGTTGACGTTGCACAGCTTCAGGCAGTGGCTGAGAAACGGTTCTGCTCCTTCTCGCAGCCTTGATCCTGGCCTGTAATTCCTCTGCGCCCACCGGTTTCGCGCCCACAGCAGATGGGAGGTCGTCTGCCAGAGGGTTTGAAAAATTCCTGTACTGCACAGACGCGGGTCTAGAGGGCTTTGTGGGAACAGCGGCAGGCCTTTGCTCGCTGACTGATGCTGCGATGGTTTGGGGGTAGGAGGAGCGTGACATGGTAATTGGGTTGGTGACAATGGCAATGCGAGTGTAGTGTAGCAAAGACGTCCAGGGCGGCTGGTAAGAGGTATCTCAGTCTCCGGGTAGGCGTAATCTATAATGGAGCATTTATTTCCCAACAAGACGGACGGGAGCCACCTCGGTAGCGTAGGAACTGGGTTTCGGTCAATGCGCCGCCTCTTCTAGCGCTTCGGATTGCGGATCGATCTTTGAGGCGCAGGTGCTGAAACTAGTTGCAGTTAGCGAGCGCTGATAAACCATCCAAAGTCGCTTAGCGGTCGCCAGCACATTTCAACTCTTGTGTTTGAGGCAGGCGAGCCTGGCCTCTAGTAGGCCATGGCCGTACGAAAGCGGTAATGGACATGGAAAATGGCGCGATATCTCGGACATTGTGATTGGCCTCCCACGTTATCGTTCCCCAATAGTGGAAGGCAGGCTAGACTTGTACCGGCGCGTCAGGGCATACCGTACCGTGTCTATAGTTAGCCATGCGAGGTTGTGGAAAAGTATATGAGTGGGCTTTTTGTTAAGACATGTGTGGTACAAGATAGTGTGTCGAGACGGTCGCGACGATCGCGACCGTGACAGGTCGTCATGGTCGGGTTTGAATGACGCGTGTGAGTATAGGGGGTTGCAAGTCCATGTTTCGTCCGGGCTCGCGTGCAGTCGTCCTCGGAGGGAACATGTCAGCTCGTACACGGTCTATTGACTGCACGGCACTTGGTGTTGCTCTTGCTCCCGTGGGTCTTTGTCGGCGAAGGTGTTAACAGATGACTTATTCTTCGCAGTAATCTGGGGTAATTCGCGGTGAGATACGGGAAAGCAGAGCGGGGAAAACCCGTGTTGATGCTGTGATTACGGTCTTTGCGTCGTAAATTCCATGCTTCGTGTCCAGATTAAGCTTGCCTCGGCTGGTGATCCACTTGGCATGTGGGCAGGTCGCGGTGGATGCGACTGCCAAAGTTTGACATGTCGTGGAAGACATGTACCAGAGAAATGAGGATTACAGATGTCCATGTCATGGTTGTCTGGTACGGAGCTGGATGATTGCGACAGTGCAGGGCACGTGATGTACACAGTGTGTGACAGCTGTCTGCGGTTTACCGACATGTGTGTGTTGGTGCGTGTCACATAGTCGATACAGATGAAATACAGATGAAATACAGATGAAATGCATCCAAGGACATGTATCCATGTGATGAAGGTGACGACGTCTGACTGGCGCCAACGCCAAGGGGGGATTGCGTCAGTGAGGCGATTCGCGGGCGGCGTCGAGGTATCGTCGTACCGGGCGCAAGCTGGACTCCGCTCCTTCACACCAACCTTGCCAGTATACGCGGGCTCTTGCATGAGGCAGCCCCGCTCGCAGGACCCCTTCTCGCGTACCTTCTTGCGCACGCATTGCACATTGGAGTCTATTTCCAGGGTTCATCGTGGTGTTGAGGCTCTTCAGGCGCGGGTTGGTCTAGGCTCTAACTCTTATCGATATTCCGCCCGGCAGCGTTTGCAGCTAGTGCCCAAGCCGCCTGGCCCTGTCCTCTCCCGCTTCGACTTTGCGACCCACGACGCGACTGCAAAAGTGTCCGAGGTTGATCACCCACTCCCGTCACCGCGCCATCCACGGTCGCAAGTCGCCATTCACTGTTGCGCGCCCAGGACCCCGCATTAACCCACTGTCGGTCGCGTCACCGACATCCTGCCACCCGTCCCAAGCGCCGCCTAGCCTCCTAATCGTCATCCGCCAGCACCACCACACACAGACACCCCCAGCCGCCCCATCATCCCATCCCCGATCGCTGCCCGCTCTGTTGCCAATCCCGAGCACGCCACTGCGCAAACGATCGCGACCACGCGCCGAGCTCCGGAGGGTAGCTGCCCTAGCCGGAGAGTCTTGACACGCCGCCATCGGCTATGGCAAACGTCGGCCCGCCGCCTGCGAGCGAACGAAAGCGCGTCAAAGTCTACGAGCTCAAGAACAATGACTGGTTTGACAGAGGCACAGGCTTCTGCAAGGGCGTTGTCGCCAATGTACGTGCTTGCAATGGCATATGCCTCACCTAGGCCGCTCCGCTAACTCGTGCGACCACAGCAGGAAGAGGCGAGAATCGTAGTCCTATCAGAAGACGACCAGTCGCGACAGCTCCTGGAGACGCGCATCTCCAAAGATGACGGTTACCAGAAACAACAGGGTATGCGCGCGCGTCGTCGCACTCGCCCTCGGTCAAGAGATGACAATAACTAATCGTATACAGACACGCTCATTGTGTGGACAGAGCAAAATGGCACCGACATGGCTCTCAGCTTCCAGGAGCCAGAGGGCTGCGCAAGCATATGGTGAGCTTCGATGCGCCCAGGACACCAGGGCCATGTGCTGATGCCGGACAGGGACTTTGTGAATGAAGTGCAGTCGCGCCTCCAAGCGTTAGCTCAGGGTACGTCCTCTCAAACTGCGCGCATAGCTTCGAGTAAGCTAATGCTGACATAGACGATGGTCTCTCAGACGACATCGACCACATCAGCCCCATACTCCTCCCCGCTCCCGACCTCAGCAATCTCCATGAGATTGAGAATCACATGCGCGCCGCAAATTCCACACCAGGCGGTCGGGAAGCTTTGGCCAAGTTCATCCTCGCCCAGGACTACATACCAAAGCTGATACCGCTGGTGGACATGGCTGAAGACCTTGAAAGTTTGTCTGACCTGCATCGGCTGTGCAGCATCATGAAAATGCTTATCCTCCTCAATGACACCGCCATCATTGAATATGTAGTGACAGATGCCGTGGTTCTGGGTGTGGTTGGGGCTTTGGAATGTGTGCTACCCCACGCGACCTGCCACATGGCTTTGCTGACATTTTACAGACGACCCTGACTTTCCCCTACATAAGGCGAACCACCGACAGTACCTCGATGACGAATCAAAGTTCAAGGAAGTCGTCAGAATCGAAGACGAAAACATAAAACGCAAGATCCACTACACGTACCGGCTGCAGTACCTCAAAGACGTTGTACTTGCACGCATTCTCGATGACCCCACATTCAGCGTCCTCAACTCACTCATATTCTTCCATCAGGTCGATATTGTCCAGCATCTGCAAGCGAATGTACCCTTCTTGAAGGAGCTGTTTGGTATATTTTCGCCAAAAGAGCAAAACCTGGCGCGAAAAAGAGACGCCGTGCTGTTCATCCAGCAATGTTGCGCAATAGCCAAGAGCTTGCAGGCAAACGTCAGAGCCCAACTATACCAAAACTTCATTAGCAGCGGTCTGCTAGAAGTAATACAGTTTGCGCTCAAGCACCAGGACGCATCGGTTCGTGTGGCAGGAACGGATATACTTGTGTCTCTAATCGACCATGACGCTCTCATGGTGCGAAGCTACATCTTCAAGGCCATACAGGAAAAGACAAAGCCGCTCACCGACACCCTGATTGAGTTGCTGCTCATCGAGGTGGACCTGGGTGTCAAGGCGCAAATGGCCGATGCGATCAAGATCTTACTTGACCCCAATGCCAACTCAGCATCCATCGAAGCGCTCGGAAGGACCAACAGCGACTTCCTCGCTAAGATGAGAGGCCAATTACCATCCATACCGCAGACAGACTCTTTCATCCAGAACTTCTACGACGAGTCCGCGCGGAAGTTATTCCAACCTTTGAAGGACCTCGAAGGCAGGGAATCAAGTGAGCATCATTCTCTACCACGCCCTATCACGACTAACATGATTCAGTGGACGATTTGACAATGCAACAAGTGTCATTGTACGCCCATCTAGTCGAGGTTCTCTGCTTCTTCATCCGCCAGCATTCCTTCCGCAGCAAATATTTCATCTTGTCCGAAGGCCTGGCGGTTCGCGTTGCCCAACTCATGGGCTGCCCAGAGAAGCACCTAAAGCTCAGTAGGTCTCCTGCATGTTCTTTCTCCATATCCATACATTTGCTAACAGATACCAGCCGCGCTCAAGTACTTCCGTACTGTACTCGGATTCCACGACGAAACGCACAATCGTCAGATAATTGCCCATGAGCTCTTCGAGCCGATACTGAAGATCCTCTTCGACACCATGCCCCGCGATAATCTCTTGAATTCTGCATGTCTCGAGCTGTTCGAATTTATTCGACGAGAAAACATCAAGATGATCGTCCAACATCTCGTAGAGACGTACAGGGAGAAGTTGCAGGCGATTACTTATGTGGATACATTCCAGAACCTCATACTCAAATATGTCCAGAACCATGAACCGATAACAACCCAAGAGCTCGACAACTCGTTTACAAGCGTAGACAGCGACACCCCCGCACGACATGCTGCGGCCATGAATGGCGGAAAGTGGGGTCATGGTCTTAAAGAGGTGGACCCAGATGAAGAGGCATACTTCAATACCTCAGATGATGAGGATGAACCAATTCCCGGGAGTGGAAAACTGAGCATAAACGGGGCGTCGCCAGTGCGACCTCTTGTCAACTACCCGGATGACGATGCCGACGATGCCGATATGGATGACCTCACAGCTGACGTTACCGCCTCTGCCCCCAAGATATCGTCCGCAACGCAGACTCCCGACGCAGCTACACCCCCACATCCGACTTCGACAGCATCACCACCCGAGCGTGTATCAGAGAAACGTCGCAGAGAAGAGGACGAAGAAGATGAGTTACTTGCAAGCATCTCCACCTCCGCTGGTCCTAAACGACGCGCCTCGACATCAAGCAACGCAAGCTCTGGAAGTTTACGTAACTTGCGCCGGAAATCGCCCAGTGTCAACTCCGGCAAAGATGGCGGAGGTACTCCAAAAAAGATATCACTATCTATCCCATTAAAGAGCAGTGGCGAGGGGGGCGAAGGCGAATAGTATCGTCTATCCCTTTTGCAACCGATAACTCATCGAGCATGTGGAGGAGCTTCGCATTTGAGCTGCGCTGCACGCTTTAAACTATCCGAAAGATACCCATTGAAATTTCGGAAGACCTGTGACGTTGTATGGAAATGGGTTATGGGATTGTTGCTTCTTTCATGCAAATGGTTTCGATCGGGTAGCAGCATTGCGATGGTGTAATTATTAGGCGTTTAGTATCTTCACAAACTTTGGGCGAGCGGATCGGGTTTGGATCGGGAATGACGGGACGATGCAGCGCCATGTGCCGGATTGTCAGCGTGTATTTGGGTGTTGGATTTTTCTGTGCATGATCATGGTCATCTGACAGTGTATTATACCTCAGCAGTCTTCATACGGGAATCAAAACTCGTATGTGGATTTGAGTTTCTGTTGTGTGTGACGTGAGTTCACGACAGATGGAGACGTCTGATATCCAGATGGTTCCGTTGGAAAGCACAATGGTATATACCTAGTCGCGTAAGGCTGAGTCACGTTCTTTCGCGTCCGCTAGCGCGTCGACACCCCGCGGTCAGTTTGCGTAATCCAAATCTAACTAGCATTACGTTCCTCCAACTTTCACCTACCTCGGTTTTACGTTTATAACATACCACGTAGTACCGTCATATATCCTAGAAACGCCACGACATGTCTGATGAGCAATCCTCTTCCAAGCCAGGCTCTTTAGAATCAAAAGAAACCCCAACCACCAACGATCAAAACATATCCACCATGCCACCCAAGCCCCCAACACTCACCCTCATCCTCGCCGCCACACCAAACCTCGGCATTGGAAACGCCGGAGGTCTACCCTGGCCCCAGCTCAAAAAGGAAATGGGTTTCTTCGCTCGCGTAACAAAACGCACATCACCATCAAGTAACAACGACATAAAGAAGATCAACGCCGTGCTCATGGGCCGCAAAACCTGGGAAAGCATACCGCCCAAATTCCGCCCTCTAAAAGACCGCTTGAACATCGTCATCACATCGCAGCCCGAGGAATTCGCAAAGAAATTAGACAAGAAGGACGACACAGAAGATGTTATCGAAGGACCCATGGTGTGCTCTGGCATCCTAGACGCACTATCGCAACTTGAGCATTTCCAAGATAAGAAGACTTCATCAACATCATCATCTCCAACCCTCAAACTCGACAAAATCTTCGTCATTGGCGGCGCAAGCATATACAAGACGGCGCTTGAACTCCCCCAGACGAAGCGTGTGTTGCTTACCAAGATCAACAAGGAGTTTGAGTGCGACACGTTTTTCCCTGTTAATCTGGAGGAGACTACGTTTTGGGAGGGGAGGAGTAGGGAGGAGATGGGGGAGTTTACGGGGGAGGAGTTGGTGGAGGGGGGGTTGGAGGAACAGGGGGTGGGTTTTGAGTTTTGTATGTATGAGAGGGAGTAGGTGGGGGTTAGTTATGACAGGGATGTTTGAGGAAGATAGTTTGGTACTGCATCGGGCTTATGCTGTGAACGCCTCTATTGTATGCTAGCTAACTAGCTGATGATATGCTAGTACAGACTTTACCACTCAGGTTTGGAATATCTGGTGGCATGCCATTTCTAGAATACTGTTTTGCTAGGTTGGTATTCCAGAGGAAGTCAACTATATTCCACCCAGCGCCTCATTCATTAGAGTAGACAACATGAAGAGAAGCAGTACCTCAGTATGTTAACATGCAAACTAACTAAACAATGTAGTCATTAGATACAGCAAAACCTCTTCAATAAGGATCTACACACATACACAAACGCAAACCTACCACGGGGGCAACATGTCAGAGATCGTATCCTCCACCAGCAAATCATCACGATAACCCTCAAAAATGCGATCAAACATATCAGTGGTCCATCGAACCGTCGATCGAGCTTGATTATGTGCCTTTTTATATTCCCAATACTCAGGGTACCAGCCCGCACACTCCCAATCAACTATTCCAGCTATCCTACCTGCCCCATTCACCAATATATTCCTCATATTAAGATCTGCATGTGTAAACACGATTTCATGTTTCACACCGTGTGATTTGGAAACCAGTTTCCGCCCATCTTCATCCAAAGGAAGCTCATAGGTCAAGAACTCGTTGAATTCCACCTCATCCCGGAACCCAAGTTTTCTGCTTGCAGAGTTGCGGATGCGCCAGTCCAAGATTCCCCCTCCTATTGCATTGCAGATCTGGAACTCTGAGCCGGTTTTATTGGGAATTTGCCGCAGTTTTGCTATGTACTGCTTAAGATCGCGTGCTACCGCCTGTAATTGCTCATCAGTCATGGTAGGGAGTCTTAGCCCAATCTTCTCTCCGACAATACCAGTCATTAGGAGAAACGAAGAATCAGAGTATTGAATGACATCGACTGCTCTTGGTGCAGGATGTGGGTATACCGCTCAACCAGACGGAGTGCTTGGGCTTCTGCTTGATGCTTTGGTGCCCAATCACTACCAGATACCCGCAGATACAGATTGAAAGGAAGTCGATAGTCTCTATCAGAACCGGTGTTACCATAAAGTCTGTTCGAAATCCGGGCTAAGCGCTTGTAGGCAAGCGCTCGAAAAAACGCTGGTGTGTGAACCCAGACATATCGTAGGGCATGATATACACCTCGAAGATACCATGGATTCCAAGAGGTTTTGTTCGCCAAAGCTTCCACGGCTGGATTTGTGGGTTCTCCAGCAGCTGAATCATGTAGTATGCTGGAGTTTCGCTTTATGTACTTGAAAACTTCTAGCCATACCAAGGCATTTGCAAATCGGTCATGGACTTCCAAATGCGCAGCTTTTGGAAGCGAAGAGAGTCCAACAGCTTTAATTTCCAGCGTTATGAAACGAAAATATTCAATGTCATTGGATGGAAATAGATTCCTACTTCGCACATAATACCGGGCCTAGCTGATTAGAACAATAATGGAGTCAATAAGAGACGCCTTACCGAACTGCTTATGTCCTCAGATGGGCTGCTTTTAAAAGAAATTCTTCCTTTGCTGAACTGTTTAAAGACATGTGACGATAATAGTATCAGCTGCTCGGATAGATGTTGATCCGAAGAAAGAGAATCTCGGCTCAGGAGTGATCGCAGATTATGCAGCTGTGACTCGCCTATGAATGCGGCAAACATCTTGGCAAGTCGTTTCTAAGAGGGGGTTAGGGATGAAGGAACATAGGACAAACAGACTCACGTTGTTAACCATGTCAATATCACAGAACAACGAAGGTGGCAAGATGTAAGCAAACAACAAGCTTCCGTAATGCTGCTGTTCATCCTCGGCCTTTGAGATGCAGCATCGCCCCCCATCTCTTTGCCATATATTGCGCCTTTGTGATTCTTCCAGGTCCTTGCAAACAACGGGGCGTACTACAAACCATCGTTAGCTCTCTCCAAGTCAAGCTATTGGCAATCGTACCTTTCTCGAGGAGACATATCCAGTCGGCTAGAAACTCGGAAACTGCAATCTGATCCTTTCCAGAAACCTCATCGATAAAGAACTGTGCTGCGACTTTCTAGTAACTCTGAAGTGTCTGAGAATACGATAATAGAGAACAGTGTCATCTTCTACACGAAGTAAATCCTAGACAGCAGCCAACATGCTAGGATTGACATCACACAGCATAGAACCTTGGAGGTACCTGAGTACTCTCCCCCAGTTATGAGTGATAGTAAATTGAGGCAAGGGATCCGAATTGGGAATATGACGCAGTTCTGGTACTTGCCACTCACCATTAGGAAGGCGCCAGGCTGCTGAGAAGGAATGATCCCCTCTTTCACTTGACTATAAACTCGCCACAATCAATCACTCCACTTCACATTGTTCCCCACTTACCATGATCGCATCCGCCAGTCCCTCTCCTTCTCACCCGGCACCAAAACCATGGATGAAAACATGCCCATGCAGTTCGGATGGACTGGGCTATTGCAGGAACGTACGTAACCACCATTCTTCTACAAAGCGCAGCCAGCCGCACCTTCTAACGCGGAACATGTAGACCCCATTCTCTTCCTGGCCCTGCGAGCCTCTGCCAACAACAACAACACGCTCGTCATCCTGCTTCTCCTTTCCGTATTCTCCGCCGTATATGATGCGTCCCGTGTCTACGTTGGCGGCCATGTGCGTACGCGCCAGACACACCACTACTCCTTCATTGACGACACACACGAGAGCTCAGCACCTAGTCTCTTGTCTTCACTCGCACGCGCCAAGAAAGGACGTCCTCGCATCATTCTGTACGCCAAAGCCATCATCCACTTCGCGCTCTTCGTAGGTGTACAGTGTATCATCACATGGATCGTGATCAAGATAGCGCGGATTCTGGCATCGAATTACGTGGACGACGACGACGTACGCCAAGAGTGTGATCTTCTGCTTGAGAAGGGACTGGAGTGCTCTGCCGCGATACGGTATCACAATGCGCTCAATGTGGCAGCTGTCATCTGCCTTTTGTGCTTGATTCGCGGTTTCAAGCTACATATCGATACACCGACTCGCACCCGTCCAATCGATGATACAGATTACAGTCCTGGCTTCGTCGCTCTCAAGACCAAGTGCCGAAGTATGGCGCAGATTATCCTCGCTGTACCCATCACCATTGTGGCTCTACACTCTCGCGTGTCTAGGAGGGAGATGTGGAAGCATGTGGGGATTCTGTTTGGTCTGACTATTACTTCACTGATCATCTTTCTTGCTGGCAACTTTGTTGTCTTGCTTGCTACACTGCCGGTATGTTCGAATACTGCTTTCGATATCAATGGGCTAACAGGCTTTCCAGGACTTGCAGCATACATTGGACGCGTTGGAGGAGTCGGGACTGACGAGGCAGACTAAAGTATTGCCTCTAGCGGGGCAATAGATGATATGTGTTGCAGGGCTCCCATACAAGAATGTGTTTGTGGGGTACATAGGAATTGCTCGATGGGAAGGCTTGCATGGAGCGAATGGAAGTTTGGGGAAAATAATGTTCGATTCATTTAGATGATGTCGATACATGTACGTCGAATCTTTTGATCGTCAGTATCGTGAAAGTAAAATAGGAATGAAAGCGACATGTATACTCGTTTATCGCATGTAAAATCATACCTCCCAAGCTTATTCCTGTCATATCTGACCCATCACTGCACAAGCACACCAAGAATTCAAGCCATACTTTGAAATCGGAATTCTAACAATCGCCCTCCTCTACTCAATTATCTCCACCCTCATCCCACAGCAAAACTTCTTTTCCCTCTACTCCAAGGAACCACACCCCTATCATCACACCCGCTTATCCCATAACCAAATCCCAAACCGTCTTAACACTCCATCCCATCAGCACATAATGCGCAATCATCCACCCAGCCCCATAATACCTACCCACACCGCCCTTCTCCCCACTATTCGTATACCCAATCGCATATACCACACGATTGACGCTCCAAATGCCACCCAACACAGCCGCCGCAACGGGGTATCTCAGACCCGTAATCAGCATAGAGCCGAGGGCAGTAACGTGGTTTTCGTTGAAGTTTTGGTGCGCGCGTTGGGCAGAGTTGAAGGCGAGCATGGCGGCTTTTGAGGCGGGGGAGGCGGACGTGACTTGTTCGTACGAGGCGTATTCGTAGGGGTAGGGGATCTTTGCGGCTTTGCGGAAGGTGCCGACGCGGCCGCCGTGCCAGGCGCCGATTAGGAACGTGGAGACTGCGGCGGCGAGGACGTAGCTGGTGGGTTGTTGTTAGTTTGGGGTGTTGGGGATGGTTGGGGGTGGAAGAGAGGGTGTTCGAAGGGGGGAGGGGGAGTTGAGATGGATGGGAGGATTGCGAGGATGGGGTTGGACGTACCCGTATTGATCTGGGAGCTGGATGTTCGCCATTGTAGCTGTAGCTGTAGCTGTAGCTGTCGTAGAAGTCGTAGTAGTTGTCGTAGGTAGTATGCGCACGGCTTGTCTCTAATCGCAATTCGCAGTAATAGCTATCTCAATTGACACCTTCAGTCGACGCGCGAACCCTTATATATCTAATCAAGAGTGAAACTCTGCAATCGAAAGTCCTAGAAAGGTTTTGCTGTTCCAAGGCAGGCGCACGCGCACATCTGTCCACAGAAAGCCGGGCTTCAACTAGCTAGTTAGCTTAAGCCCGGCGAGGGCGGACGACATTTCATGCGCGGGGCTCCACCTCCCCCCGTCGGCGCATCATCGCGCCGGTGCAGAACGCCTGGTTTGCGGAATACCGCACGCCTGCTGTGCTTTACTGCCACGATAATATCGTTGCCTAGTCGGAGGCGGCGCGATATGTGATACGGTCGGTGGTTGTGCGATTGGGAATGGGGTGCGTCATGTGGGTACAAGAAGGGGGCCATGTCGGTAATGTGGTGGCATGAGGTGTGTGTGTTTTGGCGGGTGAGACGGACGAAGGATGAGGGACCGCAGGAGAAGATGGATTCTGGGAAATAATCTTGTGGAGGGAAAGGAAAGGTAAATGAGTTTAAGAAAATAATGGATGTAGGTATTTCAAGGGGCTCCCCTCTCTCTTTTCTGGTACTCGGTACCGCAAAAATGCGATCTTATTGTCCCATAAATTAAATTTTCTTTCTTTTTCCTCTTTACGCGCTCTCCGAAATGGCAACTATCATGGTTTTATAGAGTTGGAGAGGATAGCATGGATTGGCTTTTGTGGTTATTCCGTGATTCTAGGACGGGATGGCGACAAAGGATATCAGTCATCAGTATTGTGACCTCGGCAGGTTACTACGGACGAAATGGCCATCTGCTTTCTCCGTGTCACGCTCATATAGATGGTAGCGTTTGGTACGTATGGCTGGCTGATAACATATCCCGCACATCATCTTCTTCGCCACTATCTGGGCAGTAGCCATAACCCATGCAATGCTGTTGTTCCTCCTAATTCAGGGCGTGCAAATATTTCAATACTTTTTCTTCTCCTTCTTTGTTGGTCCATTTGTATTTCGCAAAACCGCCGTTCTGCCGTTTTTCGCGCTTCAACGACAAATCTCCCCTCCTCGTACTCCGCGTAAGTTAACCCCCTCAGGGAAAAGGTCTCCGCCGGAGACAACCGAGAGCTTTCTCTCTGCGGCATATCTGTTCTTTCGAGCCACAGCCCTCGCCATCCTTGCCTTACTCATCATAGCCAAATTCTCATCCAGCTCCGCCATTCGTTGCTCGTTTTGCCTTCGAGTTTGATAGTACGTAAGCCAGTATCGTTTTGCGCCCAGTATATTCTGATCAAGTTCCGAGGCTGACATGAGGTCCAGGCGCCGCATGTATACCGGTAGATAAAATCTGTATAAGAAATAAAGTGCTTCACATGCGGCAGTGATGTTTTTCAAAGAATCTTGGATCCCTTGACGGGTCCTGTTCGACCAGATGCCAGAGTAAGTCTTTTGGTGGTGCTTGATAATCCGTGACATCGCTTCGGTGAACTTGTGTGCATGGACAATCAAGTTCCAGCGATGATAGAATGCGTTGAAGATTGTTTGTCTTTTGTTTGATTTGTCTCTTCTCAGTCGGATGTTGAAAACCTCAGCCTCGAGATCAATCAGGTTCAAACCGACTTCTCGCAGCAGGGGCATATATGGCGTGAGATTGGAAGTCCGGATATTGCGATCGTAGTGAACTCGGCCTAGGTAATAATGCAGTTCAAGGTTCGCGGCGTAAGCGGCAGATGCAATAGAGCTCTCAAGATTTATGATGTTGTAGCGCCCAATACCTTCTATGTATGGTGTGAACTTTGTTTTTTGTATTAAGTCTAGGATTTTCATATCGTTGCGCAATGCCTGTGCCAGAAAGCGTATAGGCCAGCTCATGTCATAAAGCTGCTGGTGCTTATGCTCGTACATCTTTAATACTTCGCATAGTTGGGTCATAAAACGCCAATTTTGGACGAAAGGCTGAGACACTCTGAGAATGTTGAGTTCACTTTCAGCATCCAGTAGTGTATACAATGAAAGCTGTGACCTTGCCCCTTTCGCTGTCGAATGACTACGTTCGCAAGAGAGATACCATCTCTGTGCGTTTCCGAGAGCCTGCACAGCTTTTCTTGTGGGGTAGGCGAGCGATCCAAAGATGATCGATCCGGAGAAGCATTTGTTCTTGGAGAACGCGTGGATTGAAACTCCTCCCGGGCTGTTGATCGGTTGCAGAAAGTGTCCGGAGCATCTCCCCGTATTTTTCGTATATATGGCCGCCATATTTTGCCAGTACTTGATCTCGTCTTCTTCGCTGCATTCTCGCCTCTTAAACACTCCTGGTAATTGGATGTCGTCCTTAGGGAGCCAACCAAGGCGTTGCGCTGTTCAATGGGCGGAGAATCTTGTGAATTGACCATACATTGTCCAAATACTGGATTCGTATGAAGATGGCGATAGGAAGAGCTCTCGGTAGCCCACGAAACAGGCATCTGGCGCCGAAAACGAATGAGTGCCCCACTTTCGCAGCGCGGGCCATAACCATGGCCAGGTAGTCTACTCAGCCGCCAGCGATTACATGGCACTCTCATGATGCGGAAATCATTTCAAAGATGATGCACAAAAGGTGTTAGTGCGTCGTGTTTGGAGCGAGGAGTGTTTGGACATATTGGAAATTTCGGTTCTGAGGCACAGCGTCCCTGTTGGCCCGTGCGTTTACGTGACATTTACACAACGTTCGTGTTCTGCATCTATCATTACGACTGTGATTCTAGGTAGACATCGTTCTGCGCTGAAAATACACATACAAGCAAGGAATAATCATAATTTGACATGTTTATAGAACGTTCACCGGAATTTACTTTCGCTATTGCTTGAGTACATCGTCTTCGGCAAAACAAGACAACGAATTGTTACCGCCTGGTGGCTAGTTAATGAAATTCCAAGGCTTAGTGCTAGCGATGAGAGAAGAATACATTGAATAATACCCAAAAACCACATGCATGCACACTTCCAAGCTTTTTCAGCACTCCCTTCCATCTTCCACACGCGCAGACAGCAAACAACCCGCACCTCCACAACCACACATCAAAGAAAACAACAAAGGTGCCATCACACCTCAGGCATAGTACCGCGGTATAAGCACCAAGCCATACGAACCAGCAACAGCGACAGCGGCAGATGCTCTTAGCAGGACACTACGACCTACCGGCCCTGTCCGCGAGCATTCGCTACCAAAATCACGATATCTTTACCAACTTGACTTCAAGCCCCGAACCACAAAGATACAATGCCAAGATGGAGCGTGAAAAGTTCGTCAATTCGTAAGTTGCGTGTATCAATCTGGTTGTTTGAGAAAAAAAGCAGCAAGTAGGACAGAAAACATGTTTTTCATCAAATCATCAAATCATGAATCCATCCCTCCCCCCTTCCCAATCAACAAACCAACATTGATTCCATCAACCCGCTCCATCAACGTATTTTTTTCTTATCACTCCCAGCGATTTCTGCATCGAGAATATGTTGGTAGTCTCAACAACCGTTTGCTGTGACGGCTCTCACGGCCACACCCTCCACTCTAGTCTTGTAGACGGTCATTTGGTGCTTTAGCAAATCTCCATATACCACTTTCCGTAACATTTCCTCGTCCACAGTCACAGCCTCGATGTCGTCTTCCTTGCGACTTCCGACGCGCTGGCGCAAGACGACGAGTCGGCCCGCGGGCGACAAGGTACATGGCGGTATGGGCCAGGCTGGAAGTGACGAGCTAGTCGAACTGGTATTATTTGTCTGCAGAGATGTCCTTGAAGGTCTAGTAAGACGGGGCGTGAGATTGAATTTTGTTTTACATTTCGGCGGGACCGGCGGTGGTTGCGAGAGGTTAACGCTGGACGCCGAGGGTGCGGGTGTCGCGTAGAGTTTGAGTAAGCTACGTAGGAAGCTCTTATCCGCTCGCGGGATCGGATCACCCTCGTTGATGAAGGCGTAAAAGAGACTCTTGCGGTGTCGCTTATCTTCTGGTTTCTTCAAAGGGCGCAGGCTGACGGGCGGTGCGCCAAACGTGATGCAGTGCACGCGCTTGAAGAAGCCAGTAAGATGGTTGAGTTCAGACTCAATCTTGGTGCTCATCATATGCGCGTATAGCAATGCTGCCACGGCTCCGCCTGCGGAGTGGCCTGTAATGAGCAAGCTGCAATTCGCGCGCGAAGGATTCTCCTGGAGTAAGACTTTGAGCCGTTCTGCAACAGGCTTAACCATCTTCTTCGCTACATAAAGAAAGCCCGCGTGGCACAAGTTCGATGGGTCGTCGAGAAACTTGCTCGGGCTATCAGGTGCTGAGTTGTAGTTCACGGCCCAGTCCATGAACGTCTGACTCCCGCGGATGGCAAAGACAATCGTGTTCAGCTCCTCTATCGGGATAGATTTGATGACCATGGCTTTGGTACCGCTACGCCAGTCCGCAGGAATATGCGTTTCCATCTCGCTGTTCTTCTTGGCGCCTGGACGGGTGTACGCCTTTTCAGAGTACGTTGCTGCCAAACACACTAGGGGATAGGTCGGTAGATAGACCTTGAAAGGCGGCAGATGAGGTGGTAGTCGCGAGTTGGCATAGAGCCATACTTTGGAAAAGTGGTTCGATCCTTTGCCACTGCCTGACTCCGGATACACCTTGTTCGGAGCCTGAGGCCTGATCTCACCCAGTGGCGGACTCGCTCCTTGAGCCTCCTGCAGCAGCTCGACGTTCTCCACCATAAGATCCTGCTCTTTACCGCTGAATTTCTCATCATCGATACTAGTAATCACAGAGTCGAATTTGGAGGTGATGACATCGTATAACGCAGCTCCACGACAAAGGGTCTTCATGCTCTTCGTCGCGACTGCGGCGGTGGGCCGCTCAATATAGTTCGCAGTCAAGTTTGTCACACTCTTTCCAGCCATATCCCGAAGGTTCGCGTAGGACTTTGCGGCCATGCGGTCAAAATTATCCCATTGCTCCTGAAATGGCCGTTCATCCCGTACTTTCTGAGGTGGTGATGAACCGAACCGCAGTGTCGACTGACTCGCAAATGGCAATACAGGTTGCTGCGTGGAAGACTCATATGCCTGCATACGTTGGGCAAAAGATTGAGGCGATTGGGCATATACCGGTCGCTGCGGCGGGCTTGTGGAGTAGCCATGCGAAACTGGCGGTGGCCGGGTTGCCTTCTGAAAATAAGACTGCTGGGGCGTCTCATGCTGAGCAGGACTCGCCTGAACTGGAGACGCATAATCCTGCAGGTATTGTTCGGGTACTGAAGATGACACATGGGGCTTCCTCGACGAAGACCGCTTCCTGCTGGTCTTCGATGACTGCTTCTTCCTGCTCTTACGCTCGGTTGTGGTCGCAGGCGCCATGGTGTTTCAAAAGAATGACTGAGTACAAGATTGGTAGGGTGTTTTGCTGGCGTGTGAGCTCTGATAGCCTTTCAGGCTGGTGGTAGTCGTCGATTTCCTGTTCGCGACGTATGCCAAGGTCCAGTCATAGCCGCTGTCTGCCCTGCGTTATGCGATTGAGGACTGCATGGGGGGCACGTGTCCTTGCTCTTTGTTTTTAAGGAGTGTTGTTAGAGTGTGTTAACGAGAGAAAGGACCTAAAGACCCTGAAACGAACAAGGCTCAGGTCGAAGGCTGAAGAACAAAAGAGACTCGAGGTTGGGATGGCAAAGGCCGGCTTTCGGGTGGGTCACTGCCGTACAGGGAAGCCGCGGCTTAGCTACCACGCCTAGGCGGTTCATTGGTTACATTCACAGCGCTAAGTGGGCGCAGACCGTGGCGGTATAGTGCTGCTGGACTAATCAACTCCCCGCTATTCAAATCCTCTGTTCCAAAAGCCGATCGAAACATATCGCGAGGATGGTATATGATGGAAGGTATTAGACGCCGGGCATCTATACGTGCCTTTGGCAGTCTTGTTTCTGTTGTTGTTACAACTCTCCCGCGCCGACGAACGGCCGACTTGGCGATGTAGCGGTCAGAAACCATCCTTGCTGCGTATCGGAAGTACTGATTGCCGTGTCATGGCAATATCATCATCAGTGTCGAGTCTGGATCTGGATGTATTTGCTTTTTTCTGAAAAGATGGTATGCGAAACGAAACGTAGCGCCGGAACTCCACATGCAACTATCTACCCTGTGTACCCAGGGACACGTCTAGCTCTTCGTCTGGTGTGCTAAGTAGCCCTGCTTCTTCACTATCTTCGTCGTCATCGCCATCCGCCCTGAGTCTGCCTCTACGGCTATCTTCGCCTGCACTACCGTCTTCATTGTCTTCTTCCATGCCGTTCAGGACATACCAAACATCTTTCTTCGTGAGAAGCCCCTTGAGCATGCCCCTATCTGTAAAAAGGACATAGCGCAGGCCGAGCTTCTGAAACATGGAAACTGTCAATGGAAAGCTGGCTCTGGCATTGAGTGTAATAGGTGTTTGATCCATCCATGGACGTAGATCCAGAGATGTTGTAGGGTCCGAGAGGGGCTGATGTGCAAAGTATGCTTCCGTTTCGGCGGCCAAATCTCGCGGAGGCGTCACAGCCGTCTGCAATGCATACTGCAACTCCGTTCTAGAGATGTAGCCGAGCAGGAGAGCGTCGCGACTGTTGTCAATGACAGGGAAGCCACGAAATCGATATTGTGACAGCATTTGGCGCAATGATCCAATAGTGTGACCTGTTGCCGTGATAGCGGTCAAGTCTTCGATGCGCGTCATGACATGGCTTGCGCTGACGTCTGGAATGGCGCTACCATCTTCGTCACGATTGTCGAGAAAAGGGTAACCCTTGAATTGGATCCAGGACTCGTAGATACCGCGCGGAGCGATAGCGTCGCCGATCCATTTGCTGATCATAACAGCGATCATGATCGGCAGTACGTATGTAAGTGCGCCTGTGAGTTCAAACATGATGACCACAATCGACACAGTCATACGTGTCGTTCCTGCAAGCGCTGCTGCAGCACCAACAATAGCGTAGGTACCTGGTGTCACGCAGGGTACATCAGGCTCGCAGGACTTGAAGACGAACAGGGTTGGCCAAGCTCCCTGAATGACCTGCACGCTCAGTCCAACTGCGCGACCAAAGAGACCTCCGATGGCCATGGAAGGTAGAATGATACCGGCAGGAATCTGGAGACCGAACGTAAAGCTCGCCAATATGACTCCCAAGGCCGCCGAGATAAGCAGGAGGGCAATGACTCCCGTGTTTGCTTTGCCAGACTTGCATAGTCCGAGCGTATCCTCTGTAAGATCTGCGCACTCGGCAAACAGGATGTGCACCAGTTCGGAAGCTTGGGCGCGCATAAATTTGATGGGGAAGTTGATGAGTGCCGTGATGAAGGACACGATGACGACCTCAGTCACTTCTCCCTTGAGATATTGCCGGTTTTTGCGCCACTCGGCAACCCCCATGTTGAGCTTGATGAAGAGACCGCCAAACAGCCCACCCAAGATGCCAGTAAATGCAAAAGGTATCAGTTCGAAGTCGTGCCATCCACTGTGGTATGTGACTTGGTACAAGACAAGTTTGCCGGTGCGAAAAGGGTTACAGGCTTGCAAGGTGACCGCAGCGACCATGGCGCACACAAAGCTGCTCCACATGGTTTTGTCTGGAAAGTAGTATGACAGCTGTTCAAGACTGAACAGTACACCGCCAATAGGGGCGCCGAATGCGACTGAGATACCGGCTGCAGCTGCTGCGGAGAAGACCTCTCGTTTTCGGGCTGTAATCCTGTTAATGCATGCCATCAGATGAAAGGGATTTGCTACCAACCTTCATTGCCATTGACGTTGCTGAACAGTTTCATGAATAGATTCGCTGAGCAACATGCTACATGTACCAATGGGCCTTCTTTGCCCAGCCAGAGACCCGATGCGACCGCGAGGCACTACCCAGGTTAGTAACGAAGCATAAGACTTCCGGTGATGGGTCACCTACCAGTCCAATCGTCTTTGTGACCAATGTCCATCCACCTAGGAAATGACGTATAACGAACCCTCCCAAGACCGTCTTGATCTCAGGTATACCACTGTGCTTCGCATATGGAGAGAACTCACGGACCAAGAAACTAGCGCATGCCGCAAAGAGCACCTATCCACCGTCAGTCCTTTGTCGCACATATCATGCAGTGAGACGTACCGAAAATAGCACAAAGAAGATGTACTCTACGACATATCTCCCACCCACACTACGGATTCCCATTGCATGACCCCACGAGTTCCAATCGTGGCATGCGTGCTCCGCCTCGTGTCCCCAACAGCAAAAGCTCTTGTTTAGGTAGAACTGGCCATCGCCGTCGACGTTATGACAGTATCCAGTCTTGAGATCTGCCAGCCAATCGCTTGCGACATCTATGAAGGCTGCGATTGCTCCACTCAGGATGCCCGCAGCGACCAAGATGATCCAGACTTGACTTGCATCTGCCAGTTGTTTTATATGCCCCAACACGCCACTTGTGCCGGTGTAAAGATACCGTAGACGTTGACGTTCTTTGGCGTATTCAAAGATCCAGTCGATGGCCGTAAGATCGTCGTATCCTACTCGGCGCCCTGGCCCCTCAATGTACCAATCCTGCCCGTTGGCATCTTTGGTGTCTTGGAGGTGTTCGCCTGCATTACCAGGAGTATCGAGGTAATTCAAGATAAGCTCGGTGGAGCCGTTTGTGGGATGCGATCGTGGAATCGGCGACGCGCGGCTACTTGAGGGGGCCGATGGGAGGTATCGCGAAAAGGCGAAGGATGAAGTGGGCGCCTTGGATTTGCGCTTGAAAGATAACCTGAGCCAACAATTCAGTACATAGAGCCTAACATTGGTTTGGTATGCGCATACTGTTCCGGCAAGTCGGGGTCTAGTGGGTCGTCGGCCAACAGTGCCTCTTCATCGCTGCGGTCGTCTTCAACGGCTGGTTGCTTTCCATTCAAATTTCGGGTTGTCGAAGTGTTGTTACGCCCACGCTGGGACGAGCTGTGTGAAGAGCTGGACATGCCCTCGACATGTATTCTGGTCAAAACTGAAGCGCATTGCTCAAGCCATCAACCCGTAGAGCGATGCAGTGTTCGTATACGTATTATCGCGTTGCATGGGGCGACATAGGGCTGGTGTTGGGTGAGACAAACGCGACAAACAGGCCCTGCCCTGTGCGTTCCAGGGACCTTTCCAATGTCACATGCGAAGAGCCGCCGTCATACCCCCAACAATACAACATGACTTGTTTGTAACTACAACTAATTCTCATTGATAACGATTTTACATTGCTATCTCATCTACTCCTGGTTGAAATCGACTACAGCCCTACCAGCAATCTCCCCACGCTTCAGCTTCTGCACCGCTTCATTAAACTGGCTCATAGGGTAGACCGTGTAGATTGGTCGGAGAAGTCCGCGGCGCGCGAAATCAAGCGTCTTATCCACATCTGCCATGCTGCTCACAAGCGTGCCGTGTACGCTCTGCTTGAAGAAGCACATTTGGTTAGGGTCAACATCGATATGCTGAGTACCGGCCGGCGGCAGCCCGACGCACATGACCTTTCCACCAACTCGTTTGCCCAGATATGATATCGAAGACGGGTACGACTGCACAGCAGTGACAAAGACACCATGCGCGCCAATCCCACCACACGTCCGTATTACTTCCTCGGCCACATTCTCGACTTTCTTAAAGTCGATGAAGTGCTCCGCGCGTCCTACTTCCATGCACAGCTTTTCCTTCTCAGCCCCAGTATCAATGGCTACAGGGCGGAGACCCATGGCCGAGGCCAATTGGACTCCTTGAAGTCCAACACCACCTCCAGCACCAGGAAAAACGGCCCAGTCACCGGGTCGTAGTCCGGATTCTTTGAGTGAAGTGTATATCGTAGCAGCAGAGCACATGATGGGTCCTGCAACAAAGTCGCTCACGCCGTCTGGAATCAAGGTCGTGTATCGCTCGGGCGAGAGGACGTATTGCTTGTACGAGCCGTCAACCATGAGTCCGGTAATGACGGCTTTTTGGCAGTAACATTCATTACCGTCGCGACAACTCTCACAAGCCCCACAAGTATCCTGCACAGGCTAATGAATGTTAGCATCAAAATTTCTGTTGTCTTTCCCAATGCGAAAGCCATTCTTACCTTATATCCAGCCCGCATACCAGGCTTCAGAGTCTTGACATGCTCTCCGACTTTGACAATGACGCCTGCGCCTTCGTGTCCAGCGCATCTTGTGCCAAGATCTGACATCTTCGGCATCGCCCAGTCGTTGAGCATAAAGTGAAGATCTGAGTGGCATATGCCAGTCGCATTAAGCTTGATAAGAACATCCGTGGGTCCTTTCAAGTCTCGTCAGAAACACTATAGCTGCACTTGAAAAGCATGGCAACTTACCACACTCGGGCACTGGGAGGTCTTGCACCTCAACATGAAAGTCTGGGCCTTCGTTCACAACAACACCCCCTTTACATGTCTTGGGGATGTCGAAGGTCTGGACTTTAGTGTCTGCCATTTTGGTAGAGTAGGTGTATAGTTCAAAGAAGGCGAGGGAACCGGCAATGACTACAGTTCAAGAATACGAGAAAAGGATCAATTCATAAACGCGAGGAGTGGGCAGCTAATGATCCACCCTATCCACATCTACCCCTCTTTCTGAAGGATGGCTTAGTTACTAGGTAAGCCTTGCCGCCTACGAGACGGACCTTGGTAGCTATACCACCTCGGTAGTGTACTTTGAGTCGACATTGGCATTTGGAGAGGATGTGGAGGCCCGCCACGATTTGTGTATCGATATGTACGCATATATCTACCGTTTACTGTAGACAAGTAACGGATGTTGGAGCAACGCCTGTATACCTATCAAGGCTAGCCTTCCGGTCCTTTTCCCATCCCTGAGGGGAATCCTAGACGCCATGCGGGGAACTGCGAGTGGGGCATTTCGGGACAGAACTCTTAAAGGTCAACAAAGCCCGGCCAGCTTCCAGAGTATTCCATCGCAGGCAAGTATTATGTATTGCAGCTTTGCAAGTACGGTCCGCGATGGCCGCGTCGCCTGGCATACGGCTCATCAATATGCGACATCTTCATGCTTCAAGCAGTTTTTCTTCCTAGCGTACCGCCTAGGACCGGAGATATCCTGACCAGACTGAAACAGGCAGTATCTTCTCAGGCGTCTAAGGTTTGTACCTAGGCATGCCACCGTGGCGATGACGAGACATGGCATGTTCTAACGCCACTGCTGAGGTGTCGTAGTCGATTGCTGCACGCTTATTCAAAGTCGGTGTCTGGGCATGTCCATCGCTTGAAGCCGCGGGTTTCCGCCATGTGTTGGTGGTTGCCTCGGTGTTAATTCTACATCACGTGATGTCGCGTTGGCGAATCAGAAGCTTGGTGTTACTCAGGTCGATGATGCGGGTCCGAGGGCGGGGTCTTTAGAGGCCCACCTGCTACAATGCCCGTGAGTGCAATTGCGCATGGCGGCGACACATGTAGTGGAATTTGGAAGCACAAAACGGTAGAGTGTGAAGAGGCGCTTACGTGAGACGTGAGAGTCTTGCCATTGTAATAGATGTCTACTCCAGTACTTGGGCGGATAGCTATGGTGGGGTCAAAGGTGCGGTGATGCTAGGCAGGATGGAGCTAAGAGATGCGGAGCCACCGTCGCACCGCCGTCGCCGTCGATTGCGGGAGGGGCAAGCCAGTACGGTGCCAGTGCTGGCCAGAAGTAGCTTGCTTATGAATGCCCCGCCGCTTATATATCCTGAGAAGCTCCTTGGTTTCCCACTGCCTCCACTGCAGTTTGTTTTTACAAGCAACCTCGCACACATTACACAACTCCATCATTCATCATGTCCCAAGGCGAGTGCCCAGTGAAGAAGGTACCCAACGTCGCCGGCAGTGGTACCAGGAACACCGACTGGTGGCCCAATGAGCTCAGGACAAACATTCTCCGCCAGCACGACCCCAGACAGAACCCTCTCGGCCCCGACTTCAACTATGTCGAAGAGTTCAAGAAGCTCGACTACGATGCCTTGAAGAAGGACCTCAATGCCTTGATGACCGACTCGCAGGACTGGTGGCCTGCTGACTTTGGTCATTACGGTGGTCTCTTGTATGTCCCATACTTGGTTAGCATTGGCCATGTACCGTATCTAACTCGCGCCCAGCATCCGAATGGCATGGCACTCTGCTGGAACCTACCGTGTTACCGACGGTCGTGGTGGTGGCGGTGATGGACAGCAGCGCTTTGCTCCCCTCAACGCCTGGCCCGACAACGTCTCCCTCGACAAGGCTCGCCGCCTCCTCTGGCCCATCAAGCAAAAGTACGGCAACAAGATCTCATGGGCCGACCTTATGCTCCTCACCGGCAATGTCGCCCTTGAATCCATGGGCTGTCCGACTTTCGGTTTCGCCGGTGGCCGTGCCGACACCTTCCAGTCCGACGAGTCGGTCTACTGGGGTGGTGAGACTGAGTGGTTGGGCAGCGATGTCCGCTACGCTGATGGTGCAAAGGGTGTCAAGGGCGAGGGCATCATGGACGGCGACCAGCACAAGACTGACAAGAGCGAACCCCACACATCGAGGAACCTCGAACAGCCATTAGCTGCCGCACACATGGGTCTCATCTACGTGAACCCCGAAGGTCAGTACTTCTGAGCATTCAAGTCAACCAACCGTTACTAACCCACGCTTCCAGGTCCCGAAGGTATACCCGACCCAGTTGCCGCCGCTCACGACATCAGAACAACCTTTGGCCGCATGGCTATGAACGACGCGGAAACCGCTGCCCTCATCATCGGTGGCCACTCTTTCGGAAAGACCCACGGTGCTGCTCCCTCTGAGAACACCGGCCCAGACCCCAACTCCGAGGACCTCGCAACACAAGGATTTGGCTGGATGAACAAGCACGGTCGTGGCAACGGCCCAGACACCATCACCAGTGGACTTGAGGTCACCTGGACCGGCACACCCACCAAGTGGAGCAACAAGTACCTCGAGTACCTCTACAAGTTTGAGTGGGAGCTGGAGAAGAGCCCTGCTGGTGCCAACCAATGGGTTGCCAAGACCGACGAGCACATTATCCCTGATGCGTACGACCAGAACAAGAAGCACAAGCCAAGAATGTTGACCACTGATCTGGCTATGCGTATGGACCCTGCCTACGAGAAGATCACTCGTCGCTGGTTGGAGCACCCCCAGGAGCTCCACGACACTTTTGTTCGTGCATGGTTCAAGCTTCTCCACCGTGATATGGGTCCTCGCTCCAGGTGGCTCGGTCCCGAGGTTCCCAAGGAGGTCCTTATCTGGGAAGACCCCGTTCCTCAGCCAGAAGGCGAGCTCATCGGCGAGTCCGATATTGCGACGCTGAAGAAGCAGGTTCTCGACGCTGGCGTTGAGCCCGCCAAGCTTATCCGCACTGCTTGGGCTTCGGCAGCTTCGTTCCGTGGTAGCGACAAGCGTGGAGGTGCTAACGGCGCCCGCATCCGCCTCGCTCCTCAAAAGGACTGGGAGGTCAACAACCCCAAGGAGCTCGCTGAGGTCCTCAAGGCTCTTGAGGGTGTTCAGTCCAAGTTCAACAGCGGCAGCAAGAAGGTTTCCCTCGCCGACTTGATTGTACTTGCCGGTACCGCTGCTGTTGAAAAGGCCGCCGGTGTACAAGTTCCCTTCACACCTGGCCGCACCGACGCCACACAGGAGCAGACTGATGCCAAGTCTTTCGAGCACCTTGAGCCTGTAACCGACGGTTTCCGCAACTACGGCAAGGGAACCGACCGTGTCCGTACTGAGCAGCTTGACGTTGACAAGGCCCACCTTCTCCGCCTCACAGCACCCGAGATGGTTGTCCTCACTGGTGGTATGCGTGCGCTGAACGCCAACTGGGACGGCTCATCTCACGGCGTCTTCACCAAGCGCCCCGGTCAACTCACCAACGACTTCTTCGTCAACCTCCTCGATAACAACCTCGAGTGGAAGGCGGCCGACTCTAGCAAGGAGCTCTACGAGGGTTTCGACCGCAAGTCCGGCCAGAAGAAGTGGACAGCTACCCGCCACGACCTAGTATTTGGTCACCACCCTGAACTACGTGCGGTTGCCGAGACATACGCCCAGGCCGACAACACGGACAAGTTTGTCAAGGACTTTGTGGCAGGGTGGGAGAAGATTATGAACAATGACCGGTTCGACATCAAGAACAAGTCGGTGAGTGCACAATCGCGCGGGGCAAACAAGCCTCGTCTCTAGACGTAAGCTTTTTGTTTAAAAGCCCCCGATCCTTGCGTGTCTTGTCTGTCATCTTTTGCGGCGAGCGTAGCATGATGAGACGGTTGTGTACACTCTACTGACATAATTGTTTCTTTAGTAGGGAGCCTCTGCGTGACGTAGCACACGAAAAAAAAAACACAAGTGCATAGCGTAGGAGATGGCCCCATGGGAGGAGAGATACCTAGGTAGTCAAGTAGGCTGTGTAGGAATATGCAGATCAAGGGGAATAAATCACTCAAACTACAAAAAATGAAATATGTAAAATTTGGAGATTGTGCCATGTCCATGTGAGATGTGATTTTTTGCTTTGATTCTTTGAAATGATAAGTTAGCGGGCGCAAGTGTCAAAAGAATGCCAAGCCTTGACCGTATCTATCCACAACACCACATCCAACATCACCAAACACATTGCACACACACTGCACACACACTGCACACCACCAAAACAAGAGGAGAATGCCTTGTATGCTAAACTAGGTTGTCGTCCATGTCATTAATGTCCATGCAGTACTTGCCAAAGCCATTATACGCTATGCTCTCTTTCCCTAGTCCATCATAATATCATACACCATGTCAACGCCTTTGCGCCCTTTCCCCCAAAGAAATACCCATGCTAAAGTCCATACCAACACACCCCCCACTTTATGAAGTTGCACCAAGGTAGTAGTAAGTCGCAACAGCCGTGGTACCTAGGACAACTACCGAAGCACTGCACGTCTCATATCAGCATTGATTCGTCTCCACGTGTGAAACAACAAGGAAAATATGTGTGAACGTGTGTGTGCAACTAGGTAAGCTACATACTCGAAAGGAAGCGCTTCCTTGGATGAAGGGAATGGTTGTTCTTCTCACCTAGCTCGTTTCCGGTCGCCCATACAGGCAGTCAGGAAGCGACCGAGACGGCCAAACACGGCACCGAAGATGTAGACAAACAAACTGTCGTTGCGGTTCTCGGGTTGCTGGGCAAGGGCTGATGCCGAAACTGCTTTAGCGACCTTGCCTTCGGCAGTGGGCTTGGTAGGGGAAGGAGCGGGGGATGAATCGTTCGATGGTTTTGGTGATTGTGTAGCAGGCACTCTACGCTGGCGGAGCTCTGAATCGACCTCAGCAACAGGTTGAGTCTCCTTGGCGGTCGTTTTGGCCTCAACCTTGGAGATAGCATCGTGCAGGGCGTTTGATGCTCGTGAGACGTCGTTTGCACCGTCATGCTTATCGACGCTTTCTGCTTCACCAAGATCAGCAGGTTGCTCGAGCTGCTTGCCTTCCTCTATAATCGGCGTGGCATTCGGGTCGCGCGCAAAGTCCGACGGTTTTTCCATGCGTATGCGTTTCTGGCTTATGTATACTGGGGACGACAGTGCCTCGAATTCATATCTGTGCTCATCTGCATTACCATTGTCACCGTCTTCATCGCTATCATCGGCCTCCGGTACAGAAGCCAACGATGTGTACGATTTTACCGGAACAAGATCGACAGAAGAACATGCCTGAGACAGGACAGATGGTTGTGGCGATTGTGGGGGGTGGTCGTGCATCGCTTCGTCCTCGGGCAGATGGAGGCCAATGGACGCAACCCGCTCGAAGATTTGATCGCGGTTGGTTGGGAAGCGCTCCAAGGAAGGGTCGTTCAGATTCTCATCTTCAGCATCCGACTGCGGGAGTCTGTGGGGAAGCTTGCTGCTGTTCGTTCGCGATCTAAAGATATTTTGTCGTCCAGATCCATTGAAGACCTCGTTTGTTCTGTCGCTCTCATACCCAAAGCTTGGCTGACTCTCCAGGGACAAGGGAACCTCATCCTGGGAAAAGGTCGAGCCAGCATCACTGGCAACGGCTGACTCGCGTTCATGGGGGAGGAGAGGCGCATCGCCATCGTCGTCACGATCTTCATCAAACGGCATATAGTGCTCAGGTTCCTCGTCCTCAAAGTCTTCGTACTCGGTAGTTACCAGGCTTCCCTTATAATCCGAGAAACCACTTTCATGGGATAGCAGTGGATACCTGTCAAGCTCGTCCTCTCCTTCAGGATCAGTCGCATTGCCGCCGTTTTCAACAGCCTGCTCTGGAATGGGGGCGTGGTCGACCTTACCGACGAAGTCTTCGCTTGTCTCATGGGGAAGTAGTGGAGTGTCTAGTAGTTCGTTCTGGCCTCTCAAACCAGTCTCGTGACTGAGCAATGGTGCAAGATCCAGTTCGCTGGTCTCCTCTTCTTGCTCAGAAGGTGTATCCATGGCGTCTCCTGAACTGGTATGATCTGCCGATGATTGTGTGGATTCCTCGTCTATGGTATCCATTACAGGCGACAATGGTGGTTCATCGGCCTGAATGGACTCATGGCGGAATAGCGGCGCTGCTTGATCTTCATCGGTACCAGGCTCGATATGTTGGAACTCGGGTGAGATAGTGAGTTTACCCGGGGCTGGGTCCGAAGCCCTGAGATCATGAGCGACCTTTTGGGCAGTCGTGGCGTCTTCACCAAAGTCATCCCCGTGTGCAGGCTTGTCGTCCACTTTTTCGACAACAACGAGAGGAACCTCGGGCGTCTTGGAAGTCTCGGGGGCATCTGTGTGTGCAGGCTCGTCTTCCACCTTTTCGGCAACGAGAGGAACCTCGGGCGTCTTGGAAGTCTCAGAGGCATCTCCATGTGCAGACTCATTGTCCACGTCTTCGACTACGAGAGGGACATCAGGTGTCTTGGAAGTCTCAGAGGCATCTCCATGTGCGGACTCGTCTTCCACCTTTTCGACGACTACGACAGGGACATCCGGCGTCTTGTGAAAGTCCGACTCACCTTCGTGTGCAGGTTCATCATGGGTCTTTTCCACAGCGGGAGGAGCTTCGGGCGTTTTGTGAGGTTCAGAGGCATCTCCGTGTGTAGGTTGATGGTCCACGTTTTCGACTACGGGGGAGACATCTGGCATCTTGTGAGGTTCAGAGTCATCTTCGTGTGCGGGTTCATGGTCCATCTTTTCCACAACGGGAACATCAGGTGTCTTATGAGCCTCAACATTTTCTTCCTCATGTGCAGGTTTATCGTCCACTTTTTCGACAACAAGAGGGACATCAGATGTCTTGGGGGTCTCAGAGTCGACTGGCGAATCCACCTTTACTTGTTCGGCGCTAGGTTGGGCATCGGCTGCGTGCTCCGTTGGGATATGTAACTGGACCTCTTCCATGCTGTCTTTTCGGTCATGGGCAGGCTTCTCTTGTAGTTCAGACGACACTACCGGGGTCGGCTTTTCCGAGGTCGCTTCGGGCACGGTCGTGGCATCTGGTGTTGCGGTCGAAGGGGAGGCATGACTGAGTGGTTGTGCGTGGACAACGTTGTTGCGGATACCTTGGTCGTCGGTAGCTATGTAGTGTCAGTACACAAAGCGATAACGTGGCTTGAGCGGCATACCAGTCTCTTTTGACTCGTCTAGCACCCAGTGGTCTTCGCCGATGCGGATCTTGTACTGGTGGCTTCCCTTGCTCGTTTGGCTGAAATGCTTCCGAAAAACAATATCACCTTCGGGCGTCTTTTCGTCACCAACAACATCCATCTCAAGCGGGGCCCAGCCACTGAGCGAGCTCGTGACGTATACCGGGGGCTTTACGCCCGGCTGGGTGAATGTGATGGTCGCGTTGTTGACCATGGTGGTGTTTGCGGGCGAGGAGAAGAGCGGGGCTAGGAAGGTGTGGGATAAGAGGGAGTGCAAGGCCAGAGGGTCGGGGTTTGCGTGCCGGTTCAACCGCGGCAGTTGTTGGGCGAGGGTAGCGTCTGCGGGCAGGGTTAAATAGTCAGTTGGTGAAGATGGCGGTATGCTAGCTGGACGCAGAGCCCGTCCACGCTATGTACGAGGGGAAAGGTTCATGCAGGCGAGGGGCAGCAGGTTATAGGAGTAAGAGTAGTACAGCGGAGGGGTTGTGAGAGTCAGTAGAGGGGGGAAGCTTACCGGGTAGTGGGGTGATGTGAGGATTATTGGCAGTGCCAGTTGCACGCAGGTGGAGGTAGCCGCAGTATACTCATCCGAGGTGGCAGTTTCCTGATATGCGTGTCTGGCGCCGTTGTCATACTAGCGTGTCAAGTATTTCATGTCACCCAGGAGTAACTTGGGAAGTGTTGAGCCTGCCAGAGCGCTTCGAGTGCTTGGTTGCGACTTCCCTGTTTTGTTGGGCAACATGGAAGGCGCATGTGCGGAGGCTTGGATAAGCTCGAGACTACCAACTACTTTGGGTCCGGCGCCGTGGATGCGGCGGTTCCTTCAGTTCGGCGTGTCGTGCAGCCCGGACACAGCTGCCGACTTGCTCATGGCCGCCGGGGAGATGGGATGATTGGAATTGGAATTGGAATTTCGCTTCCTTTGCAGGTGACGTGAGTGCGACGTCTAGATAATCGGCCCTCACATCGGCCTTAACAGCCACCCGTAGGCCCAATCAGGTAGGCTCCGCAGCGATCCGCAGCGATCCTCCGCACTTGACCTTGCTTGTCACATGCTATGAGATGCGACCCCGTCCTTGTCAAATATAGACATGGCAGAGCCTCTCCAGCCTCGTCGATTTGCTTTGGGCTGATCTCTGAGGCTTGCTTTGGCCGAAGAAAGCAACTAACACGTGACGTTTGTTTTCCTCTGGGTTGCACCCGAAGGAGCAGCCACGTGATTCTTTTTGGCTTGCCAAGCACCCCACCTTCTCCAGGCAAAGCAATGCATGCACACCCTCTTCTCCTTGCTAACACTAACAACTGACCAAACGCCAACGTCATCAGCGCCCGTCCGCCTCGTTGCCTGAGCGTGCAAGGCCAACCTGTTTGCAACGCATACGCGCCGGTGAGTTATAGGCCGAATGTAATATTGCACAGTTGGCAGTTGCGATTGCATCTATGCGCGACGCATCAACCGTTTGCCCACTGCTCGGCCCTAGTGCGGCTCCAACCCAGGCTAGATAGCCTAGATAGCGCACCGGCTTAGACGATAAGCTCGCCTTCCCTGCCTAAACCACGAAAAATCCAGGTCCACCGCAGGCATCTTGGCTCCTCAGCACTCTGCTGTCAAACTTCGTCGAGACAGCCCATGTGCATGCTCATGCACGCGGCAGCCACACAGCCCGGGATGCCACACCCACGTTCCCCAAACACCCACACCACTTGATCTCTGTCCAGCCTCGTCGGCCTGAGGCCATGCGTTCCGATATGCCTCCGGCTTCCGACTTTGCTCCTGCGACACGTGAAAAATCCGGCATCGGGGTCAAAAGTAGGGTTTCGAGAGGTGCGATGCGACGGGCCCCGTCACACCATCCCATCCGATAGCATCACGCTCTGGCTGCCAGAGCACAGGCCGCGTGTCTCTCTCGGCCTGGTTTGACGTGCTTCCAGAAAGCATACTATGGTTTCAACCAACGCCGTGTCTATCATGCCGCCGATTGTTTTGCAACACCCACGCACCCGGTCGCACTGTCAGTGTCGTAACCCGTTCTCCTTAGGGCTGTATTAGATATGTGTAGCTCCCGTCTGGTCGACTCGCTTAGTGACTGTCGTCTGAAATCTCTCTCTTTTTTTCCCATCATCTTTTGTCGGTCGTTTGAAACCTTGTGTTGCTGTTTGATAAAACCCCATACCCTCATGTCAACTCTTCAACACTTGCACAACAACTCCTCGACTACTACATGACGGAACTTACTATCTCAGACTTCACGCCTGCTGGCACAATGGAGCACATTTTATTTCAACCAGAGAATGACCAAGGCCCAGTACTCGGCCGAGTCAGCTTAGCCATGTACACCGTCGCTGTAGCGTTTGTAGCTCTTCGGTACGTCAATCAAGTGTCTGTCAGATGTCACAACTAACGTTAACCCTCACTAGTTGCTTCACACGTGGCTATATCGTCAGAAAGTTTGGCATCGATGATCTTTTCATCGCCATCGCCGTCACTCTCGGAGCTGCCCAAACTGTAACTATTCTGCTTCAAATCGACCAGGGTACTGGTCGGCATGCATCCGAGTTGATTGTTGATCAAATGAACAACATGCTCAAAGTAGGCTTTGACGAACCATGACCAATGCACCACCATCCTAACTATTGCGCAGTACTCATGGTGCAACATGCTCATCTATTTTGTCGCAAACTGGTATGTCATCCCTTCTACTCTTGTAATACACGAGTCACTAACACAAATACTATAGGGCCGTCAAAATGAGCATCTTGGCCTTGTACTACCGCATCACATCTGGCGCACAAGGACTACCCTGGATTGTACAAACACACACGATATGGGTATTGGCCGGCTTCATCACAGCATTCAGCATTTCCATCTTCATCGTAAGTTGAAATCCCCCTTTCTAAAATTACCTTTTGTGGCAATAGCTGATCCACCATGTTTTTGCGTCTAGACTCAATTCGTCATCTGCACACCATTCGGTCGGGTCTGGGACGTGCTAGCCCAGCCCGACGGCTGTCTCAACGTTGCCCTGTTCATGATTGCATCAGGTGCAATTAACGTCATTACTGATGTCATCTTGCTCATTTTCCCGCTTCCATTGCTCCGATTGCTCAAGTTCAACAAGAGGCAGCGCAGTAAGTCTACTCGAAGATGCAAACAACCAAGTCAACAAAGACTAATATCCAACAGCTGCTCTTGCGCTCATTCTTTCTGTTGGCGTCATCCCAGTCATCTCCAGCACAATGCGCCTCTGCGAAATCCTCATGGCCGACGGACCTCGCAGAGCAGGAAGCTCATGGCAAGAACTAGACTTTAGCTGGTATGTCCTCACGCACATGCCCTCCCTGAAACCAATTTACTAACAACCATCGCAGGGGCTGGGCCTGGGTACCCGTTTGGTCTCAACTCGAAGTCGACATTGGCATCGTTGCCGCATCACTCCCTTGCCTCTCCCCTCTCTTCAAGCACGTCTTCTTCTCCAAGGACAACCGCCCATCCACCCCATCCAAAATCCCTACCCTCCCCGGCTACGACAAGAGCTGGCGCAAGGACATCGACAGCGACAGCGACGACGACAGCATAATCGAAAAAGAAGACTGGACCACCATCGCCATTGGCAAAGAAGTCGACGTAGAAAAGGGCTACGCCATCAACGTGAGCGAGCGCGAAACACGCTCCAGCACGGATTCCGACGACATGTCAACAGGAGGACGTGACGAAGAGGAGGGCGCGGGAGGGCTTCCTAGAAAAAGTGTCTACTACGACAATGGCCTCTCTGACATTGCAGAGGAAGACTGCTCCAACAGGTCCAGTTTGGGCGCTGCAAGGCAGATTGAAGTCAAGACACTTGCTGCGACAGGGCGGCCAAAGCTAGTCGAGTATAGAATAACATGACTCTTATCTTGTAACTTGCGTTTGCGATTTGTGCGATCTTTTGCGACTCTGTACATCATCATGTCATGACTAACCACATAACATTTCCCCCGACGAGAGCGATTTATCTTTTTTTTGTCCGTTTGTACCATATGTATATACATACATACCGGCACACAAGATCATACCATATACATATACCATTAATATTAATCCAGAGAAGCTTGGCTTGACGTCAAGAAAACCCACAATTATGCAATCTAATTGCCGCACAATGCCACATGCCTGTATGTTGATTGTGTAAGCGTAAAGGGGAAGCAGTAGAGTACAGTAAGCTGTAGTTTCACAAAAGTCCCGAATGTGGTAGAATAAGCGATGTGGGTTGCCAGGATTTAGGGTTATGTACTTATATATAAGAGGAGAATCCTGGTTGAATATTCCGATTACCAATCCGACTGGTCGGTTTGGTCGGTTTACTTACTTGCCATGAAGCCAAGGCAATGCATAGTTTCACCGGCACACTGGTCCCCAAGGCGGCGGTGCCGGCGGTATCGCAAGGCAGCAGCTGTGTTGTACATGTGTATGGTATGTGTGTGTTTATGTGAACCGAGTTTCAAGGCCAACTTTCCGGCTTGCACCATGTCTTCATTCACCATCGGCCGAGGGTATCAAACGCAGAGCGGAAGTGTGTCGCATATTGTGCTGAGAAGTGACAATCGCTTGCCTCTGCCTTTTCCTGCGCTTTGGGTAGCCACTCCTTTATTTTGGCCTCGCGGTTGTGGTGGCTCGGGTGCGTGGAGAGTAGTTCTGGTGGCTGACCGCCTTGTTTCTCCATGCGCGCCCAGAAGCTCGCGGCGGCTTCGGGGTTGTAGCAGCCTTGTGCCATCATCAGCAGGCCGATGTAGTCGGCTTCTGCTTCGTGTTTGCGCGACGCGGGCATTTGCAGGAAGAAGTTGAAGGCGGCGGAGCTCGTGGACATGGAGACGTCGTATGCGGCGAGGACGAGGCAGCCGAGGAGGATGAAGGGGGCGAAGGTTAATGATTCTCTTGTGTGTCTGTGTTAGCCTTTCTGATTGTGTGAGCTGACTGACTGCATAGGGTGTAACATACGCCGTATGCCTCGCAACTACGTGCGCGATCTCGTGTCCTAAGACTGCGGCAATCTCGTCTTCCGTCTTGCACATTGGTAGTATGCCCGTGAAAACGAATACCTTACCCCCGCTCGTCACGAACGCATTCTGCTCGGGAGAATCAATCACATTGACTTCCCAGTTCACATTGCGTACTCCCTCGCCCTCGGCAAACGGCAGTAGTCGCTCCAGTACGCGCCTCACCTGCTGCACCCGGTAGTCGTTCTCTGGTAGTATACGGCCCTTGTACTCTTCCTTGATCTGCGCCACTGTTGATTCCGAGAGTTTGGCCTCAAGAGAAGGCGGAATAATGTTGAAGCGGCGGCGACCAGACACAGGCACTTCTTCGAGGTTGTATAGGTAGATGCCGGCTGAGCCGGCTGTTATGATGCCCACGTCGCGATAAAAGGTTGGGCTTGCGGCCCAACGGTACAGGAGATCAGTATAGCTGCTATTGGACGCAGAGAAGCGTTTGTATTGGGGCCCACGACCGCCAATGCGATTATAGCAGCGGATTTGCGCATGGTTGCGAAGACTTGGGGTGATCGAGCGCGGGGCCAGGAAGGGTGATTGGAAGGCGGAGAATCGCGGTCGGATTCGATACATGGCGTCGCGTGGTGGGGGTTTGGATTTGAGTATATCAAACACCACCCCACTAAGTCTACAATTGTAGGGCGATCAAAGGTTCATCGCCTCACTTTCTTTGAAACGAGTCGTGGGATTGTACGTTTGTTGGTGCCTGAAGGTGTGACGTACATGTGAAGTCCGCGGGAAAGCCAAGATTTTGCAAATCACCATCGTACCACCTCAACATGACTTTATCCCTACGTCTTTGCACAATCAACTTTTTTTCCGCAAGAACCACGCCGACATGACTGGTAGGTGAGAATTGCCCTACTTGCCAAGAACTCTCGTGTCTGCTTCAAATCGACATGTTTCATTGAGTTTTCAAGTTGGGTGCGCACCAGAGGTTCAGGAGACGACGTCGTCTCAAAACTCATACGACAGTGAGGGAAAATCAAGCCGGACGCCACAACATCATACCAAGCACTTTTGCATCACGAAGCGAAAGCAAGCGTCAAAGAAGTTTCAAGCCATTTTCGATTCCGGGAAAGAATATGTAATTAGTCAAGATATCCTCGCGGCAGAAACCCCCTTCCAAATCAAGCGCCCAAAACGCTTTCTCCAATTTACATAGGCTTCTTGGCCTGTACATACTTGATGGTAACAACCTGGACGCACTTCTCCTCGTATGGGATAGGGGCCGGGAAGTTGGCCTTGGCGCAAGTAGATTCGGCAGGGGGAGCAGATCCGGTCTTGGTAGCGGTAGGAGCGCCGGAAGAGGAGGCGGCGGCAGTGGGCTTGCTGGCACCAGAGCTGGCACCAGAGCTAGCAGCGGCGGCGGAAGCCTTAGAGCCAGCAGCGGAGGTAGCAGTAGCAGACGAGCTAGCAGCAACGGATGAAGCAGCGGATGAAGCAGCAGCGGAGGAAGCAGCAGAGGAGGAAGCGGTGGAGGAAGCCATAGCCGACGAGCTGCTGGTGGGGCAGAGAGGAGCGGCTGAGTGGATCTTCCCCATTACCCAGTCGGCAGCAGAGTCGCTGTACTTCATGAAGTAGGTGGAATGAGCGGTACCATCGTTACCACCGGCGCAGACTGGGTCCTTAGCATCGCACCATGAGCGGAGAACATTGGAGTAGCGGTTGAGACGGGCGAGCTCGGTAGGGTTACGGGGGCTCTTCTGCTTGTTGGCACCGTCAAGCACGTTGTAGGGCTGGCCGGCGACGTGGAGGGCATCACCCCAGAGCATAGCAGCAGCGACTTGAAAAGTGTCAGCAGGTACAATCAAAATAGGCAATATCTTGTATATACTTACTAGCGTTACCAGGGCGAGTAGTGTTGTCAAGACCCTCGAAGACGAAATTGCAGCCACCAGGTCCTGCAAGAATATCACCCAAAATGTGAGCACCCTCGGAGTAACCGCTGATGATAATGTGGGTGCATGGGCACTTCTTGTTGTAGGCAGTGAGCTCGGCAACACCGTTGCGAACACCTTGAGCAACCTGGGCGCAGTAGTCGCCACCAAGAGGAGCATCGAACTCGACGTCAATGTAGTCGCATGTCTTGCCCTCGGCATTCAGCTTGGCGCAAACGGCATCAAGCAGAGGGGCGGTACGCCAGTCATGGTAAGGCGCGTTGTTGCCACGAGTGTTGAAGATGACAGCATCCAAGCAGTCGGCCGTGGTCTTGGGGGCCTGGGCAGCCGCGAGGGCAGAGAAAGCGCCCATGGCGAGGGTCTTGCGGACGAGAGACATGATGATTAATTAATTAGGTATGGCTTGTAATATAAACAGTTGTAAAGGAGTGTAACGTTCAGGTAGCGACCACAGGTGGTTGGCTTTGAAAAACGATTAGCAAAAAAGAGCGTAAGGGTTTGTGGAACCTGTGGGTGGCCATGGTGGGAACGAGGGAACCGTCTTTAAAAGCTGCCAGGATACGAGAGCAGGAAATTGTGCATCGTATTTGTTCCCATGGCTATCAAGATCGTCCAGGCGCCGTGGGCGCGCTTGTGCTGTGGCTAGGCTGAGAGATGTTGGCGCCATTGCCACTCTTGACTCCTGTGCCTTGCATAAGCGACCTGAACCCTTGCCCCCACTGAGTTGATATCCGAGGCTTGATTTGGGTGATGAAGCCACACGGCATGTCATAAAAAGCTTGACCGTGCCGAGTTCACCCTCTGTGCTATCGCAACCATGTCCCCGTGCGCGTGCACGGTATCAAGCTTTTTTATGACAAACCCCCGGAGCCGCTTGCAGACGGCGGGAAGAGTTGGTTTTGTAGATCGTATTAGGGGGCGCGGCCTGCGAGGCTGCTTTGACGTGTAGCGGCTGTTCTACCTGGTCTCTCCAAACCATTCAAGCCTAGCGCCTTCTGGACTTCGGGAGCTTGTTTGCTCCGAGCTTACGGCTTATACGGATGTCACACTTTTGTTATTCTTGGACTGCCGAACGGTAGCGAACGTTTGAATACTCGCTCATCTCATGTTAAGTGGATGGCTTGCAAATATACGACCTCGTGATCCGACAAGGCCACCAGTCATGGTGTGCGCAAGGAACAGCCTTGTAATTCATGCCATGACTATGCCCAGTTGTGTTTGCTAGTTGCATCAGTAAGCCTCTACCTACGACCCATTTCATAAACCGGCTTCTACTTTCGTACTCAAGCCTCGTTTGTCCCGCAATAGTGGGCGCATTTTCGAACGCGCCATGGTCTAGAAAGAAGTGACAGCATTCCTCAGCGCACGGGTCGATGCCTTTGAAAAGCGTCGCCTTTACCCCAATCAAGACATGCCATAACGTTGTGCACTCGAACCTGCTCGTGCGCCTCCCTTTCAACGCCTTCCCTCTGTACACACTGGGTCCATTTATCCGACGATCCGGTCTAGCACGTCCTCCATTAGCTTGTACTCATCTACTCGTCTGAGTGATATACGACCTATTCGGCACAAAATCTCCCATGGAACAACACCCGAGCGAGAACGACATGAACATCATCCTACAAATAATATCAACGCAATTACGGCTTGATTCATCCTTTGAGCACCAAGTACAACGAATGCTGCACGGGACAGCATTCCCCATCCGTGACAAACTACAACCTACCTAACCAACCCAGTCCTCTCTGCCCTTCCACAATTCCATCTAATTTGCCCACTCACATCCTTCAGACGCCGCAGACCCTGAATCGTCAACCGGCCCTTGTCTTACATAACCAACCCCGGCTCACCAAACACATGTGTGGATATTGCTATCCGGGCCCCTTTATCATCTCTTGCCCGATTCGCAGTAGCGCAAGCTGCTAGGGTTACCCACGGACTCTCCGCGCTGGCCAGAGTCCGGAGATAAGGGGTTCGCAATTCCCCACGTTGTCAAGAAATTCATATACATAAAAGGGAAGAGGGGGTGTGGCGGTGCGGGGATTTATTTGACAGAAATGTATCGTGCAGGTGGAGATGTTCTAGAGAAAGCAAGTAGCGCGTTGGTGCCACGAGGACTTCGTTTTCTCAACAGTTCCTGCATTAGCGTCGTGGGATCTGCATCCACAACGCGCGTGTCGTGAACAAAAGGGCTGACATGTGAAGAAAATTCTGCCCAAAGAACTGCGGTTTAGCGCGTGGGATTCCGCGGAGACATCGGGTATGCGGCCACCGCACGAGTGATACGGTCCGTATTACTTAGAATCTCACAGCCACACGACAACATGGGCTTATAATTGCATGAACAGCAATTACGATCAGGATCAGGTAGATGAACTATAATTCCCATGCCACAGTTCCGCTGGCTCTGGGGTACTTCCCGCCACTTCCGCTGGGTGGTGCCCTTCGACGAGATAGGGAGTAAAGCGCAAAACCCAATAGGCATTTGCTACAAGTGCAGCAGAAGGAACGTTTACATCCCAGACGTAGGATAAAGTCGTAGTGATATCGATGCTACCTTGACACATGCCAGATTAGTTACTGTCGAGACACATGCAGGGGGATCTTACTTACCAGTCAGTTTGAACTTGTAGGTATCATTATCGAAGCTGGTAACCCAAAGATCAAGCTTCGTGATATTTTATGACGTACAGTATATCCTAAAGGCGTCTTGCGGGTCTGATTTCCAGCGAATAGTGAATGGAGAACCGCTCTGTAGGCTTGTGGATCCATCGGGGGTTGCGGGTGCGGGTGCGGTCCAGCCATCTTGTGGAGTTTGACAGCTTCCTAACAGCGGTATTAACGTATATATTAGAGCTAGAATGAATTGATGTATCATTTTTAGTTATTATAACAATCAATCCGTGCTGTGTCGGTCCGGGGGACTGTCTGTAGAAGCACCCCCTTAAAGTCACGAAGCTTCCTTACATATCTGGACCTTGCTCAGTCATACAGAACCCATGACAATTATTGAGTGGCTCGTAGTACGTAGAGTGAATCTTTCGTTTTGCGCGCATTGTAAATGCACTGTACAAATGTTGTGATAGAGACCCTGAACCAATAAGCACAGCGTTAGCGGACGGGAGTGGAGCTACACTACAGCTTGGCATGTACTGAACCGCGATGATGCATATGGCACAGCCTTGCCCCAATTCTATTTTAATCTTGAACTCAACACATGTTGTATTATGTGATTCTTTTTGCTGGTCGCTTGTATCGTCAACTGACTTTTTCTGTGCCAGTGATACGCAATAATACGTGCCGAAACTCTCCGTTCCGGTGTCCAGGTGGGAATTGCCAGCCGCTCGGGTGAAGGATTGCGCCACGGTACTAGCGTGTTTGTCTCACCCCCACTAATATGGAAGTCGGTAGGTGCCACATCAAGGCTTCGTGTTATGGTTCTGCTCTAACACGACATTGCTGCCTAGATGTTCTCTTCCTTTGTCCTCAACCCTTCGGTTCACAAAGCGCACCTCGATAATTGAGAGCAAACATGTTTCCCAGGAAATGGAGATGGATTCTGGCACTTATTGCTGTCATGTCTTTGCTTGGGACAATGACCCTAATCTCGAATGATTCCGGGCCCTCGAGGGCAGCTTTATTTCCGATCAATTATCATGAGCAAACACGTCGATCGACAACAAAGCAGTCAAAGCTATCAGCTGAGCAAACGCGCAGCTCGCATGCATGCCCAACAGTCCCGCCCAATCCGGCCCTCACTCCGAATACACAAAATTGCTTCAACTGGAGGGCCATACCCAGTCACCACCCAATCGATCATTATGCACAATTACCTGTGGGCAAGCCAACGGCTCGACCTCCCATTCAGCGCAAACCCAGCCAAGGAACGATAGACAAACATGTGATTGACATCCGTCGAGAAGCTATGAAAGACTCCTTCAAAAGATGCTGGAAATCGTACAGAGAACGAGCTTGGACAAAAGACCAGCTTGCTCCCACCTCGGGTCGATCGAAGGATACTCAATTCGGAGGTTGGGGAGCCACCCTTGTCGATAGCTTGGACACACTTTGGATCATGGACCTGAAGGCCCAATTCGCTGAAGCTGTTGATGCAGCCCTGGAGATCGAGTTCAAGCCAAGTGATAACTGCGATAGCGAGATCAACATGTTCCAGATCATAATACATTACCTTGGAGGCTTCATAGGCGCATATGATGTCTCCGGTTGTCACGACGCTCGACTCCTGAACAAAGCCGTGGAAGTCGCAGATATGGCCTATACCTCGTTCGATACACCTAACCGGATGCCAGTCTCTAGATGGAGTACACGAAAGGCTGCAGATGAAGAATAACAATTGCCAGCTCTCTCAGTGCTGATAGCTGAGGCTGCCTCTGCTAGTGTTGAGTTCACTTGTCTCTCCCAGATCACTGGAGATATGCGTTATTTCGACGCCATCTCACGGGTCACAGACGTACTTGATCGACAACAAGGATCCACGAAGCTTCCTGGAATGTGGCCAATAAGTGTGGATATGAGGACGCCGAACTTGATGTTCGATAAGTTCTTTGGGCTGGGTGCGATGGCCGACTCCGCGTTTGAATATCTACCGAAGATGCATCAGTTGCTTAACAGCGCTGGCCCAGCCGCCCAGTATCGCAAAATGTACAAATACGCGATGGATACCGCTATAGCCCATACGTTGTTCAGACCCATGGTGCATGATCAGGCCGATATATTGATCGCAAGCGCCAAGCACGACGGGCCCGACGGACGGAGAGATGATACAGGGCAGCATCTGGTGTGCTATGCTGGCAGAATGCTAGCACTTGGCAGACGACTCTTTGACAATGCAACCCATATCGAGATAGGCCGAAAAATCTCAGACGGCTGTGCATGGACGTACAAGAATGCGCCCAGCGGAATCATGCCGGAGGTCTTCTCGATGACCCCATGCCCCTCGAGGTTGGCGTGCGACTTCATACCCGGCTCGTCTCCATTCAGCGCTGTGCATGACAGCCGATACATCCTCCGACCTGAGGCGGTCGAATCAATCTTCTACATGTTTCGACTGACGGGCGAGGCCAAGTATCAGGATATTGCGTGGGACATGTTCCAGGCTATCGAGACTTATACACGGACAGAGTTTGGTAATGCTGCACTTCGGAATGTTACGGATGCGCCGCCAGAGCAGGATGACAGTATGGAGAGCTTTTGGCTGGCTGAGACGCTGAAGTACTTCTACCTCATCTTCAGTGACCATGACGTCATTAGTTTGGATGACTTCGTGTTCAATACAGAAGCGCATCTATTCCGGATCCCCTAGTTGTAGAGCCGTAGCTACAGAGTCTAATTCAATGTCCCAGAGGCATTTTTTCGTGTGTTCAACGCGTCTTGCGGAGCAGGTGCGTGCTGTGAAAGCCCGAGGACTCCCGTAACCAAGCCTTTTTCGGGCAAGCTCATGCGCTAACTACAGACTCGGGAGCTTCGCCATTCATCAGAGCGCCTGAATTTTTCCAAACATAACTTACGTCAATTAACATCCTCCCAATGGTAGCCTCGATATCAGCAGGCCGCATTCTACTGCTCTCGCTCAGGAACTTGAGCGCTTCCAGAAGCGTTTTGGGTTTGTCTTTGTTCCGCTACGTCACACACCGGCATCCTGATCTTCTGAGGTCATGACTATACGATACGTCGCAAAGCACACTTTCATTCCAGTCCCTCGCATGTACTGTGTTATCCAAATATAGCCATATGTTAGAAGGGAGCATATGATCGAACTCTATACATTGACACAGCTTTCACTACTTGAGGTTCTCCGTTATTTTCTTACGATACATAGTTGCTACACGAGACTGGCACACAAAGCTCAATGCTGGGGGCTAATACATTATGAGATGACTGTAAAATTTGGCGCTAAAAGGTGGGATAGGTTTTCCTGATTGGCCGGCCACGGTGCTAGATTTCTACGCTCGAGCTGACCAAAATAGCAGTCATGTTGAACTGGTTTGACTATGGGAAACCATGGACTTCTCGAACATTTAGCAAAATTAATGAAAATCTGCAGCGCACCTACTATCACCGCTTTTTCATGCATTGTTAGCCGACGTAGGTCTTGTAGTTATCAATATCAACCGGTTGTTCAAGTTGCTTTTCGAGCTGAGCTCAGCCGCATGGCTGTACAGCCACGGTCGCACAACCTTGATGCAGAGACCTTATAAGGCAGCCTTTTATTTGAATCGAATTTTTTCTCACTGCAAAGTTTGAGGCCAATCTCCGCAACTCTTCAGCCCTCTTTATGGCTTCGACTTCGCCACAAAGGCTTCCTTTATTCTGTGACCTAGACACAAGTATGAGAGAAGCTCTTCTGCAAGAACCTGAAATAATCGAACTGGAAACATTAGATAATCCTCCCAAACACGCATTTGTTCCACTATTGCGGCGCGAATCCGCTGCCAGCACTGTATCGCACACCTCCTCTCAGCATGAAAAGAACTACCGACGATTCATTAAACGCATACTCGGCTACATCTCGACCTTGCTAGGCAGCCTTGGATCAAATATCCGCGAAAAGATACGACGAAGCCGCTTCTACGGATGGCGCATGGGGCTATTGATTGGCAGTTGCACCACGGCCTTTGTCTTGTGCTGCAACATCACAGCTGTCCTTGTCGCGGGTATCAGAGATGATAAAACATCGGACACTATCAAAGTGATCACCGTCATGACTGGTAGTAGTACTGCCATTTCACGGTGGAGCACATTCTTTCATTTCCTCATTAATGTTTTGAGCACTCTATTGCTTGGTGCTAGCAACTATACCATGCAAGTGTTGGCCTCGCCAACGAGATCCGATATTGATGTTGCACACGCTAAAGGTCTGTGGCTGGATGTGGGACTATTGAGTGTTCGAAATTTGCGTTTCCTACCTCGAGGCCGGATAGCCCTGAGCCTTATGTTAGGACTGTCTTCGATACCGCTTCACCTCTTGTAAGAAAAAAGTCATTAACAAGTCGAACCACGAACTCAGCTAATATGCTCTAGTTACAATGCTGCCTTATTCCAGATCACGGTGGCCAATCAATACGATATCCACGCTATTAGCATTGGATCTGAAGATTGGGCCAAGATCAGTTCACGCGACAATGTCCGGAACCTCACAAACGACCAATGGATGGAAATTTATGCCACACCATATCTTTCGGGATACGATGATCTTTACCTTGTTATTGACCGCCTGGCTTTCGAGCCATTTCAAAATGTCACAACTGGGTCGAATGTTGATCACTTGCCATTGAATATACGGAATAGCAGCAACGAAGCTATAAGAAACTTCACCAATGGAGCGATGCCCTGGAGTAATTACACAATGTTCGCTGGATACGCTCTCAGGGACAACAAGAGCAGCGGGGCTTGGCCCTACAATGCTCGCGTTGCGTACGGCTTGTCCAACATCTCCAACGTGGAGAGTCGTATCCAAATTAGTCAAGATTTCATGATCATAGTCATATGCTTCAATTTCGCCAAGTTGGTCATCATTTTGTGGGTTCTCATAGCTGACAAGTCTGAGTACCTGGTCACCCTCGGCGACGCGGCAGCATCATTCCTAGAGCGTCCTGATTCCAGCACTGTTGGAAAATGTATGTTGGGTAAAGAGGAACATTTGTTCCAGCTTGGATATCGAATAGCGAAGAACTTAGATTCGCAGAATCAGGGAAGATTCCAGCAGCGTCTGCTTGGAGCATGGCTGCCAGATCGGCTACGACACTCTGCATCGCTTTCTGAGGATCGACAGCTCTTGTTAGCAATCATGTAAGAGCTTTCCCCATTATTATCCTGTTACAGCTAACACTTTGAGGGTATCCTGCGTCTTTGGCGCCAATATCATCATTCCATTTGCTACTATTACCAATTCCACACCTGGGGCAACTCTTCTGACGACACAATGCCGTTCAACCACGGAATCCTTTTCAACGCTTGATAGCCAACTCCCACAAATCCTTCTATCCTTTTGCTACTTGCCTCACATATTTGTACTTTCTAGCAGCGCGAAGAGTGGAACAGTTGCGCGATTCAGAAAGGCTACGCGTATCCCGCCCAGTTGGCCAGCAACGAAGCACATACTTTCTACAGCTTCCTTATAGATGGGCAGTGCCATTGATTACGGTTAGCGGTGTTCTACACTGGCTACTATCACAGAGCTTTTTCTTCGTTCAAGTGGATACTTTTGCGAACGGAAAGATAGACATCGACAAGTCAAAGTCAGCCTGCGGATTCTCTAGCCTTAGTCTTTTTATCTTCTTTATTGTCGCATTTCTGTTGTTGGGTGGTATTGGGTGGGCAGCATTGCGACCCGCGCAGCAGAAAATGCCTATAGCAGCGTCTTGTAGTTTGGTTATCAGCGCCGCATGCCATCCGCCTCAGAACAGGACCGACACACAATTATTGAGAGTAAAATGGGGCGTTGTTGAGCAGCACAATTCCGATAACACTGGTCATTTTTGCCTTTCTGCAAGCAATGTAAAGAGGCCGGAAGTTGGAAGAATATATCATTGACCGATAGAGCCGACGGCACGCGTCGTTATCTACTGAGACTGAAGTACAACACTGCATGAGACATGGAGCTACGTGTGTTGTACCCAATCATGCATCTGTTCATATCAGCTGGTACGATACATCAGTACCCCAGCTCCCCCATCCTACTTCTCCAGAACTGCAGCCTTGTGTTGTCGCATTCCTCACCACCTCCCCTATTCGCCCAAAGATCCCCGGGTGTGAAGCGATCTGTTCCATTGTTGCAGAGCTTTTCAATTTCTTCCCGTGAAATGCGGAACCACTGCGCTGCTGCAGGCGCGTGTAGCTCAACGTTTTGTCCCTGACGTGTGCTAGGTGACTGCTCCAGTGCTAAGACCAAAGTCAGGACCCCAAGTCGCGCCCATCCCGCGAGAACTGGTATCTTCTGGGCATTTTGGTTCTTAGCCAGGAGAGCTGAAAAGGTGTTGATGTTCTTCCATGCCGTTTTTGCGGCATCAGGTGTTGCTGGTGAGCTAAGGTTTGCTAGGTATCTTTCGGGGCCTATGGAATATTGAGGTCAGAAAAGAAGGAGCAACAAATCACCGCTACGTACCTTGACAACTCTCGGTCACATTCATGGAGAACTCTGGTAGACCACTGGCGTCGGGAACGCTTGCCAGCTCCACGATATAGTCCACTAGTGCGCCCAATTCTTGCTCCTCTCCAAACGTCTCAGCCGCGTTGAGGTAGAGACCCCACAGATTGTTCCAAAGAGTCTCAGTATCTTCTTGAGACAGGATAAGGGAAGCTGTTTCGGTGGCTGCATCCTTGGGTGTAGTCTGATTTGAAAGCAACTTTTCCAGTATCGTGACAAGTTTTGATTGCACGGAGTCGCTTGGTAAACTCCGCGTGTCATCAACGCTGTCCTTCCCGTAGAGCTGGCATAGCCAGCCCTCACGCTGTGATTGTGCCCATTCACTGGCCATATTTGTTAGGAAATGCAACAACGTCTCTCAACGGATGCCTTGCAAATACGAAGAAATGGTGAAATGTGAACAAAGGACTAAGCTGTAGCTCTAGGGTTTGGGTCATTGGGATACTCTTGGTTTGAACGCTTGTATAGGAAGCATCAGGGCTCCAGTCGTCACAGCCTCTTTCCGATGGGGCTGAGGCCCCCTCGCGTGACTCATCTTACTACGTCATCTGACTGTCACGTGGGCTCGATCATCGAGACATTCCACTCTTCTTCTTACGTCAAATATTACTGCAGCCCAAATGCATATCCTACGCTGCTTTTCTACACATAATCCTTGGCGCGGTGGTAATCTGGTGTTCAGCCTTCGCAATTTCGAGTCGCATTTGGAAACGTAGTGTCGATCAGTAAGCACGACACTTAAAGTTCCCCGAACATTCCCCACACAACAAGGCATGGTTGATCTTGGCATTCTTGTTTCATCCAACTATTTCCTTTTCCGGTTTAAAACACAACTGTCGGGATCCGAGTTGTGTGGGGTTAGGCGTGCACAATAAATTCCGTTCCGTTGCCGACTTCCGTACAGCCTCATATGTTTGTCAGATGAGATCCTCAATTGACATCATCGTGAAGGATCTTTGGACTGCGGAAGTCTGTAGGGTGTATGAATACTGACGCTCATTCGACAGGAATGATGCTTGGAACATCTTTCTCGGTGAACGCCTGATGAATGTGACTGACGATGGGAGGCCGGGTTACATTGTGGGCTTGAGATTTTCGGAGCGACTGAGACAACTCCAACTGCAGAAATTCGAAGATCGAGGTAATCAGAGCTCAGTGGTGAGTAAAGGGCCGAGACATGTCATTTGACTACGTCAACGGGAAGCCTACACCATCCACTATCTGTATGCTATTTAGACCAGCAAGTTCTTCCAACTGACTAACAACTATATCCTCAACTCACTCTCGACTTTCACAACCATCATTCCTAACAAACAACTTCCCATATCGAAAGCCGCACAGCAATCATGAGATTCATTACCACAATTCTCACCCTTGCATCAGCCCTCACATTCACCAGCGCAGCTCCCGCACCAGGGGAGCCATCAATTGTAAGGGTATGTTCATCTAAAAAATCTAAACTTGACTGTCGAAACTAATGTCCCCGCAGGGCAACCTTTTCGAGCGCCAGGCACTATGTATGGACCACCCATGTGATTTTGACACCGATTGTTATGCTTGGAGGTGTGGTGATTGCCAATCGAACGGCAAGTGTGGTTGCCCTCCTGAAGCGGTACGTTTGGCTCATCCTTGATTTGTGTTGCGCACGCTGACGACGTCAAAAGAATGGGCCACCTTGTTAGATAGACTAGCCACAGATGGGCTAAGTGAGGAGGCGTGGATGGGAATCAAAGAAACTTTAGCAAAACAGAACAATACAAACATTCGTTAATCATGATCATTAGGAACGAGTGCTATGTGTTTGTTCAATGTCGAAATGTCCTTTTTCTAAACAAGGTCTACCTGATGTGAAGAATATTTAGACTTACAATTACTCTTCTATTGGTGGTACAGGAAGCGATTTTTCTAATAGCAACACATTTTCAATGCCTATCGATATCAGAGAAAGACACTGCGTCCGCGTGGTTCTAACAACGCATGATTGATGAGTCACTGAATCCCTCTGTGAGCGAAGAGTTCGGCTTTCAACGAGCGTGTCCCCGTCATTACCCAGGACCTATGCACCCACGCTATTACAAACTCTATATATCATTTCAGTAGATCAGGTGAGCGATAATCATTAAGTTTCGAACGCCAATAATGGCAACTTCCTAATTCCAAATATACAAACTCGGGAACCTATCAAAAACTTCGTAGTCATCTTACACATGATCTCTGATGTCACTGCTAGTTCGGTCTCCGATATATTATAGCGTAATCTCATCCATATAGGCTGAGTCCGAATGTAACATGGTAAGATCGGGGGAGCCAAGACCGGAGGCCTAAGTCAAAAGAATGAGCCACATGCATGATAAGACCCCACATACCTCTTCCGTTCATATCTCATGACAAACATCGACGATAGGTATTGCAAGCCTGAGCCGAGAGCCGATGGAAGTGAAGATGGAAGGCATCTATGCGTAAGCAATTTGAGATATATAAGGAGGTCATTCCAAGACATTGTCATGTATCTCACTCACTCACAATCGTCTCTATCAGATCATTACAATCACATTCAATTCCCCATTCCCAGACAACCATGTATTCTCCCAACGCTCTCTATACACTGGCGCTCATGCTCGCCGCCGGGTCCTTTGTCCAAGCGAGCCCCGTCGATGCTGAACTGGCGAAGGATTCAGTTATGCTCGATCGCAGAGCAACAGTCGACTGCGGCGGTGGGTTCCGTTTTCTGACTGCTGCTCAGAACAAGTGGTAAGTAGACCAGTCTAAGATCTAGTTGGACGGACTTGGTGGAAATTGGTTGGGGATCATGCCGCCTTGATCTCGTCGGTTTTTTTATACCCATGCAGACTTTGGTTGTACTACACTGTGATGTAGATCAGATCCTTGGTTTATGTCATCAGAAGTGGAACGGCCATGCTAATACTATACTTCTTCAGTTATACCGACGCGATCAATCATCTCAATGCCAACCCTCCCACCACGGTGACCGGCAACAACGGGAAGGCTTGTATGCGTCCCCTCTTTCCCACAACAGCCCTAGTCTCTGCACCAGCCTGACTAACCTGCTTCCACCGAATAGACCCAGAATACTATGGCGACCAACCCAATGTTGCAGGAATCCCTGCTTCCTGCAAAGAGAACTACAACGATCTAAGAATCTATCCCTGCTATGTACAGGATACTACCACGTTTGTAACTGGATCAAATCCCGGACTGGATCGTGTCGTCATTTCCCGCCACACAGATGGCACCAAGGAACGTTGTGGGTTGATCACGCATCGCGGTGCAGATAGTGGTCAGTTCAAGTGGTGCGGAATCTAAGAAGTTGCTTGAGGAGCGGAGTAATGGCACGATGTGAAGACGAACGGGTAGTTGGGTATCTTGAGGATGAGAGAGGGCTGTCGTTGCCCCAAGAGAGGTCGCGAGAGGGGTTATCACAGTTTTGTACAGAAGTAGCGTCCGGACAGCTTGATTTGCAAAGAGGTTGTGAAAATACTATGTTATGTTCTGTCAAATGTATTCTCGTTTTTCGTGAACGATGTCAAATTTCTACGATGACTGTACCTATCTTCTCCGTTCTGCAATACTGAATATGTTGAGTCAGAAGCTTCGCATCTACTGCAATTTTTCGTCGCCTTGTCGAATCGCCTGCCCATAATCCCCAGCATTCGGAGTTCTCACAATAGTATGTGTATGGTATTTTGCTGGCTCTTTGTTTGTCAAGAATACGCCCGAATGATGATCAAACTCCAGCAAAATAACCGGACTCTGTATGCGGAAGTAAAACGCATCATCATTACCAAAACCTCCAATCCAGCAAAAGTATGTTTCTTCAAAGTGTTGCTTGATCTGATAGAGCTTGAGCTGGCGAGCTTTGGTGGGATGGTAGAGAAGAAACTCGTCGCAGATGGACAGGATGCGTTCTTGCTGGGAAGGCTCCATCGTAGTCACGAGCACACCTTCGTATGGCACGATACGATTGTCGCGGAATGCGCCACAGCGGTGGCGTTGATCATCTGGACCCCAAGTATCGGTGATGAGTTCGTCGCGTTTCGTCTCATCGTTATTGGAATTGCCGTAAACTTGCTTCATACCCTCGTCTCTCATGTTCTTGAAAATCTGGGCTTTCTGCTGCTGCTCCGCACTGAGACTTTGCATGAGCTTCAGTCCTAAGCTCCCCTCTTTGTGCAAAATCTCGGTACCCTTCCATTCCCCTTCGTCGATGATGTTGGGCTCTGCACCGGTAAATGACGGGCTAACAACAACCTGAGGACCCTTGAAAAAACACGCAATAGCGAGATGATGACCATAGAGAAGCCAACCCCATGGCGAGGAGGCGGATGTAGATGGTGTACCAAAAATAAGGAAGTTGTAAGAGTACTTGTTCAAGATATTAGGAAGTTTGACCACTTCTCCGAGGAAATGATTTATGCGCATGGCTGCAATTGCTTTCTCGTAGCCCCCCGACGACAATGACCCTCCGAGCACACCGAGAATAAGTTGTGCAGTTTGTTCCGAGACTGTCGCAATCAGTACGGTATCCTTGCTTCTAAGATTTGTTGATCTCACCTTCTTCGAGGCGCAAGCCAAGTGGTCTCAACAGGAACTCTGGGTTACTCCAGGCCCTCCATTCTCTCGCGTTTACGGGATAAGATACATTCTTCTTTTGTTCAGCGTCCAAACTGTCCAACAGCTTTTCCGCCCGCTCAACTGCATCGCCAACGTTCGCGTCTTCATCGCGTGCGGCGAAGAGACCTTCGCGTACATTTCCGTCATTTGTTATACCCTTGTATGGCTCTTCCAGTAGCTTTTCCCATACCTTTGTTAAGTCGTATAGCCACGGCGGCGCACGATTGTCCTGCATGGATTTTACATACTCGTAAACATTTTGCTGTGCGGCAGTCGTGAACCTCAGACTGCTGAGATCCGGGAGATGCGATCGAAAGCCAGCAGACGCTTCGTCAAATGAGTTCCTTCCCGCCATTGTCTAAGCACAAACAGGTAAAATCCTGGTGCTTTTCCAATTCTTACCAAGGTATATGGTATAAATGAAAACCGTTACTCCCGTTGGAATGATTTGCAAATGATGTTTCTGCGATGCTTAGGCTGCAGTGCTGTTGTCGGGTGAACGCTCTTCCTCGCTCTTGATCGTTAAACACGTGGTCGTAAAGCTGCTCTCGGTGTTCCAATCGGATCTGGAAGCTGACAATAACCTCAGTGCGCCGACTAAAAGTGTCCGTCAACTTTTCGATCGAATGGTGGGGAGCAATGGCATCCGGGTCTGCCACAAAATGATGAGGAAGTTACCCCACATCTAGCCACAAACATTAGCGCGGGGTATTCGGCCCCTCATAGCACGTCCACGATGATGCCGCCTTACAGTCTGATGCAGAGCCCCATATCGTATTCTGCACAGATTGGTAGAAGCAGGTAGCTCGTTGCTCACATTTTGATCAAGTAGATTGAGCCATGTACTCTGCAATACAATCAACAGCTCACGAGACAATATAGAATGTACGTTTCAATCTTCTTGGGTATGGCTGGAAAAGTGATGTGGACTTGATTATATCGCCAGCTGGTCTAATATGGTCTTTGCGGCTCTATACAAAAGTAAGCGACCTCGTGACTAGTCATACCAAAGAGCTATTGCCGACAGATATCACCAGTTACACACTTTAGGTACCTTCACGAATTATCTTTGGAAGCCATGCACACGAACTGAATTGAATCTCCAAAGCTGTCATACGATAGCAACTCAAAGATATCGTGACGTTAGTCTGAGGCCCCAGAGAGACGACAAAGTTTCGCGATATTGTAGAGCAAGATACTTGGCATATGAGCATATAGTGCCCAGACCTGGTTGGGTGCTTGTTAGATATCGCTTCCAGACTGCTGGAGCTCGAAGATCGAAGCCACTTTCCAACATTGACCTCCGTTTGGTCGAATTGGATCGCATCTACCGTAAGGTACGATAAGACGCGATTAAGATGCAGGGACAAGGGCGTTGGTGCAACCACATCCTGCATATGCCGAAGTTCTGTTGTTGAAGCTGGTGGGGCGCCAGGAGGGAAATACGCTAGGCGATGGCCCCACCCACGGTGGGGTGTATCCAGATGCTCACAACATTCCACAAAAGAACAAGCTGGAAGAAAGAGTAAATATGAGTAGAGGCTCACCAAATATCTCGTTGTCAAAAGTACACAAAATTTCGTTTTTATCGAGTTGATTAGTTCTAGTATTCTGCGCTTTGCTTGCCTAATCAGGTTAACAAGGTGCAAGCTACTCCTCGGGTCCGGCTAAGACATTAACCGGCTCGTGGACATTGCCCGAGGCGACCAACATTGAATCCGGGGAAAGTTTGGGGTGAGCTGAGGACATAGAAACACAAAAGCTTTTAAAAGGCTTGTTATATTGCTTTTGAGAAAACTGGGAGCATCAACCCAGCCTCTCGGACATACTTCCTAGCGACCCTCCTTATCAGCCCACATCCTCTCTGAAACTCATACTAGTACTCATCAATTCTGCATCGAGACTAATTGTCTGCTTCGAAGTTTCTAATGGCGGAAAATACGAGAATAGCGATTGTTGGTGCAGGTACGTGTCTCAACTTCACATCCTATAACCAAATTACAGCTACTGACAATACCTCAGGCATGGGCGGCCTCGCCGCAGCTCTCTCTCTCGCAAAAGCCGGACACAAGAACATCACAATATATGAGAACGCACCAGGAATGGGGTTCGTCGGTGCCGGCATTCAGCTCGCACCCAACATGGCTCGCATCCTCGACAGGCTAGACTGCTGGGGCCCAATTCGCGACGAAGCCGTCCAATGCGCAAACACATCCATAAGAGAAGGCTCCACAGATAAAGAGCTGGGATACGTAGATCTTGCGTATGTGCAGCAAAAATACGGATATCCACACATGGTAGGCCACCGCGCCAGTCTCGCAAATGGTCTATACGAGGGCTGCAAGAAGGAGAGCGGCATTACCTTCAAACTGGGTAGCAACATCTCGGATGTACAGTTCGGTGCGAGGCCCACATTCAAAGTCACGCCGATTCCAGTCAACGGAGAACCATACCAAGTCGAATGCGACGTCTTGCTCGGTGCAGACGGGGTAAAAAGCTCCACACGCGTCGCTATGCTTAAGGAACTCGGTCACACCGGCTCGGCGCGAGATTCGGGTCAGGCCGCATATCGCATTATGCTCAACCGCGATCAGATGGAGAAGGACCCTGAATTACTTAAATTGATCGACTCTGACACCGTAACGCGTTGGATTGGCGAGAAAAAACATATTATCGCGTACCCGATTCATAACAAGCAAATCTACAACATCTCCACCGCACAGCCCGACACCAGTTTTGCTGGAGCACCAGATGCGCAGTACACAACAAAAGGAAGTAAGAAGGCGATGTTGAAAGTATATGAAGACTTCTGTCCCATGATACATCGTATGCTGGACCTAGTACCTGAAGGCGAGGTCGTAGAGTGGAAATTGAGGGTCCATGATCCTTTGATTACATGGGTGCATGGAACGAGTGCCTTGGTGGGCGATGCTTGCCACCCTACGCTTCCACACATGGCGCAAGGTGCGGCACAAGCTATCGAAGACGGTGCAGTCCTTGGTGTTGTACTTGCGCCTAAGCGGATCGCGGACGGAAAACCCGAGACTATCGAACGCGCATTGCGACTATACGAGAGGCTGAGGAAACCCAGGGCTGAAGCACTTGTCGAGCTCGCGGCGGAGAGCGGGAGAGCCATGCATCTCGGTACTGGAAAGGCCAAAGAAGAACGCGATAAGATCTTTGCGGCGCTCAAGTCTGGATCGGGCAAGGTGCCGGATAAGTGGGCTGACGCAGACGTACAAGCGCAAGTGTATGGCGTTGATGTTGTCGCGGAAGCGGAAGTGTTGTGTCAAAAGGAGGGTCTGGGGGCGAAGTTATAGAGGATAGAGATGGAGACAGAGGAGGAAGCCTAGTATCGGCCGTGAGATCTAGGATCATATAATATCTCATAAACTTGATTTCGATGAAGCTTTGCTGTGAAGCCTAAGCCTGCTAACTCTCGCTCTACAACCTTTCTGACATGATTCCTCTCAACCTATGCCCCTTCCAATGTGTGAAGATGACAGGGACAAGGCTTACTCCAACCAGTAGTCCTGCAGCAATCCCAGCACTGTTCGCAATACCCACATTTTCAAACATTGGCGGGAACCAAAAAGGACCCAGAAATCCCCAAACCTGCCTCACAAAAGTAATGAAAACGCCAATACTACCCGCCTCCTCAGGATAGCAATCCACGGCATACGTAATCAGTACAGTGGTGACTATTTGGTTGCCAGCGGCGGCTATCCCTGCGCCGACAATGGGTGTCACATTCCAGTGGAGATCTGGCGCTTGCTCAATGCGCACAAGGAAGACGACGACGCCGCAGATTGTAAGCAAGATACCGAAATAACTTAACCACAAGCGAAATTCCGGCGCTGGACGACAACCCCCCATCTTCTTGGTCCGCCAACGCATCCAAAGATCGCTAGAGTGGCCACCAATTTGCTCGCCAATCACGGTTCCGATGATGAGACCGACGAACTGAAGACCTATCTGCTGCGCGTTGAAGTGAAACTTTTCAGCGAAGAGCTGCGGAATTTCGACCGTGGAAAGCACCGAAGCGAAGAGGAACACCATGGCATATGCGCAGGCGGGAATGACTACGCATGGATACTTGAAGAGCCGGAGAGGGGATACGAATTCCGAGGCGGTCATGGGAGTGGGGTCAATGCGGCGGAAGTTCAGATACATCCTCTTGTAGGCTGCCCATCCGAATTGCGCGTGCTGCGCATTATCATATCGCATGAAGCGCGTCTCGGGACCAAGGAGTGAGTATAGAATGAGTTGAACGCCGTTGACGATTGCAAGAATCCAATAGATCCATCGGTATCCGACGTTGTATGTCACAAAGCCAAATATGAGTGGAGCGAGAGGTATGCCGAGCGTGATCATGACAGTCCAGATACCTATGAACTTCGCCCTCTCTCTTTTGAAGAATGTCTCCACAACGACAGCACTACCGATCGCGTTCGGTGGGCTGATAAAGAACGACTGGAAAGCACGGCAGGTTGCCATTGCTGCATAGCTGTGGCTCTTCGCACAGCCCACGTTGAAGACCAGACTGCCGATCAAAGAGACGATGAAGATGGGTCGGCGTCCATATCGTGTCGAGAGTGGACGCCAGAACAACGGCGCACCACCCAGTATCGCGATTTGCAAAGACGTGAGATATGATGCTCTCTGAATGCTCACACCAAGATCTTCCGAAATGTTTTCGTATGCAGGAATAATGGCTGAAGCAGGGAATGCGCACATCATAGCATGGAAAGCAACGAAAACAAGGTTCATGATTTTCTATCTCACTGTCAGTCCATGTTGGCTAGAAGAGTATGAGAGACTAACCTTCCACCGAGGCCAATTGTATGGATCCGCCGTACCCATTGTGGGTAGAGGGTCGAGGTCGAGGGTCCCATGGCGTCCAAGTAGGTATTGACGATGCTCTTCTGACAGGTTTGAAGCTTCAGTTTTGTCGAGATACGTGCCATGGGTAGCAGCATGCTCAAGATCCCCCTCAGATGAGGGCTCTTTTGAGATGACTCGCTTGTCAGTCGCCATGCTTATCGGGCTCGTAATGCTATCTGCTCAATTCCTACGTCCGGATAGGAAGATCAGAAAAATGGAGGACAGTCCAGCAATTCTGAGTGTCTGCATGTCGGTGACATCGCCACCTTTGTATTCACCCTTTCTTGTGGCTAACGCGATGGATGAAGACTTTCGCGGAGACCCCCAGTGGAGACCCCAGAAAATACCATTATTGGCGGGAACATAGCCCATGGGGTTTCGGGACAAGGGTTGCGAGCCATCGTCGTCACGGTGTCGTCGCTAGCTTCTATCGTCCCGCTATTCAAAACTCAGGTCTCGCAGCTCGGCAATTAGATACGGAAACTTCCCTCTCTAACGAGCACTTGATACTGTCAACAAGATCAGGTATCTCGTGTTGAGCATGTCAAAATCGACGAACATAGAAGGTGTGTGAGCATGAGCACGAGACTTTTGAATCTCGATAAGTAAGCGCTCCTGTGGATCTTGCCACCATAGACGGGTCGCGCTGCGATGATGGCCGGGACATGTAACGGCAGTTAAGGGAAATAACCTGCCCAATGTCGAATGTCTGCGATTTCAATGAAAGATCCATACGCTAAAATATGTGAGTGTCTTCTTGTTTTCAGATTCAGAAAGGTGAGTGGAGTAGCACTATCGCCCCTGCCTAAGCTTTGTGGAGAAGCTTGGTCACCCGCGCGGAGGCTTAACTCCGGTCCCAGTCCATGTGTTAGAAATATCGTTCAGCGCAACCTCTCACGACTTAAAACTCCCAAATACGCGCCTCACGGCGTTCAAGAGCTTGTAGAAAGCTCACTTGCAGATACAAGATGTGTCGAGAGATGCAGGTAGGTTGATGGAGTTCACAGTAGGCTCGTGCAGTTGATGCACCCAAGCTCGCCGATCTAAACCTAAACCGTGATTAAAGCCACCCAACAAAAACGCACTTCGAGCTCTCCAAGTATTACCTCCTTCTGCGCATGCATTGATACCCACCATCCTCAGACGCTTGCAATCTATAATCTAACTCGCATTCCATTGTTTGCAATAGATTGTCATGGCCTGCACGACAATGCTACCTAATCGCCAGGTCTTTTTATTTATATCCAAGACAAGGACAGCTTTTCTCAGCTGCAAAACATCGTATTTATGTTCTGTGTGTATGTAATATCGTTGAATTAGCGGCCAAGATCTTGGGACCCCTGGCGCAGGCCTTGTATCTCCTACAGGGATCTTGTACCGGACGAACATCTCCACAATGCCGAACCATATATTCACCCCATCCTCGCGCGTGCATCTTATCTCCTCCTCCTCCTCATCCGATCTTTATCACGTCGTCCCAGCTGAGCCTGTTCCTTTCCTTTTTCTCCCTCTCGCTTTACTCCGCTCATCCTGTTCTGAGTTTTGAACCTCCCGAACTCCCCCCAAAGCACAATTCTTCTCTCTTTTCAGCTCAAGCTTATAATACAAGACGTATCGCGGTATATGCCTCAACAATTCCGCTTTCCCCCCATCTTCGCCGTCCTCGGCAACACGGAGAATCTTGATCTCGCCACCTCCCGCCTCTCGAACCCCAGCTTTGGCCGCGAACAATGCGTCAGTATGATCGCGCAAATGTGACACAGGTATTATATTTTTAGTCTTTGGAGCCTACTTTTGAGAATTGTTCGAGTTCGAAACGGAAGAATCTGTAGCAGGTGTCGATGTCTGGCTTGGCGGGCATCGTTCCAGCCGACATATGTATATAAGTGATATCGATGCTTGGCAGCAGATTTTCAAGACGCAGTTTTGTGTGCCCACCCTTGTTGTACCAGGCTAAGCATATTTCGGTTGCCTAATTTGATCTCTACTAAGTTTTTCAATCCTATTTTCTCTCTTCAGCCTCCAGTACGTCCCACGAGCGCGTCAGTTCGTAGACAGGTAAACGGGGCCCAAACGCGAGCTGCTGTAGCATACAGAAAATATGCAGTGCTAGCACTAAGATACAGGTGTATCAAGTGTTCCTGACGGTTAGGCCAGACATGGCTAGCAATAAAGTTCGCGCTACGACACTACCGCCACTTCAGCAGAGTGTTCTAGCGAGACAGTGACAGGTCATGTTACGCGACACTTCAGAACGGTATCAAGCTTTTTATGACACACATCGTGGCGACCATGTCGAAGCTGTACCCTGTAATCGTTTGGCATCGCGTGGGAATGGTGATTTTGGATGTCGCTGTTCCGAATGCGGCTAACCCTACCATGGTACCAAATTCTTCGCGCGCATAATCCAGACAAGGTCAGTTTCAATTCCACGTTCTGGGTGGTTCTTCCAACGTCTGATTGAAACATGCTCTCCCTAGAGAGCCCGAACAACATATATAAATGCCTTTTGTGTCGATTCAACATGCTCAACATCACATTGCATCCAACTCTCCTTCTATCTACATATCATTTTTTATATCATCATGAGATTCTTCATCTTCGCTACAGTTCTAAGCGCTGGTTTCGCTACCGCCGTACCTATGCTTTCTGAGCAACATTCCGATTCTACTCTAATCACCGAACGCAAGATCGCAATTAGTCCTGCCAAAGATGACCCAGCAGTGCTTGCAACTACCCCATCTGGACTCAATGGAAAGGTGAATAGATGAGACATGATTGTATTCGGAGCAGGATTTTAATATTCCATAGCGAGACCCCGAACCTGTTACTGCAGGTGCTGTTGGAGCCCGAGCTACTGAGGTATCGAGCGTACAGCCAGCTCTTGTTGCACAACGGGGGTTTGGAGAAATCACTCTTGGGAAGGATGACCCAGAGGGACTTCGAGTCTCTCCTGGTCGACCTGGCAATGGAAAGGTAAATTAGCAAGATATGATTGTATTCAGAGCGGCAATCTAACATCTCTTAGCGAGTCCCTGAACCTGCTCCTAGTGCCATTGTTCCAGTCCGAGCTAGTGCCATAGCGAGCGGGTCACAGCCAACTCAGGTTTCACGCGAGATCACAGACGTTAACCCTGCCAAAGATGACCCGGTGGGACTTTAAATCGCTCCATCTGGACCGGGACATTGAAAGGTAATGAGACATAAACACTAGCGTCTATAACCAACGTCTAGTAGATTGTAGAGATCGTACTTATGTAGGAAGGTTGGATCTTATCCGTCATGCAAATCTGCTTGTTCTGGCCGGTGCTTTGGAGGCGTACTTTCCTGCTCTCGCTTATCCTCTCTCCTCACTTCGCAGTCTGTTTCTATCGCACGTATGCATTAATGGCCTACTGTCGTTAGCCCCTATGGCTTTCGACTGCGATGCCCTAACTAATAGAAACCCAGCAATTCAATCTTCCTTCTCAGTAACTACAATAGCATGGTGATCTTGGCGGTATTCAACACGAACCTCGACTGCATTATCTTTTGACATTTCCAAAGACGTCGGCAGTCGATAAAATCGCTTATTTCTGATCAGTAGACTAAGCAGTTTGTGGCTAATATGGCACGCCAAGAATGGGTATCATGATACTGTAAAGGAGATGAGGAATGTCCACGCGCACGAAAAAACCTCCATTTCCAGTACGTCCCATTGACGGCGAGCTGTTCGGTCCTATAAGACGGAGAGTCTTAGTGCGGAGATTCATTCGGTATTATAAGACGGTACCATAGAATCGAGCTTCGGTAGAGTAGCAGTCTACTGGTGGAAAGGGCTTTATCCTTGTTGGGTTTTGTGTTCTGTAACCATGAGAAGAACACAAGAAATATTTTTACTTACTATGGACTATACAATGGTTCAGAGCACTCTTGAGGAGTCGAGCTATATGTTGAACGGATCTGTCCGAAAGAACCAAGTGCATAGACCTCTAAAATACGAGCTTATTCATAAAAAGGGGGCTTATCAGACTTTTCAACAGTCCAGCCGATTGGGAGGCTTGATTTAATCAGGCGTGTAAGTGTCTACGATAGGCTCGTGTCATATCTAATTAGGAAGTTGACAAGTCTGGGGCTTACTATGAACTTGTACGTATTAGAAGGACGTCTCTCTCCCAACCCTACCGATTCTACATCAACCCTTTCTATACATCACTCAACATCAGCCTTGGAAAACATCCGAATCAAGCATGAAATTCAGCCTTGTAGCCAGTGGTCTATTCTTTGCCAGCTTTGCCAATGCATCTGTAAGTCTCCTTTGAAGGAAACCTTGTAAGATTATTACAGCCTAACCATTTCCCTCTAGACAGATTTTCCACCGCCGACAACGGTTACCTGCGCTTGCTCTTTTCAGAATAACAACAGAGATTATAGTTCGACAAACAAATGCTGCGTCCCAAGACACAATTTAAATCCCTCACACCCCAAGGCCGATGATGCCTTCACCTATTGTGAATATCCAGGTATCAAATTGGTGCAACGCCTGTCACGCGAGTTCAACTATTGCTGCAAAGGCAAAGGGGCACGAATCGGCAGCTGCTGGAGTTTTTGAGGAAGTGGATGAGAGAGGGTGTGGGGTTATCAATAACCAAGCCTACCGATCGGCTTGATTGTTGACAAGTGTGAAGAGCTGGGGATAAGTCGGCAGCTGGTGGAATAAGGGCTGAGGAAGTGGAGAAGAGAAGATTAATAATCAAGGCAATCAGTAGGTAACACTGGATTGTTGACAAGGCTAAGAAGGTGCCAGTCAGTTTGCAACCCCTGTCTTGAATTGAACTGCAAAGGACGAGAATTTGAACAATGATTGAACTGTCCTCAGGTGCCAATCCCTCAAGTTGTACTGACGTCAGTTGCCTCGTCTGAGTAGAAACTCCAGTCTCTCTCTCAACACTAAAACCAGCCCGCAACCAAGTACGTACTGGCTTGGTTGACTTTGTTGTTTTGGCGGTACTGTGATGAGGCTACAGGCGGCGAAAACTGCTGTGGTAGATTTCGCGATGCTTCAAGTCATGTAGTTGCCGGCTAACAAAGCTTGGAAGTTCTGATGCGGTCATAGTCTACCTCTGAGAATCTCGCATCGTCATGACGACCCGTGGACGTTGACGTCGCTCACACCACACAAACAGGTGGACATGTAGGTTGACATCAGCGGCATTTAACCTCGGCCAGCCGCGGCGAACACCCTACGCGCGTGCTCACCCCACAATCGGCTAACCAACATGAGAGTGTCAGCTAACCCCACTCAGCTTACTTTCGTCGTCTTGCCAAGTGCCCGGCGCATGATTGGGCCTTGATGCTTGCCGTTTCACCTCGACGGCTGGTAGGTCGCGATACATGCGCGGCCGAGAGTACATGATGTGCATACACCGGAGCAGCACGTTGACCCTCACTCGCGGATGCGACGCAAAGATACGTCGTGCCGGATGCACGTCTTAGTCCTCATCCGTCACGGAACTGCTCCCGACCACGTCAAGTGTCGTGATTTCTGGCCTGATGGTTGGCTGCGGGTGGAGAGACATAGATGCACAGCCTACTCGTGACCTGCATTTCCCCGCATCATGGCCGTCGTATATACAGCCCACATACGCCGCGCTTGGTACGTCTCACCGGACTATACCTCACGTTACAAAGCCGCAAATCAAACACTACTCGTTTCTTTCAAACCGCGGCCGCTGCACCTCTGCGTCTTGGCCACTTCCACTCGACCAAACTTCCTACACTACTCCACCATATCTGGGAATATAAGTCAAACCAACAACCGCCTCTAAACCGAACACAATTCGTCTCATTCAGTACCAAACTACGCTACTATACTACACAACCGCCAACATGTCTTTCCTCCTACGCACATCCACCCCCCTCCGCCAAAGGCTGTTTACCACCTCGGCACGAGCTCGCAATGCCATCTCTATCCAAGATGCGGCTGCAGCACACATGGCATCCACTCCCGGAGCCAGTGCTGTACCAAGACTCGGAAAAGTAGCAAAATGGTTAGTTCTCCTACTTCTTACCCTCACAATCAATACTAACCCATCCAGGTATCTTCCTACCATGGCCATGGTAGCCGCTGGTATGATTTACTTCCCTAGAGGCACAGCATCCGCACAGCCTCGCCGACCGCTTACGCTCGGCGATGCTAATGCCAACATAGGCTTTGGCGTGACCAATGCACTTAACGAGGCAAACCGCAAGGTTCATGTCACACTTCAACCCACTCAGGAGCAGAGGAACCAAATGCTCATGGACTCGTACGGCGAGCGCTCCAGCCTGGAGGACATGGAGAGGGCTCTGGCCGGTCTTGAGGAAAAGCTCTCCAGCAAGAAGGACCGAGCCACCATGTTGGAGGAGGCGTACGGTGGCCGCGCAAGCATTGAGGACCTTCAGAGGGCTATGGAGCTTTACGAGGTCCAGTGATTGAAGCGACCTAGCCAATAAGAGACGGAAACATCACCAGCTTCGCGCTGTAGGGCGCATACCCGCTTCCGGGGAAGTGAGGGCAGGGAAAGAGAAGAAGAGAGAGCGATATTCGCGCGCTAGACGCTGCGACGGCTTCTCCGCCAGGCTACGAGTAAGGGAGGACTCAGGCCCGTCCATGTATCTCCATAGATTATCGGAGGCATTGTGCGGTTTCGCATTGGGCATGGCGTTTCCAGTGTTTCGCAAATAGACTCCAAAACGGGGCTACGAAGCATGGACTTCATAACAATAAATCAACATTTATGAACGTGCAATGCTGTCAATCCTCCATGGTGAAAGTTGGTGATTTCTGCCGGCATGATTTTCGGCTTGACGCCACCCCACATTCCGAGTACACCCATCCGGCCGCGCTCATCTTGGGCGTTATCGCACGGGCTTGCGACTACACTATGTATGCCGTCTAGTCTCCACGCTGTCACTCGGCAGTCCTTCTGCATCACAGCCGAGGGCAACTCGATATTACACTCAACTCGGTCCTGTACGTAACATCGGTCGTAAGCTACAGTGCGGTAGACTCTAGTCTTTATCGGTCATGACAAAACTCCAAATCTCTCTACAAATTCCCCGCCGCATTCGTTCTGGCCTTCTTTCCAAAATCTGCCTAATGCGCGCTCTTTCATTGTTCCTCGCAGCCTCCGTCTCAATCTCCTCTTGCATGTCGGGATCCATGCTGACACTGAGATGCATCTGCTCTTCTTTGAACGGATCCTGGAACATACCCGTGAGGCTCACGAGATTGTCATTCTGCGCATCCATTTCGTGCGACCCAAAGCGGTGTCGCGGTACTGGGGGTGTTGATGTCGGGCCCTCGAGCTCGATGCTGGATAAGTCTTCCAGCACGTAGTCTTCGACTGTGAGGTTGCGAATGTCGACGCGGGATGTGCGCGGGAAGATGTACTTGTAGGATAGGTAGAGTGATGCGAAGAACAAAGGTCCAATATAAGCTCCGATGACGTCAAAGAGAAGACTGATTGTTGACTTGAGTTGGGTCCCTGAGGTTGAACTGCGGTTTATGCTGCCCTTGGTCACAAGGATCGCCAGTGGTGGTATGCCCGACCATATAATCACAAATGCACTGCCTATGATACCGATATACGCGGGAAGTGGCTGCCACCGAGACTTAAATAGGCGCGACCTGTAAAGTGGATGTTCTCGCGAGAAGATCCTTCGTTTCGCCAAGCGGTCAAGTCCAGCTTTGAAGCGCAAGAATGTGATGCAGAGAAATAGGTTGATGCAAGTTGCAGTACCGGTGTAAAGCTCGGAAAGCGTAATGCTCGGTTGTGAACCCGACTTATCCGCCAAACCGATCAGTGACAAGAACCCAAGTGCTGAACACAAGAGAATTGCCGCTAGAGGTGTATGACCGTTGTTGGTTCGGCCGAAGATGTTAGCTATTCTTCTCGGAAGGTACTGCTGTGATAGCATGAAGACGCTTCGCGAGGCGCCATATAGATCGTTGTTTGCGGTAGTATACGCCGACACTATGAAGAATGCATTGAGCACTTTTGGTAATGCCGTGAGTGAAGACTCTTCCGCAGCAACAATAAATGGCGACCTGGTGGATATGTTGCTTTTTGCCCACATCTTGGAAAGATTGGGATTGGCGTAGTTGACGTTCGCTCCAGCAGCGAACATGGCAAAAGGGTACATGGTTAGTGGGACGAGGTAGACAAAGGACATGGTGATTGGAATATCCTTCCATGGGTGCTTTGCCTCTCCCGCAGTCATGGCGACAAGATCTGTTCCGAGACAGGAGAACATGGCTAGTGTAATTGACGTGCTTTGAGGACAGTCAGCTTCTGGTATCAAGTTTAAGTTGGGGTACTTACATGAAGGCGAACACAGTGCCTCCAGGCCCAGAGATACCAAAAGAATCTTCGGAGACGCCCCTAAGTCTGAGTGGAATAGAGCCAAGGCTATCATATCCATTAGGTTTAAAGCCAGGCGTGAATGCATTCTTAGTGTAGTCTAGAACCCGACTTAGTACAACATAAGTGTTTATAGGAGTTTGATACTTACTGTCGGAATAGTTTCCCTGTATTTTGCGACCCCCGCCTTGACAGTCTAGTTAGCAATGGGACTCACGGCGTATTACCGGACTGAATGCTTACCTCCGAAGTTGAGTATGACCATCATAATGCAAACAAATAGCAGCAAGATAATCTTGAACCACATGACTGCCTGATCACGTCAGTCGCTCGGTTGCATGTGCTAATACTGGACTACTCACTCTCTCAATCTTCCCGTATAGCTGACAAAATATTAATTTTATACGACTCAGCGATGGCGATGACTCACCTTGACACCGAGGCAGTGGGAAAATGTCGTCAAAGCGATGAAAGCGATGTTGATAGCTGCCTCCGTACCAGTGCTATGCGGCTTCTGATCTTTCTTCAGATAGGTAGTGAGCTCTGCCGCATTCGCAGTAAGACTAGCCATTGCGCAGATCTTGCCCAGTCTATTGCGCTTTCAGTAATTTCCTCAAAAACATGACTTGATACTTACCCATACATGGCTGCAATGGCAAACCCACACGCAGGATCCAGAAAGGTGTGGGGCAGGTCAATCAGAGCTCCCGTCAAGGGTCGACATGCTACCATCTCAGTAATGGTATACATAACACAAGCAACGATACCACCGGCAAAGACATAGCTAACAGCTGCTCCCAAAGAGCCAGTGGTTGCTATCAGATTGCCAGAACTGATCAAGATTCCTCCGCCTATGCATCCGGAAATACCGATACCTACTCAGTTAGATGGCAGAAAGGCACGAACTACTGCTCAAGTACTCACCTGCAAGCTGAGGTCTGCTGAGTACACGGTCAAGATGCTCAGAATGCTTCACATAGTATGGCGATCGGTCTAGGGGTCGCTGCTCCTCATCCATGGTGAGCCGGTTTTCACGAAGAGAAGAATCAAGAGGTACGATAAGTAAGAAGCTTTTACGGTCATTGAATCGTCCCAGCTGTAACTACGTCTCGCTTATGCAAAGTTACAGCCTTCTCCGAACTGCTGCCTGTGTATGTGAGGCGTGAGGCTTAGACAATACCGGTCGCTTCTCCAGATGCCTGGATAAGCCACCACATAGCGATCTAACTTCAATGTGTGATAGTATCATTGGCATGTGACTTGGCGTGGTGGTGATTGGCTGCTTGAGGCGAAAACCGGTCTATATGTGGTCATAGGTGTGCATTTGAGAGCTAGTACGAAAACGCCACAGCGAATTACCATTGGCTCACTCTTACATTTTTTAACCAGCCGCACTCTCTGTGTTCCCCCGGTGTACATTTTGAGCATTTGCTGTACGGGTAACGCCTGCAGCCACCGGTTCAAGTTAGCCCGCCTAGTCACGCGCGGTGCAACCAGGCGCTCGCCAATGACTTGCAACTGATAAGGAAATTCGTATTTAGGTAAGCATATGGGCTGAACGCGTAGTGGAGGCCGCAGCCAGTCTGTCGCCTCAAGCAGACAAGGCCCTCCATGGATCATGGCTGGAGTTGACTGCTACTCCACATTGCTGCCGAGACCATCTTACTGGGAACGAGTTAACAATGTCCGTTACAAGCAGCACGTTTTCGCACCCGTCGGCACGTCGCTCCTCATTAGCGGCTGAGCATTTCCGGGTATCCACAGCCTCGTCCGTTTCCCACACAGAAAGCCGTCTGCAACAGCCCAGGCAACTGTTCGCAAGAGCACACAATGTCGGAACATCCATTTCGCCATCGGGGTGGGTGGCCGCGTATTCGTCAAAACAGATACGACTGTACAACGTAAAGGGCGCAAATAGAAATCGCGAAATTTCAATCGAGACGTCCTTCGACATCCCTATGCTTTCGAAACACGAAGAGATAAGAGATGCCGCGTTGTCGAACGATTTAATTGCCGTCATCACACATACTCGACTGCTGGTATACGATGAGTATCGCGGAAGCGGGGGCCAAGTGCGCGAACCTCTGCACGAGCAACGGATTGACCAGGATGGAAGCTGGACGCCAAGGTCTCTGGCCATCTCACAAATTGGTGCTCCGGGAAATGACACAGAAGCAACAGCGAGCATAGCTGTTGGTGGGGAAGGAGAGGGCGGAGTTAAGATCTTTAGGTATAGATACACCGCAGGATGGAACAGACAGCACGATCGAATAGTCCTGAGGTGTCCACGAAATAATGGAGCCATCAAGGTGGTGGGGTTTTCGCCCTCTAGGCCTGATGCCATCTTTGGACCAATGATATACGCTTTGACGACGGGCAATCGGTTGTACTGTTGGGCAATCAGCCTGAGTCCAAGGGTCGGTTTGAGTAATCGTGTAGATCCAAGCTGGCAAATTGACTGTAACTCGAGCAGCAACGAACGTGTAAGTAGTCTGCGCTGAAGCTTTGTGCAGATCTGACGCTAGACAGGCTTATCGCGACGAGATATCGACCGCAACGTTCATCATATCTCCAACGGGAAGACCGTACATCCTCTGCACCGTGGATCACAAACCCGGATCGCACCTCTACCCAACTTTCATTGTGCCCATCGATATGCTTCAAGAAGATCCACAGAGCCTTCGACAGTTGATGAAGCCAATACCCGAAAGTGCAATTGGACAGAGTGTTCTTGCAGGTGTCGCATCTTACAACGGTTACTTTCTGGTGGTAGTGGAGAAAGGGAAGAAGAATAACGTCTTCAAATTGCTAAGTCTTCAGGGCGCGGCTGGAGGTGGTTTGACATGCGCTGCTACTCGGATGCAAACATGGGATGCCAGACTCAAGGCCAATAGAATCGATAGCTCAAGGATATCGATATCTATTGAGGAAGAAACGGCTGCTCTTGAGCTGATTGCGGTGGATGGACAAGGACACGTTGTCTATTCAAGGATTAGCGTACCAGATATGCCAAAGACTCGGATCACCCACGTCACACTACGCACAGCACCGCCTATCGCTGAGCTTCCGTACAACCCAAAAGTGAGAGAGCTCTCGTCAGATGAAAGTAGTCGCCATTCTACAGCAGCGTCTGAGTTGGCAGAACGTGTTGAGATTATCCCGGAATGAAGTGACAACGCAATGATATGTGGGATGTTACAATAACCCCCTCTCCAGGGCATCGTCTTGGAAATCGCTGAAGTCGTTCCTGGCATCACATTCCCAGCTCAGGAGCGACATATTCAGGAGTAGAAGGGGCAAGGGATAGAAGGTTTATTGACATGCATCAATCACATGGCACTCACGTCATGCTGACTAATATTGCGTCACCTGTCAAGCGCAAACTCCTGGGTGGGATGAAATACTTAACAGTATGGGAAAGCACCGAATAGGCGTGTCGTGCCCAGGTGTCACCCAGGTGTAGCAGCTTCCCGCCTGACAATCGCCATCACTGTCTTGGTCTTACACATCACGACGAGTAGCAGAAGTTGCAGGGAGCATTCCCCATTGAAACAGCACCTGTGTTCGTCAGGGCAGTAACGATTTTGAACAACTGTTTGGATACTAGTGGCAGGGAGTGCGACTGCAAACTACATGTGCCAAGTAGAACGTGCTTGCCATGCAGTCCACTTGGATGCGGATGAAGAAGGAGAAAAGCTCCAGGAGCACTCCATTTATTCCGAAGCTCTTCGCCTCATTCTTCACCAAGATCATTCTCTTCCATCACCTTTTGGACCTCGATACATCCTTGCATCTTTCTATCATACCACTCACCTAACACGGACTACTGGCAACGGTTCGATCATCGAAGTCACATTGTCAGCATCTTTAAACCTCACACCAACACCAAGCCTATCGCTGCCCCAAAGCCATGTTCGCAGAAACAGTTCTTCTCATTTCCGCCTTCCTTCTAGGACACGCCTCTAGCGTCCCATACCCGCTGCCCAACTCTACCTACTCGTCCAACAGCACAATCTGCGACCTCAACCCCGTCCTCTGCGAAGGCAACCCAAACTCGCCCGACCTACCACCTGCACCCATCGGCGATTACATCTGCCACCAAGTCTTTCCCATCGACCTCATCGTCGTAAACTCGCGCTACCCAGAATACGACATCGATCACCTGCACCGATCCCACGACTTCTTCATGCTACGCCGCCAGATCAAAGACCAGGGCGAGATCGCTACACAAGTACAGTTCGAAGGCTTGCCCAAGAATACTTCGAACCTTACCTGCCGACTTGAATTCGTGCTTCCTCGTGAAGATCTGCAGCGCATCTCCGGTCCCAACCCCAGCTTCAACGTGTACCAGGTCGAGCGAGAAACGAGTGCGGTTGCGACGTGGGTTATGTATGAGAATGATAAGAGCGCGTCATTTTTCGGCACTGTCAATGGGGAGGAGGAGGCGCTGCAGAGGACGAGGAGTGTGGGGGGTGTTGCGGCTATCAACAGCACGGCTTGCAATGAGACCATGTCATTTACCATGGCTATGATGTACGACAGCCCGAAGCCGAACTATTGGCAGTTTTCCAATGTCGCGCCTCCTGCATTTCCGGTTCAGGGGTTCAAGATTGTATATGGGTGTTGAGTGATGTGGGTGGGTGAGGTTGTATCCTTTAGTTACCTTGCTTTCGATTTGTATTCAGTAGAGGTATACCCAGTTATTAGAGTGAGATCAACTTGATTCTGTAGTGTACTATCTCTCTGTCCATGTCTAGAATTGGAAGGAGATAATAACGCTAGTCTATAGGAGTCCTGGAAAATAGAGTTGTCCCCGCTTTTTTTCTTAATAGTCAACAACTTTTACACCAAGCATGCGTAAACTTACAAGCAGACTCGTAGATGCTGATAAATACCGACTTCTGGAGTAAGACATCGTACCCCGCCCGCTCCGTACGATCGGTCGAATAAACCTTGTCAGTGTTGGGTCGTCTGAGGATTACCGCCGTCCTCGTGTTGGCATCTGTGCATCTGTGCACCCGCCCAACCCCTTTCGCAAGCTCGTGATACGTTCTAAAATAGGTAAGGTTATCTTCTTAGATATGAAAACTACCAAAGTCTAGATGTTGGGCGGTCTGAAGATTGGAGTACTTAAATCAACCTAGTTGCCCTTGGTCTGCTAACGAAGTACTATCCAACATCACCCCAGTCTTCTTCACAGTACATCAGCCACCAACACAATCCATTACATCTACCTCCTCGCACCACTTGTCGGAATCGCAAGCGCAAACATATACCCAGTCCACGATTTTACAGGGGGCTTCTGCGAACGGACCGCAGCAGTAAGATATAAATGTAACCGTTGTATAGAATAAAGAGCTTAATTTTATAACTATAACTAGGGAAAATATATGGTTCCTGAAAATTACAAGACCCGTGATCTCCTGCTCCAGCTACAGGATTTCTGTAGACACATGCAAGGGACAGGTCAACTAAGAGCGGATACTATCGCTGTTAAAGATCCCCACAAGCCATGTAGACCTATAGCATCCGTCAACGGTGGTAAGGCTAGGGATTTTGGTGTAACTGTAGGTAGTTATCATCTATCCCCCTTCTTCTTTTTTTTTGCTAACAACCAACTTTGATAGTTCCAATGCTGTTAGGGTTAGAGCCACTTTCATTGAAATCTCAAGGACTTTCTAAATTATTTGGAGGGTGGCATGGGGCCATCATTGTCGTGGATCAAAATAGGGAGGGACGACATCTACGTTTACATGGCGAAGTCAACCGCGGTACTCATGTGGAGTTGAACCGTACCATTAGACACAAGCCAACAGCAATTCAATGTCATCGAAAACCTCCGGGTCACCCATCTTATCTATACCGCGATCAACAACTTGCGCGAAATCAAACAGGCCTTGTCTCTTCACGTTCCGTCCCTTGCTCATGTATTCGATTTACGACATGGATCCGATACGATTTCCCCCATGTTTGCGATCGGCGGAGTTTGGACAAAACACGCTTTTCGGGCCGTCGGGTGTGTTTACATGGGGTATCATTCAAATTGTGAACTATTCTTTACACACTAAATACAACTTCTCGTTCCTGCCTTGTCCTCCTCTTGAATGTCCGCATGGAAGCCATCGTCCATCTCCTCCTCCCGCCGTCACCATAACCACCCACACTTCAACGCGTCTACGACAACTCGGTAGCCAACTGAGAAACCTGATCCAAAAGCGCCTGATCCTCACCCGCGCCATTAGTAAGAACCTTCTCCTTCAAGTGCTCGACCGTCTTCGCCGGGTCCGTAGGCGGCGTCCCCCTCGCCGTCATAATCCTCGCCATCTGGAAATCAAGGAAGAACTTGGGAACCTTGATAGCGAGACTACCACCCACACTGCGAACACCAGCTTCCGTAGCGAGATAAACGTTAAGCGCGTCCTGGAAAGCAACGTCATTTGAGTCGTCGAGCGGTTCCGCCGTGTTGAAAGTTTCGAGAGCGAAAGCCAGGGGAGATTTTCCCGATTTAGTAAAGTCAATTTTGGAAAAGGTTTGCGAGCCGGAGGTTACGTCGGGCACGTTTTCGACGGTTTTTACGCTGGTGGAACAGGTGACTTTGCTTTTGATCTGGTCGACTACCGCTGCTGTTTCGGCGGGGAGCGTTTCTTTGCCGATGACGAAACAGGCGGCGCCCGCGGCTTGACGGGTGAAGATCATGGATGGGGGCATGGCTTGGGGCATGGCTGCAGCGAGGCCGCTGAGGAGGGTAATAACGGTGATGGCGTTTGTGTACATGTTGATGACTGGCTGGCTGACTAGTTTGTTGATCGATATGACTGAATAGAAGCTAGGTAAAATAATATAGAATATAACGAATGTACCCTAACCGGAGGGCAGGAAAAAAAAGATATAATAGCGACAGACAGGCGACGAGAGCAAGGCAAAGGAGTTCTGGAATGAAACGCCAATGAAGAAGGCAATCCAGTGCGAAGATCGCGTCGCTCTTATAACCCAGCGACGGAAAAGCTATCGTGACCGCCTGGCCAGGCGCCTACGGCTATCAAGGCATCTTCTCGCGGTGTTCCATGTGTCACTAAAGCGTTGCGACACTTTTGACAGGGCTGTCACGTTCTGAAGTTTGGTGTCGCGACGTTGCGGGTTTGAGAAAGTAGCGGCCTGGGAACATTGTCGGTTCGCTTACACCCAAGAGGGTTGCACCGCCGCCGAGGTGTCGGGCCCGTCGTCCAATAAAGCGCGTAGCGTGGATTATTCACGGGGGATCCAGCCATGTTTTCTTCAGGCGAAACACTGTGCTTACACGCCTTGGCGGTGGGAAAACGCAGGAGATGGGGGCAAAGGACTTTTGCAGGAGTTGCTCAATGCCGCTATTTCCGTTCGTTTACGAGCTGGCGGTTTGGAATGACGTTGGAAGAAGAAGGTCGCAGTGGCGTTTTCGCTATCATTGTCTCGATGGGGTTTAGATTGGTATAGAAAGCTTTGTTTCCGATGTGCGGTATGGCATGTGAAGGGTATAGCATTGTGGTTGGTGAACCATTTGGTGCATCTCCCGTCCGGGTGAGGATCCCACCTGGGCGGAACATTTTCCCAACCCAGAAACATGTCACGATGTCATACCGCACGCATATGCTGTAGCTATCTAAGTTCTTATTTTCTAGTGAAAAGTCTTCATCCAACATGCATGCAGCATCAACTCTGGTATCAATCATATGCACCAACCCAAATCCTCGCTTCGGATCCTGTACTCAAGGAAACGCCATCCCTAAGAGCCCGTCTATGCATATCGAGCGCCCCCGGCGTATTTCAGCTAATGCCCACATGCGCCGTCCTACATATGAAGGTGGGTGCAAAGTTCCGAGAAATAAAAACTAGGTGAAGCTGACAAAAGGAAAATGGTGCCCGCTCAGGCCATGCTAACATGTTGTAAATCCACTTTTGAAATCCAAAACGCAAGAAAAAGGGTATTTGAGTTACACGGTAGTCGTCCTCGGGCTGTGTGCCGGTCGTTCCGTTTTTTCCGCAAGAGAACTCTTGAGCTGGTCACCCGACGTCCGCGGGTGGGTAGGTGACTCTTCGGCAATATCGCTCATGTCTGACGCGCTGTCTGAATCTGACTCTTCCATCTTGAACGCCTCTCGGAAATTTGACGGTGTTATCGTCTGTGATGATACATGTCGCTGCTTTGTGGTGTCGGCAGACAACTTGCGTTGTTTCAAAGTTTCGACGGACAGGGTTCGAGAATGCTCGTTGCTATCGCTCCCTGGAGATAACGCGGCTGCCGTGCCACTGCTGATGATACTACCATCCCGTTCGTCAGCCGAGGCTGCTTCCGACGCCTCTTGAAGTTGTTTCTTGGTCTTCAGACGCTCTTCTGCTGTCATGTTGTGCCAATCAGAACCAAACTGGATAACAGAAGCCTTCTTGCCGTGTACGGTGAAGCTGCCCTTGCTGCGCGCCAGCCCCTCGCTTTCTGTGTTGTCGCTGGCGATTGTCGACGCAGAGTCTCGGCTCTTGTGTCCGCGGCGGTGAGAAGAATTTCCACGGGAATCTCTAAGGGTACGGTGTAGGCTTCTTCGCTGCTTTGTTCGTGACCTAGGTGAGCCTGTAAGAGCAGCGATGGCTTCGTTGTCAGACCCCTGAGCATCTGTTCGAGGGCCTTCCAAGGGCGAGAAATCTGGTGTTTTGGGGTCCAGTTCTTCGGCCTCGCCAGGAGGTGGTGTTGCATACTGGGATCCATGTTCAGAGTCAGAGTCGTAATCAGAGTCGATTGTGCCATCGCCCGTGGTCGATATAGAAGGTCGATGATCAGCAGGATACATCCTTGGAGAGTGTGCGGAAGAGCTGGCAAACGAGCTCCGCCTTTCAGACGTTGTGGGACCAAATGACATTGCAGGAAGATGGAAATGGGCCGATGGATCGCTGGGACTCGACTGTCGAGACGTCTCGGGTGGAGTCCTGAAAGTCTCATCCCCACCAAACTCAGTGTCTCTGGATGACTTTGTTCCTGGCCTAGCTAATGAACCAGGGGACAGCGGGGCAGGTTTGTTGCCACTAGTAATCGAACTCGTCTTGCTAGTCAGTCGCGCCAATCCACCGGCTATGGACGCTTTTCGGGACTGTTGGGGAGAAAGTTGTGACTGTGCTGGTTGTGGTTGAGGTTCAGTGGCTTGTGCTTGTCGTTCGATGAAGCCCTGCCTCTCGTCTTCCAATTCCTGGGCTAGAATGTCGCGATGACACTTCATCCTCCAGATTTCGATGCGCGTCCATTTCAGTTTGGCCGATAACCTACCTGCAGCGTGAATGACGAGCTCGCGCGTTTTCGGTTGTATAGGAGCCAGGATCTGAAGGTGTCTTGCATCCCGTAAGCGTGCTTCCAGTCCTTTGATCGCCTGGGTAAGCTTGTCCTCTGACTCAGTAATGCGAACCTGCATAAGCTCTTTTCGGGCGTCCATCATCTGCTGCGCAAACTGATTGTCAATCTTGCCGCTCTGAACTGCCACATCGCCGCTAGCCGTTGGCACTGTCTTTGTAGAGTGAGAGGATTCCAGACGTCGCATGCCTCGACTCTTTTGCCCTTCATACAATCCACCAATCATGCCTCTTGAACGAACACCCAGTGTTTCAAACGCAGCGGTGTAGTTGAGTACGCCTAGCCATTCGTTCAGGTCCTTTTCACTGTCCGCCAAAAACGTCTCCTCGCCCGACTTGGAGAACATGACAAAGGCATGTTTGTGCTTCTTGTACGTATTGTCCACAAGCGCAACTGCACCATCCATGGGTATGATGTGATCTTGTTTGAAATCTGGCAGTGCAGGCTGGAACACGACAGGGCCCCCATCGCCTCGCTTCAGATGTTGATCATGCTGACTCATGAGGTTCTTCGCCCATGTCGAGTTGCGGAAAAGAGACAGCCCAGACCGGGTCAAAACAGCGCCCCATTCTTGCCAAGGTGATCGTGCCTTTTTCTTCTTGGTATCTTTTCTCCACAAAACTCCAACTTTGGTGACGGGCATTTCCACGATGCCGACCGAGGTGCCCTGCGGGTTCTCCTGCGCGGCTTCCGACATGAAGGCCTCCGGTCTTGATCGAGAGGAGACGATTTGAATTACGCCGTACTTTGAGAACAGCTTGTAGATATTCTTAGTATCTAGTGTGGCGGTGGTTCCGGTGTAGTTGTAGGGGTCGTCTAATTGCATTACGTCGCGGATCGTGGGGCGGAGGGCGTCGAGTTTGCCTTCGAAAATCAACGTATACGGGTCGAGAGGTTCCTTGGATACCTTCTTGGTCGGGTCGGACATTGGCCCTTTGAGTACAGCGGTTCTCTTGCTCTTCTTAGAGGTAATGTTCTTGAGGTCGACCTCGTCCTCGATGTGAATAAAGGGGGTGTAAACGATGTTGTCGTAGAAGCAGCCCAATACGTCAGCCGAAACGCCTTCACAGGATGAGTTCTTGATGTAATCCGGTCTCTGCATCTTCCGCTTGTTGTTCTTGTTGAAGACGTCGGTGTGAAGGATGATGATGGAAAAGGATATAAAGTACGCTTTGTCTGTATTGTGTTAATAGACTTGAGACGCTGTGCCGGATCGTCATATTTACCTGTGTTAATGTAGATGCCAGGGTTGCATTCGTGGTAGCGATCGGCGAAGCCCTGGAGTACGCGGTCAATCTGCTGCGTCTCCTTTGGTAGCTCAACTTGCATAAGCAGCTTGCGGATGGCCATGTCTATTGGATCACCGAAAAAGGCAAACTTGCGCATATAACTCCGCAATACGGCGAGAAGAAAGGGGTCGTCGGTCTTGCTGAGGTAGCTAGCAACCACACTCTTGTCAAAGTTGTTCGCCTCGATGCGTTCCAGGTATCTACCAGGCGTCTCACCCTCCTCGCGCTCTGGTAGTATAAGGGTTTCACGACTAATGTTCATCGAGTTCTGGTGCGAAGAAAAGGCCGAGTTCCCTAGAAAGCCGTGAGCAGGTGAAGCATGTCTGGGTGAATAGGGCTCGGAGTTCTGACGAAAGCGCGCGCTGAGGCCAAACAAATTGCTGAAACTGCTCCGTCCTGCCGTCGTAGAAGTCGACGTCCTCCCGCTGGGGCCGCCGGGCGGGGTGGGGGAGCCAGCGTCGTCAGAGTGGCCGCCCATTGAGCCCATGGTCGACGAGCGCCCCCGAAGCCCCACACGCGGTTGGCCATTGGCGTTCGGCGACGAGCGAGCGGAACGGGTTGATCGGTACGAGTCGTTGCGAAAGAGAGAGCCTGCACCGGGTGAGGGCAGATTCAAAGCGCCAGCAGCTAGGGCAACTTGCGATGAAGAAGGGACCGGTGGCGTTTGAGTGCCCGGTTCTCCATGCTGGGTGCGACGTGCCGTCAGCGGCGGACTGCCCGTGGGCGAATGCTGGGTAGAGGCAGTACTTCTTGCGCCCGTCGAGGCACGTGGCGTAGCAGGCGCGGTGTCGGGAAACTGCGGGGGCTCGATCTTCATGGGCAATGGGAATAATGATGCACGCTGCTTCCGCCGCCCAAAACCAAAACGCGCCGAGCCAGTCCTTGACGTGTGTGAGGGTCGCGGAGTATGGTCAAAGGAAATGTGTCCGCCGGAGCTTCCATCCGACTTTGAGGATTCCGACTCCCGTGTGGCAGGAGGGGCCAGGGAGCTGGTGCTTTCCGCAGACTCGCGCGACTCGGTAAGCACGTCGGGTCGCTGGCTGCTCGTCGACACCCGCGCACTCTCGTCGTCCAACAGGTTGACCTGACTCCGCCTGAAACTCAGCGGCTTCCGCTTCCTGTCCATGGACTTGCGCAACGTCGACGGCTTCTCGCCCAGTGACGGGTCAAAGGAGCGCCGCCTGAGGGAGAAGTGCTGCATCCTGCTCCTCCTGGGCGTCGGCTTTTCCTCTTCTTCCTGCTCTTCCTGCTCTTCCGGTTCCTCTGGTTCGGAGACGGTGGGTGCGGTGGTGATGATTGCGGGCGCTGTCAGGTATACGTCAGTACGGCACGGCACATATATACACACGGGGTACCGGGATGCATATACATACGCGCAGGATGGTCGGGTACGGCAGGGACAGCAGGGACCGCAGGGACCGGGGGAGCGTCTTCGTCGGCCTGGGCGTGTTCCTTTGCTTTTATAGAGAGCTGCGAGTCCGAGGCATGGCGGAAGCGCATCAAGCTGAAGCGCCTCGTGTTGGGCGTGTGCTGCTGTACGGGCGGAGAGTGGCCATCGTGGCCGGTCGAGGGCCGCGCAACGTCTGATGATGTTGGACGGAAGCCATCCTCGGAGTCAGCAATGCGCGCGGCGTCCAGATTGTCCGTCGACTGAATGAAGCGCGCGTCCTTGTCGGCGCGCTTGAAGAGGCCAGCCGGATCGAGGGTGCTGCGGCGTTTGAGGTCTCGTTCGCTGCGATTTGGGCGGAGTGAGCGCAGAGGCATGTCTGCTCGCGCCGGCTAGCAGCTCACGAAGGCACAAATGGGGTCACGGTGCGGCACATGGCACAGCGGAGAGGAGGGGTAGTGCAGGTATGTAGTCTCTCTAGGATGAGTCGGATGCGGCACGCTTATAAGGCTGAAGGAGTGCTACTAGCATCCGCCGGCGAGGAGAGTGAGATCAGACGGTGCGAGTTGGAGTTGCAGTGGTAGTGCAGTGCAGTGAGTGCAGTGCAGTGCAGGTAGTACAGTAGCAATAGCAGTAGCTCGGATATAGAGAGATGCACACAAGTCGACGTCACTGTGTCTTTTGTCGCGTATATAATACGTATAGGGGGGACACCAGCTGTCGAGCAAGCACTGGCGGGCGCGCATTGGTACACAGCGCCTCAGCGCCCAGCACCTCGGTGGAGAGACGGGGCGGCACCAGCCACAAGTTGCGCCTTACAGTAACTATACAGTACTGACAGTGACAGTGACAGCGTAGACTAGGTTCAATAGGCCCTTCTGCCGTATACAGCAGCTTTTGTATACTAGCATGTCAACCATCTCATGTCATCCAGGTGCGCCTTGCCCAGCAATCCGGCTTCGGCTTCTGCGCCATCCAGTCCAGGGACCATGTCCAGGCAAGCACAAACACACGACCTCACACCTCCTCACTTCCTCGATCTAGCTCTCGCTCTCTCGCTCTTCCGGCCCCCGCCGGTCACGACGACAACAACCAAACAGCATTGCCCTGTACTTCCGCTCCGTCCCGGGTAATCAATTCGCTATGCGCCCGCCAACCTTTGCACTGCTTAGCCTGTTGCTCTTTGGACCCGCCCCGTCAACCGCCGCCCCGCGTGATGCAGGAACACATTCAACCACCCACTCCCAGCTGAGTCCATGGCGCAAACTGTCAGACGCCATAACAACACAGGTCTGGCCACTACCAGGGAGCCCAGAGAGTAAAGAGAGTAAAGACTCGCATGCGACGAGCAATGCGCTAGGCAAGAGACTGGCAGCCGAGTACAGCGACTTCACCGTGCTGCGATTCAATATCAGCACAGCCAAAGATGCCAAGGCGCTCGCAAGTGCAGTAAATGACCTGTTCCTCGATGTGTGGGAGTCCAATGAAGATTGGGCCGATGTATTTCTGTACAAAGACGACGTGCTTCGCCTGCGTAACATCCTTCCCGAGTCGCTACTAAACGCACACCAACCACTCCTTCAAGGCCGTGACCTCGTCCAGGCCATCTTGGACACTTACCCAACCCCCGACAATGACCGCTTCTCGCCGAGCCTCCGAGCCTCCCGCCCGTCACCCAAGGGCCATCCCTTCTTCCAAGACTACCAGCCCCTCTCGGTGATAGATCCGTGGATGCGTCTCATGTCGTCCATGTTCTCCACACACGTCCGCCGTATCACGGTCGGAATCAGTTTCCAGGGCCGCGACATCCCCGCCCTCCGCGTCGGCGTCCACCCTACAAACAAGGAAGAGCCTCTTAAGCCACGAAAAACCATCATCATCACAGGCGGCCTCCATGCTCGCGAGTGGATATCGACAAGCACCGTCAATTTTCTGGCGTGGAGTTTGATTAATGGCTATGGGAAGGACCGCGAGATGACGCGTCTCTTGGAAGAGTTTGACTTTGTCTTTGTTCCCACCTTGAACCCGGATGGCTACGTCTACACGTGGGAAACTGACCGTCTGTGGCGCAAAAACCGCCAGCCAACGGGAGGGCCAAGTTGGGGGTGTCTTGGTGTCGACCTCGACCGCACCTGGTCTTACATGTGGGACAGCGCCTCAGCCAACATCTGCAGTGAATCCTATCCCGGCAAAACACCCTTTGCTGGCGTAGAAGCCGCGCGTTTTGCCGAGTGGACCAAGAACGAGACGGATAAGAATAACGTTGAGATTGTGGGTTTCTTAGATCTGCACTCGTACTCGCAACAGATCCTATATCCCTATAGCTACTCTTGCAACGATGAGCCACCAGCCATTGAGGACCTCGAGGAGCTCGCTCTAGGCCTTGCAAAAGCAATTCGTTTCTCTCGAAAAGGCCAGACATACAAGGTCACATCGGCTTGCGAGGGCAACGTAGCTTTTGCCGGCCAAAAGAAAACCACCCTGCCCCGCATTGAATCGAGTGGGGGCAGCGCCTTGGATTTCTTCTATCACGAGATGAAAGTGAGGTACTCGTACCAAATCAAGCTTCGAGACACGGGCAGCTATGGCTTCCTACTGCCCAAGGAGAACATTATACCGACAGGTGAGGAGATGTTGGATGCACTTTTGTATTTTGGCCGCTTCATGCGTGGCGAAGTAGGTCTGGCCAAGCAGCAGCAGCAAGGCCCAAAGAAAGGAGAAGTCCTTTTACAAAAACTGCGTACGGATGAGGGAGAGGAGAGTGAAATTATTGAGTTGTGAAATTAGTTATAGTCTATTCGCATTCACAAGCTTGACAGACACAGGCCGTTGTAGTTTACACAGATACCATTAGTACGGCGTTGATTGTCGTTTAATCAATAATCACTACTGACGTTGTGTATATTTGCATGTGTGGATGCAGCTGACGAACACGATCGTATTCACTATACCAGATGGATACAGGCGGTGGACATGCTGGGATGTGGGAAAGCGGTTATAACGGCCATGCATATCGTCCCCTTGCACGTGGGCCCCGGCCCGTGCCCTCCTAGTCAAGAGCTCAGATCCCTTCACGTCATTGCTCGAACAATCTGCAGCCGCGCCCGTCACCCATCGTTACCACCCACGCCTACTTTGGCGCCGCCAGCACTCGGCACCCACGACCCATTCACTTGCTTGTGAAGCCGCCTGTCAATTTATCATTGATAGCCGCGTCGCTAGAATTTGACCATCAAGTCGCCATGGCGTCCAGCTCCACTGAAACCACTCCCCTGGTCTCGTCAATGTCAAGCTCCAGCCGAACAATACCGCCCAAGCCTCAGCGTACCGTGACATTTAACCCGACCGTCACGTCTACCAGCCCGAAGCCGCCGGCTAGATCGGTATCGCATGTTGCCTCTTCGTCGGGCCATGCAGCCACCACCCAAGGTGGGCAGCCAATGCTGTCAACATTGAACAGTAAACTGCGCAGACGGAACAGTTCCGGTGCTCCTGCCAGGTTGCCTTCCCTGCCTGCGCCCAAGATTGGTCCGCAGAGAACGACGAGAACAGCGCAGAAACTAAAGCTCCTGCCCGATCCGGCCGCAGATGAAGCCGAGGACGAAGAGAGTGGACGCGACGTGTACGTGCAGTACACCAGGATAAAGGACCCCACGGCGAGAAGAGACGCTGCTCGGCTTGGAAAGGCTGATAGAGAGCGGTTGCCAAGAGTGACGGCATACTGTACGGCCGGATCATACAAGCTCGATGAGATGATGCGCTTCTTAAAAGGCAAGCACAAGACGAGGGGTGCGGTACCCAAGCGCTTTGACGAGTGCATATACTCCCCCTACAACTACGGTTCAACCAAGGGCCCAGAGGATGTCAGTAGCACTGCTGTTCTTGATGGCTTTTCCGATGACCGACCCCGAAGGTTCTCAGACAGCGCCATTGAAGTAGAACACGAGAACGAGAGGAGGAGGCAGGATCTAATTGACCTAAACGACGATGGCGACGCCCCGGACCTTGCAAACGAACAGGCCGTCACCACCAGACGTCCTTCAATAACCCATGCCGACTCGGACCCCACCATGGATGCACCCGACTTCGACACCAGTGTACATACACCCGAAGTTTTCCTCTTCGAATACGGTACTGTTGTCATCTGGGGCATGACTTTGCAAGAGGAGAAGAAGTTCCTCAAGGAGATTGCCAAGTTTGAAGTCGACAAGCTCGGCAAGGACGAGATTGAGACGGAAGAGTTCAACTTCTACTACACACGCGAGTACCAGGCCCGGATATACAACGACTTCATCAGTCTGCGCGACAAGAAGAACTACATGATCAAGCTCGCCATCAGCCATGGCCTTTCCCAAAGTGTCAAGACGTCCCTGTTTGAGGATTTGGTGGATAACACGATTGATGAAACAAAGGACATTCCGGTTGAAATTGCAGCCTCGGGCAAAATCAACCTCAACAAGAAACAGATCAACATGCAGATCGGAGAGCTATTCATCCTACGCATCAGCATTCACTTGCAGGGCTCGGTGCTCGATGCGCCAGAGCTCATGTGGGCAGAGCCGCAGCTGGACCCGGTGTACCAAGCCGTCCGAAGCTATCTGGAGATGGACCAACGAGTCAGCCTCTTGACGGAGAGACTGAACGTTATTGGAGACTTGCTCGCAGTTCTCAAGGATCAACTGACAGTGACACATGTGAGTAGTATGACAGCCTAGACGAGACATTTACTGATTATCCGCAGGGCGAACTGCTCGAATGGATCGTCATCATCTTGATTTTCGCTGAAGTGCTAGTAGCAGCAATCAACATCTTCGTTGACTTGCACGCAGCGGATTGAGTTTTGCCGGTGGTCAGCTGTATATATATCCTTGTGCATGATAGTCATTTCACCGCGTGCAAAAGGGGTCTGGGCAGTTGCATGGCGTTGAGGTTTCGGGCGTTTGTTTTGCTGCATGCGGCGCTGTTTTTCCATGTGCGCAACCTTTAGTTGCGGCAGTGGTGAGGTTACGGAGGTGTGTTGGGAGCAGTGTGCGGTATCCGTAGTGCAGTGACATGGTCAGTGGCGCAAAGTAATATACTGGAATACGATGTGATGGAAAGCCGAGATCCGGCTCATAATGTCGCCTTGTTAAGCTCTTAGCTATGTAACCAAGGCGGAGCTGGCCATCTCCGCCCGCTGAACCCTGTCCGCCCCATCTTTCTACATGCGACCCTTTTGAGCATTTCACCGTATGCTGCCGCCCTCCACCCATATTGAGCCCCAATGAGCCGTCCCAGATGAGTTGGAATCTGCTAGAGCGCTTTATAGAATCCGAGCACTTCAACCAGGATGCAAGTCTCGCGGTAGCATATCTCGCGTGAGTAGCATCTCTCTCCCGAAGCCACGGTTGCCCGCACCGCCGCCGCGCCCTCTGCGGGCCTCCGCATTGCCATGCCTGACTGACGCTTGACCGGACGATAGTCGGTATGCAGACCACGTTGGAATCCACTATGTGCTCTGTTCAAAGTTGCGCCAGTTCGCCTATGAGGAGCTCGAGTTCTTCCTCCCGCAGTACGTCGCCGACCACCTCGATGGACTGAACAGATAGCTTACACAGCCGCGCGCGCAGGCTATGCCACCTCCTTATCAGCATCGACAATGAGTCGATGGCCCTGGAGGAGTTTATCATCGACTTGTGCGAGGAGTCGGTCAACGGGGCGCTGCTGGTGCGTTCCCCCCACGTTTTGCCTCTATTTGTGTACGTGGGAGCTAATCGATCGCCTATAGACCTTTTGGCTGTTCCAGACGTATCTGCACGACCTCGCCAGTGCGCCCAATTCGGTGGCCTTTAAGACATGTCGCCGCATATACAACCGCGTGCAGCGCATCGTCTTTGGCTCGGCTGAGCCGCAACGGCGCGAGAAAATAAAGGAGAACATTCTGCCCGTCACTGTCCTGTCGAGCCTGGTGCTTGCGAGCATAGCCGCCCCGTTTCTGCCAGCCCATGCTGGACCATTGGCCATTGCGCAGGCGCGGAAGCCACGACCCGTCGAGGATATCATCTCGGATAATGTGCAGACGGCCAAGGTGGGGCGGAGCAAGACGGTCACGGGAGCATCGTCGAGAGCGAAGCCAAAGAAGGAGACGCTGCAACATTCAGATCCCGAGGACAGCCGTTCCGTTAGGCCTGTATCGCCCAGGCCCCGCGACCCCAAGGATTTGAGGAAACAGGTGGTGCGTCCGTCGGTCAACCAGCGAACACCGTCCACGCAAAGCAGCAGACCATCACTCTTGTCAATTGCAACCCAGGCTCGTCTCAGCTCGTCCTCACTACCCGACTTCCGAGACGAATCGTCGACTCCTCTTCCCACACCCCCCGCAACTGCTGGATTAGGACCGGGCCCGCTTCACCATGGCTCACGCAAGCATCCGTCGCTACCTCCGAGACCCCTGACGCCAACTGCATTGTCCCGCGCTCAAAAGATACGTCTATTGCGTTCCAACTACTTCCGGAACGAGACACAGTTTCTCAGCGCTCTCGAGGACATCTCGAACCGCCTGGTTGTCGTGCCCAAACCCGCGCGACTGAGCGCTTTGAGGGCCGAACTAGCACTAATAGCTCAGGACTTACCCGCTGAAGTCGACATACCCCTGCTGTCACCCCCAACATTAAAGGACGGCATTCCTTCGCAGAGCCAGCATCATCGGATCGTACGGATAAACCCCGCCGAAGCAACGAGTCTCAACAGCGCCGAGCGAGTACCCTACTTGCTCATGGTTGAGGTCCTGGAAGAGGATTTCGACTTTGATCCTGATACGGAACAGAACCAGCAATTGCTCGAGAAGCTGATGCTAGAAAAGGGCACCTCAAGACGGCGTCTATTCGACATAACTCATGCTGAATACCTTGCCTTTGACCGGACCCCACCCAACGGATTAGACAGCGTCTTTGAGCCTGCTACTGGAGATCTCGGTAGTCCCGAGCTCATCAAAGATGCAGACGACGACATAGTCTCTGGGTTAGCACGGGTGGCATTGCCCAGCGCCGCCGCCACTGGAAAGAACTCGGTAGCTAGATCTTCAAGTGGAGCTAATACGTTTTCATCCTTGGCCAGTTTATCGACACCACGAACATCCGACTCACAAATCAGCAGATCAAACAGCCCTGTTCCGAGTAGAAGAATGACGGTTCCAGCAAACATGGCCAAAACTAACAACGCCCCTGACCAGCCAGACTTTTCAGCACTTGCAACTCACATGCGCACAGCTGCTCAAATGCTCGCCCAGCTCGAAGCAAGCGGCGCAAAACGGCCCAAGACTGAAGTAGCTGCGATCAAAGCCAAGATCATTGCAAGCATGCAGATGTTGGAAGAGCAAAACTTTATGAGCGAAGACCAGGGCCCTACCTTTGACACGATAATGGCAGAAGCTGATCCAGTGGCAATGCCGGGTGAGTCGGAAGAACTTGAGGACGGTTTGGTGGTCGCAACCAACGCTAGTGCAGGCGCCGCTCGCATGGAAAACGACCTCAAGACGGGTGGTATGCGGAGAAAGGGCGATCGAGATGACCCTAGTGCAGCGACATTTGGAGAAGAATGGAGCGCAAAGCGAGAGCGTATACGGCGGTCTTCACCATACGGCCATATGAAGAACTGGGACTTGATCAGTGTCATTGTCAAGACGGGAGCAGACTTGCGTCAAGAGGCCTTTGCTTGCCAGCTTATCCAGGTCTGTTCGAAGATATGGGAGGAAGCCAACATTCCAGTATGGACGAAGCGTATGCGCATTCTTGTCACTGGCGAATCCTGTGGGCTCATCGAAACCATTACCAACGGCGTCTCGCTCCACTCCTTAAAACGAAGCTTAACCCTCGCCAGCATAGCAGCTGGTACCAACCCTCGCAAGCGAATCGCGACTTTGAAGGACCACTGGCTCAAGACTTTTGGAGAACCAGACTCGGAAGCCTATATCGCTGGTGTAGCTGCCTTTGGTCGTTCCCTAGCTGCCTACAGCATGATATGTTACGTTTTGCAGCTCAAAGACCGTCACAATGGAAACCTGCTCATCGACAACGTGGGCCATATCATCCACATCGATTTCGGTTTCATGCTCTCCAACTCTCCAGGCTCCATGGGCTTTGAAGCTGCGCCATTCAAGCTCACACAAGATTACGTCGACGTCCTTGGTGGCGTAACATCGCCCGCGTTCGAAGAGTTCAAGACTCTGTGCAAGAAGGCGTTCCAAGCACTGCGGAAGGATGCCGAACGGTTGATTATGCTGGTTGATCTTATGAGCAAGCAGAGTAGCATGCCGTGTTTCGCTGCCGGTGCGGCTAGTGTGACGAATGCTCTCAGAGCAAGACTCATGTTGCATTTGTCTAGGGAGGAGGCAGAGGGGTTTGTGGAGGAACTTGTTGCTAAGAGTGTGGGGAGTTATTATACCCGACTGTAAGTTTGTCCCGACGTGGTTGAGCTTCGTAGATGGATATGCTAACATGATGGCAGTTACGATACTTTCCAGTACCGCACTCAAGGCATATACTAGCTGTTTTCGCTTTTGCTTTGCGTTTGGTGTACTACCTTTTCTCCTTCCCTCCTTTCTTCCTTGTTTCGTTGTTCATTTTTTTGCGCGTGTGTAGAGTTCGGAATCGACGTGGGACCGAAACACGCGGCTTTGCATTTTCTGGAGTATTATCTGTACACTGGAGATGGGGAGAAATAGGCGGACAATCCTTTGTGGTTAGAAGAAAAACTTTACATATATAGATGAAGAAGGGAGAAGATGTTGAAGAAGAAGAATTTTAGCATTTGAGTTTGTGCAATGGAAAAGGGACGTCGCCGCTTTACTTGTATACAGTATTTTCTACCACAACTACGTATCCTATACCTCTATTCTCTTTCCCAGCCTTCCTTGACCCTCATTCTCTCCCCAACCCCTTCAACCTTATTACTTCCCACCATTTCCCCTACTTTCATAATAACCTTCCCCACACCACTATCATGCATGTTCGGTCCACCCATTTCTCCTGTTTTGTTACCGTATCCCGCGCCGCCTGTGGATCCGCTGCCCATGGGTGTGGCGTTTGAATATGGGGCTGTGTCGGAGTGGGAGCCGAAGCGGAATTCCGATGTGTCTGTTGAAGGGGTGGAGCTTGTGCGCTTGTTTCCTGGTGGTGTTAACGAGAGGGCAAGGAGGGGGGCGGGGGTGGATGGGATGGGTATGGGGAGGGAGGAGGGAAAGGAAGGAAGGGGGAGAAAAGTACCAAAACCAGCACCACCTGTTATACCACTTCCATGTTTTTCATGTGGGTTGTGATATGCCGTGTTTGAATCTATCAAGCCGAGGCGCGTGGTGGTGTGTTGGTGGGATAGGTCTTCTGGGGATGTCGAGGTTGCCGTGCGGTTGCCGTAGCCTGCCATTTTCTTGTTTGACTGTGAGTGTGGTGTGTGTTAGGGGATTTGATGTGTATGGATTATGAAGAGGTGTGAGATGCAAAGATAGAGATAAGACTTGTATTCTTAAATTACTGTTGTGCCATAAAGACGCCCCTGGTTAACATATATAGCTGCATGTATCTTACTCTCTCTCTCTCTGCCGTGCGTGCTGGGACGGCATGAGAGGAGGATTTCATAAGCCTTATGAGGTCACTTTGCTGGGGGAGGGGCGTAGATCATGGGTTGGGGGAGTCATCTAGGGTTTTTGGTCTTGGGGCCAAGATATGCCTGCATGCTTGGTATATTCTTATAAATACGCTAAGTCTGGTATATGTGGATCGGGGGGAGAGATAGTGGCTAAAAATAGTAGATGTCCTGGTTCAACTTTCCCAACACCAAGTACGAGATCTTCCTCGGAGTAATACTGATCGTAGTTTTTGGTCCAAGAGACGCGCTTCCTCCTCCCCTCAGTATTAAGGCGTGTCGCGAAAACAGAACAGCCTGGACGGTTTCGAAAGTAGTAACGGCACACACACTTCATTGGATCGATTCCTAGTACAGATTGGCTGAGGCGAAAGATAAAGCTGGTTGATGTAAAGGGCAGTTTGTGCTGCTGATCTAGATAACGATAGGGATTCCTGCAGGCTATCGTCTCTTTACTGGCTCCTCTTATTCCCGCCAAGATCTGGGGTATCCCACGCTGTTCAAAAGTTCCGTGTGAGAAGGGCTTCCAGGCCCGCTGCGCCAAGACCATGTTAACGCCACGCAATGCAATGATGATCGGAGGTTGAATAGAACAATGACCTCATCGGATGTATTTGGACTGTCGCGTGGTGTTAGTCAGCAATAGTAGATTGTGAATGTATGATTGCTTACCATGAACTTCTTGTGAAAGTCGGACCGGAGCATGTCGTTGATGAACTCCTTTTTCTTGTTGCGGTCCTCTGTGCCTCGTGCTTGGTTCTTAAACACCACGTCATCGTCCCATCGTCGCTTCATGGTAAAATCCTTGGCGTTGAGTAGAGGGTTACCTCGCGCGACGTCGATTTCGCGTTGTTCCTGCTCTTCGGCGGTGCGCTCGGCTTCCTCCTTGGCTTTGGCTGCTGCGCGCTCCATTTTGATCCTATCGAGTTCGCGCTGGAGGGCGGCGGATTCATCTTCTTCGTCTTCGTCACTAGGTGAATGTTAGCAGAGTACCTATTAATAAACACATAACGTAGACGTACCTATCATCGCTGTTCTCACTATCACTCCCACTGCTGCTGTCGTCTGCATCCACTTCTCTAAACTTCTCTAACATTTCTATGCGCCGCCGTTTCTGTGCCGCTTCATCTTCTTCGCCTTCCTCTGCCCCTGAAACGGCCTCAATCTGACGCTTGTGCGCGTTTCCAGACTCTGCTGCTGCTTCCGGTTCCACATATGTGCCGTTCTTCTTCGCAATGTGACGCGCCTCGGCTTCCAAGAGTTCGGCGCGAAGATCGCGATGGTAGTTGTCAGCATCTCCGCCTTGCCCTGGCTGTCGATGCTTAAGTGTGGTATGCGCCGGAAGTAGTCGCTGATGGTAGGCGGGTCCGCGCTGGGCTTCTTTGCCGCGTGCGGGATCGAACGTGGGTCTATGGGCTGTCGTCATTGTGTCTTGGGTATGTTGAGCGCTTCAAGATTATTTGGGTTTCAGTTTCGGAAGTCTTGCGCGTGGTGGATGTTATTTGTAGTTGGGATGTAAAGATCTGGCCATGAAAGCTGGTCCAGGTGAAATCGCGCCAAGGGTCGGCGTTCACTTTTCCCCGCGCCGCATTTTCCATGGTTGTCTTGCAATCAACAATTCTCAAACAACACAGCACTTTGATTGCAGAGAGGCAGTATGCCTCGAGAAGCTGAGATATCGCTCAATGAGCGCGAGTTCATAAAGCAGGCACTGCAAGAACAGATACGAATAGATCGACGCGCTTTCGACGCCTTCCGCCCGCTCGAGCTCACTTTCGGCGACGAGTATGGCGTCGCAGATGTTCAGCTGGGAAAGACGAGGTATGTAATATGCTGTCATGATGAACGTGTAGGCTGACAGGTCTCAGAGTGATTGCGCGCATATCAGTAGACGTGACGACACCACTACCCGAGCGCAAGTTCGATGGCATATTTCAAATCGTCACAGAGTTCTCCCCAATGGCGTCGCCAGCATTTGAAGTCGGCCGGTATGTTTTAGAGGGGGGGTCCTTTGTGGTGTCATGTCTGACAGGTGCTAGTCCTACTGATGCCGAAGTCATTCTCTCGCGCATACTGGAGAAAGCCATTCGTCGCTCAAACGCACTCGACACCGAATCACTATGCATTATTGCCGGCTCGAAATGCTTCGCCCTCCGCGCCGACGTCCACATCATAGACCACGACGGTGGGCTGATTGACGCATCATGCATAGCTGTCATGGCTGCACTCCAGCACTTCCGAAGACCCGATGTAGTAGTCGAAGGCGAAAAGGCAACTATCCTTAGCGTACGCGATCGCGAACCAATACCGTTGTCCATCTTGCACCAGCCGCTCTGCGTAACCTTTTCATACTTTGAGGACGAGATATTCTTGATAGACGCCAATTTGGCTGAAGAACAGGTCAGGCAAGGAGAAGTAATTCTTACCATGAACAAGCATGGCGAGTTGTGCCAAATCGCAAAGTATGGGGGTGCTACCATCAACCCGCTGGCTCTGCTGAATTGTACAAACGTTGCGTTGGAAAAGGTCAAGGAGATGAGCGCCTTCATCCAGAAGAGGCTTGAAGAAGACGCCAAACAAAGAGACGCCGGAGGTCTCATGGCAGAGCTCAGCGCAGAGAATGCCAGATGAGGTGTCGTATGAGCTATCACCACCTTACAAAGACAGATGTGGTCTGACCAGCCACTCAGCGAGGGTTCCAAATGCTCCCGTCTGCGCACCAAGAACCTTTGTCCGCTGAGCCATGATCTTGACTATTCACATGATAGACCAGGCCCCGGGCCAACTGATCATGTGGAGCCATAGCTATATGGAAGATACTGGACCAATCGAAGATTGGCTGCAAGATGCAGTGCTTCAAACCAGCACACAAGGAGCATCCTGGCGCCCGTAGAGGCATTAAAAAGGGGAATAGCTAGTGGGAAATACTAGACATAAATCAAGGTTAAGTTTTACATACACTATACGGTCTGTCAAGTGCTGTTCTAGATGGTGTGATTCGTGATGTAGCTGACAAAGCGCGCCATGTGTTTGGATGCTGGCGTCTCGCGATGCCTCGGCCCACGCGTCCCTGCACGTCTAACCAACGACCATCTCACCGAACTTGTCCCCTAGGGCTTATGCTCTTCTAGCGGTACCGAGTATGTCACATCTCGGCCGAGACATATGCTGATATAGCATTGCTGCAACATCGATCCTGCATCAATTCCAGACCCGACACTAGTTACTGCAATCTTGAACATTACGTCACTCAGGGTCCTACCTACGTCTTCTCCAACCTACTATAACAATCAAGCATCCCGCACATCCTACAACCACGTATCCTTCAACCCTCTTCTTCTTTACCTACCGTCGCGCACCTCACAAAGCCCAGCATGTCGTCTAAACTTGTTCCCTCGGATCCCGCCAGCGTTATGGTGATTCGCGATGTTGTCCCGCGTGTTATCACTACACTATCAGTGCCGTTCTGGAGATTCGGTCGCGTGAAGATTGGCGGACGTGGAACGATTGGTAAGTAATAAACGAAGCTGGCTTCTGAACAGCTGTTAACGCGCAACAGTGCGCCTGCAATCTGGCTCTCTCGCCGTCTTCTCTCCAGTCGCCTTGACCGACGACGTCAAAGCCAAGGTCTCGGAACTGGGCGAAGTAAAGTACATTGCAGCCCTAGATGCAGAGGTACATATACTCTTATCTCGTCATTTTCTACAGCTTGACTAAGATGATCTTTCTAGCATCACATTTTCCTCGGTCCTTGGCACAAAGAATACCCCAACGCTCAAGTCATGGGCCCAGACGTACTCCCGGAGAAGCGCACAAAGCAGAAGAATGAAGAAGTGCCGTTCAGCTTTTTGTTCAGCAAATCCAAACCCATTGAATCCATTTCGCCCGAATTCGACGCAGAGTTCGATTGGGAATACGTCCCCTCGCATGTCAACAAGGAGCTCGTCTTTCACCACCGTCCGTCGCGCAGTCTCATTACCGCTGATCTCATGTTCAACCTCCCTGCGACCGAACAATTCAGCAAGTCCGGTGTCGATCCAACTACCGGTATCCTCAGCAAGATCTTTAACGCCATGCAGAACACAAAGGGTGATGCAAAGTGGCAGCAGCGCACCATTTGGTATGGCACCAGTGCGAGCGATCGCAAAGGATTCTCGCAGAGTATGGAGAGGATCAGCAAGTGGGGTTTTGAGAGGATTATCCCGTGTCACGGAGATGTGATTGAAGGCGAGGGTAAGCCCATCTTCGACAAGATCATGAGGTGGCATTTGGATGCGGCTGCGAAGGAGCGGGCCAAGGCCAACTAAAACAAATCAGCTTGCTTGATTGTCTGTGGCATTTACGGGGAGTTGTTCACTGGGGCGAAGGGGATAGGCGATGCAGTGTACTGTTCTGAGATACCAGATTGTTAATTATGCTTCATGTTCGAATTCTAACAAAATCATACTATCAAACATCCCTCAATCCTACCATAAAGGCTTGCAAACGATCAATTCAAACTTGCTCACCCCCAGCCCTATCCTGCATCTCCATGTCCTCCTCAAAATTCCTCCTCCTCACATCCCGCCCGTCATACCTACTCTTCTTCGAACTCCAAATCGACATGACTCCTTGCCAAGTATACGGATTACTATCAAACTTTGCCGCCGGCTCTGGTTTCTGGACAAAAGCAATAGACTGCTCCTTCTGCGCGCCCGTAGCAGAAGCATCCCCCGGCTGCTGAAACATAATATCCACACCATACCCCTCCATCCCCTCCTCACAAGCCCCCTGCACCAGCACCGCCTGCGGATGAACAAGATGCTGCAACGCATTCGCCACACTCCCCATAACCCCCTCTCCCTCCTTCACCTTCTTCTCCGGCATATAGTACCCCCTGCCCCCCGGATTCCTAACCATCCTCTTTTGAAACCTCCCATAGACCCATACTTTGCGCGCGTAATACAATATACCCACGCCTGTGCCTAGGAGGCTGAAAAAGGGGGCGCAGGAGGCGAGGAACAAGGTGATGTGGAAGAGGAGGTCATTTAAGCGGGCGGCGTGTGATTGCTTTTCCGAGCTTGTTGTGTTGTTTATGTGGGAGGCGAGCCAGGGGATGAAGAACAAGCTGGATTTTACAAGGAGGGTCAAGGAGAAGATTGTTTGCAAGAGCAGGAATAGGAGGGCTACGACGCGTGTCCAGTAGCGGACGAGTGGTTTCATCAAGGAAAGGGATTTTAAACTGTTCCAGGTGTGCGTGTAGTGGATTAGGGCGGGGGCGTAGAGAGGCGTGGGGAGCAGGAGGTAGAGGAGGGTGCGCCATGTTGCGAAGAGGGGGAGGGCGAAGGTGTAGATTAAGATGCTGAGTGTGAGTTGGAGGGTTGGTTTTAGGGTTGTGCTGAGCCGCTGGGGCTGCATAGTTGGTGTGGATTATTGTTTGTGGGGTTTGCAGACTTTTGCTACAGGGTAATGGAGTTGTATTGGAGACGCTCCTCTCTCTCGATGCGGTAAAATGATGTGAAGGTTTACATGTGACGGTGCTGATGGAGTGTTTCTTGGAATTGGGCTGGTGAAGACGGGATGATCTTCACAACACTGCGCAATGTGATGCGCGATATCAATGGGTGACCCTATACTCAGGAGGGATATACTCCAGGCCCAGCCCTTCAAATACCTTCTTCTCCGCATCTTCAGGCATGCCATCTACCCCATTTGGTCCCTCCAACATGATGACCTCGCCAGTACTTCTACTTCGAACGCCGCTGCTGTCAAACTTCCACTCTTTGACAGCCTTTGCGTAGCGTCGAAGGTCTCGCTGGAACGTGGTGCCGCCACTCCAGCCCATAACTGCACATCCTACGGTTCGCCAAGGTGCAATGATGATATCCACTCGGCGGTGAATAGCTGGATTCTTCGTCTTAGGATTCTCCGCCAAATCCTCTTCGCGTGTCGGCCACGTAGGGTCTTGCCATACCACAAGTGCCTTATCAAGTGTGTCGAACCCTGCGCCAGCAACCCTTGTAGAGCGAAATGGCAGTACTTGTTGACCGCGATTCGTACTCGTCAAGCTCATCGTAAGGGTATGTGTTATCCACTCAGTCTCTTCCAGCGACTCGACGATTTCTTGTACCAAGCCTGCTGTACTTTCGAGATCAGGATGCGACACGATCATATCAACGTCCCCAGATTCAGTCTTGCCACGTCTATAGCCACCGACAAGCGTGACGGTGACGCGATCGTCACGGAGCCGCACTGCATGCTCTCGAACAACAGCGGCAATACGTTCGACCTCGTCGCGCGGGATCGGTAACAAAAACTCTTCGTAGTATTTGACGCCAATCTGTTGGACTCGTTTCAAGTCATTCCAACCGTATTCAACAATGTCGTCTAGCTCTTTCCAGTGATTATTGTAATAAAAGTGACGAGTAGTCTTTGCACCGACGCCCCATATATTATAGAAGCAGCGGAGGACTTTCATTGCCTCGTCGTTCTCATAGTCTTCGACTGCCTGGATTTTACCAGTGTTCTTCCACTCAACGAAGAGAGCTACTGTTTTCTCATCACACCCGGGCAACCGCGCAAGCTCACGCGGATGACTAAGTTTATATGGGTAGGCAGCAATAGACGCGATGATTGTGGAGTAAGCACGGACACCTATATCGTCGTCGATCAGAGTCCGAGCAGTCCTGATTTTCTTGAGCTGCTCAAGAAAGTCCTCATTAGGCCCGTTTGCAGGCGTGAAACGCTGGCAGGCGTACTTCACACAATTCTTCACCCACTCTGGAGGTGCTGGGATGTCACTATCTTCGCCTTCATACTCACTCGTCGTTTGCTGGAGTAGATACACCGCTTGCGAAGCATATGAGTGACGAACCGTTTGGGAAGGTACAAAGGCCTTGCCTTCGAAACGATGAGACGCGTTATTACAAAACCGGGGGGCCTGATACGTAGTCTTTTTTGCAGATGTAGGTGCATCCAACTTTGCTCGATCCAGAATGTCTTGCGCAGTATGAGGTCGTGTAGCCAACACGGTCTGAGTTGCAGGCTTCACTTTCGAAGTGGCCAAGATGATATCCTTGATAGACTTTGTGTTCTTTGGTTTCGGGCGTTCTAGGACTTTGCCCTTGTAAACCAAGTTGTCCCCCAGTGGAACCACATGGCCTGCAGATACACAAGCTTCTAGCCAGTCGATCTTGACAACCCAGACGATATCGTCGTTCGACGGATTTTCAAACACTGTTACACAAGGCGCATCGTTACTAGTCGTTGGAGGTGACAGCGGCGGAGTAATCTGTCCTTCATTTGGTGCTTCGTCTTCAGTCTCCGATTCATCCACGACCTCGTCCTCAGTAGTGGAATCTACTTCGTTGGCTCGTATCGGCGTGATTGATGTTACACCAAATTTGCGCTTCTTAAGATTACTTTTTGCCTCGATAGGACTTGCCTGCCGCTTAGGTGCAACCACCTCCTCTACGAGCAAGTTTCGGGACCTAAACTCGAACCTGGTCCTTTGCTTAGTCCCTACCTTCCCAATGAAGATCTTTGCCCTTGAAACATCGGTTATAAGCGGTGCATCGTATTGGCGTAACGTTTCCCTGAGCATGTTTTCTTCATCGTCCTTCATATGCGTGGTGAAAATGGCTATTGGCGGGAGCCTACTGAGATCCAGGCCTGATCCGGATACGGTTGATGTAGGAGACTGGGATCTTGCGTGGAATGTCTGAGAAGAACGGTCTTGGTTGTCCATATTGGGTAATTATATGCTTGATCGGTCGTTGAGAGCAAGGATGGTCAAGGTATATCCAAAAAGTGAGACCTATGCCTGACACTGTCGTGTATAAATGCGCAGCTGATCATGGTTCAATATTCATGCAGTCTGATCAAATTCCAAGTGTAACATCGAGTGAAGAAGATGTTGTTGTGGAATTCAGCCAATAATGGATGACGTACGGGTGATGGCGACTGGCGTCGATAAGAGTTACAGCGTTTGCTGAGTCAGTTCGCGTAACGGGTCATCGAAACATAGATTATAGTTTTGACAGGGATGTTTGTAAGGTCGCCATGGCGCTATGCAGTGAACGTAAGCAACGGGATCCTAAAAATTGCGTCTTCTACGCCGTCGCATCTAGCGCTGCTATAAACAGCTTCCAAGGTTGTGTCCTGTATCGATAAGGGCTTATCGATACCCCTTGTCTTATCGGTACTAGCGCTTTGGCACTCACGAACACAAAGTTCGGGTCTACTACGTAGATAGCTCGATACCGCTTGTAATCTGTCAAGTCTAGTCTTTTACATTTCTTACAGCGTCGTCTAAGACGTTGCAAGCTGCTGCATGCTAAGAGCTGCTAAACGCATGGCCTGTTGGACGCGTCTTGATAAATTTGCCGTCTGCGCGGAGAAAATTACAACCCTCAATTAACCTTTCTACAGTCTTGCTCTTTACCTTTTTAGCTTCTTTTCTCGTCTATAGATATGTACTATCACGAATAAACAGGGGATTGTCAGAGGAGGGCCGAGGACATCGTTGATAGAACGAGCAACAGCACGTTTAACGACGCGCTTTTCGGCGTTAGAGACTGATTCGCTGGGAAAACAAGAGTTGTAAGGTAGATTTGAACTATGCCTGTGTATATAAAAGTGTACTGCGGGCAGTCTGAGGGCCATGGAGAGAAAGTGTCCCGTTACACCGTACGTCCTGGAACGATTGGATCGACGTTAATGTGGTTGTGTCTCTTCACTTAGGGACGCATATAAACAATAATTGTTAGTCTATGTTCAAATTATCCTGTTGGAAGGGTGGTAGCATACGGCTTGCGCGAACTTCCGATAACCTGAGCTATAAATTCTGGGGTCCATAAAGTGCCCTCGTCGCAGTGACTGGGGCAGCCAGCTTTCCCAAGATTACCATGGCTAACATATAAGAAGCGAGTAGCTGTTCTTAAAACTGAAAGGGGTGATTAGAGTAAGCGTACACAACAGTGTTTTCCAGTGTGGTACTTGCACTGGTACCGGCCAGCGCAGGCTTCTGGTGAGGCAAGAACAGCGAGAAAGCTGGCGGCAATAGAGATAAGGCGAACCGTGCTAACTTGTAAGAGATGGGTATAGTTATAATCAAGGGGTTTAAAGATAATCTTTTAGAGGTAGGAGCTTTTGGACGTTGATGGAGTAAGTTGTAATTGTGGAATCAATCAAAAAGACGGAAATGTTCTTACTTGTATACTTCCAAGTATATCTGGAATTTTACTCATCTTCGCCATTATTTGAGAAGACACGAAGTACCCATAACGTATACGGACACTTCCAAGCCTTATGCAATCATTACTCCGAGCTCATCTCTTGCCAATGTCTAGTTCGACTATACTACTATTGGGTCTTTTCCAGCACGAACCCATCTCAAATTACGCATTCAGGCCATCCTAGTACCCTGAGGGGACTATGTTGGTATAATTATTTCCTAATCCAGAAGCACCTAGACTATTTAGTATGCTTATGGACAGAATCTCGTTGAGTCAGCATCCCCTAGCGTAACAACTCACGCCCTAGTACGGCCTGGCTTCGGTCCAGTGTAAGCTACTTAAGTATTTTTCTTCCATTCAACCCCACTAGAATCAAAGCGGATGCTCTTGGTCTATTTGCACCGTTCAATGTCAGAACGTCTTTCACTGTCTGTGCGTTCCACCAACCTGGGGTACTGCTAGTTCTCACCTGACACACAATCCATGTGCGAGTTTCGTTTCATCACGTATCGAACAAAGTCTTCGATCGATCTTAGTCCTCAACTCAACAAAAATATTTGTACTCGTGTCGACAAGTCCTTCCCCACATCTCAACTCGGCAGGCGTATACTGAGTTAGGTCTAGGCACAGGGTGACATCCTGGACACACGCAACTGATCTGATGCGGTGGTTGGAAGAATTTAAACTTTGTACACTAGATCTTGAAGAAATACTTGTCGGACAACTTAGCTTTGACCTGAAAGCACCTCCGTGTGTCACCTCAGGCTACATAAACCCTCCCTCGCAACCATATCCAGAGAATCGCCTAGTCATAGGCTCTGTTGGACTACGTGTACCACGTCGGCTCCGGAATCTCACCAAGCAACTCAAAACGGCCCAACTCGCGATTCTTATACGCAACCGGATCATGTAGAGTGTGCGTGCGGACATCCCTCCAGAACCTGTCGAGCCCAACCTTTTGACTCGTAGCCTTCGCTCCAGTCACTTCAAAGATACCCGCGGTGACACGTAAGGCGGTGTCGGTTGTGACAACCTTAGTGCTTGCTACCCACTCTGCAACTTCACCTCGTTGACGCGCTGTGAGTTTTGCTCGGGCATTGAGGTCGCCTCCGTATTCTGCATATACCGCGCTGATCTGATCGTCTGCACGATCGGCCAGTGCGACTGCAGCACGTAAGTGAGCATGGAAGTTGCCGTATCTTTCAAGAATGTAGAACTCGTCTACGGCCCGTTCTTTGTTCTGGGTACTTGTTAGCCACTGCTGCTTTCATCTAGAACACCAGACATACATCACCACCGTATGGCCAGGCGCGCGTGCCCTTGTTTGTGTACTTTGCCGCATATGCTTGAGCTCCAAGAGCGATGCCAAGGTAAAAGTTGCTAAAGACCAACTGAATGGTTGGTAGGAGTAGAGTCGCAAATGGGAGCTGAAGGACTGCTGGGTCCGGCTGTTTCTTCTCAGTGTCCCAGCCCAGCGCTTCCGACCACGGCACTACAATATTGTTGATCTTGACACTGCCAGACTCGGTCAATCGTAGCCCGATGTTGTTCCAGTCGTGGCCGAACTGGAAGCCAGGTTGGTCTCTCTTAGCGAGAGCGAAGATGTGGTGCTCTGTGCCCTCAAGGACACCTTCCAAAACAGTGAGGTCTGAAATGACTCCACCTGTGTTGAAGAACTTAAATCCATTGAACACAATATTGTCTCCATCTGACTTGATGTTTAGATCACTATCTCTGGGGTTGACGGCACCACCAACGAAGTAGTTGTTTTCGATGATAAGCTTTTGGGTGCGATCGGCCTGCTCCGGGGTCCCCACTACGTTGGCTGTAGTCGTCCACAGAAGATGGTAGCCAAGCAACATCCCTATAGACCTTGATACTGGTCAGACATGACTGACACATACCAACGTCACACTCACCCGTCTGCTTCTGCAACCTTGCGGATCGCCTTGTATGCGACACTCCAAGGCTGTTCCCCGCCACCATACTTGCTCGGCCCAAGAAGTTTCAGTAGTCCGGCATGCTTCAACAGTGCTATCTCCGCGCGCGGAGACTTGTTTTGTTGGTCTCGTACTACGGCATCTACTGCCAAGATATCTGCGACTTCTTGGGCGCGTTGCAGCCAGCCAGCCTCATCTTGTGGAATCTTGGGCCACTTGGTCTCAAATTCAGAGTACCTATTGTTAAGATGGTAAGCTTCCGCAATTCCCTCTCAGCAGAGCAGACATGCGTACACTGCTGGGTCGGTCGACTCGACGTCTTTCGCGTTCCCGTGAGCACCGTTAGTGCCATTTGTGTTAGACGCAACCATGATTGGACGAGAATATATCCAAAGTAATTATGTATGATTGGTGACAATTGTTACACAAGATATGTTGAGACACTGCAGATATATATATGGTGGCGACTTGATCCAAAGAAACATGCTTCGAAGCAGTTCATCCAGATTCGCATCATATTGCGTGCTATCTCCTCATTCTGTCTCCATCTCACAGTGTGGGGTAGACGGCGAATGGGACACCAGCCACGTGCAATAATCGATCGAAACACCACGCCTGTTGTATGCAACGGTGATAAATATCAGCACTACATTCGTCCAAAAACCACCGACATACGGATTGGCGGGTGCAGTAGAGGAAAATATGCTCACATCGCAGCAGACCTCGGTTCAATCGTGAGGGCAACAGCCTACCCAAAGTATCGCGAGGTTGAAACTTGCAACCACAAACCCATCAACGCATGACTCCTACCATTTGCACACGGTCTTATAAGGCGTCCGCCACCGAGTGAAGCGCTTAGTCGTCACCGTCAGCCCCACAGGCGGGTGGTGAAACACGCCGAGCACGCGGTCCTACTAAGCATCCGACCATGCCTAAGGCGAACGCGCAATCGCCATCGGCAGCGCCCATCGCATCATCAACCGCTGGGCCCTGCCTCCCTTTTACTTAAATTCGCTGGCCAAATTTATGCATGTAAAAGGGCCCCCCCAATCCCCCGCCCTGAAAAGCCAAGTAGGAACCTACTGTAGCATCCAAGGCATGAAACTCGTCTTGTGCACTTTCCTTTCTCTGCACATCTGCGTCGCGTATTCCCGAGGTCCAGGTACCGGTACCTACAACACCGAACCCTAGATCCCGTCAGGCTAAACATGGCGACGCCTCCGTCTCCTTCCCCTCTTGTTTCCATCGCTGCGCGCCAATCAAGGTAACTTTTGACGCTGCACGGGGCCCGCGTTGTTTCGGAAAGACGAGCGAAGACATACGTAAGACAGACGGAGCGGATTTTTTTAGGCTGTGGCGTGAGGATGTAAGCGTCGATGGAGGTTAGGCTGTTTCGAGGATGCATGTGCCAACATACGCACGGTTGTCCGGCGTAGTTGCTCGGCTTCAACCAAGATCCCCGTAACCCCGGCTGTTCCTTGCGGCGGATATACAAGTGCTGAGGTGCGCGCCCTGTTTGGTGGGAGTGATGTAAAGCATTTTTTGCTTCGCTCAACTATCTCTACTTTTCTCTCGGTACTTACTCTTTTCGAGTATCTGCCTAACTCTCGTTTCGCTACTTTTGATAAGAGCGCTGGTATATTTTGATTGATACGGGCTATCAAGTCTCTTCAGCTTTGATAGCTACCTCATACAACATCTCGATCTTCACATCGATTTTTTGCGTCATACACCTATCTCGACACAATCTACAACCTCTACCCAAACACCAACCATGCGTTCCTTCATCATCATGGCCCTGGTGGCCCTCGTCGCCATCTGCACCGCGATGCCCATCTCCCCTGCCGCACCTCGATTCCAAAAGCGAGCGGAACAATACCGTTTACAAGGACTCCGCGAGGTAGGTCATCACCGTGCACTACTTACTTACGTAGCAAGACCCTATACTAACTACACATTAGTTCGAAATCGCAGAACGCCTGACAAACTCGGCATCATCAGCCTACGTCGACACATGGCGCACCAGGCTAAACAACAAATTACACGCCCTATTCGAACCTTTGGATACAGACGAGCAGGAGTTCTCTGTAGAGTTCACTATTGACGAAAAGGGTGACTTTTCTGGCGATCTTGTACCAGGATCTCTAGAGGCGCCGCAGGTTCTACCAAAGCCACCGAAGGAAGGGGGTTTCTGGGACAGGCTATGTTCCAGGTTTCATAGCGCGGAGAGCAGCTTTGGGTACGAAGGCAAGGAGCGTGAGATGCGGAGACCTGAGGGCATGAGGGATTGGAAGATGTCATATGGAGGGTTCCGCCGTTAGGGGAGGGTTCCGCCGTTAGGGGAGGTTCTTCAGGATAGCTTTGATCTTCTATTACATATTTTCGATTGCGTACCTTGCACATATCACAACGCTGTAACTTGATTGGGTTATTGTGGATATATTTGAAAATGATTGCAATTACTAAGCCCGCCCAACCCCATCTGCAGCTGCGCCCGCTTGACAGATTACCCGTCCCGTGATGATGTCATTCAACGCCTTGAACGCCCAGTCATGTTGTTAAGAAAAGAGTCAGGGATCACACTCCCATGGTGAAGTCATGTTCTATACCTGGCGTGACACTATCGCACGTTAGCACAGCATCGTGGCGGGAAAGTGGATATGCTTACCTGGCCATGAACTTGAGGAAGACGACAAGATACTGATCCACGCGGATAGCTACCTCGTCGTCACCGCCCTCGCTCAGAACTTCCCAGTCATCTTTGGCCTCTTCGCCATCCTTGCCCTTGGCTTGCTCGGTAAGCTTCAGCAACCGTGTGTCATCTACCAAGGCTTCCATGCCGCTGTCGAGCTTGCTGACGTCCTTGCCTGCCTTGAGCTTGGCAAGTCGCAGCTTCAAGGCAGCATCGGCGCGATCAAGGAGCACTTTCATAACAGAGGCGTGTTTGCAGGGGTGTACCGATGCAGTCTTGAGCGGATTCTCGAAGAATGGAAAATCTTCGATGGTGACTGTCTTGTCTTTGTAGTCTCCTACAATGTCTTCCATCATCTCTTGGGGCTTCAGGGGCACAGATGTCGAGCCGTAACCCGAGAGATATAATCGCGGTGTTCGGTAATGTGCCGAGTATGTGATATATAGAGTATATGTGCGGAGAGGACTGTAGAAGTCAGCTCGGGCTCGAGTTAGTAGGGGCACAGGCGACTTACGCTTGGGTATTTGACTCAGACTTGGGGTCCCTTATTATGGCCTCTTCGTCGTCCTCAATATCTTCCATGTCGGGTATCTCATCTTCGTCCTCTGCCGCGCCCAGGTTGCCGCTCTCGTCCACGGTCCGGACATCGCGCACCTTGGCCTCTTGACTCGCCGCCATGCCGCCTGTCCTCAGCCAGCCGTCGTCGTCGGTCGCGCCTTCCCCCGCAGTAAATCCATCCCTAACGATCGTCTCGTCTTGGCCAGCCTCTCCCGCGAAGTTGTCGTCGAGCCGCCTATGACAAGGCACGCCGCGCGTTACCAAGAACTGTTTTCCTTCAGGCAAGTAAGAGACGCGTTTCGCAGGCGATGACGCATCTGCCCATTGCCACGAAGGAAACTTGAAGACAAGGAAGTCGCCAGCCAGCACAAACTCTTCTGGTGTTATCTGACCCGTCTCGCGGAATGTCGACGTGTGGCTGATAGCGGCAGTGCGCTCGCGGAAAGTGTCGATGTAGGACCTCACAAAGTTGTAGGCCATATTGATATCGTGTGTCTGATTCGTTTGCGGTGTTTATGTCCGTTCTAGAGTGCGGTGAAGTTGGTACCGCAGGTGGTACCTTGATAAAGCTTGGAGGGGCGACGGTGGCGGGGTAGGGGGCCTGCGCCTGCCTGGTATCATGCATCTTGACCGGCGCTACCTCGCACAAGCCACAGGGACCGTCATCCCTCCATTACACCTGCCCTGGTTCCTCCATGCCCAACCCGTCACAAGACGACCAACAACACTCGTCATTCACCGCCATCACATTTCACTCTCACATGCAGGGGAGTACACTCATCGTCTGAGTTGGTCTTGCACCTGCTTTGGGGTGTTTTACCCCACGACCACCTTCCCCTAGGCCATATCCCGATCAGCGTAACAGTCACAATATATCTTATCAGCCATGACATCAACTCCATACTGCTAGCCACAGTGCTGCATGTGCTGCATCTACCATTAGCTCTCGGAGCAATACTCCTCGCCTAGGGCGGCATCATCCGGGGAGCATACCAGGTTGGAGACAACACAAAGACGGAAAGGTGCATACAATGGCCGCAGTGGTAGTACTGCCTGTATGTCCTGCAACTCTCTCCAGGCATGCTATCGACTTCTGCGTCTCGGAAAGATCGGATATCAATCCTCAAAGCACTACCAACTCTCTTCCACAGTCTCCGAAGCTCAATCTCCGTTGAGCCACACCAAGCCGGGTTGCAGAAGTACACTGAAACACTAAACCTGTCACGCGCCATCGTGAATTTTTCCATCCGGCTTTCTGTACCCCTGTTGCAAAGCTCGATACGAGTTTCTAACCTTAGCCAGCAATAAAGAACGAGAGACAAGGCAAGCAGGTGGTACAGACTGTACGCGGCTCGTTTCCTTTTACCCTCGTCACATCGCTAATGACAGCTCGCATGGGCAGGCGGGCTTGTCCTACTCATAGCCGACGAATGGCAAATACCTACTATCAGTCTCCTCTAGGATGAGATCATCTCGAGGATTACGCGTGTACATCGGCTTTGTAGAGCCAACCGCACTTTGTGCATCACTAACATGTATCAGCAACACTTTCAAAGCATGCCCCCTGGTACATCTCCAATGGCCAACTCAGGGACGGTGGGCTCTGGCCACATGCAGTATCATTACATTATAATGCAGTATAACACAGTGACGCTTATGCCTCAGGGCTACAACTTTTCTTACGGGATGGTAGCACGCTGGCCCCACATTCACGTCCATGGGTACTACAGTCTGTTTTTGTGTTCCTGCAGCTGCGGGTGGTTGTGTCGGAACCTTTTTGACGTTCCATACAATTGCCAGAATCTGGTTGCATCAAACTTTACCAAGAAGATGCTACCACACCAAAGGCCCCGTCGTACGTCTATTCACACACCCTTGTCGTTTCGGACGGTATTCTGCATGAGCTTATGGACATCCACAATCATTTGCCCAAACCAGCTAGAATAGACATGTTGGCTTCCTTTCCCTTGGTAAACACGGGATACCACGTTAAGCTGCATTTCAACTTCACATGCACAGAAATCATGAGGCTAAACTATCATGCCGGCAGATCTAACTAAATACGCAAAGCACGAACGCATCATACCGGCCAGGCTATCCACACCTTTATCTGCGTCTTCCTACATCCGGTCAGATTCGCATAGTCGCACCGGATACATCATGTCCGTCTCGTTTGATATCGAAAGCTTAGGGCGGTCAATCTTTTACGTAGTGTTCCGTGAGCAGGGCGATCAATTAGCATGGGGCCATCCTTCATTTGTGAATCTCATTGACGGAAAATTAGTCGATTTCCGAGTTGGGAAAGGAAAGCCATGGTCGAGACTGATGCTATCTGCAATACGCCAAACACACAAACGAGGGTCCCTGAATATCACTATTTTGGACGATACTGACGAGGGATTCCAGCCTGCTGTCATCTACAAGTCATCAAACTGACGACAATGGACAATTGGCATCGCACAGTCCCACATGTTCATGCAGAAATCCATATTCTGACAATGTACTCCGTTGGCTCACATGGTTTCCTGAACAGTAAGCTCGGGGACTACAATGGCCGATAGCAGTACATCGTACGTACAACGGATCAATGCGCCAAGTCCCTGCATGAAGCGGTTCACCTACACAGTCACCAGATCCGAGCCCTTGCACATCTGGACGCGTGTCAGCCATCCATGCACTCTTGGTCATCAACACTTCCTGGAAAGTTCTCAAGACTTTGTACTAGATCACATATTGACAAAGACGATATATCACCATCTCCTGGACTCGTTAGTGTGAGGGGTACACTTGATACACGTGTTCCAACCCGTATCGGCCTTGAAGAGGAACGTGCTTTCGACTAGAAGCTGCCAACTACAGTTAGAGGAGAGCATAACATAGCTATCTTGAGGCTCGATAGCACCTCAGGATTAGTGCGTTGTGGCGTTCGTTGGTTTAACCTGCAGTATACTCGAGGACACTAAGAGGTACAGCGTCGATGCCATAACTTCACTACCAGCTACAACCTTGTTAGCACTTGTAACATGAGCAAGATGGTGCCCAATCGAGACCTAAGGAGCAGTGTACCCATCAAGCTTCACGCGTCTGCTTAGACTCCACAACAGTGAGGCAATGCTGCCCCATCCAACTATAAAGTCTCGTCCTGGACACTGGATACCTGAGCAAGATACCCCAGATTCAAAAGCTATCTGGTACATGTCTACATCTGCGCATGACAGCGATTCTCACGCCAACAAACGTCAGAGTCCAATACGTTTACAAAACCCACAAACGGTTGTTAAGTCCAATGGCCGATCCAAACTCGACTCCCGACTCATCACAGCCCCGATGTGGAGGCCAACGTCCCCAAGGTATTATCCAATCTTGCCCAAGCAAATGGGGTTCTGTTTGGAAGTACTTTGTTGACGCGTATGCCAGAGCAATCCTTCAGCCTATACAACAGAACCGATCAACCCTGAAGCCGAACGTACCGGTAAAGGCTGCTTCACTTTCAGAGTGGCACCGGTCCTACTCCGCGCTAAAACGGTGGCTAGAGGAAGATAGATATGACGGTCCCTGGTCACCTGGATCGCGGAGCTAGGCCATTGAAGAGGCATCATTGTCCATAACTCGCTTTCCTATGTCTTCTTTTTGAGTACTAGGGCGGCTTGTGTATGTGTGTGCTGTATACCCTATATCTCATCTTATTCTCTTCTCACATCTAAAAGCTCGCCTATCCAGCGAACCACGACAGTAATGTTGTCATCTTCTCCGCGGCCGCCCATTTACATAATCGACGTTAACGTCGACACAAAATCCAGAAAATGTAGATTAATCACCGTCACACAATGTGCCTGTGAAGACAACTCAAAAGACGCAAGCTTTTTTTTCCTCATCTGCTCGCTTCACTAATGTAAGACATGTCGAATGTGTCGCCTACGCTTACTCGGTTCCCGTCATCCGCGGGTCAGACTAAAGGGCCAGTGGCGCGAAACCCGACGATGCGTTTTCCTAAATTGCCATCGACGATTTACGATTGCCCTGATCCTTGAATCTAGAATTTCGTATCGAGAAACTGTGCTTTTTGCAGTTTACCGGCGTGGCCGTCCTCGAGTTTGTTGAAATTTGCTTGGTGGACGGGACTTCCGCCTTGCCCTCACACCACACACGCCTGTCCCACCACGTCCACTATTTTTCTCTTTCCCTCTTTGGCTGGCTTAGTCTACCCCTCCACTAAATGGGCCCACCGTCCCGCCGCGCACAGCTCCGAAAAAGTGTCCCTTGTGGGATCTGGACTAGACTGCGAGGGAACTGGATCGACTTGGCGTTGGTTACTAGGACTAGCCACAGACACACAGAGAACACAGACAGTCTCGCAGCACAGCAGTAACACGAAGATACCGGTCCGACGTCCCTGGGGCAGACCGGTGGAGGGAACTGGGCGTCACGACAGTTTTTGTCGTCCCTGGTTGCGTTTTTTCTTTTCTGTCCTTCTGTTTCGCGGGCAATATTTTAACCATACGATTCAATTATCTGGATGCCCTTTTTTTTCTATATGCATTCTGATTCCACACAGGTTTCCCAGCCAGTCGCCAAACAGGCGCGGATACCTTGCCGAACCAATCGCCTGCTAGACTATCGAAATGCGGGTAGTAACATGATCGTGTGTGTTGATATATATCAAGAGACGAAGAAGGAAGGCGGAAAGAAATCAGGAATTTTCTCAGACGCCAGTTTAGCTTACCATGGCGGCGGTTGTCGGTAACTACAGGTTGTTGGTGTACGGGGTGGTGTGTGGGTGTGACGGGGTGTACGGTGCCTTGTGCGTGGATTTGAGATCTTGATCGGGTTGGACACTGTTTTCTTCTTCTTCATTGTTGGGGTGGTGTGGGTTTTGCGTGGAAGAGTCATGTTGGTAGTTTTGGAGGTGGGGGATTGGTTAGAGGATGGAAGACTCGACGGTGTTTTGTGGATGTAGAGGTAGTTGGGGGTAAAGCAGATGTACGCAGCCCCCCTGGGTTTGTGACGACGGGAAATGGATGTGGTTTGAGACAAAAGAGAGCATTTGTGTATGTAAAAAGGTTTGTCATTTGAGTGAGTTTCTGCTGAGTAGTATGTCTCCTGGTATTGCATCGCTGCTACCTTGCAAATAGTCAGCAAATGGCTTGCAGATACAGAAAAAGGCCAAACTACCATTCACAAAGCTTCGATATATCGTAGAGCCCGGCCCGTCTCTTATCATGGCCATAGATCTGGTCCTCAGTATCTCGGCCGCAGTCCTTTAACGCCTTACTTCAGCCATGAATTCCAGTCCTTCTGCCGTCCTCCATGTCGCAATTCTGCTGTCGCAGTAATACCCCACGCCATATTGATAGTTATTCTCGGAACCAATCCTAACCCACGCTCATCACTGATTTCTAAAATTCTTTTTCTGATAGAACAGATCCGTCCTCGAACTACCCAGATTGATAATCTTCGGACATCCATCCCTATCCTTCTCCAGGCGCGTGCACTCGAAGCAGTAGAAGGCGTCCGAGATGCCCTCGCCACCGCAGACGACGCACTTGTTTTGGTAGTTCCCGAAAGAGCATTCGTCGCAGATGCGGGCGAGCGTGGTTGGACGGACGTACGAGTCGCATACGGGACATTTGCCGTCGCACTTGTCGCAGAGGCGGCCGATAGAGATGCCGGACTGCTTGCGGCACATGACTAGATCGCTGCGTGTTGTTAGTGCTGTGAAAGCGTGGAGATGGTAAAGTGACTTACGGATGATGGCGGGACATGATTGATTTGAAGTTTGTGCAAAGTTTTTGTATTTCGATGTCGCGTGTTTCAACGGCTTGTAGATACGGTGTCTCCTGGTATTAACAGTGAAGTTGTTGTGGCGCGTGAAGAAAGGTTGGGTCGGGAAAAAGAGTGGTGAGCTTCGGGAGTCCGCTGCTAGCGTAAGCCAAGACTGGGGAACGCCTGCTCCGTGCGGAAGCTTCCACTGCATTCCGGTCCCTTGCCTTAATCTTCGAAGACACCAACAACACGCGTGCTGAAACTGCTAAGCAAACTATAGGTTCTATTGGTAACCTAGCTCGCGGAAAGAGTCTCAGAGTGCCTTTTGAATCATGGATGGCCCCATTGCATCCGCCGTAATCGTCCCAGATGAACTCGCAGTGCCAGCCTCGCCTGTGAACGGCCAGAAGAGACGCCAGGAATCAGTGTCAGAAGACAGCGGAAAGCGACCGAGACTCGACCAAGATGCCCCAGTCAATGAGCGACGTAACTCTATCAAAGACACCAAGCCTGCCCCAGTGCGACGCGAAAAAGGCCGAGAGCGAAGACTATTTGGCGCCGTCTTAGGTGCACTCTCACAGAACACTACTACCACAGCACAGAGACGCCGCAACGATGTAGAGAAGCGCCAATTGGCCCAACGCAAACAAGACGCCCAAGAGAGCGAGCAGAGGAAAGCAGAGCGTGCAGCACTGCGCAAAGAGCAGCGATGGAGAGAGCAAAAGCACTACGAAAGGCAACTGGTACGACCTGACATTCACACAATTACTTTGAAGAATTACTGACTGTTTAGATGCGGGCACGCCACCAGAACCTACGTTGCATGGCACACTTTCTGCATACCAAAACTGAACCACGCCTGGTATGTAATAATTTGATTGACACGGTGACTGCCAAAGCTAATTTCCTCCAAGTACTATAAGCCTTGGGAGACTAGCCGCGATGAAGAAGAACGCATACAAATCCAAATAGCCGAAGCCGAAGACGCCATCAAACGCGACCTGGACGAATACGAGGCTCGCGAGCAGCCGGATAATCAGCGGAGGCGGGACACTTCCGAAGGATTGAGTCGTAATGCAGAGGGTTCCCATACCAGTAAGAACCACAATGCAGACGCGCCTCAAGAAACATCCACAACCAATGGCGGAACTAATGGTAGCGCCACATCACCCAAAGACCTGGACATGAAGGACCATAACCCCGATGCCCCAGGGATAGCAGAGGAGCACGCTCCCACACATCCGCAGCATGACAAGGTTGCAAGTAATGAGGCTGTCGCTGACCAACCCATGAAGGTTGATGATGATGACGAAAACGGCGAAGATGTCGTCGAAGAAGCTGCAGAAGACACCCTCATCTACTAAGATTTGCCGGCATGGCCCCTCTCTTTAAGAATGTCTCTATTGACCGGTCTCGTACGTCGTTGCGTTGCGCGAATCCACCATGATACCCTTTTGCAACACCGCACTCTATATACCCTGGCCGCATTCTCCACCCACGCACCCCAAGCACCTTGACTTGCGCGCCCTGTTTTTGTCTTCTGCGTCCACACCTTTGCGGCAAGCGACTTGAATAGTCCATTGTATTGGCCACGTTTTCACCGGACAGCACAAGAAGCGCTCTCTCCAAGGATCTTGATATGCGCGATATGTCACCATTCGCCGACGATCCATACAAAGTTGTAGCTTGCGGTGTGCAGTGGAAGCGACACAAGCACATTCCAACCCGTTGGGTCAAAATCACAACCAACCATTTGTCTACTCTAGGCACGGGTGCTGGCAGATCATTTACAGCATTCGCTCGCCTCACTTTGAATATCTCAAATAAAGTCACAATGTACTCAGCCGGCCAGGCTATTCTGGATTATACTCTACCAGTACGTAGATTATGGCGGAATATGCCGGGTGGAAAAAATAGGCACGATTTTCCATCACATACTTGCGAATTGTTGTGAGATGAAAAGGCGCTATTCACGACAGATTTTGACATTAACAAATTTCTAAACCACACATACGTAGAACCAAGACTTTGAAGAAACTGACATGTGATTACGAGTCTCGCGCCGCGTCATGAGTGATGACATACACCGACCGTAACCCCACATCTTTTTTCTCTCCCGTGCCTCGGATGCCGAGGCACATTCAACACATTCAAGGGTTTCCCCCAACCCTTTTATCAAGTTAAACCTGAATCCACAACATTGCGTTAGCTAGCAACAAACACTTGACCACTGCGCTTATTCTTCACCGCTTTCTTGTGTGTTGAAGATTTTTTTCTCTTTGATTAATTGAGGTGTTGAGTGAAGAAAATCGTCTTGTCGTTATCTCAATCCAGATTCCTACCATGGTCTTCACATCAGGAGTGCTCCAACCTATCAATCCCGAAGAGGACAGCAGGGTCCAGCATAAAACCGCGGTTCTCAATGGAAATACTTATCATTACCTGTATGCGGAGCCTCAGAGTGGGAAGTGGGAGCATACTGTGTTTTTGGTAAGTCTGGTTGTGAATGGTATACCAAGACTTTAGAATACAGAAAGATGTGTATCTGTTAAGCACTGCTGACACTGCATTTTCATATTATAGATTCATGGCTGGCCTGATCTTTCCATTGGGTGGAGGTATCAGATTCCGCATCTGGTGGAGTTGGGGTTTAGGGTTGTGGCGCCGGATATGATGGGGTATGGTGGTACGGTAAGAACGTCTCCAAACCTACCTTTTGGAACTAAGGTAATGGTTGTCCTGAACGAAGAAGATGCTAAGATGTGTGTGTTTATAGGATGCTCCACAAGTACCTCCAAACCCGATCAATCTGTACGGTCTCAAGCAAGCATCAGATGATATCGCCGCGCTGGCAAAAGTTGTTGAGGCGCCTCAAATTATCCTAGGTGGCCATGACTGGTACGTCACCACGCATACCACAGAATTGACAGGTCCATGTAACTAACACTTTTCCGCCAGGGGAGGTTTCGTCGTCTGGCGCGCCGCTCAATGGCACCCCAACCTAGTCTCGCACGTCTTTTCCGTGTGCACGCCCTACGCGCCGCCCCGCGAGCAATTCGCATCGATTGAGGACCTCGTCAAAGGCCCCTTGCCACAGTTCGGGTACCAGATCCACCTTGCTTCGGGCGAGGTGGAGAAGATCGTTAAGAACGAGACGACCATCAGGCAGTTCCTCCAAGGCATGTACGGTGGCAAAGGGCCAAATGACGAACCAGTATTCGTGCCAGAGAAGGGTGTGGTGGCCGAGAACTTGGGCTTGGTTGGTGAAAGTCGAATCCTGAACGGAAAGGTAAGCGATTTTCCCTTTATGCTAGGACGCGTGGCGGCGGCGGCGCCGGGGAAGGCGGGATGACGGCCTTTTGCCTCTCTCGATATTTGCTGCTGCATGCGAGGAGCGGCAGAGTCTGAAATCTGGGAATTGGGCTTGCGCCTCTTCGTATATATTCCAAAGACCAAGATCGCCTATCACTCGGCTGCCTTGTTTCAGGATGAGGAGAGAACGAAGAGGGATGCGGGTTAATCTACTTTGTTCGCAAGCGATGGTGTGCTGACAGCGAATCATGATAGGAACTCGACTTTTACGTCAAGCAGTACCTCAGGCATGGCATTCATCCTACACGTACGTTACCCTCACTTACCGTGCCGTTTTATGTTGGAAAACCCTGCTGATCACTCGTATAGTCAACTGGTACCGTACGCGCCGTATAAACTTTGAAGAAGACAAAGGCTTGCTCGGCAAGGAAAAGGTCATGCAGCCCGTCCTCTTCATCCAGGCCACGTATGACTCAGTTCTCAAGCCAGAAATGTCGAAGAGCATGGACGAGTTCGTCCCCAATTTGACTAGGGGAGAGGTTGAAGCTTCGCATTTTGCATTGACGCAGAAGCCGGTCGAGGTCAACGGTATCATCCAGAAATGGCTGGAGACGCAGGGATTGTTGGGAAGGAAGGGAAAGAGCAGTTTGTAGGATTATTTGAGGGTACATGGAGGAAGGATAGTCGGTTGCCGTGTTTGGAAAGGGATTGCCGGATATGGTTCTTGGTAAGACACAAGAACAGTCAACTATCATCCTTGAAACATCACTATCGGCACTTCCCCTGGCAAGCGGTGTGCTTTGCGTTGCAGAATGTGCTAATGATACAGATAGTGGAGCTTGCGGCTCTATCCATGGTGGCTTGCAATGTGCTCATGCCCCTGTCCAGCGATATCGGAAATGCATGGGCTGGGGCAAGCTCGCGAGATGCCTTGTCTTGCTTTGTCCATGATTGTTCCACGGAATTGAGTTCCTGTGGCAAATGACTGGTCCTTTGAAGTGGACGCGTACTCCCAGACCAAAGGATAATTCCTAGGGATCGGCACTAATCAATTGGAAATGGCCAATAGCCGGTGTTTTGTATAGTTCCCAAGAGGACATGCGCCGCGTGCCTGAATGTATGTGTACAGCTCTGTTTCGTACACAGACGGCAGATGCATCTATGCGTCAGCGTACAGTAAGCTGGCCTCGGCGAAACGTGATGATGATGTCGGCATTCATCTTCGGGTGAAGGGCCGGTTCCCGAGAAGGCACAGTTGTGGATACCATGGCTACACTGTTTTGAGCTCCTAGGTGTGGGTCCACCAGTACCTACCGGGCTTGTCATTCCGTTTTTTGGTATCTCGCGTACCTTGAACTGTGGATTCGGTCTTCGCGTATGTATGTCGACGCCCGTCGTGGAGCCTCGCTGAGTCGCAAAGGTGAAGCGTACCATGATGCTATTCCGGCATCTCCGGAGGTTCTAACTTTAATGGTACCGGCAAAAGAAAGTTGATAAGTATCCCGTCCTGGATGGAGAACCGACTGTTCTGGAGCTGGCGTCGTGGTGCCGTCCCGTGCTGACTTGGACTCGCGGCGTTAGCGCTGCTCCACGTTATTGCAGAGGCATTCAGGCTCGTGAAAGTGTGTCGAAGGTCTTGGAAGTTTTTCCTGGTAAATTGTATGCCGGATGCAGGTCCCCTCTGTCCGTGCGCGAACCGAGCCAGTGGAACGCTGGTACGAAATACAACCAGTAGTACAACGGGGTTGTACCCTGTGGCTATATCGTCTTGGTGAAATACAGGCCAATCTGGTGCAATTGCTGTCGACAATAGGCTGGTGCGGAGACATGCGCCCGCAGCTTCTTTAGGGTGGCGCGCTGCGATAGGGGATGTAGCACCTTTGCATCCGCCAGACCGCCTCCTCAACAATCGCAACTCCAGGATTATGGCGTTGGGCTTCTTACACTCCCAAGTCTAGAGAAGCAAGCAAGGACGACTCACCGCTGCAGTACTAAAGTGTAAGCGCTGATATACCTGGATACTTGGTGTCGATCGCAAGCTGCGAGTCACGTTTGAGCGTTGATATGTACGAATGACATCGCTCACCGCTTGCTGCTTCTTAGATGGACAGGCATGGGATTTGAGGAGCTGGTTGCTTGGTGACGCATGGTCCCAGTGTTCGAAGTGACAGTCAGCAGGGCTCATGGTAGCGCTGGAGATAGTACGGCGATTTCACATGCTACTATGAGCAATATAAACGACGACTGCGTTTCTTATCGGTATAAGCATTATTCGATACTATCTCGTAGCTCGTCGCGCCGGAGCACCAAGCGGGCTGGCTGGATAGGGTGATTATTGAGCTTGTTTAGTCGTCTTGGTGGATTGACGACCCTACCTAGTCTGCAGAGCAACCATGCGCTTGCTGGGTTAACCTTGGGAACCAAACCACCATGGTGCTCTGCCGTGCAACGTTTCGTGGAGTTCTTGGAGAGCGGACGAACAGGTGGCTCTCAGTGTTTACTTTTGCCGTCCCGCCGCTGCAGTCTGCCTGGCTGCGTGAGATGAAGGTTGTTGGAGGAGGGGCCATGTCGGTCGGAGAGATACGTAGACTCGTATTACCAGCCATCGACATGGCAGTTGCTCGTGGCCGATCCCCTGTCTAGTCATTCCGTCTATGTGCCCGCGATCACCGTTTATCCCATTTGATGCTTCATGGCCGATGTTTGTCCTCAAACTTCGGTCGAATTGGCAGATCTAAGACGGCATTGCAGCGCGCTACCTTCCTCGCCATAGTCATGCAGACAATGGCACATGTCAATCTCGATGACTCTGCTGTTGGTGGCCACACCTCGGTCGCAGCTGCAGCTGTTGACTGTTCACTATGCCTTGGGCCAGTCGTTCGTGCAGTCTGTTTTGAGGTCGCCCCGATAAGAGGCCCTTGTCATGTCCAGTCCCGACCATATGGTTACGAGACGACGAATTTCGTCAACGGGCTGCTTCTCGGTAGCCAAACCGCGTCGTACGTCCGACCTCCATCAGCCAACGGGCTGCTTGGTGCGCACACCATCCTTCGACGGGGATCCCGCTAAGGTACCGCACTACAGGACCGACAACGTGCTCCACCGAATGGTATATGGATGCGCTACCATAGACCATGAGTCGTGCGCAGTCAGGGCAATATACCCGGGATTTTTTATATTGCAACAGTGTCTTCGGAAGGTCTTCTGGAAGATTAGGCAACGGGCACAGCCAGTCAGCGCTCGAGCAGCGGCCTCGGTACGCAGGCCCTGCTGATCAAGGGATCCATGATTGATGATGTGCCCGGGGTCGCAGAGGGCTCATGGTTGAGCTTTGGCACAACGGCGAAAGCGTGCTAATCTTGAGACAACCCGCATATCAGGCTGATGTTACGAGGTCATGGCCAGGGATTCATGGCGCTGCAGGGTCACTATAACCGACCGGTTCACTGCAGGAAATCCCAACGCAATCTTTCGAGGCGTGCTCCACAACCGCGCAGAGTGCCTTATCGCGGGTTGCACGACGCCGGCACGTCTTCGATAGACAGCTGCCAACCAAGCCATCGGACACCGTCTTATGACTGTTGCTCCAATTTCGCATCTTGGGTATGCATGTTCCGGACCGCCAAAGCTGCTGGTCTGGTAAAACGAAACTAAAATGCTTAAGTCAGTAGCCGCTAGCACTTCGGGCGAATTGCAGGAGTTCCCGCTTGCGTATCCACAACCAGATCTAACCTCATGTACACAGTCAGAGTAACGGAATGAAGAAAAGACTACGTGAACCCTCCCATACCGGGCCGCCTAGTCGCCCATCCCTATCCATGTTCCGTCCCGCCAGATTGAACCGCCCAGCAAATGACGTGGAATCTCTGAGTCTACTCATGCGATGCCATTATCTCGCCGATGCACGAAACATGAGGCAAGCCCAGCGTGTGCCAGGCCACCGTTGATCCAAATGGGCCTTCTCAACAACTATATCAGCCTCCACGCTCCCGTGGGGTACTTTCTCTAGCTATCTCTCACTCACCTCTTCCCGTATCATTGCCACCATCCCCCATACTTTTGAATCTTTCTCGTAATGGCTCCTTCAGCTCTCACCGATATTTATCCAATCCCAGCAAGGCACTACTCCAAGTCGTCGACTGTGGTAGCTTCCGTCTTGCATGGGCCAAGGGATTTGCGGCTCGTATGCCTTCCTCTTCTGTAAACATCCCACGCCTGCCCACTGTTCGTGGGGGTGGATGTGTACAATTTCGCGTCTAAAACACTATGCTAACTGCTCAAAACAGGAAACTCGTACAATCTCGGACCCTGCCGCCAATGAACTTCAGATCGCTATCAAGGCTACTGGACTGTGCGGGAGCGATTGCTCGTACTACAACAAGTTTTGCAACGGTGACCTACGAGCCTGCGAGCCTTTGTCACTAGGCCACGAGTCTGCTGGGGTCGTCGTTGCTATCGGCCAGAACGTTACTGGCTACCAGATTGGCGACCGGGTTGCACTCGAGGTCGGCGTCCCATGCGACAACTGCAGATCATGCCAACGGGGCCGCTACAACCTGTGCCCCAAGATGAGGTTCCGAAGTAGCGCTAAGTCTGTGCCTCACTTCCAGGGGACCCTTCAGGAGCGTATCAATCACCCCGCAAAGTGGTGCCACAAGTATGTCGTGCATGATCGACGGAGCCTGGAAGTCTAGCTGACAACCTTATCCAGACTCCCGGCGCACATCTCCATGGAATCGGCTGCGCTTCTAGAGCCTCTCTCTGTTGCGATCCATGCAACAAGAAGGGCTGAGATCGAGCAGGGAGATACCGTCATTGTCTTTGGTGCAGGCACCGTTGGTCTTTTGACTGCTGCCATGGCCAAAGTCTCTGGAGCCACAACCGTTGTAATCGCCGATATCGACCATGGGCGGATAAATTATGCTCTGGCAAATGGCTTTGCCAACAAGGGCTACATTGTGGCGCCGCAGCATCACACGAAGGAGACTGCCGAGAAATTCGCAGCTGCAAAGGAGTTGGCCACAGACGTTATGCAGATTGCTTCGCTGAACGAAATCGACTTCGAGGGTGCGGATGTCACCTTTGACTGCACTGGCAAAGAGATTTGTATGCAAGCTGGTCTTTACGTAAGCATTTCCATGACTGTAAGCAAACCCGGTACTGATTTGCTGCAGACAACAAGACCAGGTGGTAAACTCATCATGGTTGGAATGGGTACTCCGATCCAGACACTTCCCATGTCAGCATCCCACTTGAAGGAAGTCGACATCATCGGCATCTTCCGTTATGCCAACACATACCCCGTTGGTATCAAGCTCATCTCTGCTGGCGTACTTCCCAGCCTCGATGCCATGATCACCCACAGGTACCACGGATTGGCATCGACAAAAGAAGCGTTCGAGCTTGCCGGAAAGACCATGGACGCAGACGGCAACCTTGTCCTCAAGGTCCTAGTTGAGATGTGAGCTTGTAATATTGTATGACTTGATAGAAATTATTTAGACAAGGCCGATTGGAACACGATCGGTCGAGGCCAGGCGTTTTGAGCGTGGCTTTTGGGGGTCTGTTTCAAGACTGAGATACCATTCGCTATTTGGGCTGGATTTGGAGTTATTTGGTCATGCAAGGGTTCTCGGATTTGTACCTAGCTTTGAAGTAATGACACGACGATGGTTACATTTGACAGTACATTGGATAGCGACGTGAATGCATAGCGGATACGGCCTGAAGAACGTCAATTGAGGGTGTCGTGGAGTCGACCTACATTGATCAGAGAATGGTCGACGCCGTCCATGTACCGGGCTTGGCAGCATGAGATACTGTATCATGTGACCAGACGTGCTCAAATGTCAGCCCTGGAGAATACTTACATCTAGGTGTCACAAAATACTTGACAGTGTGGGTAAGCAGCTAATAGGCGTGTTTAGCGACTACAGTGGCCTTGATACACTCGTATGTCAAGTATTTCATGACACCTAGGTGCTTACAGCAAGGACACCTGGGTACGTATGTACAACAAGGTAAGTGAACTGGAATCGCGTCGCGTCGATGGACGCTAGCCCCCAAATTAGCGGCTTGGCATGACCCCACGGCAGCTGCAGCCTAAGCAAGCTCCCCACCATTGACGATACCGCTGCCATTGCTCTAGACTACTGACGACTGCCGAAGCTCAATTACGACCGAAACTCTTCCACAACACTCTCCGTCGTCGCCAAGATGGTGGCATCATCGGATAATCCGCTTGTTTCGAGTGCCCGCGCCTCCGACGCAAGTCCAACTGTTCAACTGCACCCGCTGGTTCTTCTTACCATAACCGACTGCGTCACACGCCACACGCTACGACAACAGAAGGGACCAGTAGTTGGGGCCATTCTAGGCGCACAGGATGGTCAAAACATCACAATGGAAGTCGCTTTCCAAGCAAAGCTCCAGTCTAACCAGGACGGCGACACAACACTTGATGACGAGTGGTTTAGCAAGCGTATCGAAGACTGTAGGTTTTCAAATTGCCCCTTGAAATTTATGAGTTTAAAAGAAGCTCATAATTACATCTAGTCAAGGACGTACACAAAGAACCCCAACTAGACATTGTTGGCTGGTTCACCCTTGGTCCCGCCTCCGGTCCAGAACCCCACATCCTTCCTATCCATTCGCGCATATCGGACGTGTACACAGAGTCGCCGCTACTGGTGCTCTTTCACCCCGAGGCTGCCTTTACAGAAGAAACAGCTGCCGGAAAGCTACCTCTCACAGTCTACGAGTCCATCACAGTCAACGCATCGAGCGAACCAAATGACAAGGCCATGGACATTGATGGCGCGGTACAAGCGAAGTCGACCAAATTCAGGGAGCTCGTGTACTCAATCGAGACGGGTGAGGCAGAAATGATTGCTGTGGACTTTGTGGCTCGCGGTGGTGGTAATGCAACTGCAGTCGAGGGCACAGCGGAGGTAGCAGCAGCTAAAACCGAGACTCCCAAGAATGAAGAGGATACTGGCACACGGATTACAAGGAGTAAGCAGAAAGATAAGGGAAAAGAAAAGGAAAAGGATGCCGCCGTCGACGAGTCACAGATCTTGACCGCAGAGGACGACGAGAGTATGCGCACCCTTGTATGAGTGTCGCATATTGGTATGCTAACTTACCCACAGTACTATCCTCACTTACAGCAAAGATGAACGCCATCCGCATGCTTAGCCGACGTATATCGCTTCTACGCTTATATCTCAAGTCGCTACCACCCTCATACCTCTCCGACCCATCTCTCCCAGTCAAAGTGAATTCTTCACCCGAAGAGTCAAATACACTACCCCTAGACCACACCATTCTCCGCAGCATATCCGCCATGATCGCTCGCATCAACATCCTCGCTCCCCCAGACTTGGCTGCTTTCACGCTCGAATCGCAACAAGAAGCGTCGGACGTACAGCTAGTCAACTTGTTATCGTCAATCACAAACTCTGTCTCCATAGCTAAGGACTTTGGTCGCAAGAGCGCCATCATCGAACAAGCAAAGAACCAGGGCAAGGCTCGCATGGGCGTCATGGGTGGATTCGGTACTGGCGATGGCGGCAATTATCTCAACACGGTCATGGATAGCGCTGGTGGAGGCAGGTGGTGAAGTTGACCCGATTGGCGTTTGACATTGCATTTTCAGCATGGTATACCTAATGGCATGATGGAGCTGGGGGGTACTCAAACCTACGCCCAATACTAGATACCTTACGTGTGGCTACCCACTTGCCACCATAGCAGCATTCCCAACGATGACAACGCTCCACTTGGCACTCCGTGGTAGAGACGGAGCATGAACGGCATGCTAGAATCCTGGCCAGTAGGTTTGATTTCTGCGAGTCTACCATTTGGAATTATATTCATCATTTGGTTTCCCGTATGGAATATCCAAGATATCCAAGAGGGGCCTTCTATCACGAGTTATGCATATAATCATGGCGTTGGTCCTGGTCACCATGAGTACATGAAACATGAGCGTATAGGCACGATGAGCATAGCCAGTAATGGAGAGGAATCCTTGTATTCGTATCCTCTCTCCCATCCTGTCTAGTAGGTGATGCTAGACTTTACCCGTGTGTCTACTTCAAAGGTGCAATGTGGTGAAGATTTGGACTGTCATATGGTACATTGTGAGATATCCGTACGCTCCGGCATCATTTCCGTCCATCTTCATCCCCCTCTGTCTTAACTCTTCGCCCGAGTCACCAACTCGCTCTACCTAACCGCCCCATCTGGACGCTCATGGATCACGAAGCCACAGTCCTTCAACAGCCTTTACCTCCTCTCGTGCCACTCGTAGCCAACCGCCGTGGAACTTTTTCTGATCTCTGTCACGTTGTAGCTGCTCCTTGAGCTGTCGGCGCTGGTTGTCGAAGTTTGTACGCGTAGAGTTTAGACTTGTTGGAGGAGGTGGCCGGGTTAACGGGGCAGACGGTGAGGTTAGGATTCGACGATCGGCTTCCGTGGGGCTGTCTGGCCAGTGTGGTGTCTGTTCCGGGGGTGTTGAGGGGGAGGAACCTGGAGTGGGTTCGAGGATTTGAAGGGGCAAAGTCTGTTCATGGGGCTCTTGGTCCATTATCATGTTGACGGTGTCAGTGTTGCTGTTGCTGTTGCTGTTGTTGCTGATAGGGTTGACGAAATTCCAGAAATCTTGGACGAGCTGGGTCTTGTCTGGTTGTACTTCATCTTTAGTTGTGGGGGCCAAAGTACCCCATGCCATGAGCTCACCATCATTGGTATCCCGATAAGCGGGCTTAATGGCGTTGTGGTCATCTTCTGGTACTACTGCTGTGTTCCTCACTTCCTCTGCCGTGTCCCAGATCCATCGTGGCTGGTCAAAGTCAAGCAACACGTCCTCGTTCTGCGTTGTGTGTTCCTCAGGCAACAAGTCTTCTGAGAGCCAGGCGCCATCGTCATCATCCCGAGGGTGAGAATAGTCAGTGCTGACAGGATGCATCGGGTCCATGCTTGCGATGTAGTCCCCATCATAGTCGCGGTCCTCCATTTCATTCCATTGCTTCTCACACTCAGCCCCCATGACATCTTCCGGGTGCAATTCTTGTAAAAGAGGCGAAGCTGCCGTCCTGTGATTTGTCACGGGAACCTTTGCCAGTTTCTTAGAAGCATGAGAAGCCATGTGCCAGGATGCTGCCTGGTACTTTACCTCGAGATCTTCTACCAGTGCCGATATCTCGTCGACGCCAGGCAAGCACTTCTTCTTGAGTTCGTCGAGGAAGGCTTTGGCGCGCGCTAACTCGGCTGTCTTGTCGTTTTCCCAAGTTGTATACAGGCAGGAGCTACAGTCGGCCTGAACGTTGAGAGTGAGAAGTGACGCCGCCGTGCATGCAGCTCTGGTGTTCGTTGGCTTGTCCTTGTGTTTCGTCTCTCTACATTGAGAGCGCCGGACCTTGACCAGATGGTCGCAGCTGAATAGCAGCTGAATGACGTTGCACATTGCTGGCTGTTGATCCTAGCTATCTCAGGTCAGCTTGAGTTCAAATGCGCCTAAGTCAACATGTATATAGGTCCAGAGTCTTTGGCAAGTGCGGCGAGGTTCAGAAACGACTGCGGAGGTTGGGCGCTTGTGGGGCTGTACTGATAATGTTGTGTTCCAAGGTATGGCCAGAATGCATGAGCAGCGAGCGCACCAAAGATAGAGAAAGAGAGAGCGTTTGCTGTGGGGTTGAAGTGGGGCAACGCAGATTAAGTAGTGTGTTGCTACAGCTACCCCCACGAAACTCCATGTTGAGCTGCTTGGTGGCAGCGAAGAAAAGCGGGGCCATTCAAGTAAAGGTGAGTAAGACTGGTAGAGGCATTAGCAACCCAAATGCCATAACGAAGACGCAGAAACGAGTCAAGGTGACTGTGAGATAAAGGTGCGACATGCTATGAAGAGAACCAGGCGTTTGTTTTGTTGTTGGTGGGGTACCCTGAGAAAAGTAGTGCAGGAAGGAGCCTTGACCTATGGTCACGTGCGCGTCAAGATTGCACACCGACAGATAGCATTGAGTGGAAAGCCAGACCAATAAAAGTAAGAAATTATGATATTATTTGTAAAAGAAACCCGGTAAGGAGTGTGGGTAAAACGCCCAAAAGGAAATCCCAAAAGTGCCGTCCCATTATGACAATCTAGGTCCGAAGTTGTGGTAGAGAGTAAAGGAAAACCTCGGGTAACTTATGATGTGTAGCCGGATATACAACTCCAAAAGACACACCAAGGAAAAGGCGTCGCATCGTTGCACATAACGCATAATATCTTGTACATGTATACGCACACAGGCTGATAGTGTGTAGTGACCCAGGACAAAAAGAAAACAAAATTAATAACGGACGACTGGCGACGCACTTGGGCCAGTGTCTTGGACGAGCATACCTTCCTTGATACCCTCCTTCTCCATCTTATGCATCCAGTCCTCCTTTTTCTCCTTCTTATGTATCCACCCTTTGAAAATCTTCTTCAATTTCGACTTCTGCTCTTCCTTTCCTGATGATTTGGGCTCGGTGGAAGTCGTTCTGTGGGCCCGTAGATCTGAACTCGAATGGGAGATGGCACCACCTGTACTCCTGTTGCTATTTGAAGCAGATTGGCTGCTTCCACTTTTCGCTCGAGTGTGGGTGCTGGAACCCAGCTCCAGGCGGTGGTCGAGGTTGGTAGTGGACGACCAGTTGGTCATTATCTGATGGGCATTTGCTGGGCTGTTCGGAACCGTTCTTGATGTTTGGGGAATGGACTGAGAGCCCTGTTTACGTGAAGAGTTGTGGGCGGGGAAGCTGTGGTCGGACTTCAACACCAGAGCATCAGGCACATTATGTCTCTGTTTACGCGGAGGGGGGGACTGCTCTTCATGCGATCGCATAACGCTTGCAATGTGTGTTCCAGTAGTTGGTGATTTTGGCGATTTCTGTGCCGCAACCATTTCTGCTTGTGGCTGCTGGGGGTCCTTCCAAGAGTCGAGACTTGGCAGTGGTGGCAACTCTCTGTTCAGGTTGAGACCGTTGGACTCGGACTTTCTAGGTTGGGCTTCATCGGTGGTTGATCCCTTTGATGTACCTGGCCTGCTGTTACTCCTCGAGCTCGACCGGCGAGGGACCCAGCCACGCCAGCCCGAATTTGAGCCATTGCGAGAGACGCCCTGGCCTTCGTTTGTGGAAGCCGAACGGAGGGATTCCTTGGACTGCGCACGGCTCAGGGCGCGACTTCGAGAACCCGGGAAGACGTATTCTTTGACACTGCTTTTGATGCTTGCTGTGCGGCTGAGAGGGGAGGGTCGGCCTGGGCGGTCGGAGGCGTCCTGGTGGTGCTTCTTCTTGTCTAGCTCCCGGCGCATCCACTCGGTGGCTTGTGCATCTGCGGCTGCAGCAGGATCGGAGTGGTGGGAAGTCCGATTTGTGTTCTTGCCGGATGACACAGTCGCATTCGCAAAGTTAGATGCGACTGCCACGGGCAGCGTGATGCTCTCGTCGGAATCGTTTCGGAAGTTTGCTGGTCGGGGCATGTCCATGGACGCCTTGCCGTTGACTTTGAGCTTTTCCTCCCTCTGTGCATCCCGTTCGTCGAGCCAGCCAAAGTCGGTGCGCTTGCGACTGCTATTGGTGCGCGCAGGTGGCTCGCCGCCATATGCCCTGGCTTTGATCTCCAAATCTGCTTTTGCTCGCGTCCGCGTCTTGGTGCTGGGTTTGCGTGGCAGGAACGACGTCGTGGCAGTATCCATGGGCGCACCCGTAGGCATGCGGACATTGACTTGGGCGGGCTTTGATCTGTTTTCTTGCTGCGGCTTGCTCTCCTTGCGCAGTCCCAGTCCGCCAAAATCGAGCTTCGGGTCCGTATTCTCCATGCCATGATCGGACGGCTTGAAGTTTTGTAAGATGAGCTTACAGGCTGAGCGGAGCTCTTGGTCCGTCTGCGCATCGAGGACACGGCGGTTGATAAAAGGTGAATTGTCGCATATGCTATCCTTGGAAGTATGTCTCTTGTGTGTGGCAGACTGTGTTGGCGTCAGTTCAGGCGTCGGCTTTTCCTTCAGCTCAGCCTTGGAGGCAACCTTCTACAGCATAGTTAGCTACTACGGTCAAGTTTGAGCAGCCTAGGTGGGGGCGCGTACGACAGGTGCCAAGTTGAATGAGAACTTTCGCTTCATCATATTGGATACTGGGGGCGGGCGTCTATGGCACAGCTATGTCGAGATGGAATACCAGGTGGAATATTCGCGAACAAGGACGTATGTATAAGTCTGGCTGTAGTGAATAAGCGTGACGACAGTCGGGGACTGTGCACGGCTGCGGCGACAGCGTTACGAGTGCACGGTATTGTCCAAGTAAAGTTGGGTCGACTAGTAATGAGGGAATCAAGCTACTGCTCCTGCTGCATTGGTAGAGGAGGCGCAACCACCGGGAAAGGGTGCAAACGGGAGGGCAGCAAGAAAACACTGGCGATGCGCAACCAAGTGACCTGCATGGGGAACGCCAGGGACAATAAGGCAGGCGTTATGGAGTAGGATAGCCTGTGGTGCCGTCCAGCCTGCAGGCCAGGAGGTGGTGGAGTTTCAGACGGCAGCTAGAGTCTGAACAGGGAGCGTCTGGCCGCTTAGCACTGGGTCCAGGTCTGGACGCCATCACTGGAGACACAGCCAATTACCGGGCTGGGCCCAAGATGGCTGAACTGGGCTCGAAACTGTTGACAATGATTGACAATAATACAAAAGAATGTGTGCTATACAACTCGTTCATGGCATGCGCCTCCCCATAATCACCCACCACCATCCACCACCACCCATCACCACGACCAAACATGTCTTGCACCTACAAACAACCATCGCCTGTCGGTTCCCACACAACAGACTATTGAAAGTTAGCGGCCCTACCGGCCCCACGAATAGCAGCGCTTATGGGCCGCGGACATGACTTGGTACCTTCGATGCAGAGGCCGAATTCCAGATGCCCACTGCCTGGACAACCCCGACGGCCTGTCTTGCGCGCCTTGGCCTGCATCAGCCTGCTTTCGTGCTGCAAGTCGCGAGAACTCTACTCTCCCTGTCGAGCTGGAGCCGAACAACTGCTGGGCCTGCGGGGTGCGGTTTCACACTAAAACACACGCCATCCGCCCTCGTCGTCAGCCTCATGAACACCATTGAGCCTTTGAACAAAAGTTTCGCTGTTTCCGTCGCCGACAATAGTCTCGTGTTTTGCCTGACACGGCGCGCTCCGTGGCCAACCCTGGAATATCCCGACGGCTTAATCTGGTGCCGCGGCAGGGCCCTGGCCTGTAGACAGGCCTCGAAACGGTCGCTTCAGCTGTCTGTGTCGGGTGGAGAGAACAGTTTATATAAGCAGATGAGCATTATGATTATGATATCATAATTAATAGAGTGGCTAGATATCATCTTCTTGTACACATCATCGACCTCCCAGCCATGCTCAACGACCAGGACCCGCCATACCCCTTGGGCCGCACTTGCTCGGCATCCCGCACTTTTGCTTGAATTCTTCCTGGTCAGATCTAGACAATCCGAAACATTGGAAGTGCCCCCCTTCAAAATTGATACTTGTCTGGAATACGGCTGATATGTGTTAGCTATGATTCTTGCATGATAGCTTGGATGCTTATTACCAGAAAAACCACGACAGGTATTTCTCGTCGCTTCATATTGGGAGACTCCATTACCATTCTACAATATTTAGCCTCAAGTTAATCGTCTTCTTTGTGTCTTGAAACCTACCTTACAAACGCACGCTTCATTTGTGGCGGCTACGACAACGTTACCTAGCGCCAATAGAAGAGCTGGCACACATAGGGAGAACCGCATAGTGTTGGAAGATTGGTGTTGGAGACTTGGAAGTATTCTGTTCTTATTGGAATGACAGCTGAGTTTGTTGCGAGTATGGTAGAACGGGACTTTATAAGAGCAAGACAAGAATGAGTGAACCTTGAAAGGTAGGTCAAGCGTGATCAACACGTCTTCCGCTGTTGTCCGTAGAGAAAACTTGAAGGGATACGTAATATGCTTCACTCAACATACCCAGCTACCTCCATCTCACCTCATACCTGGCCATGATCATGATCAATTCGGATCATGGTATGCGACAAGAACAAAGTGCGGCTTCCAACCGTTGTCCATCATCTTCCACCATCGGCCAAAATTGCCCATGTTTGTCCAAAATCTACCTCGGCCTCATCTCGTGTTGGTTTGTGCACCAGCTGGTGATCGCGACATCTGTGCGAATCTTTGTCGGATATGTCACTTGGCTTACGCGGCATGCTGACCGCTCAGTAGCAGGTAATCCAGCAGAGCACGTGCAATTGTGTTTCCCCGGGTCGGTGTTCGAGTTGTTAGTCGAGTCTATTTTCGCTACCTGCCTGATTCAGGGTCTGGTCATTGCTGCCTCGTCTTCGGATCCCCTCAGTGCCAGTGCCCTTCAACGTCAAAATAAGCCTTCACCGGCTATCAATCCACCGCAGCCAATACCGCTGGCATGCGTGTCTTCATTTCGCGCGACACTTCCAATATCTTTTTCGTGGCGCAGAGACGGCTGATTCACTAGGGACCACCTAGCCGGTGGGGTAACGTGTAACCATAGTCAAGCCACTGCACCGAGCACTTGGGTTGCGATACATCCAACTAAGCCTGCCAAAGTAATAATCTTCAACGGAAGCTTTACAAAGATACACTAACTGACGCCACTCATCACCCTCTGTGGAGTAGATGGGTTCCAGCCACCGTCCAAGTCCCCACTACATGCCATCGCGCGATTGCCACGTTGCTGGTACAAAGGTACTGTTATGGTAGTATTCGAGTCTGCAATTTGCGTTCGGACCTCTGGCACGAGATCATTCCGCGACGACCTCTGTCGTACTAACAAGCCGCATCAGCGCACACGAGCAGACGGTCTAGAACTATCAAGATTGCTCTCATCTCTCATAATATTACCAGACGATGCTATGTTCGATCAACGTGTGAGAAGAGCGACGACCACCCTAGTGCAGCAAGACGCATATCTTGATAGCGCTACTTGCCATCATTACTAAAACCTCCAATCTACTTTGGCTATCAACGCATATTGAATGGCGCCTGAATCTGGATCACTCGTCCCGCTAGTGCAGTTGCTAGATGAAGCTGAAGAGCTTGGACTGTTGGATTGTTCGTAGTCATCATAGCTTCAACGTCAACGCTCACGGGCACAGCCGCACGAAGGCTTCCGCGTCAAGAGTCACCACTGAGCACTGACATACTATTCTTGAGAACTGGTAATGTATCGAGCGAGCAAGTTCATTTTCGTGGCGATTACACGCCATCGACATGAAGCATTCTGGACTACACACATCACAGGCATCAAGTGCTAAACTCAAGAACCCGACAAGTGCGGCAACTACTGTCTATCAGTACGCTATTCTTCTATATCTTGCACTCAGCTACATATTGCAAGATGACGCACAGCATGCTCAGCCCAACAAAAAGAAACCCCGAGATCAGTGTCGAACATCTAGCCCACATACATCCCCTCAGATCCCTACCCCAGCGCGAACCTACCAGACCGCATCAGCTCATGTCAAAGGTACCAGGCAAAACGAGCGATACAGTTCGTGGCAAGCTTCCCCGAAACCTTCTCAGACTAGGAGTCCAGACCAGGCGCGCTCTCGTCTACACACGCCAAGGCGGGACGATCATCCACATGGTCCTGTCAAAGCTCAAGTTACAAATGCAGGACTGGCCATTTCAAGGGTACAAATGAGCGAGGCCTGGACGTGCATGAGAGCCGTCTCCTGCATGCCGATCAAACCTTCCAATTCGAACAGCGAACAGGACCAAGGCAAGAGGCGAGTGAAGAAGGTGCGATGGGGCGTCGTACAGACCCGCGAGTTCGAGCCAGAGGCTGAAGCTGATGAAGCCACGACCAGCGAGCATGAACACAGCAGTGACCGAACAAATGCGCGACCTGACAATGCGAGCGATACCGAAATGCGAGGGTGACGGGCTGTGCGCGAGCTCTGGGGGCCTGCCCAGAGAGAGGGGGGAAGCATGAGATATGGGGACCTAGTGAGGGTAGTGACGGGCAGCTAAACTGATCTTCTTTACGACTATCCCCTGCCCTGATAACAGCCAGATGTTCCTTCCACTCGACAATCTTGGCAGTAGTGATCTTCGGTTTGTCCACACTGTACATGACGTACTGTTTATTGATTGCATTCTTAACTCTTGCTTAGTAAAGAACCATCGCTCTACCCAAATCGAGTAATTTTCTGCGAGTCATTCTCCGTCCTCAGTTGCGGCAAGTTTGCCACTAACCCCCCTAGGCAAGCGGTGCTGCCCCGCTCCCGCCCGATACCCCCTTCACCCTACACTTGTATTACTCCTGTACCAATACCACTGACTGGAAAATCCTTCAACGTAGCTGGACTCCTAATTCTGCATGTCTTTTATCGTTCATGGCCCTTTATCATGCGGAGTATTGCCCCGAATGATGTCGATAGCTGCGTGCCGAGCAATGAGGGGCGGCACACACCCATGGATCATGTTTAGTAATGACCGGCAGCCTCGGAGCAAGAGATCCGCACGTTCAGAAGAGGGGGAAGAGGCCTGAATGGGACCGCTAGCATCTCTCGGCGACGATCTGAGACGTGTATTCGCTGAATCTGAAGGATTTGACGTTGTTGCTCCTTGGTTTTGGTTAGAAACCCGATCCGGATGTCCGAGAGTGGGATCCTTGGGGCTCTGCTGCTGTGGACATATATGATGGTTTCCGCACTGTAATCTGCAGTTTTCTTTTGGATCTTCCTTCCGTTTCGTTCTTCGTACATTGTATGAATACTTATTAAGATGGGCAATCAATCGTGGCAACAGCTCCCTGTGGGGAATAAGAACCACACTGATGCCGCAGTGGTAATAATCGGTGCGGGTATCTCGGGTAAGTACGCTTGGCTCTCCAGAAAAATTGTCACTAATACTTTAGAGGCATGTGCATGGCGATTGACCTGATCAAACGGAATCAATGCCACAACTTTATCATAGTAGAAAAGAGTTCAAGCGTGGGTGGAACATGGCATGACAACAAATACCCTGGCTGCTGCTGCGATGTCTGGAGTGCCTTGTACAGTTACTCGTTTGAGCAAAACCCGGACTGGTCAAGAGAGTATCCTGGCCAAGAGGAGATTCTTGTATGTCGAGCTTTGATTCTGAGGACCAACACTTTCGATACAGAAGATTTGTCTAACCACAATTTCAGGAATACCTCCGCGGAGTGGCTCGCAAGTACAATCTTTATAAATACATCCGTTTTAACACAGCGGTTGACGCTGCGACATGGGATGATACGAAGAAGCGCTGGAAGGTCGATGTCAGAGTGACTGGAGGCAAAGATGCAGAATTCATCCCAGAGTATAGCATCGAGTGCGATTTTCTTATTTCAGCAGTCGGTCAGCTCAACAAGCCCTTCTACCCCGATATTGAGGGCCTAGAGAATTTCAAGGGAAAAATTATGCACTCGGCGCGTTGGGATTGGAGTCATAGTCTAGAAGGCGAGAATGTAGGCGTCATTGGCAACGGTTTGTATATTTCTCGGTACACTCATCCTCCCAACTAACAAATAAACAAGGCGCAACAGCAGCTCAGATTATCCCTGCTATCCTCCCTGATACCTCGTCTCTAACAGTATACCAACGCACGCCCAACTGGGTCATCCCCCGCCTCGACAGCGCCATCAGCCCCCTCAAGCGAGCCATCCTACGATACCTACCTCCCGTCCGCTGGCGAATCCGCGGCGCCATGATGGATTTCCGCGAATCCTTCCACACCGCCGTAACCGACAGCCAAAGCGTCTTTGCAGACTTCGTCCGCACCAGCACCAGCACCCTACTCCACCAACAACTCCCCTCCCGCCCGGACCTCTGGGAAAAACTCACCCCAACCTACGCCCCAGGCTGCAAACGCGTCATCATCTCCGACGACTACTACCCGTCTCTCGCCTCCCCGAAAACCACACTCACCACCTCCCCCATCGACCACGTTACAGAAACCGGAATCTCCCTCCAAGACGGCACCCACAACACCCACACCACCCTCGTCCTCGCCACCGGCTTCCGCACCACAGATTTCCTCTCTCCATTAAAAATAACAGGAACACAAAACCGCGACCTCCACACCGACATCTGGTCCACCACCGGTCCAGAAGCCCTCTACGGAACCACAATCCCCTCCTTACCCAACTTCGGCATCTTCTACGGCCCAAACACAAATCTCGGCCACAACTCAATCATCCTCATGATCGAGGCGCAATCCCGCTACCTCAGCACGCTCATCTCCGCCGTCCTCGACGCACGCAGTCGCGGGCAAAGAATCGGTATCATGCCCAAGTCGCAACGCACGCGCGAGTTCAACGACGAGTTACAGGCGGCGTTGCAGGAAAGTAGTTTTGCGGACAGCGCGTGTAGGAGTTGGTATAAGAATGAGGAGGGGAAGATTACGCAGAATTGGAAGGGCACGGTTATTGAGTTTCAGGATTTGCTGGCTAGGGTTAATTGGGGTGATTATGAAATTGTTGGTGGTGGTGAGGGTGTGGAGAAAGAGGTGGGTACGGGCATGGAGAAGGGGGTTAGTGGTGGTGCTGGTGGTGTGAGTGCGAGTAAGGTTGTTTTTGGGACGGGCAGGAAGGAGAGTCGGATTGGGAGGGTGCATGAGGAGACGTTTGTTAGTAAAACGACGTTGGCTTTGGGATTGGTGGGTGCGGTTGGCGCGGGTGCAGCGTGGGTCTATCGGGAGAGGGTAGCGAAAGCGCTTCGGTTGAGGAAGTGAGAAGAAGGGTTTTGTTGAGATTTCGGTTGATCGAGTGACATACTCTGATTATTCCCTTCTTAGCTGTTGCTATATACACTTGATCCGAAAGCTACTATATGCTATTGCACGAGTAGGTTGCCCACCTCCTGTGAGCAAAATTATGCGCAAGAAGTGTTGCGTTATTTACATGTCGTACTCGCCACCCTAGAACCCCTGCTGCCGATGCCACTTCTCCTCCCAACCCGGAAACCACGGGCTTTCCTCTAGTGTCCGCGGTTCCCACTCTTTCTCCACCGCCCCGCTCTCCATCTGTTCCTCGTGCCATTTGGCCAGCGCTGGCTTGACAACATGCTCTACATGCCAAGTATTCTTATACTCCATCAGGTTCTTCTTGCCTTCATTTAGTACCTTAAGCATCAATCCCGGCACATATGGCTCATCCCTGAACTCCTCGACTGGCGTAAACAGGGCCTTGAAGTTGAAGACCACGGCGCCAGAGAGGGGTAAGCGACGCAGTGTCTGCCAATCTACGCGAAGGTGACAACGAGAAAGTTCAAGCGCAGGATCCTGTCGCGAGCGGTGTGCTTCGTGGGGGTCTCCAGGAGGCATGTAGAGCGGTTGGTCGACTTCCAGACCCCAGGAGCCGCGTTGAATTGGTTTATCCGTAGGCTTTTTGGCAAAGTACCTGTACGTCGAGTCAGCCAATCGTTCGATAATGACGTCATACATGTATGCGCGCACCTGTCCATGGAGAACTGCATCTTTTCTTTGTAATCGGGGATTGGATCGTGGATGCCTGATAGGTTGAGCCCAATCTTCGAGCCGACATTCCAGCCCAATGCACTGCAGATGATGCCTGCCCGGAATACGTAGAGCCCAGTCTTCTCGTTTCGCAACAAGATGGCAAAGTCTTCGGGGACATTGTTCAGTAAAACGTGCAACGGTGGAGTAGTCGTGAGATCTGTATCAGTGTGTAGTATGCTGTTGCGAAAGGTCTTTTTGTTGTTCGAAAGCCAGAAGTACTGAGGGTATCTTGCGCAGAGGAACTGTAGCACCATCTCCATTAGCTCCTTGCATGCTAGTTCTGACCCTGGAAGTGCTTGAAGGACGGCTTCGCCATGCTTTTCGAACAAAGTTTGACGTTGCTTGATGCGCTCTTCATACGTATTCTCAAGCTCGATCCACCAGTCGGTTTGCATCTTGGTGATTGCTACCTACCGTCAGCAAACTCTAAATGATACTTCCCGAGGTACGTACACATAGTCTGATGATAAGCCCATCGAAGTGGTCGATAAGGCCTAGGCAGTGCTTTCTTTATGTCGAACTCTAGGTAGGATGAGGGGTGTGGTACGCCGCTGAGCGTGGCGTAGTCTGGGAAGTCTCCAAGAGCCTTGATGTCCTTTACCGAAAGTCCGCATGGTAGATAACGTGAATCATCAACATCCAGATACGAAGCTTCCATAGGTAGAATGTTCTTGGTCCATTGCGACTCTGACTCTTCCGATCTCTCACCTTTGAGAATCTCGGTCACAGCGAAGCACCGTGGTGGTGGGAAGGTATCGGACCAATTGACTTCGGTGCTTGGGAGAGATTTCTTTCCTGGGGATAGAGATCTGGGGGGAGTCTTTGAACCCGAGACTCTTCGGCCCTTGATGTGGAGTCGCTCCAAAAGGATGCTGCGTCTGTTTCGTTGGAGGAGGATGAGGACCGAGCTAGCAATGAAAGCTACTCCAAGGAGCAGGAGAATGCTGAAAGCCATCACAGATGGCGCTCGAAGGATATCGATATGTCTGTGGCGTAGCCAATCAATCATTTGGTGGTACTCAGTTGCTTTTGTAGTACTAAAGGGCTGACTATCAGACTTTACGGCGAGCGCGCTACACGCATATCACAGCTTTACTTATGAAAGCTGCAAGATCAACAATAAGAAGTCAGCTTCCAGTGTATGACGTGAGGCAGCAGGCCATGAGGTAAGTGCCTTATCGTCAAGGAGTGCGGGGCGCCTTCCGTTTAAGTAGTGGTAGGTAAACGGAGCGACCCTACCTGCTACCTAGAAAAAGCAACCACCCTGCCGCGACCGCAGGCAGTCCAAGGTCATTCACAAGATATTCCCCACGCAGTGCGGCATCTTCATAGCGCTGCTATCACCGTATGCATGACACCACGACGATTGTGGCGGGGTCTCACCGTAGATCGCGACGCGACTAGCCTTGTACAGTATGCAAACCCCAAAGCTCTTGGCGCTGTGGGTAAGAGTAGCAGGGCTGATAGTGAGTGGCTTCGGATACCAGGTGCAGGCGCAGGCGTAACTTCATGTATGCGCATGTCGCGGGCGGCTCTAGAATCCTCTTGCTGTCGGTAAACGCACTGGCTATCGGCACCCTGGCCACGCTCATACTGCTTCAGGTAATAAACTCCCGTTACTGTCCTGTCGTGGCCGGCTCCCGGGACACCATCTGGTTGGATTGCACGAGAAATCAATATAGATCGGATAAGTCCAAGGTTGGGCATGCGTTACCATATGCGAGCCATGCATGCCATGTGTTTTCGTGGTGTCGCAAACCCCATGGACAAACAGACTGCCGTTTCTCCACATATGCGCCTCGTAGCCTTGGTTGTCGAAGTCTGGTAAGCGTCATGCCGAGATGGGATGCTTTTACATGTCTACTTATCATGCACACTCAAACATGTCACCTCATGCTGCGGACGGAATCCCCCGTTTAGGTATCAATCGACAGCGTCATATTCCCGGGCCTACCACGGAACGTCCGGCGATGCAGGCGGTTAGAGTTTGACCTTGGTCAGATATTCGGTACAGTACGAGGAGGTGAGGACAAGGTATAACTATTGAAGAGAATATTGCACCCGAGGTGGCATCGTTCGTGTCCCGAAGTTGTGTTTTGCGCTAACCGCACGAGCCACGAGCCACGAGCCCCGCTTTGGTCCTCCGCAGAGGCCGATTCACAGCACAACTTGAAGTTTCCATCGTGAGCTTGAAAGGGATATTATCGCGACGCTACTGTATCATCTGCCCGGGGAGTACGAAATTGTAAGAGGAAGCTTACAACACCGAGCTCCAGTCCTCGGCTTTCATGTACTCCTCCATCGTGGTGCGTTTCACACTGATGTCCAGGTCCCATGGGAATACTACATCGGGATCACCTCCGTTGAAGCCGAACTTGTCGAAGTACTCAAACATATCGCCGACCTCTGGCCCAAACACTGGTCCCATTGCATCCTCCAACTTCTTTCGAGGAATCGTCTCGAATACGCACTTTACGTTGTTGACCTTGGCAAACATTGCACACCACTCATTGAACGATATGTACGAGCCCGCGCCGCAAAGGATCTTTCCAGGGGGCAGCTCAACAAGTCCTTTTGTGAAATGACCTTGAAACGTCAGCTGGAGAATACGTTGAGCGCACGGGATGTGTACCAGTGTCTGCGGCCGCATCGGTCATGGGTATCTTACTGTCCCCACCTATCGGCAGGCTGACGACAAATGACCCATCCTCCTGCTTCTTCGGCGCCCCGCTGAATGACTTCCAGTTGTTGGCATAGTAGCCCAACATCAGTGGGCTCGTCTTCTCCATCAGCTTCGGGTAGGTTGCCTTGAGGTAATAAACCGCCTCCGCCTTTGCATCGAAATGATAATTCTGCATCAAGGCTCCGTTGCTCCATCTTCTGGTGTCAGACAGCGTGGACAAGACGAACCGGTCCACCGTATCAACCGTAGCTGCAGCTGCGTCGATGATGTTCTTTGCTTGAGAGACTTCCCGGTCAAAAGCCACTTCATTTGGTGTACGCTTTTGCTCGGCCGCGAGCTTGTGTGTTGCTGGATCGCTCATGTGGCCCCAGAAGTCTGTGGTTCCGAAGATTACATTTGCGCCTTGGAATGCCTTCTTCAGTGATTCCAGATCGTCGAGATCGCCAGCGAGAACTTCAACGCCCTGAGATGACATCTTCGTAGCAGATGATTTGGAAGGGTCGCGAGTGATGCCGCGGACTTTCCATCCCGGTTCATTGAGAAACACACGAGCGACCGATGAGCCCTGTCTGTGTTAGATTACGCCTGATCGTCCCACGATAACCGAATCACCTGGGCGACATGAAATGCTTGACAGCAACAGTGTGGGCGAGCCCCATTATTCCATTCATAATAGGCGTTTCTGGCGCCTATAGTAGCTTACATACTAGGATGTCAAGTACCTCATATCACCCAGGTGGAATCACTATTATGCTTACCTGATTCCCCGTAACTCCGACGACAGCAATGGTCTTGGTCATGATTCCGTTGGTTTCTGAAACTTGATACAGTCAAACAGTTTAATTGAAGGCTGGTAGCAGAATAGTTACTTGTTCCTAGACTTCAAGATCTTTATACATTCTCACATTGCGCTAGATCAAGCTGAAGATGCGGCCTTTAGATATGAACCTCTTGCCGGATCCGTTCTTCTACAAAAATGCGCCGTTCTCGTGGCCTACTAGAGTTATGCAAAGCTCCACGATGCGCTTACGTATACCACATATCAAGTGTAGTCAGCTCTTTGCATCCTGGACGCCTTACAGGAGAGTATATCGGTGTCATCTTCTCGTCTCCAGCCTACAGCACATTACAGGAGACAGATTGGCGTCAAGTCGAGATTAGGACCCTGCATGACCTGCACACATGTTATTGGCCCTTGATACGGCATTTTGCGGGGTAATCTGGACGGAGAAACGATCAGTGTCAATGGCTTGTTAGTAAGTCCCCATTACAAAGCTATATAGTCCATACTAGGGCCAATTGGGAAAGTCTCGGCATTTCTGGTGCATTGAGTATATAATGTGCTCTACGAAGACGCCTCACAACATTTGAGTAGACCTGGGTTTATGGATGGGCCTTGTGACTCGGATGGTCATTGTCAAGTGTATCAGATTGTATCAGGTTACCTCAATGTCTGTTACTTCTAGAACTTGAATTAAATCCCCAAATCCTCCATAATAGCGTCCTCGTACCCCTCCTGCTCTTTCACTGTCTTGGCTGCCTTCTTGCTCTTTGATCTTGTCCCCATACCCCCAAGGTCCGCTTTGTCCTGTTCTTTCATCTCCTTGGATCTCGGTTCCTCACATATGATCGTCTCCAACAAATACCAGGTAATGCTGTCCTCGTTGTGCTTGATTTTGACACACCGCTCTCCTTCCCACGATATTTTCCACTTGGATAATTTTTGTTTGTATGGCTCTTTTTTAAGTGCAATGTCGCGATCTCGACAGCTCTCTTTGGCCCACTCCGGAATGTTCCCTAGGTGCGCCAGTGCTTCTTCTGCAGATGTGAAGGAAGCGGGGATGCTCCATGTTTCTTCGGGGTTCGGTTTCTTTTCGCATGCAACAGAGTAAGTGCGCGACGTTGAAGGGTTCGTGATGTGTCTTATGTCAACAGAAGATCCATGATTCTTAACACGGAGGCGAGACGGCAGGCTCCCCTTGGTGACATCATGGAGAGTAACTACTGGATTTGAAGAGTCCAAGCTCACCACGGGTGCAGCAGCTTTTCCGGGCTCTCCAGCCTCAGTTTTGGTCTTAGGCCTGTTGGCTTCTACGCGGATAATGAGGTAGACGTCCTGCATCTTGTGATCCGGTAACTGCGTAGCTGGGCGGTTTATATAGAATGACCCGTCCGCTTGCTTGTTGGCCGCGTGATCGGTGCCTCTCAATTGTTTTCATGATTAAACCACCTGTATAAATCATGATTCCCGAATCACCTAACTTCATGACTGCAGTATCACCAGGGCATTGCCTCAGGTCCATAATCCGTCTTTTGTCGAGCACTCCTTCTCTCCTCCAGTTCCTCCTCCTCCTCCCCATATCCATGGCCCTTACCCCATCTCTTCTTGACCTTCTTGACAGCAAATTTCCCAACACCCCATATCGTGGCAGCGAAAATCGTACCAGCAATCCCAGTAGGCGCCAGCATAAACCCTGCACCACTGACCACAGTCCCAAAAGCTCCAGCGCCTATTGTGGCTACTAGAGATCCAATGGCAACATATTTTGCATACCGAACCAGTTTCCAGAATGCGAAAATGATACCAGAACGCAGTACGCGAAGGACAGCTCGGGTACGGCGTGAGGATACAGCATTCGGGGCGGTTTTGGGGTCATAGAGGTAGCGGAGATTGCGCTTTGTAGAGGCTAGAGCAGAGCGGGAGCGCGCATCTATCTCTTGTTCGTGGACGTCTGGAGAAGACATTGTTAGATGTTTGTGTTAGCAACCCTGGGAGAATTTGAAGGTTGGTGTCTCCCATGATGATGACGTCATTAGCGCCAGCAGCACTAGCATCTGTTGCGATAACGCGTCGAACAAGACAATCCAGTGCAGGATTCAAAATCATGAAATATATCCAGGGAACTATCTAGTTCATTGATAACTAGAGTTTAGACCAAGAGCTTCAACTATCCACATTCATACCCAGGTAGATGTGGAGAGAACATACCTGGCAACCACCCTCCTTTAATACATCAACTTGAGTAAAGACACACAAAGCCTACAACACCCAGTCTCGAGAACTACGTAGATGGATAAGTTGAAAATTTGATTTTGAGCGGTGGGGGTGGGAAAGGGGGGAGGTAGATTCGTTGATGTGGCGGAATTATTAAAGTGTGCACAAAAGAGAACGAGTCAACAAAACCAAGATATATACTAGCGCAAAGAAACATCACCCAAACATATACACCCTTGAAAACATCGATCTCAATCTCAATAGAAGATTCTGACAATACCACTCTATTGTATAAACCTATATCTATACCCCTATCACGAAGACTGAGCGGCAAAAAAGCTCAAAAAGCTTCCCACTGTCAACCCACCCACAAGACACAACGACATGAACCCACCCGCCGCCTCCAATTCATCAGGCTCCACCCACTCGGCGAAACCCATCATACAGTTACTACTCAGAAACCCATTCGTCACACCAAACAACAACTGCACCACGAATAGATAGAAGAAGTCCGAGTTCACAGCTGCACCTTTCCCGCCGATGTTGCAGAGAAAGTACATTGGAATGAATAGCACACGTGCAATAGAAAATGCGAAGAGGAGACGTGGACGGTGTGTGAGACGTAGGGCAGGTAGTGCGGGACCCACGCGACCGATCAAATCGCCTAGGTTCCAGAAGAAGAAGCCTAGTGGGATGAAGGTTGCAGGTTGGAAGAGGCGGGACGAGGTTGCTGGGTCACGGACGCTAAGGACCTGTGGTGTGAAAACGGGGAAGAACATGGTTACAGCAAAAGTAAGAAACACTGCGCCAGCAAGCCAGAAGAGCTTCTTCAGGAGTCTTGTCAGGGGAACCGTCTTGCGGTCGGAGTGAGTAGGGTCGTACTCCGGGTCTTGGTCGTCGTAGGATAGGCGGGCCATGCGTTGTTTAGAGCTGGTTCTAGAGAGGAGGTAGAAGAAGGCTACGAGGGTTGCTGCTGAGACACCGGTGGCAGTCAAAAAGTAGATAAAGGCCGATGTGCTGGATTCCTGAGGTGCATCGCCAGTATGTTGTTTATTGGGTACAGACAGTACGGAGATGATCTGCGTGATTGCGGGCAGGACACCAGCGATGCCCTGCCCTGCCATGATACCCTGAGTGTATTCCTCACGCCCAAAGCCGGATACATAGGCGAAGACGCCGTTTTGACACAAGCCCGTTGCCAGACTGGCGCTCAGCACCATGACCATGAGGAAGGCAAAGTAGACGCCTACGGCGACATTCAAGAACAGCTTTGTGGATATGGCAAGCAGCGTGAAGACTGCCACATTGAGCCCCAAGGCTACAGTGATGCGTTTGGGGTAGTTTGCGCGGGCTTGTAGCTTCGTCAAGACTATCATGGAGCCTAGGTTTCCTATGGTGCCGACTGAGAGGATGCCGGACTGGAAGTTACGGAGGAGGTTGTCATTGGACTCGAAGCGCCGCTGGAAGTAGGGGGCTGCTGCTAGGAACATATTCCTAATCTGAAGTTAGTTATGTGTGTACAGTCACGATGTCTAATAACCTACCATGCCCACAGCATAGCAACTCCCAGCAGCGTGAAGACGGCATAGTCGGTCCATGAGAACGCCTGGTCCTCTACATCGATATGTTCTCCATCAGGCCGTTCGGAGCCACCCTCTAGCGGCTCATACGAAGCCTCCGAGTTCTCGCGCTCAAAGACGCGGCGTATGCGCTCCATGGCCGTAGTGATGTCGCGTCGTATCTTATCTGGGGAGAGCTGCGGAGTCGCGGAGGTGTCGGCAGTGAGACTACGGGAAAGGAAAGTGTTTGGAAAAGGTACAACAATCTCTATATTCACGAAGCAAAAGCAGACATGTTCAAACGTCGTCTATATCAATCAGCAGTAAAGAGCAACCTCAAGACTCATGACCGTATCGCGTGCGTGAACAGACTCGGGCCGCCATGACAGGTGATGCTGCCGTGTTGCTCATCCGTCACCCTGGCCCCGACACCGCGCTAACATGGGGCGGCTCTGCGCGTGGGATGCCTGCCCTCTCCACGCCCCGCGCTACCCCTCCGATTCGCTGTACAAACTCACTACCACCAAGACTTCACGTCCACAATAACTCATAGCCGAACATTTCATTCATACACCGAAAATATGTCGTCATTCCATCTACCGCCGCAGACCATCTCAGTCAAGCGCAAACGCACAGAGGCGCCCATCGACACACTGAGGATCGAAGACGGGAAAGAGATAGAGAGCAAGCGAACAAGATACGGTTACAAGCGTCTCACCAAGCCAGGCGATGATGCAGAGCACTCATTGGTACCCCCAACCCCCGTAGGCGAGCGAAGATTTCGTCTCGACCCCGTATCACGAATTGGCGCAAAACGGCATTTCGTCGAAGAACAACCGTCCGTCTCTTCCAAAAACGACCCCCGACAACAAATAGGCGGCCAAGTCCAAGAACCCACCCTCGCAGAGCAAACTCCAACCTCCACACCACGTCCAAGAAAGCGACCGGGGGCAGGAAGTGCCCTCCACCACAGTTCCAAAGCCTCGATCCAATGGAAACAACCACTTCCCACCTCACCCTCGGAAACCGACGTCCGCAACCTCGAAGCCCTCACCAAGGAGGTCGAAAAGAGCGACACCACTACCACCACCGGCCCCTCGCCCTCAAAATACAAGCCAAAAGCCCCCGCCAAACGCTTTGCAGAACGTCACCCGGATAAAGCTACACCCACCCCAGATGGAGACGCAGACGCAGATGCAATGGACATCGACACCTCAGAATACGTCTACGACCACTACGTCCGCGAGCCCGTCCACCCCGACGCACCCCTCCCCACAGGTCCCATCGGCCTGCTCGTCATCAGCGCCGAAGATGCCGACTGGTGGGACGCCGACTCGTCTTCCGACCGCGAATTCGACACGGACGACGAAGACGAAAACGCAGAGGACTACTACGCCAACGACTACCCCGAAGATGAACTCAGTGAGGACGACGAGTTTGATCGGAATCTTTATAAAAGCAAGTATCGGCATGGGAGTGACGAGGAAGAGTTTGGGCTGGGGAGTGAGGATGATGAGGAGGGGAATGGGGTGGGCAGTGGGGAGGAGGGGGATGAGGATGATGAACATTTTCGGATGACGGTGCCGAAGGCTAAGGGGGTGGGGTATTGGGGTGTTAAGGGGGAGTAGTGTTTGGGTATCTCTGGGTAAGAAAGAGAGGGTGATAGGGAAGGGGTTGAGATTATGCTTCCTTAGATCTTTCTTACCAAGCTTGAGGCTTGAGGGAAGAACAACAAGCACACAAAATGTGCATTTCATTCATCATGTAATACACAGCATCTCATATGGCGTAGCATCCCCTTCAGCAAACAAGATCCATAACATATGCACCTAATCAGATCCAGTTCAGTTCACTTCTTCTATGCTACAACATACAAATACACCCTTCACCCCACCAGCATTACCGATTCATCCATAATACATAGTTATACATAAAGTTGCAGTAAAATTTCGAGGGTATCATGCACATGTAAACTCCTGAGCACATAGCTATGCTCTGCAAAAGCCCATAACGAAAGAGAAAAGGGATAGCCCATCATAGTCCATGCCCGAAAAGAATATACCTGACCTTTTACCGAGCCACCAGCACGAGGCATGGTATCATACCCACCACAGACGCCCCAGCCTCATTCCCACACCACCCCTCACGTAGCCCCAACACTAGCCATACTACCCTTCCTCTGCTGTCCCGGGCCCGGCAACTGTCCAGGAAGAATCTGTCTCGGGCCACCACCCCCATTACCAATAGCACTCTGTCTGCGACTTCCGGGGCCGCCATCAAGCCCAGCACTCAACGGCGCACTAAACCCCGCGCTTTGGGGGAAATGCTCATTTGTAGCACTGAGAGGAGCACCCATCATGCCAAGTCCCATACCGCGTGCTGTGCTCATGTTGTCAGCGCCCGAGTACATTGAGCCGCCGCCACCGGGTGGTGCACCGAGAGCGGAGCGGATTAAACCCTTCATGCGAATGTACTGGTATTTTGAGCGTTGAGATGTGTGGGTGTAGGTTGCTAGGGGGCGGGGTCTGTGACGGGCAAGAGCGGCCATGATGGAGTCTTTCTCCTCGTCCGAGTCGACGGCACCGGAGGGTTCGAGATCTTCTGGGAGAGGGGCGTTTGCGTCGATGAGGGACCCTGGGGACGTGTTAGCGTTTTAGATACCATGAAATTAGCGTGCATGTGAACGTACGTTGGATCTTGGCCTGGTTCTTCTTTTGGTATTGCGCAAGCAACATGTCGTATGGCAGACTTCGGCCAGGAACGGCTCTCTTGAGACCCATACTATGGCTCTTGCACGTCAAACTTCTCGCGCAATATCCGCCGTTTGGAAGCGAGACACCACATTGCCTCTCTACATCGACTGGACCCTTTGGTTTGGCGCCCTTTTGCTTTGGTTCGTCCTTCTTCTTTTTCTTTGCATTTGGTGCCTTCTCCGCATCACCATCTAGCTTCCTCTTCTTTCCCTTCTTTGCGCCATCACCGTCTATGGATGCGCCCTTGATGGCCGACTTTCGCGATTTTCCGCCCTCGTCATCTTCACCCTTTTCTTTCCGGAGTGCTGCGTCTTTCGCCTCCTTGGCCTCCTTCTTCTTCTTCAGTTTCTCCTGTTTCTTGTTTAGACAGTCGCGGATGTGTGATGCCGAAGATGCGCGAAGAACTGGTCGGCGACAGTGTTTGCACTGAACGGTGTCTACTTTGTCGTCTAGCGGGCGGCCGCTGGGGAAGCCGGCGATGGTCTTCTCGTCGAGAGGGTTAATCACAGGCGAGGTAGTCGACGGGGCAGCAGGCTTATTCTCGACATCTGCCAGTACGTTAGTCTACATGCCTATGTACAGGGAAAGCGCGTTGTTGTACATACTGACTGCCTCGCTTTCCTTCCAATTCCCAGACTTTGAAGGCTTGGGAACCGGCTTCTTAATCTTCAACTTGATCCTGGTCTTCTCCGACTTCACAACGGCTTTGATTGTGCTTGTGTCTAGTAGGTTTGCAGAGTCCTCAGATGTCGCGGCTGAAGGTGCTGTGGTACATCAGTACTGCCGGGGAGGGGTGCGAGTGAGCTCACCCTTTCGCGCCCCGTTCGTAGCCATGTTGGCGGCTTCCAGTCGCCTGCGGAGTGCTTCGGTGGATGTCTATTCACTTTAAAAGGTCCTTTGCCACGCGACAGCAGTCTTATAGATGTCGAATAAGCGCTAGTTGATGAGATGTGGCGCGTCTTGACGTATGCTTTGTTGGTCTCCGTTCGGTTGAAGCTGCCGACCTGGATCCACGCTAACCCGAAACAGACATGCATCAGCCGAACTTGGACATGGAATCACACAGACTTTGGATTTTGAATCTTTTATTCTCTATCAAAGCAATAAAAACTTGCTCAGGCTCGAGGCCTCCATTAAAGCCTGCCTTGTAATACAGTATCCACTCACTGGGCTTGACGATACATCGACAGTCTTGAGGGCCGGCTGCCTAATAATGAAAGCTTCTGGAAGCGACACCAATACATGGCAACCAGCCATACGACCGCTGAACTCCTGCAAATGCAAAACAATGTGTGTGAGCTACCGTTGCTCATGGTGTGAAAGTGCCGTAAATCGCCGAAATATGCTGTCTCGTCATTCATGAACCCGAACCGGTCTTGTTACCATCTCCTCGAATTTCACTGAAAGCTTCGCAGCTGACTGCCCTCGTAGGTTTTGCAACCCCTCGGGCAGTAATGTGGTCGTCTGTGCCCTGAGCAAGCTTATGGTCGTTTCCATCATGCGTCGCCTCTTGCGTGAGCTTGCAACAGCAAGAGGCTACGTTAACGTCCACGACCCTTCACCTTGCCTCCCTTTGCTACCTTGGCTCTAGCCTTTCTAGGAGGATCGTACTCTTCGACATGGCTGTGGCCTTTATCCTTACGTCTGATACTGTTGGTCCAACGGAGGCAGCGGTCCTTGGGAACATCCTTGTCGGTGTATGTCTTGTTGCGCGTTGAAACCCGTGTCTTACTATCTTCTTCATCATCATCCTCCTCCTCATCAGGCTGGTTGAATTCCTCCAGGTGTTTCCGCATCTTCAACATGTACTCAGCGATACGATCACGGAATGCTTGTAGCTCTTTGCGCAAAATACGCTCTCGGAGACCGCGTTCGTCAAGCCATGCCAGCAACTTGTCGATATCCTCGGGATCGTCGTAGTATCCCCATTCAGTAGCGCTCGATAGGTGGGTTGAGCCTTCTTCCCGCTCTTTGCGCTGTGGAATGGTGTAGCCAAAGCGCTGCAGATCTTGTGAAAGGGCAGGCTCCTCCATGTTTGGTCCCAGTTCGTACTCACTTGGGCCCTGCACCCAGATGCGCCCGTTGGCATACCCGTACTCGGCTGTAGAGCTGCGAGGGACACCTCCGAAAGGCATACCATTATGCTCGAACCAGTAGTACTTGTTGAGGAACCGATCCTTGCCGAGAATCTTGCTGCGGTGTGATAGAGTTTCACGAAGATCGTCGTCGAGCTCGTCAATATTGTCTTCACACTCTTTGAGCTCTTCTTTCTTCTTCTCAATCGCTGCCAGGAGCTTCTCCCACTCCTTCTGCTTCTTGAGCTTCTCAGCCTCAGCCTTGGCCTCAGCCTTGGCTTTCTTTGCCTTCTCCTTGCGCGCCTCTTCTGCGGCTGCTTTACGCTTGTTCTTGTTGGAAGGGCGGGTGCGGGTCTTGGACGTGGTTGCATCATCGCCATCGTTGGCTTCAGCCTCGGCTGCATCCTTGGAATCGTCGTTGATGCTGTTCATAGATACGTCAACATCGATGTTCATGTTGGCATCTGACGGTGAGGCCGGGGTATTAGCAGGGAGGTTAATCTTGCGTTCGATATCTAGCTTATACAGCGCCTCCTGTAGCTCTTTGCGCTTGCGCTGAAACTCAATCTTCTCTTTGCGCAGCTTGGTCATGTCCAGTGCCGCTTGGACAAGCGTTTCGCGGAAAGTCTCAGTGACCACGGTCAGACTCAAGATCATCTCGAGCGCCAAAATCCGGAGGTTGACGTCAAGGTCGATATAGTTCTTGGCTATGTTAGCGACAGTAGGTTCTTCTTCAGCCGGGACAAGATTGGCAAGGATCTCGTCGCAAGCCTCTTTCCGAGCCGGATCGAATGATAGGCGATAGAGGAGCCCGACGACAATAGCTTGCCATCCGCCGTCCCGGAAGTTGCGCACTTTACACTGCTCGATCCAGTCAAACTCGGTGGCGAAGTCAGCAGCCTTGTGGATTTCCTTTGGTGGCTCGGGCGTTGGTGTACGTGGCTTGACAACGAGCTGTGCCGCACCTGACTTCCTCAGGCTGCTACGAGTAGTTCGGACTGGCGGTTCTGGCTCTGGCGTTGGCTCTGATTCGTCGCTTGAGTCTTCTTCCGACGAATCTTCGGGGTCCATACTTGGCAGAGGAGGTTGGATCTTGCCGGAGCCGTTGATAATTTGCTTCAGAATTGCACAGTGCATCTCGACGAACAGCTCGCATTCAACCGTCTCGTGCGAAAACCGCATGGCATCGACAAAGTCATCGAAAGTAAAAGAGTCCAGTTCGTAGATGGTGTCATGAACGTTGAGCGTTTCCCAGATGCACAGAAGCGGGCCGATGCTCTTCATCAGTATGCCGGTCTTCTTCTCATCCGTAGGCGGCTCCACACCCTCGGGAACGTCATCGGAAAAGAACTTCAAGGTCGGTCGATTGTACTGCAGACGCGGCTGCTTGATCTCGAGATCTTCGCATGGATACTTTACATACTCCACTGGACGAGGTGGTGGTGCTGCCTGGTGTTGGGACTGAGAAACATTCGACGATCTGGGACCGGGCTGATGGGGGAAGCTTGTCTGGAATGGGAAGTTGACGGGAGGGCCATTTCCATTTGATTGCATGCCATTTGCTTGTATGAACTGAGCAACAAGTTGGGGGGGAAATTGGCCGATGACTTGCTGTGGGGATAGATATGGCGGTCCAATGGTCTGTACTGGGACTGGTGGTCCAGCACCGTTGTACATGGGTGGCCCGTTGACAACATAGGGCCGAGCAGGGCCATTCACAGACGCAAACGTAGGTACCTGCTGCGGGGCATACGGTGGAGGGCCACTCGCGGAAAAGTTGACAAAGGTAGGCGGACCTTGACCAGGTGGCAGGTGCGGCCTGTTGCCGTTCATGTGCGGGGCCTGACCATTTGGCGTATGCGGCACGTAAGGCTGTTGCACCGGCGGAGTTGTACCATTGGGAATGTTACCGATTGCCTTCTTCTCATCTAATACATCTTGCCTTGTCTTGTTTTCAGGAAACTTGGTCGGGATGTCATAACGCTTTGCTAAGCTATCCTTGACCATCCACGGTGCGCCAACCCAGTCCTCACGCTTCAGGGCATTGCGAAGGAAAGACTTCAAGAGGAGTTTCGAGTAGACCTTTCTATCTCGCTGGAGTTCCGAGGCTTTGTACTTGGTGATGGTCTCGCCACTGTCCTCCATGGTGATGACGTAGGTATAAGAGCGAATGCTATCATCCATCGACTGGCCAGTGAACATGCTATGCAGTCGGCTGTTGTCCGTAATCGCCGTGATGACACCAAAACGACGAGAATCGCCTTCGAGAAACACCCGATCCTGCAGCATAAACTGTTCTTTGAAGTGCTACGAGCGTCAGTTAGTATAGATTGATCCAAACCAATGGAAGTGTCAACATACGTCATATACATCGTTCACTGGGATAGAGGTTAGCAAAGGTGAAGAATACGACTTGGGGCGCTTGCTTACCAAGATCATCCATCCTATGATGGTCCTGAAACTGAGCATATTGGAGAACAGGAGACCTTAGGTTATCTGGAAAGATGCTGTTGATCTCTTTGGAAGCTTCCGTCTGCACGGATGTTACCTCCTCATCGGCCTTGACCAGTATTGACGTGGAGCCTACCTCGCTCTCCTGGGCCTCGAAATATGTGTAGCCTCCATGTCCAGTCGCCTGGCATGTGAAGCTTCGCTAAACTTGTGTTAGGGGTCTCGCTATAGAGAAAACCGTTGACCCAATTTACTTGCCTGGTGGTAGAAGTCGTATCTATACTTTGTTAGTCATGCCCCGAGCCTGACGTCATTTCATGGATTTTCTTACCGCTCAAGGTAGCGCTCGTAGTCGGTGAAGATCTCTCCAGTCTGCTCGATAAGCCATACCTATTCAGCAACTTTAGTATATATGATATGGTGGCTCAGAGAGGGACTCAGCATACCTCAGTGCTATCGTCGAGGTTTTTGGGCAGGGGCTCGAGTTTGACAGGTTTACGCTTGAAGAGGACCTGAGAGGTACTTAGTGCATGTTCGCGGATATGCGGCGACGCTATAAATACCATGTTGCCTTTGGCCGCAGCTCATACAGGCTTCCCGACGTCTGTTGTACCGCGTCGCAAACTTCGGAAGAGTCGCAACAACGAAGGCGCGCTGGCTAGCCTCTCTGGGGAGATGCCGTGGTGGGAAACGGGGGCAATGGCCCCTCCGTGGGCGTTTGAGCAATTCTGTGCCTCCCACGCGCCAAAGAGTGGTCTTGGGAAATTATTGATGCGCTCTTCGATCGTCGGTATGGCGTTCCGAGACGCGTCTATCAGTTCCGAAGCGCGTCTAGGCGACTTATTGTTGGGTTCGTGGAGCTCGAGGGCGTGGTCGCTGACGAGTTGGGGGGTAGAGTTGGAGAGGAATAGTCAGAGAGCAGTCAATGGGGAGAAAAGCGAGCGGAGGGTAGTAGAAGAGGCCCGTAGTCCCTTGGCGCTAGGTGCCATACTTGATTTGGCAAGGACCGCCTTCGCACCCTACCACCCACGCATCAAGGCTACGCACCCCACTACCATCACAATATCAGCGTATTTGCACTCTTTTTGATCCTCGGAACAAGCTCTATCAGACTGCGATGGGTATGCATCGATTTATTCTGGCTTGACAAATTCCCTTGGCTATCAAGACCCGGTGAAAGTCGGACCTGAGGAGCTCATGCCTTGAGCCACCCCAAGCAAACCCTTGGGCAGCCTGACCCACTTGCTCAGACACACCAACTCCCCGCAATAAGCCACACGTCAGAGCACAGGGGTTTGACAATCGAACCATGCTTTGACGTGGACTCATCGCAGTATCAGAATTACCCACGGGCGTTTGCTACTATCATCCTTCCACTGTCGTCGTCCTTCTTGTTCGCGTCATAGACTCCAGGGGTATATATAGAGCTTGAAGTATTCGAAGCAGCTAAAGAACTCTATCCAGTCTCTGTCTGAAATTAGGCGATGGGGGTGAAAAAGTTTTCTGGTTTGGTGCCATGAAGTTAAAGAAAGTTCTGTTACTTGGACGAGATATGACAAGAGACACCGAACCTAGGAACAGAAGGAATCTTTAAATGCTCAAGTGCCAGACAAGAGACTCTAGATGGCCTTCTGGGGGTATATGGTCTACAGGTCAAAATATACTACGAGGAATCCCACCCAGCTGCTCACCACCCCAATGGCTGAATAGGAGCTCGTGAACATGAGGGGTAGGAATTCATATCGGGCGCCAAACACAATCCCATGTACCAATGAACAGTACGCAATCAGTGGTATGGAAAGGGCAATGTAGATGAGTGAGAAGCGATCAAGCAAGAATATGCGAGGCTTGGGTGAGCTATCACGTGTCAGTGGATGTTCGGCAATGAAAGACGTCACTTACGCTGGGACTAGCCTATCGAATGCCAGAAGGAAGAGGACAAGCCAGAAGATAGTATAGACTGTTTTCACGGGAAACTCGGCTGCCGTGTACAGAAGTGGAAAGAGCGATACGTGGCCGGCGACAGCTAGGGGGCGGAACGCGCCAAAGTATCGACGATCTTTAAGTGCGATCAAACTGAAGGGTATGATGACAAGCAAGATTGCCTTTTCATGAACATGCCAGCCGAAGAGGAAGGAGGCATAACCGCACAGCGTTACAGCACCAATAAAGGCTTCCCAAGTGGGTGTGTATAGCAATCGCAGAAGTACGGGCTAGATCATGTCAGCTAGCTTTCTCCGAGAGGTGATTGCATGCATACTATTTGTGCGGCGAGTGTAAGAATGAAGCAGGTCAAAGGGACTACATCTGGGAGCACAGCGAACGATGTGTCACCCACAAGTCCACGGGTAACGCTATTCACAGCCTCTGGGTCAATGTGCAGCCCGAGTCGCGGCGCCACTACAGGTGTTAGCTTGATGCGGGAGCTAACAGAAGAGGGAGTACACACAATGGATTAGCAATCGGTCCGCGAACGAATACAACGCCCAGACATTGGGTGCCCAGTAGGCATGACACAGTCCTCTCGAGAACGGGAATAGGCGACTGATGACTTGCTCGAGTTGACCCCACAGTGCGAAAGGCCCGAAGGCGCTTGTGAAGACAGCAATGATTCCCACGCCCAACTTGACGCAGTTGAAGAACTGGATGTTGAAGTATGGGAAGGAAGATCGCTGCCCCAAGCAGTAGGCACGGAGAAGATAGACAAAGTATGCAGGTGCGAGGTACAAATAGATGTGTTTCAAGCAGAGTAGAGCAGCGAACAGAAGACCAGATAAGAGCAGCGTCGACTTGTTTCGCGCCAGGACCATGGACAATACCAGGATGCCGTAGAGGAAGCCATTGTATTGAAAATGAACATGGTCAATGATGAGCAGACCCGGCGACGACAAGACTGAGAGTGCAGCGGCATGAGCAGTGACTTTGGACTTGGACGTCTTTACGTAGCTAGGGGAGATTTAGTACCAGGAAAGTACGTGGAGAGGGTGCAAGTACAGATGTAAGGCATAGACTAGGACTAGCTCAGTGATGATGACCGTGGTACGCTGAAAATATATGGTTTGCCAGCTGTCGTAGCCCAGGTTCTTTACATTAAGCAGGCCGGCATCTGCATATGCAGCGGCCTGGGACATGAGCCATTCGAAGTAGGCAAAAAAGGGCGGATAGTCCAGCGTCCATTCTGAGGTTTTCTATCAGCGCATTAGACGGCTGAGACCAAACAACGGCGACGACATGGTGGCCTCACTTCATAATACCACTCCTTGATGGGGAGGGAATGGGTCAGAGCTAGCCAGTTGCGATGGACCTCGAAGTCGGTCGACTTACTGCCGACCATGGTCAGCATGAACAAAGGGCCACATTTCAGTTTTAGCGGCAATATTCGCAGGCACACGTACTAAGCGGGAAACAGCAGTACCTTGAGCGCCGTGGCCACGACGGCGCACTGGGCAATAGATGGATACAGTTCTGCCATTTCTCTTTTGACAGCGGGTGGGCGCAGTGGGCAGAGAGCAGTGCGGCTGGGGGACAGGTAGGTTCACGTCACGTGCTCGCTTACGCAGGCCCCTGTCAATACAGTACCTCCGCAGTCCGCCCACGGCAACATTGCAGCGACATGCTCATGCTGGCTCCGAGCCGCCACAAGTATACAAACACTCAGGGGGCAGAGGAGAGTTTCGCATAACGGTGTTTGACATCTGATACACTTGGCGGGCCCGTGTTTGTTCATGACGGCAGATGTAATGCGTGGCCGTGGAGCCAGAGGCGTGATACGGCTGATTAGGACATCTGGACCCCTTCGTGTTGGCGTGCAACAGGCCAGCAGTGCAGAAGTGCAGCACCGACGGCAAGGCTTGCGGTCGTCTAGTCAGGGACGGAATGTGCACATCTGCAATTACCCGCTGGCTGCATCTGCTTGATGACTCGGGCTGCACGCAGCAGTGGTACAGGGCGATGAACGCCAGGCACGGCACCCGCGCGGCTTCAATGCACCAACACTCTGGTCTACAGTACGGGAGCTTTGCGTCCAGGCCAACAGCCAGCAGCCGGTTGTCAGTTATACGGCGGTGCAGACGATCCCAGCGTGGCCTGGGCGTTTAAAATAAGCTGGTGCGCTAGACTGTCCGCTTTTGGCTGCCTCATTTGCGCCTGCCTCCTAATGTGCCCTGCTAGTTGGCATTTCTCACCGACCTCTCTCTTGTGTCCTCCGCTCCGACCTCAGGTCGCATCCCTCTTCTTCGAATCCCCTTCGTTCATTACCTCCCCTTCTCCCCCGCATCGAGGCTCACGACAAGGCTCGCTTCTTTGCTCTTCATTATTATTGGCACCTTTTTTAGTGTCCGCATCGTCAAAACAAGCCACGCGACTTTGTTCTTCGCCTACTCTGGCACTGCATCTTATTGCACGCCCGCTGCCACCCCTACCTGTGCCTGCAAATTTACACTCTTCGACCCGACAAACCCTAGACCCTTTAGGCTCCATTTTGGCAACTTCATTCATAACCTATACCTGCAAGCGATCCGCCTGTAAGGCTCTTTGACCTTTCGAGCCGAGCCTATCCTGTACTAGGTGACTGCGCTGCCATTGTACCTTTGGAAGTAAGTCTGACTACCCGACACGCTGCCACTGCCTCCGCCAGGTGTGGCTAACACATCCTAGATAGCTCTACACGTTGTAATACAGTAGCATACTTCGCCAGCCAAGCCACCATCCTGCAACCGGTTGCAACTTCATCTTCTGCCCTACATATTTCGCCGTCCGGTCCAACGAGTCCCGGGCGCAGTAATACACTTTCACCACGGCGGTTCTATCTCAAAACGCGCGGGACAGCTTCAGCCTGCCCCCGCATCTTCTCGCAATGCAGCAACAAGATGGCGCCCACAATGCCCCCAGCGGCCCTCGCCTCCAGTCGAGCTTCCACAGGCAGATGAACGGCGGTCACCATGGCTTCTCCCACGGTGCCTTTGCTACGAACCAGCCCGGCTACGGCGACAGGCACCCGGAGAGGGCGAACAACATGTCCATCAACACCGGCAGGCTCAACCCTGGCAACCAAAATGGCAATGATTTGCAGACCCCCGGCACCGGCTTCGACATGAACTTCACTCCCCTCCTGCCTTCGCAGTTGCTCCTCGGCAGCCCCTTCCAGCCTGGTTCCCCTTCCGCTTTCGCCTCCCCGCAGTTCCAGAACTTTGCTCAGTTCGCTGGTCAGAACCAATCGCAGCAGCAGAACCACCAGTCTAACCATGTTGGAAGCCCCCTGCAACAGCCGCTTTCGCCGCAACTGTACCAGAACATGGTATCCCCAACAAGCGGCTTTTTTGGAGGTCCGCAGTCGCCTACTGGGTTCTCTGCTTACGGCGGACAAGGTCTCGGTGGGCTCGGCTCCTCCATGCCGATCGCCCCCGGACTTGTCTCCGGTACGAGCAGGACTGTATACTTGGGCAACATTCCCCCTGAGACCTCAGCAGAGGAGATCCTCGGCCACGTAAGAAGTGGTCAGATCGAATCTGTCAGGCTCCTGCCCGATAAGAACTGCGCGTTCATCTCCTTCTTGGACAGCAGCTCTGCTACCCACTTCCACTCTGACGCAATCTTGAAAAAGTTGTCGATCAGGGGTCAGGACATCAAGATCGGGTGGGGAAAACCGTCTCAGGTGCCCACGTCAGTGGCCTTGGCGGTACAACAGTCGGGCGCGTCCCGCAACGTCTACCTTGGTAACTTGTCTGAGGATGTTTCAGAAGAAGAGCTCCGCGAGGACCTTAGCAAATTCGGTCCTATCGACACTGTCAAGATTGTCCGTGAAAAGGCCATCGGCTTTGTCCACTTCTTGTCGATTGGCAATGCCATCAAGGCTGTTTCTCAACTCCCCCAGGAGGCCAAATGGCAAGCGCCTAGGCGTGTGTACTACGGCAAGGACCGTTGCGCATACGTTTCCAAGACTCAGCAACAGAACGCTGCACAGTATCTGGGTATCGCTCCTGGATACGCACATGTGCTGAACGGCGCAGACCGTGACATGATTTCCAATGCTCTCGCCCAGCAATCTGTCGCTGCTGCCGCTGTCGCAACCTCGGCCGGTGGTGTGAACAACCTGGGTAACCGAACCGTCTACCTAGGCAACATTCACCCAGAAACCACCATTGAGGAGATTTGCAATGTTGTACGTGGTGGTCTTCTTCACCACATCAGGTACATTCCTGACAAGCACATCTGCTTCGTCACCTTCATCGACCCGACATCAGCTGCCTCGTTCTATGCTCTCAGCAACCTTCAAGGTTTGATGATCCATAACCGCCGCTTGAAGATTGGTTGGGGCAAGCACTCTGGCGCTCTCCCCCCTGCGATTGCCCTTGCCGTTAGTGGCGGTGCTTCTCGTAACGTTTACATTGGTAACCTGGACGAAACCTGGACAGAGGACCGTCTGAGGCAAGACTTCTCCGAGTACGGTGAGATCGAGCTGGTCAACACCCTGCGTGAGAAGAGCTGTGCGTTTGTCAACTTTACCAACATTGCCAACGCTATCAAGGCGATTGAGGCTATCCGCGGACGTGATGAGTACAAGCGCTTCAAGGTCAACTTTGGCAAGGACCGATGCGGTAACCCACCTCGTCAGATGAACAACCAGCAGGCCCAGGGTCAGCAAGCTGGCAGCGATGGTCTCCAGTCACCTTCGCCCATCAACGGACTCCACCCTAACAACCGCGGTGGTGCTTCGGTCTCTCCGACTGGTTCCGGTGCCCCGGGTTCTGGCCAAAGCACCAATGGCCAGTTCCCTTCTGTACAAGCACCAGCTTCGGGCAATATCATGAATTCTGGCAACAACAACCCGTTGATGATGTACCTTCAGGCTCAGCAACAACAGCAGCAACAGCAACAGGTCGAGGCTAGCATGCAGCAGCAACAGCAGCAGCAGCAGCAGCAGCAAAATCAGCAACAACAGCAACAATCCTTCCAGTCGCCGCAAGCTGCGTTCTACGGAGCCGACTTGAACACTCCTCAGCCACACCACTCCCACAGCTCGCACCAAAGCACTTCCAGCTTTAGCCTCATCAATGGCACCTCATCTAGCGGTACTGGCGCGACAACTGTTGGTGGCCTCCTTGCGCCATCCAACCTCACATCCCGTGGCCAGCACTCTCGTGCCGTGAGTCTTCCCGCTTTCACACAGGGACCTTTCAACCATTCCATGCAACAGTCCCAAGCACCAGGACAAGGCTCTTTCGGTAGCCTTAGCTCTGGTATTGGTGGCTTTGGTAGTGGTAACGGCGGCTATGGTCTCGCTATCCAGGGCGACGGCGGTCTGCCTGGATGGGCGGAAGAGGAGGTTGGCGCGCAGTAAATGCTCTTGCTCATGTTGCGTATCTCTTTCAATTGTGCGATACTTACCCATCTACCACATTTGTTGGTTACTGCTATCTTCATTCTTTTTTTCTCGTTCTTTTGCATTTATTCCAGATCTAGGGTAGGGAAAGAGGGGCGCTCTCTTGAACCTAAATGTTGTAATTTGAATGTGCGCAACTGATTTTTTTGGCCTTAATACTTTTTTTTGGTTGTTCTTGACCTTCAACTCACCTTCGCTTTATTCTTCTTTTTGATGGGTTTGAAATCTGTGTTTTTTTCGTAGTTTAGATACCTTGTGAGGAACTACTACCTAGGGACTTGGGTGGAGGAAGGGAAGGAGGGGGGGTTTCTAAGACTAGAAGGTTAGTCATGTGTGGTTAGGGGGTGGGGCGCCCTGGGCAATGGAGTTAGCCTGGGCATGTATTTCAATCGAACTGTAAAATCTACTCGCCGTGTCTTTTGTGTGAATGTGAAAATGAATGTGTTGAGTTGAAACGGTATGATTGAGCTGTGGGTTTACAGATTATTGATGTTTATTAGAGGTGAAGTGAGGGGTAATATTTCGCTCATATGTAGATCTGTGTAGTGTTGGATAAAGCGGCAGATATAGTTTGTCAAAAGATTCCTTTTCTATCTTGTACTTGGTAAAGTCTCTGGGAGTTGTCTCAATGTATGTTCTACCGCTATGGCATCACCACTACCACTTGTATACCTCTTATTGAAAACGTTGAGTCTCCTACACGAGTCTTGTAGATTGATACTTCTTGACATAATCTAGTCTTATCTGCGAATGACTTGTCTCATATTTCTCCAGACATGAGGTAGACTGTCCAGGAAATTTAGACGCGCCCTGTGGCTACAAGTCTGCTTATACGCCACATCCTAAACCGATCTTCACCGAAGAGAACAACGGATGCGGACTCAACCCCGCATGCGCAGTACATCACACCACATACGCACAGCGGCATCGCGTTCCTGGGCCTTCTTACGCGGGGCCACTGGTGCCATCATGACTTCCCGGACTTCAGAGCGGCCAAGGTCGCGACCGTCTTTGATCTTACTCCAGAACTCACGAATCACAGTTTGTGCGTACTCAAAGTCGATCTCGTCGTCGTCACCGTCGACCTGCATTGTCGTTTCATTGCCCACAGACGCATGCCCCGAGTCAGGGCCGTCGTCTGTATCCTCTGCGCCGACTGTCGTAGTGATGCAGACGACGATGCCGGGCGACAATACACTTGCAGACTGTGGGCCCTCGCGCGTCGCTCGCAGTTCTCCAATCTGTATTGTACATAGCCCGCAGCTATATGTGGTACCTTCTCGCACGGAAAATGTGTGTCGTGATAACCATAGCGCTGATAACTGGAATTTGAGTACCGAGCCATATGCGTCTTGTTGTCGAAGCGGTATGGATACGACAGTTTCTGGTTGTGTTGCAGGCTGCGCATATATATATGTGCGGTTGGAGTCGAGGTTCGAGAGGTGGAGGAGGTGTTGGTATGAATGCGCGTATGGTTTTGGTTTACCGTCTGCGCCGGTTGGGTGCTGGTAGCCTGGGGGTATGGTGTCGCGGAAGGCGCGGTATGAGAGCGACCATGGTGCTTGGCGTGTTGCGCTCTGGAAGCTTGACTCGATGCTTTGGATGAGGGTGTTTACGATGGATAGGGAGGCGTCGATGTTTGTGGAAGGGTTAGAGATAAAGTATAGCCTGTGATGTCAGATAGGCATTAAGAAGTTGGGCTAGTGACTCACCCGCTGTACTTCATCCTTGCCGCTTGAGACAGGTTTGCTGTCTACTACACTGATGATGTACCTCGGCGCGAATTGAGTCGTCTGTTTGGGCTTTAGTTATGGAGATTGGCCGTGGAAGATTGATCTAGATAACGGCGGGCGATTATGAGAAGAGCTTTCCAGTCTCTTGAGCGTTTCAATTGGTTACACGGCAAGTAGAGTTGAGTTGATGAGTGAAGGTAGATTGGAGTTGGAGGCTCGCAGATCCAACGGTTTAGATCGGCACAAGGCTACCCCTGCTAGCTCAGGGTCCGTGACGCACCTTGCGCGTCGGGAGTCGGCGATTCAACCTTACTTAGCACCTCTCGGAACAGCCATGCGCAACACCATGAGGGCTTACTCCTTGATCCCACCTTGTGAAATTGCCATCTTGTCTTTTGCATACTTATTTTGAACTTCAGGTTTACACTGCTCTATTTCTTGTTCATATATTCGCTCATTGTTCACCCTTGGATGCCCCTGTGGCGTCGTATTTCCTTTTCTCCCTTAACTATCGTTACATATAGACTTGTGGATTTCCACGCATGAGATACCCTCATTAGACCTCTGTTATAAGTTTCCTGTCATCATGGCCCCCGCCATTCGCCGCATTATCGTTCTTTTTGTATCTGTGACTTTCATCATCCTCGCCTTTCGCCAGCTCAGCGCTCGAACCGATCTACCCCCACCAACCTTGACCTCCTCGAATCGAATCGATCATCGCGTAGAATGGAAGGACCTCCCAATACGGTATCCGGTATCTTCATTGACTCCTCTACCCACTGGCACTCCGGCTGCCATCCCACGAATACAACACGAGTTCGGAATTGAGACGGAACACAACAAGGCGAAGCGGCTATCAATAGACAAACAGCTGTCAAGAAAGCATTTTTGCATACTTGGGATGGCTACAAAAAGCATGCATGGCTACAGGACGAAGTGACGCCGGTAACAGGCGGCTTCAAAAACGGCTTTGGACAGCGGGGAGCATCGTTGGTGGATGCATTGGATACGCTCATCATTATGGGACTGGACGAGGATTTTGAAAAGGCAGTACATGCTGTCAAGAAGATTGATTTTACCACTGCTGGCGTTCAGCGGTTGAATGTCTTCGAAACAACCATTCGCTATCTTGGAGGCCTGCTGAGCGCATATGATTTGAGTAAAGTGAAGCATAACACACTACTTCAAAAAGCGACCGAGTTGGGAGAGATGTTATACGCTGCGTTCGACACGCCAAACAGGATGCCAGTCACACGGTGGGACTGGGAAAAGTAGGCTTGCATCTTACTGGCAACCAACATATACTGACAAAACCAGCGCTGCTATGAACGGACACCAAGAGGCCGATGCGCAGGCAATTAGCGCAGAAATTGGATCTCTGACCCTTGAATTTACTCGCCTCTCACAGCTCACCGGAAACATGAAGTGGCACGACGCGGCGCAAAGAATCACAGATCTACTCGAGAAGAACCAGAACAAGACCAAGATCCCTGGGTTGTTCCCCCTATTCGTTAGCCCATATAGGGAAGAGTTCAATGACGGGACGTTTACGCTGGGCGGTATGTCTGATTCACTATACGAGTATTTGCCTAAGCAGCATCTACTCCTCGGAGGGCTCACAGATCAGTACCGGAAGCTATACGAGAGTGCGATTGAGCCCGCGAAAGAACACCTTTTCTTCCGCCCGAGAATTCCTGAGAGCAAGCATATTCTCATCTCGGGCGATGCGAGGATAAGTGCTGGAGGATCAGTCAAGCTCGAACCAAACGGCCAACATCTTGCCTGCTTCACAGGTGGTATGGTGGCTCTGGGCGCAAAGATCTTCAACCGCACTGAAGACCTCGATGTTGCGCGCAAGTTGGTAGATGGTTGCACCTGGGTCTACGAGGCTATGCCTACGGGTATCATGCCCGAGACCTTTCGAATGATGCCCTGTGTCAGTGAAGAAGATTGTGCCTGGGATGTGGAGAAGTGGCATGAGGCTGTGAAGTATTCATACTCTACTAATCTCCACTCTCAGCACTACGACGTTCAAGACGTCATCAAGGAAGACGGACTTCAGCCTGGTTTCTCCAAGATTGCTGACCCGCGATTCCTGCTTCGGTAATTTCCTCCACACTTGTCTTGCCATCGTCTTCAACTAACAACCACAGACCAGAAGCCATTGAATCCGTCTTCATCCTTTACCGTATAACCGGCGATACGACACTCCAAGACACGGCTTGGCGCATGTTTGAATCCATCAACAATGCTACAATGGCCGAGTTTGCACACTCTGCTATCGCAGACGTGACGGTTCCCAGGGGCCAAAGCACGCAGAAGTTGGATGAATGCGAGAGCTTTTGGATGGCTGAGACACTCAAGTACTTTTATTTGATCTTCAGCGAGCCGAGCCTTGTGAGCTTGGATGATTATGTATTGTGAGTATTACCCTGGAGGAAGTGGGGGCAGGTGTCATTTTATTATTATGGTGCTAACGTTTGTGTAGTAACACTGAAGCGCATCCGTTGCTTCGTCCAAAACATGGTTGAGTCGTTGTTCTTTTGGCAGAACCAAAGAGTAGTTTCTGTGGTTTCTGCTAAGCAAGGCGTTGTGGGCGAAACATGTACAAAATCTATAGACTATCTTGTGTGCTTATATTGTTGCTACAACAAAACTGCATTGTGAAAACCTGCTAAGCGTTGACATCACTTACGTATACCTTTATAGACTATCTTGTGAATTTCGATTAACCAAGGCTTTGCATGGCGAAGATCGTGATTTCCCTTGCTTGCTTGTCAGCCTCGTCGCTTCCTTCTTATCTTGTGACGACATTGTTTTGCCAAGCGGGGCTGAGGTACATGAGACGAGGCTGAGCCTTCGAACTTCTGCCTAATTGACAACTCCACACTCCGTACCCCAAGTTTTTGAATATCTCGTCTTGTCTCCTATGCAGTACTAAGTAACGCCTGCGCACCTGCACAATTCAGCACACGTTGCACCGACATCGTTCCTTCTTCTTTACTCTCCCTGTCGAATCATGAGGCGAATTCGCGCACGATATATCTCCTTCCGACGCAAGTTTGCGTTGTACATCAAGTCAGAACCTTCGCCACAACTACTACATGCTAGCGATTCGACTGAAAGCATCTCATTGACATTATTGGTGGATGGGCTGGAGGGAAATGAAACTGGGGTCTCGAGGCTCTGTAGTCATTGCAAGAAGATCGATTTCGAAAAGCTTTTCTCGCGAAGAGGAGATGTAAAAGAAGGTGGCGAGTTTGTCACGTTTGGTAACAGCAAATCAAAAGGCCGCAAAGGATGCGCTTCTTGTCGTCTCTTTAGCAATAAAAGAACAGACCACGACTATCCTTTCGAAATTCGACTGTTTGATACTGCCAAGGAGAAATTTTGGAATAGGCGACAGAAATTTATATCGCCAACGCTTGTCCTGTCAGGAAGGAGGCACACAAGTAGCCATCTTAAACCTTACTTTAGTTGGTGTGAGGACCGTGGGTTTATCTTTGCCAAAGCAAGAGTTAATGGAAACGAGGGGCAGAATACATGTATGGTGGCTGATTTAACACACGTGGATCTATCGCAAATCAACTTTGAGCTGCTAAACAAATGGCTGCTACAATGCGACTCCCAGCACGAAGACTTATGCAAGACGAAAGAGAACTTGAGATTTTCAATTCCTCTATCGTGTATAGAGTGCCACACTCGGTCTATTGTTCACATCGAAGAAGACGAATATATCGCTCTGAGTTATGTTTGGGGTACAACGTGTTCCAGAATATCTCAAAAGATACGGGGAAATGGGAATCTCTTCCTTTGGATGGTGTGAATCAGGTCATCGAGGATGCCATTGCGGTTGTGATAGCTCTTGGAAAGCGATATCTCTGGGTTGACCAATACTGCATCAATCAGCTGGATATGGATATCAAGGCAACCCAGATAAGGGAGATGGACTGCGTATATGCTGGAGCTTATGTGACCATTGTCGCATGCGCAGGAGTTGATTCCGACTATGGGCTATCAGGAATTAGTCGCGAGCGAAATCCGCGGCTTTCCGCTACCTTGCCTCAATTGGAGCTGGTCACTTCCCCACCAGCATTGTCTGTTGCAATCCGCAACACCAAATGGAAGACTCGAGGTTGGACATACCAAGAAGCAGTTCTCTCCCGCCGATGTTTACTTTTCACCGATCAGCAAGTCTACTTTGCATGCAAAAACATGAGCTGCTGTGAAACAGACACAGACGCTGGCGCAACATCCTACTCTGCTTCACACAAAATTCCAATGGACCTGAGCAGGCGCATTTTTCACTGTGAGCATCAGATGGCGGAAGACACAAATGATTTGTTTGATCAGATTGAGGAATATAGCAGTAGAAGTCTAACGCATAAAGAAGATGCGTTGAATGCTTTTCGGGGACTGCTAAATCGCTCTCGCTTCTATACATACTATGGAATTCCAATTGTTCCACTCAATACTGAGTCGGATCAGCTTGGACAACTTGAAAATATGAACTTGTGATTTGCGAGAGGGTTGCTTTGGATGGCCAGGGGTCGAATGACCCGTCGGAAAGACTTTCCAAGCTGGTCATGGGTGGGCTGGTTAGGAGAAGTAGGTTACGATCTAATGATAAGGGAATTGAGTGACGAGTATTATGTTGACCTACGATTTTGGGTCGCAGATGCAGACCTTGTGGCAACGCTTTTCACCTTTGATCAGAAGGCAAAAGACTTACAAAAGACACGTATGATTGCCGAGAAATCGCGGTTTCTAGTCGTTGAAGTTCCTGTTGTCCGACTCCGCTTAAGGCAAAAATCAGTCGGATTCTTCGAAGTATGTTCAGAACACTCTACCGCAGATATTGGATATGCGGTCTTATTCGAGGACTCGGACATGAACAATAAAAACAAAGGACTCTTCTACGGGGGAATCAATCACAGTTGGGATTGCATTGTTATCACCAAATATACCAGAGACAGTGACCTTCGTATCCTGGACTGGAAGGATGGATTTTACGAAACAATTGGGGAAGCACACGTAAAGAAATTCAGTCATCTACCTCAAGAAAGAAAGAGAATACGACTAGGTTGATATTAGGTGTTTGCTGCTGGGCCCTACACAAGCCGCGACCTGGAGACACTACCACCAAGCAAGAGCCGTCTCGCCTATGACATACCGCACACGATAGCACATCACGACCAACACATCCACCAATCTCGGCTAAACCGCGACATCCAAAGTACCAAAATTCACTGGATCAGCCTGGTTCCTGGAAATCGCAGTGAACACTACCTGAACCTCAACAGAGCCAACCAACCAACCAACTAACCAAGCGAAAAGCAAAGCAAAAATAGAAGAACCGCCACGATTCCGTTTCTCCAACAACTACCGCCTTCCCGTATCTGTCAAACCAGCAACATTAATTTCACTCTTCCACACAAACACACGCATTATCAACATCCATACACAGCAAATACCTACCACCGCCTCACTATCGGAGGGTTGAGGCAAAAGATCGACCACTCTGCCAATCTTAGTGATACTAGTGACTTCGCAATAGAACGGTGTCTGCACGCGAAGGGGGACAAGAGCGAATAAAGGGACGTGGAAATGACGAAATGGAAAACCCCAGCATACGGAGTCGAGGGATATGGAAGTAATGACTGCAGGTAGAATTGGTGTCGCCAAATGTACAGCAAGAATATGCAGATGTTTCTTTTCGAATTGTATTTGGGTTTTTTTTGTTCATTTTCCTCAGTATTACAACAGCACAACTACCAGTTTGAATTACCAGAAGCACAACTACAGTTTAAACGTCTTAGAAACATCATTTTTGTTGAGAAAGAATGACTCTCTCAGTCATGGCATGTAAGTGTGTCAATTGCTAACTATACAAAGCTCGGCTAATATAGAGCGGTGTGGGTCATGTGACTTAGCGTCCTCGTGACAGGTGACCGGAATATTCTCAACACTCCCCCATAAGCCGATCAGCTGTACCCACTACTTTGTATAGGTCTTGCAGTCGAAGCTTCTTCTCCCTTTATATGCTTCCACTGAACGCCTTGCATGCACTTTCCAACACTCCCCCAGAAGTGCCTTGTCAACAAGAATGAAACCTCCCTGTCACCCTATAGTGGCCGTTACGTTGCGAGTCCCTCAAGTAAAGTGAGGTATCGGCCGAGTGAAGAGTTGAGGAAAGAAGGTCGAGAAAGAAGGTCGAGAGAGAAGGTCGAGAAAGAAGGTCGAGAGAATTTTCGCGTTTGAAAATCAAGGTAGAATCGATATCACCAACATACCGACTCTCCCTCGACTCCTACGTGAGAGTCAGCGCTCCCTCAGCTTGGTACTCCCAGTACTCTAGCTGTGTACGCTCTCCTCTGTCCCAGCGCTCCCCCAGCTTGGTACTCCCAGTACTCTAGCTGTGTACGCTCTCCTCTATCCTAGCGCTCCCCTAGCTTAGTACTCCCAGTACTCTAGCTATGTACGCTCTCCTCTCTTGTTGTCCCCGCTCCGTTCCTCCGCTCCTGCCTCCTTGTCTGTGTCCTATTCAGGGCTCCAGACCCTAACACCCTTATTCTCCCCCATCGTTATATAAGCCTTTGCTTCTTTGCGTTTATTTAACGAAATCCTTTGGAAAGAAGATAAAAATCGATCGAGAAATCGGGTGGGGGTAGGTGGGTAGCGTTCGAGAGAGTAAAAAAACTTCGAGCACCGTCAAACGGTAGGTTTTCGAGTTTAAGGAATTGAAAGTAGCTGTCGAACTGTAGCTACTAGTTTAAAAAGAAGGTCTCGAAAGGTTACTATCGATAGGCAGGCAATTCGAGTTGTTTTCGGAAGAATCGATGGTTACCGTCGGTAGGTAGGTATTCGAATCGTTGTCAAAAGGTTGGTTGAAAAGGGATAGAGCAACCATTGCTCTCTTCGACTCGCGCGTCGGAATTGGGTATAACTCGCCCAAGGTATCTTCGAGACGCTCCCAGCTTCTCCGGACGATAGTCCATTTTTCTTCGGACTTAATACCCTTCGCGGTAGCCAGGGCGACGGCCCAGTGTCTTCAGGACTTAATACCCTTCGCGGCAGCCAGGGCGACGACCCAGTGTCTTAGAATATAGAAGGCGACGACCTCCTGGGTTGTTCTGGCGTAGACACGCATATACCAGCTTGCTGCCCATATCGAAGAAACGACACTCCGGACACTCACAATGCACACGCAAGCGCGTAAGCCGGGCTCATAACCTGTTGAGAAAGAATGACTCTCTCAGTCATGGCATGTAAGTGTGTCAATTGCTAACTATACAAAGCTCGGCTAATATAGAGCGGTGTGGGTCATGTGACTTAGCGTCCTCGTGACAGGTGACCGGAATATTCTCAACAATTTTTTCTTAAAGGGTTTAACTCAATCATACACAAAAGCGCACCGACCACGCGCCCCTCCTAAATCACCTTTCACAAACACATCTCACAAGCACAAAACCCCCAAAAATGTGTTACACATATAATATTTCTTCTTTCTGTCCCCATACACTCCCCTCCCACACAAACAACAACCCCCTCTCCCCAGAAGATCACCACCACTAAACTCCAATGCATAACCGCCCCCTACCCATTTAACCAAAAGCCTACACTGTATATAATCATGCCTACATGTCTTCCCTAGATGAAAACACCCCGAACAAACAAGCAAAAGTGTGAACACTAGTGATAATAATAATGATGATGATAAAGTGAAAAGAGATACGCCTGAGATCCAAGGTTCCTCCTTTTTGCGAGGTAAATTTTTCTGAATACAAGGGAAATTGGTAGTAATGTTGGTAATGATGATAGGAATGATTGATGCATATGAAAGCTGTGTGTGTATGTATATGCAAGATATGATGATGACAGTCGCTTGTTCGCTCGCTCGTCCCGCTTCGTGGTGTATCGTTTGACAGATTGATGGTTGAACAACAACAACAACAGCGACAACATATTGGTGGTCATCGTACACGATACGACGATCATGTGATGCATGAGGTGGCGGTCTGTTGTGAGCCTGACCGTCGATGGGACTACGACAATCTCAGAGTTGTGTGATCTTAGTCATGTGAGATCGCTACCCTGGTATAGCCGCCCACTTTGCCAATCGATGTCTCCAGAGTGTGCTCTTTGGACACTAAAAGGGCTTGTGCACTCTGATAAGGACGTGGTTTGATCTCGAATGTACGTCCTTGCAACCCGTCTCTTGGCATCGTGGATGTAGTCGCGTCTCTTATGATTCTCGAGACTCTACAAACTCCCTGGGTATGGGAAAGCAGGATGGGGTGCGGCGGCTGGGCCCTTTGCTACACTAGTGCTCCGCCAGTCGGTTCGTTACCGTTACGAATCGTTCGCGTCGGCCATGGTTACGTCACCGACGCTATGGTCCTGTACAAGCGGGGATGTCGTGGGGAGAATGGCAGATCGCGGACGATTGTATTCAACTTCGAGATGCTCTGGCATGCTTGCAGGAGTGGAGGATCGAGAGTCGAAGTCTTCTTCGGCGGGCGGTGAAAAGTCCCACACCTAGTCAAATCAGTATGTGTAATCCATCTGATGCTCGGGCAACTTACCTCCATAATGGTCCGACCGCCCCGGCTGGCCATGATGACGGCCTTCTCTTCTTCGAAGACAACTCTCCAGACGGCTTCAGCAGGACTGCTCAACTCTCTCACTGGAACTCCGGTCTTGAGATCCCAAACCTTGACGCGGCCATCGCTACCACCGCTGACTATCCTCGTATTATCGAATTGCAAACTCGTCACGCTGTTATCGTGAGCGGCCAATCGATGAATGGCTTGGTAGGTTGCAAGGCTCCACACGCGGACAGAGCCGTCTGAACCACCTGTCACAAGAATATCGTCGCGCATTTGGAGCTGTCCAACAAGAGAGGTGTGGCCCTGTAGCACAGCCAAACATTTGCTACACGAAGAAGTTAGTATTCGATATTTTTGTGATACTTGAGCAGACTAACCCATCGTTTGGATCCCATATCCGGACACTGGTGTCCAGACTTCCAGTCGCAATCTTCTTGCCATCGAAGGCAATGGCATAGATCTGGCTAAAGTGGCCAGTAAGTGTGCGCAGGCACTTGCCCTCTGAGATGCTCCAAATCTTCGCAGTAGTGTCGTAGCTGCCGGACACAACTATGTCGCCGTGGATCTCAAGGCATCGGACGCTAGCCTGATGACCAATTAGGACATGTTTGCATAGGCCCTTCTTCAGATCCCAGATGCGCAGCGTAGTATCTCTGGAGCCGGATATGGCGGTGTTTGCGTCGGACATCTTCAGGCATCGTACTGTAGAAGTGTGACCGCGCAGGGTGAATTGTGGGAAGCTGAATATGGATGTTAGCTATCAATGTGGAGCAGACAGTGCAAAGAGCGTACCCAGTCGCAAGGTTCCATACGCGAACGTCGCGATCGCAGCCACCGCTGACCAATAGATCGCCCCAAGGGACCATGGCCCACACCCCCATGACGTGCCCCTGGAGGGTTTTCTGATGGTCGCCGACTGTGTCGAAGACGTGAATCTTTGCATTGTCAAGCGCAACCACAATGTACTTCTTAGTCAGGTGTAGACTGGTTACTACACCCTGGTCTGGGGTGATTTGTCGCGCGTCACATACTCCCCCGTTGCGCCACGCAGTCTCGACCATGTATCGCTGCTTGAAATGCGAGCGGTATGTGGTCGCTTGTGGTCTCCGGTACGATGACTTTCTCTTGGCAGCTCGGTCGAGACTCTGAGTGCGCAGGCCCTCAGTGCCTATATTTGACGGGCCGACTTCGAGGTGTTCTCTTGCCAGCACATCATCTGTTCTGGGGGCACGCTCGTCATTCTGCCACCACGACTTGGAATCGGCGTCTTCCATGTCGTCACCGGCGGCATCGTCTTCGATCCTGTCTTCTTTTGGCAAAGCTCTGAAGGAGAACTTTTGGCACAGCAACCGCCAGGCACTGTCGTCGTTGACGAGTTCACGCCACTTCTTGGACACCTGCGAGGCTCGGGCGAGAGTCGTGGGGTCGTCGACGCATTCAAGAATCTAAGTGACGTGTCAGTGATGTGTGATAGGGCGAAAGCGAGCGATGCAACCCACCCTGAGGCACAGTTCGGTTGGTAGAACCATGAATGGGTCCTTCTTTAACCGGGGACTGACAAACTCGGCCACGAAGCTTAGCTCCTGGCTGTCGCACAGATTCAGCAACTCGCCCAGGAGGCGCATCCGCTCGGCGCGGTTCATATCGCCGAACTGGGCACGTATACTCTTGATATCTCCATCCTCGTGCTCGGCCGCGGTGCTCCAGTCGGGCACTCGCTGCGTTGGCGTGGGACTCGGAGCGGGTGTGGGCGGCGAGGCTGGGGCGGAGGCTAGGAGGGTGTGCGGTATCGATGACGATGACGGGCTCGTAGGCGTGATTATGGGCCGTGGGGCTCCTGAGCGAGACATGCGTGCCTTGCGCCCGTGGAGTGCGGGTGAGTTCTGCATAAAGGGTCGTGATGAAGAAGCGGTAGCGCTCGCAGATGCGGCCATGTCAGTGTCGGAATCTTCAATTTGGGGCGCGGTTGGGTCGCGGTCGTCTCGCACGCTTGTGAAGTAGTCGGGATCCATGACGGGGGGATGGTACGGTTCGCCAGTGCGGTCTGGTAGTCGGTATACGGTAGGGCGGTCCCTGTGCGTTCGCTCCTCGGTCCGGACTGGACTGGTGAGGCACGGGAAGGTCGACGGGTATATATGTCGTCTAACAGGCGGCGGATAGTCTGAGGCAGGCAGGTGGTGAAGTAGAGGGAGGTTTGGTGAAGCGTGGAGTGGGTAGGCGCGACTGGGTGACGCCGGCGGTCAGCCAAGGAATCAGCCCTGGAGACGTCGCTCGCCAGACGCCAGACGCCAGCTTAGATCAGGACCCAGGTGCTCAGAAAGCCGGCAGCATGCAGGGATCTTCTGACTCGCTGAGCACTTGCCATGAAGACAGCTTAGTTTGCCATGTTTAATTCTCCTTTTGCACCATCTAAAGTGTAGCTTTTGGATGCCGTGGCCGCTGCTGCCAATTTTAGACGCCCTCGTCAAACAACCACGGGCTCAGGTCGTGTCTCAAGACCACCACCTGCGCCTGCAATGTCTTTGCGAACGCCAGATCGCCATGCTCGCCCCCCTCCCCCATCATCAGCGGGCCAAAAACAGGCCGTCGAAATCAAATCCTCGAGGGCCCCAGTAGCACCAAGTAGTCAATACTGCGTAGTGTCCACTCTCACCATCACCTGCCCCGAATGTCGCACACATGGAAACATGGTCCAACGCCGTCCATTGTCCCACGGCGCTTAAACACACGGCCTAGCCGTCGCTCCCAAATCTCTTGACTTTGTGAAGCTCACCTCCCATGTCATGCCCGTCGTGCTGGTCACGAAACCGCTAAGCACCTCCTTTTGGCCAACTAACGTAGTTCGAACTTAATAAAGCTCCCTCCCCTTAGGGGGCGGACCAACTCCATACATTGCCATGGGGCCCGGCCTGCGAGGTTAGAGGCTCGGAGGACCTGAGATGACAGTCCCATGCTACATGTCTTCATGCATACTGTATAGTCGCATTTCCATCTAATCAAACCGCAATCGAATCTTGACAGCAGACACGGTCAAGTTCAGGAACATGATGCTAGCTTCTTGATGGGAGGACCCGCTCTTTGTATTTCTTTTCATCAGCCGCCCCCGGCAAAAGCATGGCGACCAGAAGATTTCCACAGGCATCGTCACTTGATATAAGCAGCCACACTGGGGGGGAGACGGCTTGCCCGAGCTGGACGCTTAATTGTTTTTCCCCAAAGAGACTTGGCACGGCGGGAATCGCATGAGCAAAGCACGCAATCTCCTCGCGACGTCATTGGATCCGGAATGGTCGCAGTTCCCTCACATTGCGCACGACGGTCCAGCCCGTTTGTAATCCGCAGTATAGCGTCATGATGAACATGTTCTCCGCTCTTGCAAACCTCCGCACTGAGGACCGCGTGTGCAGTGGCCAACACCAACCATGAGCGTGTCTCGTAGTTTGATCGCAGGCGCGCGAGCCTCACGGACCACCTACACCATACAATGCTTTGCAAGGACGGCATCGCAGGCTCCACGGCTGTTTGTGAGACAGAAATCAACCCAAGCTACTCGGAAGATCCACCAGCAATCTCCACGTAAAGCACAACATGCAGCGGCTACCCAAGAAGTAGAGTCGTCCAATCCCGCCCTTTCGTTCCCATGCCTCGATGCACACGAATCTCGTTCAGCGTCCTTGTCAAGAAAACGATCGTCGGCCGGGCCAGAGCCCTCGTACACATCGGGCCACACGCTGAACTTTCACTCGACACAGCCGATACTGCTTGATTGGGGTGGCATACTACCAGAGTTCAACATCGCATATGAGACGTGGGGGCAGCTGAATTCTGACAAGAGCAACGCAATCCTGCTGCATACTGGTCTATCGGCATCTAGTCATGCTCACAGTACAGAGACGAACACAAAGCCGGGGTGGTGGGAGAAGTTCATCGGGCCTGGGAAGCCACTGGATACGGACAAGTACTTCGTCATCTGTACCAATGTAATCGGAGGATGTTATGGCTCGACTGGACCCTCCTCGATTGACCCTGCCAATGGCGAGCGATACGCCACAAGATTCCCGATTCTCACAATGGAAGATATGGTCCGTGCCCAGTTCCGGCTGCTGGACAACCTGGGCATCCGGAGGCTATACGCAAGTGTTGGCTCAAGTATGGGTGGCATGCAGAGTCTGGCTGCTGGAACCTTGTTTCCAGAACGCGTAGGCCGACTCGTCAGCATCAGCGGCTGTGCGCGAAGCCATCCGTATAGCATTGCCATGAGGCACACGCAGCGCCAAGGTCAGTACCGGGACTGGAACGGTACAGTGTACGTCAGCTAACCTAGAGACAGTGCTTATGATGGACCCAAACTGGGCTCGCGGTTTCTACTATGACGGCATTCCACCACATGGTGGTATGAAGCTTGCTCGAGAGATTGCGACAGTCACATACCGAAGTGGTCCAGAGTGGGAGCAACGCTTCGGCAGGCGGCGCGCAGATCCGTCGCGGCCGCCAGCGCTATGCCCGGACTTTCTCATCGAAACATACCTCGACCATGCGGGAGAAAAGTGGTGTCTAGAGTACGATCCGAACAGTCTGCTCTACGTCTCCAAGGCCATGGACCTCTTCGACCTCGGTCAAGAGCACCGAAACCGCATCAACGAGGTGCGAAAGGCAAATAGGGGCAAATTGCAAGCGTATCTCGACGGCAATGCTATTACAACCGATACTAGCAGTGATCTTTGCAGCCTAACTCTGCCCGATCAGCCCTACGAGGAGAAGGAGCAGCCTGCCGATGTGGACGCTGTGACCCATACCGACGGGAGCGAGCCGCCCGCCGATCTTGTAGCCGGAATGAAGCCCCTCGCTAATACCCCGACCTTGGTCCTGGGCGTTGCAAGCGATATCCTCTTCCCTGCTTGGCAGCAGAAAGAAATAGCGACGACTCTTAAACGCGCGGGGAACAAGAATGTGACGCATATTGAGCTGGGTGAGGAGAAGAGCTTGTTCGGTCACGATACCTTTCTTCTTGATCTGCAGAATGTTGGCGGGGCTGTTCAGAACTTCTTGGGCTGAGCACCAAAGTGTTGTTAACCAATATTTAGTATAGTTCTGCATTGCTGGGCGTTTTGAGTAAAATCATGTCAGATATTTGTTCAACTTAGATTCTATCCAACTCTATGTTCGTTCACTTGTTCGTCCCAGGAATCTCACTCTTGACATTCAGGCCCTTCCACTCTGCGCTCATGGCTTCGTCAATCCACGGACACTGCGTTACTCCAATGTGCTCGCGCACATAGTCTTCCAACGTCTTGGCTCCCGGTGCGCCTTGGTAGATGGCTAGTGCACCGGCGCGGGGAATCCCTAGAGCAGAGGCGAGCCGGGCATCTGCTGACGTTGGAAGGGCAATGAGTCGTGTTTCCACGTTTGCGGTGCGTGAGGCAGTGGATGCTGGTGGAAGAGTGGCGAGGTGGACTAGTGTCGGCAGATGCGCGTGTGCAGGTGAGAGAGTGGGTTTGGGGTGGGTCAGGATAACCATGCTGAGGGGACTCAACACGTTCGTCTCGCTGTCGCTCACTGGCGCCGACTTCATGTTGGCATGCATACTTTCAGGGGACTTGTTGGTCACTGGTGCTGTGGATGGTGCTGTCTTCGCAGCCAGCGCTTCAAGGTGTCGCGTGACGCTGTTGAGACCGACGAGCAAATGATTGCTAATCTCGGGCGGAGGCGGTGGGGTATCGGCCATGGTAGAGACATCTTTATCTGGTTTGATGTTGCGCTTGCGCTTCTTGCCCTTGGATGGGTGGATGTAGACATGTCGGTGATCGCCTAAGGGCGTGACAAGGCTGGAGGCGATTAGTGCTGATGCAAGTGAACCCTGTGGAAGAGGTATGTAGACGCCGTCGGGTTGCCAGAGAGGGGGGAGATGAAAAATGCCCGCCTTTGCGTACCTACTTGCATAGCAGTTCTAGTATCACGTCTTCGTCATCCTGCGATATCTCCGGCCTGCATGTAATATATCAGCATAGTTTGTCGCGTAGTTGCCGACCACGCTCACCACTTCGTCTCCGTAAAAGGCGAGGCCGTTTTGAAGACTGGTTTGGAATTTTGTTTTGTCGTGGGTGCCATTGGCCAGTCGACGATGGTTCCCAACGGACCCCTCTATTAGGTGTTGCTGGCTATTGTCTAGGAACAGCTGCTGGCGCACCAGATCAAGCAGAGCAAAAAAGTAGTTTTACGGGCGACCGAGGTGAGCCCGACGCGCTGGAGTGTTTTTGAGCAAGAGGGCACCTGGGTGATGTGTAATAGTACCTGACAGCGGCAGTGTAGATGAACCCCGCTATCCTGTTCTTAGTAGGCGTGTCTGGCTCTTACCTACAGTAGCTTTTGTATGCTAGCAATGTCAAGTTTTTCAGGTCAGCCAGGTGAGGGCAAAGTGGAGTTGGCGGGCGTGCCTGCATTAGCAAGATGGAGGAATCTGATTCTCCCCGGGGCCATCTTGATCCGCATGGGGCATGGGCTACCCTGTCCGGGCACTAGCGCACCGCTAGCGCCGGGAGCCAAATGACGATGGTGGGGTCTACTGTCTATCTTTTGAATATCGAAACGCGTTCACAAGCTCACCAACACTCTTGCGTAATTGGAAATCAACCGCGCCTTGATTCGGCCTCTGTAAATGCACCGCCCCCTCGCATCGTCTTTGCCGTTGTGCGAGGGCCTCGGCCAATAAGGGCCCAGGGAGTTGCTGCTGCCTGTACCGGGGAGCTGCTTGCCTGCCTGGCCTCACCTGCCTACGCGTGCTTGTCCGGGCCACGCCTAGTTCTTTCGCAAACTCCGTCGCAGAGGCCTTCAACCGTCATGACCGCGCAAGACAGCCGTCTAGTGCAGTCTCTCGCGGCAGACGAGCCAGCAAACACGTTCCCCGCCTCGCCGCCGCGCCGCGATCCCATTGAAGACGCCGACGCCAGCTTCACCCGCAAACGCCCCCGCCTACACAGCGGAAGCAACAGCCTGCCGGCCATGGATACAAATACCGACCCCCAGACCCCCACCAATCCTGCCGCTTCGCCCGCCGAGAAACAGGTCGAAATGACGATACGTTCGCATCCACCTTCTTCGCCCTTGCCCGCTGGAGACGAGGCGGGCCACGGCAGTGCTAACCACGTCCTTGAAGATGCTCTACCTACAAGCGAACAGTCGCCCATACTCATTGCTAGTTCCGAGGATGAGCCCGGAAGCCCGCCCGTCATGATCATTGACGACGACGACGATGATGACGCTGTTGGCTTTGCAGTCCGCGTCGATGCAGCACACCATTTCAGCCAATTTCCATACTCACATATTGGCACCTACGCAACTGTCATCCGCGAGCTGGGGCAGCACGTCGGCTCTTGTAAGTACTTTGTCTTCTGCCCAAGATGGAATCACTGTTAATACGTTCCATTAGCCAGCGAAGTCGACCCTATCTTCTTCACCGGCTTGGCACGCTGGCTGAACGAGTTGCCTCATCCTTCTGCCGACTTAGAGGGCTTCTATGCTAGCAAGGCGATATTCTGGGAAGATTTCGCCACGTTGGTTAATAAGTTTCTATACCGCCGGGGTCCCTTCAGCCACCATATCCCGGATCGTCAAATGACGGACATCTTCTATGCCTTTTTGAGCGCCTATGTCAGGCTATGCTCGTTGCTATTACTGGCTGACGTTCAGCTCCTGTCTCTACCGCGTTCCGACGACATTTACCTTCCGCCACTCCTTAGTCCCAAGCACATACGACACCTACCAGCTATTCTGCGAGCAGACAGAGCACCCGTTTACGCGATGATGAGTAGAGATCATTCTACCGACCTGCGGAAGCTTTGTTTGCGTCTCCAGCAGGATTTCCTTGTGGCTGAAGGTCCTGAGAATCTGTTCCGACTAGCCGACCGGGCGATCCAGCATGTCCCTATGAGTCTCCAAAACTTCATCGCCTCCAACGTTGTGGTAGTCTTGCAGGCATTGGGTTCATCAATATTCGTAAACCACATCTCGACCAGCGCCCAAGCTCGGTCCGAGTTCTGTCGCGGAACTCTACTGTTCTTAGAGAAGTACATGGATGATCTCTTCAACCTAGACCGAACTACTGATGCGAACTGCGCCCGAGATCTTATTCAGTCCTTCCACTATCTGCTATTCGATCTCTGCATTTGGGATAAATCGATAGAGTCCCAGCTACTCGACCGATTTCTGGATTTCAAGAGTGCAGAATCTCCGACTACTTCTTCGTCTTCCGAAGTCGCGCAGACGAGAGATCAAGACGCCTACCGCAGAGATGCAGAATGCTTTCCGGCTTTGGTTGCAAACGCATGGAAGTTCAAGATTCTACGAAGGTACCTCACGAAAGGGAAAATGGACTTGCGCATGATGAGCATCACGGCCATGGATACCGGCCTAGTCGACATCTGGAAACAGTACAATGATCGCGAACCAGAATGCAGGCATCCGGTCATGCAATATCTTGCCGACTTCCTCCTGGATGGGAATGTAATGGATTACATTATCAGCGTTGACTCGCATCCGCAACTGATCGCGCGAGCTGGTAATATCCTTGGCTTTCTTGTGGTAACCCAGCGTTGGTCAGACAGCCAAGCAGACGCTACCTGGAATACTGTAGCTACCAATCCGGATCCCCGCGTCGTTTCAGCAACCATGACCATGATACGAGGTATAGTCAACCTCATGAAGCCCATGGAGCTAATGTATCTCTGCACGAAGCTTTACGAGTTACCCATCGGTACCTACACGCTGGAAATTCTACGGTTTCTTCGAGAGATCAGCACAAGGATTACGGACAAGGCCACACCCGAGGATTATGCCGCAAGAGGTCCTAGTGGTTGTCCTTGGAACGTTTGCATTCGCATGGTATGCGATACTGTGTCTCATGTGGAGACGACCAAGGGTATGCTGGACATTCATAACGAGGCTGTCGATCATCTGCGACTGTTAGTCCACAAGGTCCCCATTGATGAGCGCCTAGCTATCTATCGCGAATGCGCTGGTCACATTGGGAGCCACTCACCAAAGGCTACCGGTAGTGTCAAGGTTATTTCCATTCTTGCTTCGCCATTTCATCCAGCCACGGATGCGTTCTTTCAGCAGAATCAGGATGTGGTACGCATGATTCTAGAAGAAATCCCCTGGTTCGTAGAAGCCGAACGGGAAACTGGAGCCAATGCGGCAGCTTCAATGGCTCTCAGTTATCGATTAGAGCTTCTCTCGCTCATGATCCATCGTGTTGGGTCCTCAATACCCACCGAGATTTATGAGGATCTCTGGGAGTACACCATCGGTACGCGTGCACTCTCAAACGACGCCCGGGATTCTGCATGGAAGCAGTTACTGCAAACGAACAAATCGGCCCCGAACAACGAATACTGCAGACGACTCGTCTCTTCGCATCTACCCAACATGGAACCCAAATTCTACACCCATGCCATGTTCGAATTCGTCGAAAACTACAGTTTCCCTACCACTCATCATGTCGTGGAGACGGATGATGGGGAGAACACGGTATTGCAGATTCCTGGAGCCGAGTTGCTCTGGCCTATGATCCTTTCTTCGCCAGAGGGTACGATTGAAGACTGCGCTGCACGTCTACTCGCAGCTCGTTATGTGCAGATTGACGAAGCCGAGGGCGTCACGCTGGGGGATGTAGAGGCAGCCCATGTTATACTTGTCGAGAAGTGCATGCAAGAGATTCGATCCGCATGTAAGATTGTACGCACTCAGCCGTCTAGTAGTGTAGATGCAGGTACAAACGCTACCGTATCCGATACGACGGTGCAAGAGAAAGAGGGCCGCTGTCGAAGGATAATTCTGTTCCAAAAGTTGTTGCTTGCAAAGATACGCCAAAAACCAGAGTTCAATCGCGGCCGGAGAGCAGACTCCAAGGTCGACGAGATGGATGTACCCTATGGCGATGCGATTACCATTCGCTTTCAAAGCGGCAACAAAGAGAGGCAAACCGTCATGATGGGCGCGGACCACACATTGGATGATCTCTACCGGAAGCTATGTCACGTCGTTGGCTATACCAAGGTCAATCTCTTCGCCAGGGGCCAAAGGCTCAACGTAGCCGAGAGACCGAACGAGAAGATTTGCGAAGTCGACTTCGGAGGCCAGCTTCTTGTCCAAGGAACACCGGGTACAGAAGTTACGCGTCCCCTGTCTGTGATAGCCATTGGTTCCTCGGTTTTTGAATCCACTGTTGTCAAGTACTTTGATGAGCTGTTTTCATTGATGGATTCCGATGATACCATCAGTAAATTGGTAGGAGTCCATTCGGAGTTGTATGTTACCTTGCTAACTTTTCCTAGCTATTTGAGTACTTGAGCTTCTTCCCAGCCCCAAGCTCTATTGTAGATAGCGTCATGACCGACGAAGCACAGTCTGAAGACCTTTTCCCACCAGGAAAGTTCTTCCAGGCACGGTACGCGGCACTCGCCCTTCAAGCTAGATTGCAAGAGCAGATACGCTATGTAAGTAAAAGACGGGAAACCCACGTTCACTTCATTACTGACTTGTGCAAAGTCGACCCTTGATGAGAAGTTTGTAACAAAGGCCATACGCCACCTGGATGCAGCACTTCTGAACACTACCCTCATCGCTGAAAAGATTGCGAGCTTGCAAGAGCGTCGATTAGCAACAGTCCTTGTCAACGTCCTATTGGAGTTTCTCAGAGGTAAGTACCACGTCGGTAGCTTTGTTGCCATTGCCAACGTCTTATGCGAAGCAGAGCGACCCTCCGCTGAGACATCGGCTACCTACTTTTCCGACGGAGCACGACTCGCCAACCGTCTTGTAACGATCCTATCCGTGGCATTAGAGAAGAAAGAAAATGCCGTGGTTATTCATGATTGCTACGGTGTTATTATTGAAGCATCACTGCATTCGCGGGTGATATGGGAAGCTTTTATCAAGCATCCGGAAGTTCCTTCGCTTCACAGGGTACTTCTACTACAAGACGACAGACAGTCAGTCCGAGAGAACATTTCAAAGAAGATTGCTTCAATCTGCGGTGGAGGTCTTCCTTTCACATGTCCACTCAGCCAAGGCGAAATCGCTGGGCAGGTCTGGGCAGGTATTTCTGCTATCCTTCCCGATACTGTACTCTACCCGAAGCAGTCCCGAGAACTATTCACTATGGCCGATCATGTATTCCACGTCCAAGATGAGCATGAACGCAACGAGGGCACCCTCAGAATGTTCCTGGCCACGTGGAGCGGCCTGCTTCTGAAGCATAAGCATGAGGAAATCGTGGGTCGAGAGGAAACCGACTATGTTGTTTCGGGCTTCACAAAGCTTCTTCTGAGCTGCATCATGTCGCTCAAGTCGTTCAAGAGGCCCATTAATGCAAGCGACATTATGGAACAGATTTTCAAGAAATACATTTTCACGAGGAGGTACGTCTGCCGAGCCTCCAGAACACTCGATTCGCTCAATGGGCGATTTGGGTGCATCTTACCATACTCGATGCTAAGAGGGATACTGACAAGATATAGTTCTTCCACGCTAGAAGACGGTGTAGCTCCTGTCCCGATACTGGAGTCCCATACGAGGCGTGAACTGTACGATCTCATGCTTGCCTTGGTCGACGACAGCAGCACGTACAGCAATCTTCTCAAGCTTGCCGAGGAGGTAGAGGATGAAGATTTTGATCCCGTCATGTCAACAATTTCTGTTGATCGCTCCGTGGAGATACGATCCGGCACCGGCTATGTGGGGTTGTATAACCCGCGAGCTATCTGCTATGCAAACTCGCTACTGACACAGCTTTTCATGAATGTAAACTTTCGAAAGTTTATGCTCGGCTTGGAGTTGCAGGAACGCGATGGCTCCCAGAAGCTGCTACTCGAAACGCAGAGGCTCTTCACCAACATGCAGCACTCCTTCCGCAGGGCTGCTGATCCACGCAACTTCGCAGCCTGTGTCAAGGATTCAGAATCCATGCCAATCGATATCAGCATTCAAATGGATGCCGATGAGTTCTACAATTCCCTCTTTGATCAATGGGAACGCCAGCTCATCAATGAGACACATAAGCAGCAATTCCGTTCCTTCTACGGTGGCCAAACTCTTAATCAGATCAAGTCAACGGAATGTGAGCACGTCTCTGAGCGAGCAGAGCCGTTCTTTGCTGTGCAATGCGATGTCTTGGGCAAATCAACTCTACAAGAAAGTCTCCAAGCTTTCGTTAGTGGCGATGTCATGGAGGGCGACAACAAATACAAGTGCGAGTCGTGTGGCGGTAAATACGTGAACGCCGTGAAGCGAACCTGCTTCAAGGAGGTGCCCGACAACCTCATCTTTCACCTCAAACGCTTCGAGTTCGACCTGGTAGACTTCAGCCGTAAGAAGGTTTACGACCATTTTGAGTTCCCGCCGTCGATCGACATCAACGCGTACCACGTTGATTACCTCAGCGACCCGACCAAGCCACAGGAAGAGGACATGTTCGATCTCGTCGGTGTGCTTGTCCACACTGGCACCTGTGAGCATGGTCATTACTATTCTTACATCCGCGAGCGACCTTGCTCCACTGGCAGTAAGGTACCTGACAGTAAGGTACCTCCTTGGTTTGAATTTGACGACTCCAACGTCACGCCTTTCGATCCGGCTGACATCGCATACCGCGCATTCGGAGGCATGACGGATGATACCTACAGCCGGGTACTGAAACAATACTCGGCATACATGCTATTCTACCAACGCCGTACTGCCCTCGACGCAGATCAAAGTCAATGGGTCACTTCTACGAACGAAACAACGCCAAAGGTTCCCATGCCCAAGGATCTAGAGCATGAGGTTGACATTGTCAACGAGGCGCTTGTCCAAGAGTATTGCTTACTTGACCCCGACCATACCGCGTTTGTGCGGCAACTTCATGTGATGTCGCGCTCCATCAATCATGGTTCTTGCTCAGAGGATCACGCTCAGGTATGTACTTGATATCATCGCGTTACTTGAGATACTAATACTCACCAGGAGGTGCATTCGCTTCAGATTGTGCTTGGGCATCTCGGTCGCATCGTCTGGCGCCACCCTAGTTCGGACATCTTTTGCGAAACACTAGTTCAGCTGCGACGTTCAGTTTTGCCATGTACGATGTGCTGCACTATCGCTCTCAAGTTCCTTGCTGGGGATGAGCATGTCTTCTTCAATCTACTCGTTCGTTGCCCACACGCCAAAGTCAGGTCTCAGATACGCAACTTTTTCATCGACTGTCTGAAGGTGGTTCGCGATCAAGATCCTGCCATGTATGGCTTTGAAGGCATGGAGAACGATATGGACGTCGACTCTCCCAGTCTGAAGGAGGGAGTACTCACAGACGTCACGTCTAGGCTACGTCAAATGGCGGATGAGAGCTATCTCTCAACCCGAGGCTGGGACGATTTTTACCTCATGGTGATCCAAATCATAGAGATGGGTCACTCGGAAACCGCCGCATTGCTGAATCATGGGTTCCTCCAGTTCTGCCTGACAATGCTTTCTATGCATGTTCACAAGAGCTTCCAAGAGAGGAACCCTGAGCTATGGAGAATCCTGAACAAGAAGACAGGAATCTACAATAGGCTTGTCGCCTGTGCTTCCACCCTACTCTCGCAGATGGATACACATCTACCCGTCATCGAACGAAACTCGAGTGTAGATCGACAGGATACTCTGGATCGAGAAAGCATGCGGTTCCCTCTGACATTTGACGAGAGAGCAATGCTGTATTATTGGGACAACGAGCTCAAGGCAATTGCAGTCCTGGACAAGGCTTTGGAGATGTTCGATTCCTCCAAAGTGGATCAATTCTGTCCGGGTGACATTGTCAAGTCGATGCTTGGCTGGGCGAACGCGCAAGCCCAGAACAATCTGTTGAAGACCATCAACGACGGAATTGCCCTTGATCCTCCTTTCTGCGATGCATACATGAGAGCAGGCCTGTCGTTCTGCGAAGCCTCTCCTGCCGTCGACAATGTCCTGAAGATCATCACCGCGGTGACAAAGGCAATCGCATCGCAGACCCGGGTTGACGAGGAGCGCCCCCCAGGCGGACCTGCTGTCCTCGGATTCATCGTTGGCCTTCTCAACGCAGACAACACGGCCATCTTCCAGCAAAAGAACCGACATGTGTTCTTTTACTGGATCATGGCGAAGAGCCGCACGTGGGCACCTCCTCTGCTTATGCATACAGTGGACAGTGTACGTCACGGTGCAAATCTCGTCTTGCGGGAGCTTTACAAGACTCATAACGACTGGCCCGAGGAATTGGTGCACGCTCAATGGAGAACGCTCCGCGAACTAGCTATTGAGATGATGCAGCATATTCTTTCCGGGAAGAACCAGTGTATGCTCAAGTCACATCTGAGTGTACTTATTGAGGCTTGCGAGTACCTTATTCAGCAGCTCTTCGACCTGAGCCAAAGCGAGGACCCGGCGTTAGAAGCGTATCGAGACGAAGTCCAAGATCCAAGCTGCATTTTCCAATGGCAGCAGCACGTTGAGCCTGCTATAAACTCATGGCCGCAAGATGACGGCCTCTCGGCGGGTGATGTGTATGAGCAGTCAGAATTTGGTAGTGAGTCTGATATGGAGGACGTGGCCGATGTTGATGCATGATTATTAATCGGCTCCGCGTCTACAGGCAGCTCGCATTCATGGACCCTTGTGTCTCCTTTGCATGGTAGTAATAGCAGTGGTAAATCTCTGGAGTTTGGGGGTTTGGAGGCTGCGTCGCTGGGGAAGGGAGACGACGATGTCACGATGTCGACGAACTTTTAGATGGCCGCATGGCGTTTTTATGGTAGAGATGATAGATGCGTTGACCTTTCCCTGTCTGCTCCATGGGGTCTGCAGCGTTGAGAGCACCATCATCAACTTATGATTCTTTCTTGATTATTCATATCTGGGCGGCATAGCGAGGGTGCTTGGGCGTACGAGGAGACGGCATGGTTTGATGCACACGCTGGGAATTGGGGTCATGAGTAACCACGTATTACGAGATTAGCCCTGCCTAGATCAAGCATAGTGTGCTTGCATCCATCTCAGTCAGCCTTTGTGGTCTTTTTGCAATGTATGACATGTGATGCGCGTGCGAATCAAAACCGGTAGCTGGTGGAGCTGCGGAGATAACGGCATCGCGGCTACGTCATAGGTACGGAAGCTGGAGGAGCAAATGCCACTTTACCAAGCCTGCGCCGTCATGACGAGTTTGCCTTTTTTTTTCTTAGCTGTGAGAATCTCAAGTTTTGCAATTGATCCCTTTACTTTTTCTTCTTCCAAGTAATTTTTCCTGCTCGTAAACAGCTGCCTCGCCTGGTTTTGTGCTTGCGACTAGCTTAGGAAGCACGCGACAGCCCGTACCCCACGACATAGCGCCAGAGTCTCACCACGATAGTAGACCAGCGAAGAAGGAAAGAGAAAGTCTAGAGCAATTGAAGCTTGAAAATCTGTCACAATGGCGAACAAATTGGACGCGATAAAGCCGCAGAAGAAGATTGAGCTCTTCTCCGGCTCATACTTTGCGGCATGCACAATGGGAGGCATCATCGCATGCGGACCTACACATACAATGGTTACGCCTCTAGATCTGGTAAGCAACTCACCTCACCCTATTCTAAACCCCCAACCGGCTCTAACACATCAAACCAGGTAAAATGCCGACGCCAAGTCGACTCCTCCCTCTACAAGTCCAACTCACAAGCCTGGAAAATGATCTACTCCAAAGAAGGTCTCCGCGGCGTCTTCTTCGGCTGGACCCCAACCTTCATCGGCTACTCGATGCAAGGCGCGGGAAAATACGGCTTCTACGAAGGCTTCAAGTACCTCTACGGCGACAAACTCGCGCCCGGAGCACCCAAACAAGTCGTCTACCTCGCCGCCTCCGCCTCAGCAGAGTTCCTAGCGGACCTCGCCTTGTGCCCCATGGAAGCCATCAAAGTGCGCATGCAGACTACGCTCCCGCCTTTTGCGCACAACTTGCGCGAGGGCTGGGCCAAGGTTATCAAGGAAGAGGGTGTCGGTGGCTTGTACAAGGGATTGTACCCCCTGTGGGCGAGGCAGATTCCGTATACCATGGTCAAGTTTGCGACGTTTGAGGAGACGGTTACGCAGATTTATCGGTTTTTGGGTAAGCCCAAGGAGTCGTTTGGGCCGCTGCAGCAGACCGGGGTTAGTTTCCTGGGTGGGTACATCGCCGGTGTTGGGTGTGCGGTTGTGTCGCATCCTGCAGGTATGTTTAGTTCATTTTCTGTCGAGGAGATCAGGTGGTATGTGGGAAGTGCTAACAAGTTACTGCAGACGTCATGGTGTCGAAACTCAACAGCGACCGCAAGCCTGGTGAGAGTGCGGGTCAAGCTATCGGCAGGATATATGGCAAGATTGGTTTCCCTGGTTTGTGGAATGGTCTGCCTGTTCGTATCTTTATGATTGGTACACTCACGGCGTTTCAATGGCTTATTTATGATTCTTTCAAGGTTTATCTGGGTGTAAGTCTTCTTCTTCCGTCCGCGCTCGAGTATATGGATGCTAATGTTTTGATCAGCTTCCTACGACTGGTGGTCATTAGACTGTGTTGGGCTCTGGGCATGTGTGATATCGTATGGCGTCTGTATAGTGTTATCTGGCGCTTCGGACTGGGATATTTTAGTAATGAATTAATGGAACCGAACAATGAAGACTAAAAGATGAAGTCTGATATGATGTGTGCGGGGTTCATATTGTTCATATACTTTCCCATCCGGTTTGACATAGTTGTTACATCAACGGTCTTGGCGTTGACGTTTCGTTTTGTGTATCGCCATGCTTACCTATCAAGACGTGGTCGATGTGCGTTTTACTGAAGTGCAGCTATAAATTAGCAAAGTGTCATAGTAACCCCGTGGCAATTGAGATCTTAAAAGGGGGCTGAGGCTAAAAGTGTGGCAGTGTCCTTGAGAGCATGAAGTTTGTGCTGGAAAAGGAGACTTACCCAAGGATTCACATAAGTGTTCGAGAAGAGTGATATTTCAAAACGCCAATTACTGTGACCTTCGGAAAAGGTTAACTGGAAGGATTTTCCGAAAATAAAGGAGAGGCAAAGCGAAATATTCATCACAAGTCACAAATCAAGTCAAAGTCAGGAGCATATTTTGAAAGGAACAAATCCATTAGCGAAATTAAAAGGCTATAAACGACTTAGGTAAAGAAAAGGGTGATGACCCAGGAGCTGGTAAGGTATATCGAGAACAAGAATTGCCAATCTCCACGAAAAGGCGAAAGTACAAACACTCCAAGAGCCATCTACAAAAAATGTTCTATACACATCAGAAAGGTTTTGTTGGCGCTTATTCCACAGGCCGCCATATGCTACTCCTCCTCCTCCTCCTATTTTCAATTGATCGGTTTGATCCTCATGGTCCAATAGCTCGCCTAAAAGATTCGCTGGTAGGCGAGTCTAGTAAGGTGCTTAGACGACAAAGGTGTAAGGAACCTTGGCGACGTAGGGGTCGGCGGGAGCGGGGGGTGCCAGGAGTGGCAGGAGTAGTGACACCGCCACCGATGGGAGTAGTGACACCGCCACCGATGGGAGTAGTGACACCGCCACCGATGGGAGTAGTGACACCGCCACCGATGGGAGTAGTGACACCGCCACCGATGGGAGTAGTGACACCGCCGCCAATGGGAGTAGGGATGGTCTCGCCGCCAGCGCCGGGGAGGTTAGGGAGGGGAAGGGTGGGCATGTTCTCGCCGCCAGCGCCGGGGAGGTTAGGGAGGGGAAGGGTGGGCATGTTCTCACCGCCAGCACCGGGGAGGTTAGGGAGGGGAAGGGTGGGCATGTTCTCGCCGCCAGCGCCGGGGAGGGTAGGGAGGTTAGGGATGGTCTCGCCGCCAGCACCGGGGAGGTTAGGGAGACCAGGGATGATGTCGCCGTTATCGCCGCCAATGGGGATAGGAAGACCGCCAGCACCAGGGAGGTTAGGGAGATCAGGGATGATGTCGCCGTTGTCGCCGCCAATGGGGATAGGAAGACCGCCAGCACCGGGGAGGTTAGGGAGATCAGGGATGATGTCACCGTTGTCGCCGTTGTCGCCGCCAATGGGGATGGGAAGACCGCCAGCACCGGGGAGGTTAGGGAGATCAGGGATGATGTCGCCGTTGTCGCCGTTGTCGCCGCCAATGGGGATGGGAAGACCGCCAGCACCGGGGAGGTTAGGGAGGTCAGGGATGATGTCGTCGTCGTTGTCGTCGCCGCCGCCGATAATGGGGAGGTCAGGAATGATCTCGTCGTCGTTGTCGTCGTCGCCGCCGCCGATAATGGGGAGGTCAGGAATGATGTCACCGCCACCGCCGCCAATGGGAAGACCGCCACCACCAATTGGGTTGGGGACGGCCGGAGATGGGACAGCGGGGGAAGGAAGCACACCGTCGTATCCTGAGGCTGGGACGGGGATGGGAGAAACAATCGGGAGGGGAGCAACAACCGGGGCCGATGAATCGTCGTCGTCGTCGTCGCAGTCTCCACCAAGAAGGCTGCCGATAATGGGAAGGCAGAGGGTACGCTTACGCTTCTCCGAGTTCTGCTGGTGCATCTGCTGGTGGGTCTGGAGGGTCGAGGCTTGCGAGCTTGTAGTCTTGCCGAGAACGTTGAAGACAGCATCGTTGTTGGAGAGGATGGCATTGTTGTTGGCGTTGTCGTGGATGTTGTTGTCGGAACCAGGGGAAAGGACGGGAACACGGAAACTGGTACTCTTCAGGACGTCGTTGATGATTCCCTCGCCATTGGTGCCAGAGTTTTGGCCGGTAGTGAGAGCGTTGTTGTCGACGGGCTGCTTGTTGCCCTGACCGGGCATAACACCCTGGAGACCAGCGGTAAGATCCTCAAGAACACCGGCATCGATGGGAGCGGCCTGGACAGAGGCGGCGATGGCGAAAGCGCAGACGGTAAGGTAAGAACGCATCTTGAAGATGGGTGGGTGGTTGATTAGGTAGTGTTTGCTGTGGAGGTGGTAATTGATGGAGCGAGTGTAATAGATATTAGATTATTAGAGTCAGCGAATGTGGTAATAACCAGTGGAGTGAATGTGAGAGTGTGAGAGGAGCTGGATGATGTTCCTAAGGTGGACGGAAGTCTGACTTATATACATCTGAGGCCTTCTGCGGACAGTGGAATTTGATGCTGGCGAAAAAGTAATTGCTTCATGCTCTGCTATGCGTTGAGAGGTGCAAGCGTTGTTCCTCGGTGTGGATCCACTGGTAATGCGCGTCATACCACGGTGAGGATGTTGCTAAGACTGCATCTTGGGCCCCGCAAATAAGCACTACAGATCTCCATTAGAAAAAGTATCGTGTTGCCGTTGTTCAACGCTGTTCCTGTCCGGATGAGGCTTGACATGCCTATTGGCTTTCGCAGAGTGTCTATGGATCCACTGGGGTAAGGTCTCCATAAGCGCTGGTAAGTTGGAACGTCCTCCTTAGCTCATATCGCCGTGCATTTTGCCTGTCAAAATTTCCAGATGATCACTTGGCGTGAGTGGTATGTACTTTGGACGTTGAACTACTTGTCGATGTCGGTGAAGGTGACGCTCATCCATCTGGTGGGCTTTTCATGGAATTCAGCACGATAACTGTGATAGGAACTTCTCCAGTACATCTGAGCCGCATTACTGCGTTTCACGCATCGTGGGTATCGCAAGCGTCGGGTGTTGCAAGGCTTGACGCGCTTGCGGTTGAGGATGTTGTTCCTGCATGCTCCCGCAAGCGGCACGTGCTCATGGCGATCTGCCGCTAGCGGGGGACGCGCTTCCAAAGTTCCATGCTTCAATTACGTCGTTTCGGAACATATCCTGCAGCCACACCATTGGATGTCAATGTCAACTGTGGCTGGTGTGTATGATTGAAGCTGCTGACCCAGATCGAAGACATTCGACATCTACATCTGCAGATGTCTCCATCGAAGGCCCTCCCCGACCATTTCAGCCAAAGCGACGAACCACATTCAACAATGCAATGCTTTGTGAGCCTGGTTTCTAATATCGCGGTAAAGCATGCTTACGGAACCTGGTATGTTGGTCGAGTGCCGCTAGCCGTGGCAGTACACCACTTTCTTTTTAGCCAAGCAACACCTGTGCTCTCAACAGCTTCACCACACCGGTATCGAAGCACTGAGGGGCCGCCCTTGGCATACATTGGCATTTCGCATGCACACATGACTGAATGCTTCGAGAACTCATGCATACCAGTCTTGAAAGAGTAGTGGGGCTCAGCGCGTAGATGCAGCTGTCAAACTTCATGCTGGACAGCCTACAGCGCTCCCAGCACCTCACTTCTCGCAACGATGAGTCCCGAGGAAGCAACCGCATACTTTGGTACTGATTTATTGATAATCTTGACTAGGTGATTTATTATGATTATGTTGAGGATATACAGTCTGTGTAACCATCACTCATCTTGACCATCGCTCGTGGTTTGAGCGCTATTCGGAACGCGGGGCAAGTCAATGGTGGGAAAAAGCAAAAGTCGCAGAACAAGCAAAACGCCACGCGCAGTAGGTACCGAGAATATCTAACACGTCCCAAAACGACACTTATTACTGACCGGCTACTGTTTGCTTTTCATGTTCTGCTTTTTTGTCGTCTCCATTCTGAGCGCTCTCTGCCCGGCGATGTTCCCCGGGCCCTATCAAGTTGTAGTAAGATGTTGGTTTCTCTTGTCGAGGTCTTCCCTTTCCTGACCGCTTCTGTCGGCGGAAACTGGTACGTGGGGTACATCGTGATGATGTACAGCACGACTATGTTGACCGCTTGGTGCATCAGGTGGTGTCGGGTACGTCTAACGTGTACATTTTGAGATTCGTGGGTCTCGTTCCAGATTAACGCTGTCTAGCTGTACAGGCAATCGTATACAATACTCGCCGATCTGACAGTGCTGGGTGAGAGATCGGTAGATGGGATGCGTGTAGCTTGCGCACTTCATCGGGGGATAGTGAAGCGGTGTGATTGAGGTGTTGCTGTCCTGTACGGAGTGATTTCGAGGTCAGTCAGTCGCCTAGTGTCATCGCCGTCTTGCTGCATGACTAGCATTTGCGTGACTGCCGGTTGTTTATTAAACTCCGTAATGTTGGTGTTGTGCATCTGCGATCTGGAGTCATGACTTCGTCCATCGCTCACCATGAGGTGTTGAAAACGACGTGAAATAGTTATAGGTAGATCATAATGAACCAATCTATGTCAAGAACATCAAAATAGTAGTCTATAATGTTCCTTATGCATGAGCAGGCACAATTGCTACCAGCGATGCTCGCTTGGCAGAGAATATACCGTTGTGTTTTCACGATATCTCAACTTCCAATGATCGTCTTGTCTTGGATCTCAAGGGTATTCCATAAAAATTTGATTCATAACGATAAGGATATGTTAGCAGTCTATGTATACCATAGGTTACGAAAATCAAATGTCAACACAAGTAGTCCATGTAATATGTTAAGTATCGTATCGAAATTTTTTGACAATAATCCTACATACTCTACATGTTCGAAAATTCATCACGAACACAAATTCATACGTGATGACACCAAACTTAATAGATATTAAGATATCAGCTATATGTTTTCTTTGAACACATTTTGGGTAAGTCCAGACAGCGTATAGACGTTTCACAGAGGATGTGTTGTATCTTTATAAAAGTCTTGGCGGCGCCGATGCTGAATGAGGTCTTTGCTAGCAACCATAAGTTCGGCCCGCTGCCGGAACAAAATCAGTTCTCTTGAACTGATATAGATTTGAATACCATATACAGATGATGATATACAACAAAAAGGCGCGTTGGGTTGCATGTGATAGCTATATTTCTCGCCATTGACGGGCATCATAAATACGACGTAAACTCCAGAGATTACTTTTACCCAACCAGACATATCCAACATGATATCTACAAAAACTTTCACAAACATGACTTTCGTTATGTTTTACTCAGAGTCTGTAACACAGCCCTGGCTAGCATCCTTGACAAACCTCGCATACTTGAACAGCGTACCCTTCTTATACTTCAGTTCCGGCGCCTTCCAGCTCTTTCTCCGCTCAGCCAGTTCCTGCTCGCTAACGCCAATGTTGAGCTCGTTTGATTCAGAGTCAATGGTGATTTCGTCGCCGTCCCTTACGAGACCAATGGGACCACCCTCTTGGGCTTCGGGCACAATGTGACCGATCAAGAAACCGTGGCTACCACCACTGAAGCGGCCGTCGGTGATGAGTGCGACGTCCTTGCCAAGACCGGCGCCCATGATGGCGGAGCTGGGCTTCAGCATCTCGGGCATACCGGGGCCGCCCTTGGGGCCTTCGTATCGGATGACGACGACGGTCTTTTCGTCCTTTTTGATCTCTCCTCGCTCGAGAGCGGCGATGAAGTCATCTTCGGCATCGTAGCACTTGGCTTTGCCAGTGAACTGTGTGCCCTCCTTGCCAGTGATCTTGCCAACGCAGCCACCGGGTGCGAGGGAACCCCTGAGGATTTGCAGGTGACCAGTCGACTTGAGCGGTTCGCTGAGTGGCCGGATGATCTTTTGGTCGGCAGGGAAGTCGTTCACCTTCTCCATGTTCTCCTTCAAGGTCTTGCCAGTGACAGTCATTTGGCTGCCATCGAGAAGACCTTCCCTGAGCAAGAACTTGAGTAGTGCTGGCGTTCCACCGATATCGTGGATATCGGCCATGACGTACTTGCCAGAAGGCTTCAAGTCAGCCAATAGTGGAATGCGGTCGCTGACGCTCTGGAAGTCGTCTATTGTGAGCTTGAGACCAACCGAGTCGGCGATGGCAATCAAGTGGAGTACGGCATTGGTGGATCCACCAGTGATGCTGATGACCACCATGGCGTTCTCAAACGCTTGGCGGGTAAGAATGTCGCTTGGTCGGATATCCTCCTTCAGCAGGTTCTTAATCGCGCCTCCTGCAGCCAGACACTCGAGCATCTTCGCCTTGGAGTTTGCGGGGTTCGACGATGAGCCCGGCAACGACATGCCCATTGTTTCGATCGCCGTAGCCATCGTGTTGGCGGTGTACCTACAGTATGTCAGTGATGACCTGCGTCTGTGAATATACCATGTACTTACATGCCTCCGCATGCACCCTGACCGTTACACGCATGCCTGATAATATCGAAGCGCTGGTCCTCGTTGATCTCGCCGGTAATAAACTGGCCGTATGCCTGGAACGCGGAAACAATGTCGATCTGCTGGTTCTCGAGCGTCTTTGCGCAACCCGGCTGAATCGTTCCGCCGTAGACCATGAGGGAGGGTCTGTTCACACGACCCATGGCCATGATTACACCAGGCATATTCTTGTCGCAACCAGGGATCGAGATGTTTGCATCGTACCACTGGCCGCCCATGACCGTCTCGATTGAGTCGGCGATGATCTCACGCGACTGCAACGAGTACCGCATGCCCTTTGTGCCCATGGAAATACCATCGCTCACACCAATTGTATTGAATTGCATACCCAGCAGACCAGCCCGCTCGACACCCTCCTTCACCTTGTGGTTCAGGTCCATAAGGTGCATATTGCATGGGTTGCCCGAGTACCAGACGGACGAGATGCCGACCTGAGCCTTGTTCATGTCGGCCTCATCCATACCGGTGGCGTACAACATAGCCTGCGAGGCACCCTGCGACTTGGGCTGCGTAATGTGCTTGCTGACCGAATTGAGTTCATTGTCGGCTTTGGCGGCGCGGAGTGCAGAGCTGGAAAGCGCACGTCTGGAGGCGATCAGTCTCTATACAACACTAGAATTGTAGGAATACCTACGCTGCATGCCATTGTGGCCGTGGCGAGCACCTTGCGCGTGCGAGTGCACCTCCAAAGCGTGCGAGAGACATGTTGGCGGGCTGTTTATTTCCCCAGAGCGTCACGGCAACAATTTATCGATGTAAGCTCCGAGGCGCGGAGTCGGACGTGTCTCCGGATAATGGCGGGCCAATGAGGGGCAAGGTGATGATGATGATGCGCTATTAGCCCATTGCCGACGGGCACTCCATGTAGCAACTTTCCCCAGCTGTGATGAACGTGTAATCAGACGTCGTAGTCTTGATCATGGTCTCCTCTGCAACATATCACGTGCTTGGATCGTGGTATATCCTGGAGAATCGTCCCCGAGATTTTCCATGTCGGCCATCTAGCGAACGCGATCGTGGTTGGATATGATGGCTTCTACTACTCCATTCTCTTAATCTGTCCACTATAACTAACGCAATCCTATTGTTCATCGTTTTCGTATTCAAATTCTATGCATCATATAGTCGTTTTCTGTTCTCCCAACCCCATGTTCACACCATGAGGTTTTTGCTAGCAATCGGTTCGCTGCTGCGAAGTGTAGGAGCCTTCCGAACTCAGCGAAAGCACCATCCATGATCATCTATTCGTCTTCTCCAAAGAACATATATTCGAGACCAGAGGAGACGATTTGAAGCCTTTTTTGAGACCGGTATTCCGGTCCAGATCAAGACCCTTGAGCCTATGGATGACAAGGCTATTGCATAGGCCGACTTCAGTAGGTAAAATCTCTCTGCTAAGCAAAGCTCTGACGCAGCAAGGCTAACGATATTCGATTTCCAGCTCCAAGTAACCTGCTCTATGATCCTTCCAACCAGCGCATCACTGCCTTGATCGATTACGACGTTGCTTGCATACTGCACCATCCTACGAGTTTTAGCGCTCGCGGCGTCACTTCATGCGCGCCCCAGGACTCAGTTGGATCCTTCTGGTGAACCCTGATGCTCATTCGCCCTTAGCGCCAAGTGTTTGCGGGCTGCGGGGCTGAGCACCACTGTTCTGTAGTTATGGTTCAGCCTTGCGACTCACGTTGAAAGTCAGCCTAGGCGAACTTCGATTTGATTGCTGCTGTCTACACTCAGCCTTGTTAACATGCTAGAGCCTCTTCATATGTCCATCTGATTAAACCTGATAGTGATGCCTTTTCTCAAAATCGATTCAACAAACATCCATCATTCGATTGAGCGAGCAAGCCTTCTACAGCATGACGAACCAATACAACTACGATCCGATCGATCAATCTACACGAGAGATTCGGCTCCTGAAACTTCTTCCCCAAGATGGCAACAGCAAATTCAAAAATACCCCAAGTTGCGATATCTTCCACACCAGCCTTAACAAGAACCCGAAGTTCATCGCGCTATCATATGTCTGGGGCAATGCCAAAGATTTGGGGGTAATTCGGGTTAAGGACTGCACTGTCAAAGTGACCAAAAACCTCTATGAGGCCATGATGGCACTCAGACCCCGCAAAGAACCCCTCGTCATCTGGATCGACGCGCTTTGCATAAACCAATCGGATGACAATGAAAAGAGCTGGCAAGTTGGGCTTATGGCAGATATCTACCGACGTGTGCATAAGGTGGTTGCTTGGCTTGGTCCAGCAGATGACGACAGCAATCAAGTGATAGATTACCTAAACTCGCTGGGCGCGAAAGCAGAAGAGGTTGGCTTTGAATTTGGACCTGATGTCTATAAAGAAGCCTGGTCGAAGCTGCCATCAAAACGGTCCGCTGTCAGTAGCAAAGAGCAATTTATGGTCTTTCCAAGAACAGTCTTTGACTGGAGCTCTATGTTCCGATCAGTCTTGTCAGAGAATATCTTTTATTCGATTAGTGGCTTCGACCGTCCGGGCAGCCTGTTACCGATAGCTGGTATGGAGCGCCTTTTTACGCGACCATGGTAGGGACGAGTATGGGTTCTACAGGAGATCGCCCTTCCAGGGAATGCCGAATTCCTTTGCGGCTCGAAGAAGATTACACGTCGTCGATGTGGCGCCGCTCTCAACGCGTACAGTTGTCTATGGTCTGTTCTGGCGATCAGATTCCGCAACGAGTGGTATTCCTTCACACCATATCAAATCCACATTCTTATACTCTTGTTTCATATCAGACCTAGTCTCATGCTATCGTCCCGGAGGATTTATCAGCATGAGAAATTCCCGTTGGCAGCCCTGCTTCGAGCAACATGCATCGGTACTATCAATCCTCGTCGTCACGGTCCACACAGCCTGGAATCAACCGATCCGCGTGATAAAATCTTCGCTTTGTTGGGCCTTGCAGCTGATCGGGAAGAACTAAGATCTCTGGGAGTCCTTCCAGATTACAGGAAAACCAGCAAGCAGATATATAGCACAACGATGGTAGCTTTGCTCACGCAAGGTCACATATCACTACTTTCACATTGCCAGCACCGTAGAAAGCTGTCGGAGTTACCATCATGGGTTCCGGACTGGTCTGGGTCTATAACAGATATGCTACAACACGTAAAAAACGACCATGTCACAATTTATCCGAGGTTCAACGCTACTGAATCAGCATTACGACAACTCGATTTCACTATCTTAGATAAAGATGGAGCGATCGAAGCACTCTCGATAAATGGCATTATCTACGATAAGATATATAGAGTCGCATCATTTCCTGACCGAGTAGCTAACCATGTGGTACCATTAATCGAAACGTGGTCGTGGCCAGTCAAATGGCTATCAGAAACACTTCGCCTCACGAACCACAGAAGGGATTTTTACAAAGATTTCCGCGCTCGTCTACTTGCTGCGGCAAGAACTTCAGTGGGAGGGACTGGGTTCGGCCAAGACGGAAAACCAGTAAGAGTCGGGGATGATCGGTTTGTTGATGTTTTTGTTCTTCTACATGAGAAGATCGGCAAGATAGAACAAGACTGGATCAAAGATGGAATCCGGCAGTTGTGGGAGAGTAGGGATTTCAGGAATATGGTCGAAAGCAGGACTATCAGCTCCACAGGGCTTGGCACGGAAATTATTGGAAAGAGTCTGGAAAGAGTCCCATCTATAACGAAAAAGGGTCATTTGGTCCTTGGCTATGAAGGTACCAAGCGAGGTGACGTCGTTGCACTCATCAGCGGATCTCAGGTGCCATTTATTTTTCGACCCCAAGACAGCGGCCGGTATCGAATCATTGGAGAAGCATACGTGGACGGTATCATGGACGGAGAAGCGTGGGATAGTGCGAAGATTGGAAGGATAGAGTTGGTTTAGTGGAACCGATGGTAAGCAGATCTATTCACAATAGCTACGGAGCCTACGCACACGCGCTCTGACGTGAATGGGCTATTCTCTGAACGCGAGAACAATGCATTCAAGAGCGTCATCTTTGACAGTTTCTACAGCTCATCACAATCATGTCCAGGGCAGGGATAATTGAAGGTCGCCGTAGAGGCCGTATATACACTCTCTGCGACTCTTACTCCTACACTCCACCATTCCCGGCATCTTTGTCATATCAGCTTACAACACCAACGATCCCCCGCCATGAAATACTTACTCATCCACCTCTTCCTCTCACCATGTCTTGCGCACGCAGCGAGTAAGTTATACACAGGCTTCAACTATGGCTCCTTCTGGGGCACAGAAGCCAACCCCAAAAAGAAATCCGACTTCCTCGACGGCTTCAATCTCGCTCGAAACCTCACCACCAACACCCCCTTCGACACTGCCCGCCTCTTCACTTGCGTCCAATCCGGTACAAAAAACGACCCAACCGAAGCCTTTGACGCAGCCGTAGAATCCAAAACCAACCTCTTTCTCGGTTTTTGGATCTCCCCCGCCCAAAAAGGCGGCTCTCCCTCCATCAATAACGAAATGGTGGCCCTAGAGAAAGGGTTTCAGAAACACGGCCAAGCACTCTCAGACCTCATCATCGGCCTCTCCGTCGGCAACGAAGACGTCTACCGCGCCGAAGCCTCAGGCGAAATCGGTCTCACAGCCCCCATCGTCGGCTCCACAATCGCGCAAGTCAAGAAAAACATCGCCGCCTCCTCCTTCTCCAGATACATGGCATCCAAGCCCATCGGTCACGTCGACACAGTCAAATACGCCGTCGTCGACAACGCCGACTTCATCGGAATAACAGTCTACCCATACTGGAATAAAGACAGCATCGACGCGGCGTTTACTTCCTTCCAAGGCTCCGTCGCCGAAGCGGAGAAACGCGCTGGTGGACGGCCTATTTGGATTGCGGAGATGGGATGGCCGACGGCGGATTCAACCCAGCATGGTGCTGCTGTTGCGGGCGTGGGCCAGTTGCAGAGGTTTTGGAAGGAGGTGGGGTGTTGGGTTTTCTCGAGGTATACGACGTTTTGGTTTGAGCTGGTCAAGGATTCTACACCCGAGCAAAAGGCGGATTGGGGGTTTGTGGATGGGAAGACGAGGGCGGCGAAGATTAAGGATTTGAGCTGTGGTGGTGCACCTAAGCCAAGTTCAGGCAAAGACAAGCCTGTGTCTGGTACTTTACCACCATTGTCGTCGACTAGCCATGCTGTATCTCCTGCGCCAAGTACAGTAGCACCGACACCATCAACAATACTGACATCCATATCTCCATCCCCATCTCTAGCTTCCCCTCCCGGACAAAGCCCACCGCATGCTACCCTCACCAGCACAACAACCCTCACCCCCATAGCAATAATCTCTCCATCTCCTCCATACGGCCCTTCTCCAGAAACCCATAGTTCTGTACGTTTCATAACCTTAGAAGCCACCGTTGTGATTACAACTACACCCACCGTCGGGGTTACAACCAAACCTACGCCAACACCAGTGAAGCCTGTGCATGCCGTTACACTGACTGTGGTGGAGAATAGTTATGTCACGATTGGTGCACAGACTGTGACGGCGTATTCGTGAACGTAGAATTAAATGTTGTGGAATGGGTGGGGTAGCAAAGGGGTGAAGGGGGGATGGGTGGTATGAGGATGATTAGCGACTGGCTAGTAGCATCATCACCATTTGTATCATAAGATTTTGTAGTAAGAAATTGTTTCCCAGCACTTGTACCAAATTTAAGTAGAAAAGATCTGTGTATGAAATGTGACAACATCAATCTCCCACCTACCCCTTCCTCAGCAACGCCAGATGCGCTCCCGCCGTAACCGTATCCCCAGGTTTCACCAACACCTTCTCCACCTTGAGTTTCCCCGCGTTAGCTACAGCCTCGGGCGTCTTAACCGCAATCTCCAATTTCATCGCCTCGAGGATGACAATCTGCCTCTGTGTTAGCCGTAATCCTTCACCCCTTCAATGCAAGAAAACTTACCACACTGCCCTCCCCCACTGCATCCCCCTCAGCAACCTCGACTTTCCAAACATTCGCATCAACCGGCGCCTCAACACCCACCACGCCCTCCTGCTCCAACAGCTTCTCCACAGTCCCCATGTCAACCCCACTCTCCGCCTTCTCCCTCCTCCACCGCTCCAAGCTCTCTTCCTCTGCTCTGTTCATCTCCTCCTGCGCTTTCGCCTGCTTCTCCCTAATCTGCCGTACCTCCTCCTTCGTATTCCTTAGCATCTCATTATGCGTCTTCATATCGAACTCCACATCTTCATACTCCCACTCGTATTTTCCCGCGCGAAACAAACCCAGCAGTTCATCCAGCTTATCCTCACTAACCTGGTAAAAGGTCAAAATATCAAAGTCACGGAAAATCCACGGTTTACCGTGTCCGCTGAAACCGGGTTTACACGCGTAATAATCCCAACAAGGCACCGTACGCCCCGTCATCTGATAACCACCAGGTGAATCAACGGGGTAAATAGACATGCATGACCCAGCCCAGCCCACCGTACCTTCAGGCGTGAAAACACGACTGGGGTTCATCTTCGGTGCGGAGAGGCGCTGTCGTGGGTCGACGGGGAGTGAGACAGTGTTTCCGCAGAAGAAACCTACGACGACGGCCATGAACTGGCCTGTGAGGTAGATGTCCTTGAGTTGCTGAGGGGTGAAGGCGTTGTTTTTCGCTACAAAAGAGAGGTTGTCTGGGAGGTAGGGGGCGTGCGGGCGTTGGTTGGTCATGTACCGTTGAGTGGCTTCGTCTTGGAGTTTGGATTCGAAGGAAATGGGTAGTTTGAAGATGCGGGTTGGTACTTTTGTGGTGGTTAGGTCGCCGAGTGTATCCTCAATGATTTTCAGGTGCTCGATAAGGCTGGAGCGCGGGAGGCGGGCGCCGTTGTAGTACAGGAGGAGGGATGTGCAGCAACCGACTGTGTTGTAGAGGTTTTGTCGTATGAGGGCGGGGGTGGAGGAGGAGTGCAGGGCATTTTCGAGCGCGGTGACGCGGCAGCGGTGGTTTAGGTCGAAGGATTCGTTGCCATATTCTATGAGGAGGTGGTCGTCGCCGCCTTGGCGGTAGCGGACAAGGGGTGTAGTGGATGTGGCGGGTTTCTCCCAGACGACTGCTTTTCCGATTTCGCCAGAGTTGAAGTTACAGTGGGCGCCTTGGAGTTTTTCTATCTTGTCAAAGCCAGTACTGGACTTGATGGCCTGCCCAACTGAATCCAGAAAATCCTCCGTCTTCTCTCTTTTCTTCAAGGCATCTTCTAGTCCAACTCTTACATACTTGACCGTATTCCCCGCCTTGATCTGTCCCAGCTTCCACCAGTCCGCTCTTACAACCGTCGTGCTACTCGTGAACCCGCCGAAGTTGGGACAGTCGACAGGAAAGATACAAGGATCGTCTCCCGTCCAGTTCAAAGTCCCCAGAGGATACCCATACTCGATCAGGTTACTGGGATGCGCACCCCCCTCACCACCATCCTTGCGCGCCCACTTCGGTACCGGACCCACAAGACGAATGCCACTCCTGGACGCATTGTGCGAAACCTTCCATTCGGTGTGATAGATTTGCTCGATGAACTCTGGGTCAAAGTATCCCTCATCGTGAGGGCCGACCATGGCTGTAATGTCCCACGTCGTCTTGTAAACCGGCCTCAGACTCTCCGGTAACTCTGCCTTTGTAAACTTCTCTGGAAGTGTCTCCGTGATCTGCAGCAAATCCCCTGGAGCAAGTTGACGACCTTGATATCCTCCAATAGCAACCAGCGGCGATGTAGACTTTGAATCGAAGTACTCTGCCACTGATGGAAACCCACCGTAGACTGCTAGATACGCTCGACAGCCCGCTCCAGTCGTCTTACCAATCTTGAGTTTCTGGCCGGCCTCAATCTTGACGCTCGTCCACATGGGAAACGGCTGATCGTCAAGACTAGCTTCCATGGAGGCACCGCACAGGGCTACAATGGCAGGTCCGACGAAACGTAATTCTGGTCCACTCAACGTGATTTCAAGACCTTCTTTTGTTCTTGGATTACCGACGAGCATGTTCGCTATTTGGAAAGCGATTGGGTCCATGGGTCCGGAGTGAGGTACGCCTTTACCTACTGTAGGCCGGCCGGGGAGGTCTTGGACGAGTGTATATGCACCGGGAGATATGACGTCGATGGCATGAGGCGTGTACGTAAAGTCCTTGAGGAAACTGGTCATGGTGTTGCCTTGTTTGAAACGCGGGTCGTCGAGGATGTTGGCGAGGAATTCGAGGTTGGTAGGTGGACCGCTAATGGAGGATTGAGTGAGTAGCTCCTTCATCGATGCGATTGTCTTCTCTCTTGATTCTGTATGAACCATTGCCTTTGCTATCAAAGGGTCTGTACACCGTTAGCTCATCAACGCCCAAATCATCTTGGAGTTCTTACCATAATTCGGCGTAATTCTCACACCAGTGAACACCCACGTATCAATCCTGCTCCCAGGCACATCCTTCCACTCAACCTTCTGCAGCAACCCCGGCGATGGCGCATAATCCCTCAACGGATTCTCCGCATAAACCCTCGCTTCAATAGCCGCACCCCTCGGCCCCTGCGGCTGCATTCCCTTCAACAACCCCCCATCCAACCCCTTCCTCCCCGCCAACTGCGCATCCGCCTGCTTGAGCATCAACTCCACAAGATCAATCCCATAGCAAAGTTCCGTAATCCCATGCTCAACCTGCAATCTCGTATTCATTTCCAAAAAGAAGAAATCCCCCGTCTTATCATCCACAAGATACTCAATGGTACCCGCGGACCCATACTGAATCGACTCCGCCAGCCTCACAGCCGCGTCCCCCAGTTTCTGCCTCAACTCTGGATGCCGTTCAACAAAAGGACTGGGACACTCCTCAATAACCTTCTGATGTCTCCTCTGAATCGAGCACTCCCTTTCCCCAAAATGCACCGCTTGACCCGTCCCATTTCCAAACACCTGCACCTCAACATGATGACTCGCGGGATAAAACGCCTCGAGAAAAACCCCCGGGTTTTTAAATAACGTCGCCCCTCGCGATTGTACCATGCGAAATCCCTCTCGTACCTCCTCCACTTTTTCACACGTGATCAATCCCATACCACCACCCCCACCCGTCGCCTTGAGCATAACCGGAAACCCAATCCTCTCTGCTTCCCTCACCGCAGCATCTTCATCTTCCACAAGCCCCTTTGTGCCGGGCACGATCGGCACATTTGCTTTTTCAGCGAGCCCGCGCGCGGTGTGTTTGACACCAAAAGCTTCGATTGCGTCTGGTGAAGGGCCCACCCATACAAGTCCAGTGTCGCCCACAGCTCGGGCGAAATCTGCATTTTCAGAGAGGAAGCCGTAGCCGGGGATTATAGCGTCTGCGTTTTTGTCTTTTGCGATTTTCAGGATGGCGGCTGAGTCGGTGTAGGCGGTTGCGGGGGGCCCAGGGAGGAGGACGGCTTCGTCGGCGTCGCGGACGTGTTGGGATGATGCGTCTGCGGATGAGTAGATTGCGATTGTTTTGATGGATAGTTTCTTTGCTGTTTTACATATGCGGACCTGTGATAGGGGACGTTAGTTACATCTGTATGGTATAGCGGAATGATTCCGCAGTATCAAAGACGGGGTACTTGCACTTATTTCACCGCGATTCGCAATGAGGACTGTCTTTAGTTTTTCCATGTTTTGTTAGTTATTGAGTTTACATTCAATGGTTCTGACCATCTACAGGCACGAATGTAACCCGTTATGAAGGGCTTCAGACTGCGGTATCGTGACCCAACTCCAAATCCATAGCCCCACCTCTAGCCAGCATCTTCCTGACCGACTGCGCCATCATCTCACCAGCCGTTGGAGCGAAGACCTTGCAATTGGCTCTTTTGATGCCGGCGCGCAGGCTGGTTCCGGAGATACCGACGTCACCAGAGCTCGTAGAAAAGGCGGGGTCGATAACAAGCATTGGGGCATGACGCTACGCGCAACGCGTCTAATAGCTCGTGAGAGTTGGAGACGTTGGAGACGAGACAAACTACGTGCCTTACTCCGATATCAGTTGATTGCTTTACCTTGAAACACTCCGTTGTTTATTATTCTTCACAACTCCAACTCCAATTACCACGACATCACGATGCCTGCGATCAAACATGCGGTTAAGATCAACGTAGATCTGGGTGAAGGATACGGAAACTACAAGTGCGGACCCGACGACGAATTGATCCCGCTCATCGATCATGCGAACATTGCATGTGGCTTCCACGCTGGGTAAGCAATAGGCCGTGAGGAGAAATACCAAATTGACGCTAACATGAGCAGCGACCCATTGATCATGCATCAAACGGTACTTGCTTGCAAAAAGCACAATATTGCCGTGGGTGCCCATCCCGGCTTACCCGACATTCAAGGGTTCGGGCGACGAGAAATCAAAATGTCACCTGAGGAATTGACAGCTGCTGTTCGATACCAAGTCGGTGCTCTGAAGGGGTTCCTTGATGCCGAAGATGTCCCGCTTCACCATGTCAAGCCCCACGGTGTGCTGTATGGAATGATGTATAGGGATAAAGAGGTTTGTCGAGCAGTCTATGCCGGGGTACCAAAAGGAACGACAGTTTTTGGTCTTGCAGGCACGTTTCATGAAGAAGTTGCAAAAGAGATGGGTCTTCCTTTTGTTGCAGAGTTGTATGGAGATGTCAAGTACAACAAGGACAGTACGCTTGTTATTGACCGGAAGAAGAAGTAAGTTGTATTGACTCGTATTTGTGCTCTAGGCTAATCAGGTATAGGGCCTGGCATCCGGATGAGATTAAGAAACATGTAACGAGTCAGGTCGAAAATGCGACTGTCACAGCCGTTACGGGTGAGGAGGTGAAGCTTCCGATAGGCGACCACCAGGTTTCACTGTGTTGCCACTCGGACTCGCCTGGGGCTGTAGAAATTGTCAAGGCGGCACGGGAGATTGTTGACCAGTTCAACAGCCGGAATTACCGAAAGGCTTAGGGGTATTCAAATTGTGGTGCAAGTGATATCCAGGGCTAGCATATAATCTCAAGGACGTGAGCTTGAAAAGCAGTGATTCAAACCAGTCGCGCGTGTAGATAACGATGCCCTGTGATAAAGCACATGCATATCCGAGCATGGAGATGTCAACCGCCAAGTGTTTAGCTTGTGGATTTGAGCGTTGTTCGACTTGTCGCTTCAGCTCTTGGTCGCCATTGTATCCAGCATACATGCATGCGGATATTGTCTGCTTGATGCAGAAAGCGGCATATCTTAGCTCGCGCGGGTTTGCGCTTGTAGCCAGGAACTGAATAAATGCCTGAATGATATGTTGCACTACGCAGATATTCGTCCCCACTGGGAGGTTGGCGGAACTATCACGCCAAACTCGCGTGAACAGGGGTGTTTGCACAGAACCGAGTATTGTTTTCGTAGTTGGAGAGGTATATCCTGACCGAGATTATGGGTGAAGGTCGATATATCTGGATGGATCGCTCAGAGGCCGCCGTAGATGGCAAAGGAAGACAAGACCAGTATCATGGCGTTGATGAGAGACCACACAAAGGGTATCCAGGTGGACATTTCAAAATATCCCGCTTGATATACTCCTCCAAGCCTATGCTAGTCAGTATTTGCCGACGTATCTTGAATAGTCATCCTCACAGTCCACCCACAAGAGCACCAGCGACAAGCGCTTCAATGCCGCCTACAATGGTGAATACAGGCAAGGCGATCCATATCAGCTTCCAGTTTCGCCATTGCACTATACACGCCCAAAGCGCAGTGATGAAATGTACACCGCCAACTAGCAGTAAGGTCCAGTATACTGTGAAGCGGAGGATGTCGTCGGGGCGGTAGAGGTAGTAGGACGTTGCTGTGCCGGCAGGGAGAGGCCAATAAAGGGAAGGCCAGGGAGGGGTTGTGTAGCCCAGCGGGGCGACCGAGTCGACGCGTTGGATGAAGCTAGGGAAGATGTTGTTAACGTTGATCATGTTGTTCGAGACATGGGGATTGAGGTAAAGACGATGTTCGGGCCGGTAAGCTAGAATAGGGTGCAAGTGCAGGTGTTGGGAGCAAGGGTATCATGCATGCACACTCACCTCATCTGGGTAACATGGCGTGAAGTGCGCTCGATATGGATGCGCGCGTCTGATTGGCGTTGAACAGAAGCGGTATAATTATGCGATACTGGTAGGTTAATTCTAAGACGTCCATCCGAGTGAAGGGTACCTAGCCCAGGCCGGCCGAGCTTAGCTCAACCTCGGCTTGACGCGCATGGCCATCAACACCAGCCATCTATCGCATCACGACGACATTTCCATGCGCATCGTCTAGTAGCCTGCAAAAGGCTCGTCGACACCAAGATGCCGGTCGATCGCCTGTTGTCTACGCTGTTGCGCTCGTTGCAGACATATACGGATCAGCAAGACACGCCACGGTACGCTCGCATTGCATCGCATCTCGAGTCAACGCATGGCGCATACTAACAAACTATCGCAGCCTACTTGGGACCGCGTCATCGCTACTCACCACCCTCGGCAACCCTCACAACCTCAGTCTACTCACCTCCCATCTCCTTACTGCGCCCGCACTATGGGACCGCCCTGATGGCGTGCGCACCCCCCTACGCATGCTCTCCGTCTTCCACGCTGCGGTCACCACCATCATCAACCACCACAATGACGTGCGTCATAATAAGGCATCCAAGCTCGTGCCTGGTCAAACTCCTATAGGCGGAGGTCTATCGCTAGACGAATGGATACGCGCAATTGTCGCCGGCGCGGATGACCGAAGCCGCCGATGGAAGCACTTGGTAGTTTTGGGAGGCTTGTTGATTGGTACCGGGAATCTAGAAGAGCAGGGAATGGATTTGTACTGGGCATCTGCCATGCGCAAGCGAGTGGAAGCGGCTTTGGTACGAGCGACAAACCTCGCATTGGTCGAGGTTCGGGAACGTTCCGAGGCTGACGGGCTGGGAGGCCAAACTATCACTCTAGTCCTCAATCATGCCTTTGGGTGCATCGGAGAGGTGGAAAGGACGCAGATTGATTACGATCTTCTGTTGCCAGTGCTGATCGGGACGGCATACTACTCGAACGAGGGGTTCCAGTCGGCATACTTTCTTGGAAGTCTGGACCTGGATGTGCGGACGAGCCAGAATGGAAAGCTGGGCTGGAGTGTGAGTTAGGAATTGGGATTTCTGACATCCACGCTAATTTGAATAGGCACAATCGAGCTCATACCGGCAGGTCGAGGTCATCATGAACAGGCCATTGGTGACTTCCATGGGCCCCCTCTCACGCCTCATCGCGCACTCAGTCGAGAACGTCAAGAATCCTTGGAACATTCAGACCATGATGGATGACTGACAAGCTTCTCCAAAGGCGTCACAACCCAATGCGACAAACTAATTTCCGCCGTGAGCC